CCTAGACACAGGAGAACTATTGTCGTGAAAGTGTTGTACAATCGATTACGAATTTAGATTGCAGAGAGTTTGTTCTGAGCGCTAAAGGCACTCACGATAGAGCACATTTTGCTTTATTCTAACAAGAATAGTCGGACTTCAACGAGAATACTAGTCGGACTCGACAAAGGTTCGACTATTTTCGTCCATTTGGACAAAGGTTCAATGGTTCGGAAGCAGATCAAAAGGGCACGTACACTGAGTAGTTTGAAAAGAAAGATGCGCCAGTCAGCCAAACTTGTGTACTACCAGTATGCTATTCCCATCATTTTGTCCTAACGACAACCCGGAAAAGCTGACTCACTTGGCGCATCTGGGTCCAGTTACAGGCCGCTCCAGTGATTCATTCAATCTGAAAAAAAGACACATCACGCGATCTTTCCTGTAGGTCAAGTCGAATAATCCCAACTACTACTACTCGAAAGATACGGCTTACAATTTAAGAGTGTACACCTGTGTCAAATCGTCGGCTGTTACGCCAAAGGCGTTCCGGAACACGTCGTAGAGCAAAAACTGGCCTGCAATAATCGCGGCCGCCCATAAACTCCTGCTTCCTAGCCCACGGAATAGTGCTGTCACGCCACTCTCCTCTATCATTAATCGACATCCTTCTATTACACTTAAATTGCCTTTGGTATCCGTCCGTTGAGCGACATATGTCAAGACTGCATCCGCAGGTTGCGAAACAACAGAGGAAACGGTTCCTGAGAAAGCACCTGCTACCAGGCTGACTCCCAATGCTGTCCATGTGAGGTCTCGTAGAGACGGCCAGTTCATAAATATTGCGTCGCATGCTCTTTCAAAAGCGAGGAATTTGATGGATCCAAAAATCACTTGTCGTGTCATCAGGGCAGGAAGTCCTGCATAGAGTGCTTTCCATCCCAAAGATTCGTCCTCTGAGACGATCGTCTTCATTGTTCCCAACAAACCTAGGGGCTTGTATCGATTTGGATCAGCAACGACCCGGATTCGCGCAGCCTCGAGTGGTGTCAATCCAAGACTAGCAATGACGGCAGATAGTGCACCAGAAATTAAGGCTATATCATTTGTGTGAAGCGCAGAGAAATCAAGTGGTAGCAAAGACTGTCCGATAAACCGTTTGAAGAAAGCATAGCTTGGATACACCGAGAGCCCGTACCAAAAATATCCTGCTAATGTTGCCTGCGCTCCAGTCAAAAGCCCTTGAAGCCCCTCTTCTTGAACTACACGAGATACTCCAGATATAATATCAGAGTATTCTTCGGGATTCGTCTGCGCCTTTGTCTTCAACACGTCAAGAGGAATCACTACAGAGTGGGTCAACGCGCAACCCGTCGCACCACTAACACCGAACAACGCGTATATGTCTAATGAGTAATCCAGAAGGTCACGAGACAATGCTATCGATGAGAGCGGGCCAAAAGTTGTTGCCGTCACTGCTTGCCCGAACTCCTCATTAATGCCAATCTCATACAAATCAATCAGTGGAAAGATAGCGTACGAAGATGCATTAGCTGAAATCTGACACCCGTAATACCCTGGTAGTAAAGCTGAGTAATCATTGAAAAAGCTGTCCAGGTTGATTGCTTGATCAATGTTCGTATCAGGTTTGATCGAAGATTTGTACTGTTGAATATGCTCCAACGGTTGTTCAGACATTGGGAGTATTGAGAAAAGGATGCATATTTGCCTTAAAGCGGCGTCGCTGTCACCATATTTTTCAATATATCGAGAGAAAAGCTTTTCCCAAGCAGTCTTTGTATCATTATTTACTTGCATCTCTTCGACAATAAACGAATCCATTGAGGCTTGTATTGAAGCAGCAAAGCTGCCAAATCGTTGACTGAGCATACTCCTTTGTTCCTCTAACGGCAACAATGCATAAGTCAATTGCAAGCCACGCCACCATGATGCTACACTCGGATCAAAATTCAGTAGTATCCTTGCGGCATACGTTGCAAATGATGGAGATACAACATGCCTTCCAGCGTCGTGTTCCCAACTCAATTTCTTCGCCTTCCAACGCCCAGATCCCAGCTCGATATCTTCCAAGGAATGTTCCCTTGTATCAACTACCGCCTGTACCGACATCGGGTATATTATCGTTGCTAAAGCCATTGAAGACAGAGCCTCTCTTCGGGATAGTTCAAATGTTGATAAAGCATCAGATCGATCAATGATTCCAGCGTCATCACCTGACCCATTCGTTCTCGACAGAAGACACGATCGTGATGAAGAAAGATTCGAGTCTCTGGTCAACGGATATCGCCTTGTTTGGAATGCCATAGAGGGAACGATCAACAAACATATTGCTGTGGCATGTAAATGGTATGAGATTGTCTTCATTTCGATGAGAATGAGAAATGAAAAGAAAGGTTCGGAACTGAAAACGAATCATCAGCATTTAACGCGATTTCATTTGCTTGATGTTTCGTGTCTCAAAGATCATACGTAACCAAGTGACGCGTGGACAAATGAAAAGATGTTGGTTGTCAATTATGCAAAAATAAAATAGGAGACAACACAACATCGAAAAATGGCCAACACTCTATTCGGAACCTTTTGCTTGGTGCTCTTGACATCAGTCCAAGGGTTTTTGCCCCCCAGCCAGATCCAGGGTGTCCGTAACAACTTGCCAGTTGAGAAGACTGCTCTAAATCTTCATGATATGTCCGAAATAGTTACGGCAGCAGCCAACAGTGTATGGCTTGCAACGATTGATGCCGATATCGACGCCATTCCCGAGAACGAATTTGCAACTGTCTTCGCAGGTGGCATTGGTGTTATGGTAAATCAGTTTGGCATCTTCAACTTGTAATGTCGATGTCTATTCCGCTTACCTTTCTTTGCACACTATGATGTGGCTTGTAGTTCGGGGGAGTCTTGAGCACGATGATTGTCGGCTTTATTCTTGAAAAGTCTGACATTTATGGCGAATTGGCAGCAGAGTCATATTTGCAAGCTGCCGACGACGAGGAATTCTGGAAGGGACTCTCTGCGGAAGAAAAGGTGATGGCAGAAGCAGCTCTCAATAGAATAAAGGAATCAAGAGGCGAGGTTGTCTCACCTCCGACGTCTGAACCTGCCGGTGCTGAAGAATCAGCAACGCCCACGGGATCATCGGTGGAAATGACTACTGAGAAAACATCTCAAGAAAAGTCAAAGTCTAGTGTTCCAAACGACATGTTTAGTGATTACTAAAACTGGCAGGGGAATATGATAGTTTTTATTGCATCTACAAGACACAAAAGCATACCGTATCATAGTGTGGCATCGTTTCAATACAAAAGTAGACGTTAGCGTTGCTCATTTTCGAGGTTCCGGAGGAAATGTTCACATATCAGTTGCAGCTGAACAGAATAAGTATCTTGGGCAACTTGCAAAAGATACTCGACAGTATCCGGATTCACGGCACCTTGTAGCTCTGTCTCGCAGATTTCTTTCAGGTGGTTCAAGCAGAAACGATTGGACAGTTCCAGTATATCAACAACCCTTCCAAGCCTCGCACTTGATTCTATCCTCGTGTCATCAAAGTTGGGGAGGCCTCCAGTGTAAATGTATTCAACTACTGCTAGAAAAGCGTCATATGGAACATCCGAGATCTCAACTTCGCCAGACTCTGACTCCCGAAAACCTGACGTGAACATCGTTCGAAAATAGTTTGACACCATGGATAGGACCATTTTGTGTGCATAGATCTTCCGGCCTTGCACCACAAATGTGACATCTGAGAATTCCTCCTCATTGAAGAAGTGTCGCAACCTTCGCTCCACCAGTGCTAAACTTGTAGGCTCAGTCACAGATGCTCGCGGTGGAGGATCGGTATCTAGCACATAAAAGTCATTTACTGCCGATATCATCGATTGGGTGAGTCTCGTAGACACAATGTACAGACAGAAAGAACGGACTTACAGTAATCGGAGCCGCACGAGCCACCGAAGACGTAGATTTTCCGGTTAACAGCAGTAGCAGTGTGTCCAGCTCTTCGACCAGGCCCTCTACCGTGTATCACGATGGTGGGTATTGTGTCTTCATCGTTGGGATTTGGAGAGGCCGAAATCCCACCATAGTACGGTTCGAGCTCGTTGGTTGAATCCCAGAGGTCGCTTCCATCATACATGTGAAGTCGATGGTCTTGATGATTGGCATCACTAGTATCCATGTCCATAGTTTCTCTAGACGTCTCTCTCAATCGCTGGTAAAACCCATGAGGAAATCGAAACGATCAAATTACTGTCAGAATCAACGGCAACTTACATAACCACCAAAACTCCATCGTTGTTCGCGATAGCCGTCACCCTCAAAATTCTCAAACCGATGTCTCCCTACAGCATGACTACTTGGTTCGTGCTGTGTGACATCCAGCCATGCCAGTTCTGCTCTATCCAAGATTTGTAGGTCCTGGAAGCATTTGGAACTAAACTTTTGTTTAGAACATAGGCTGTGACAACTATCAAGATACCGATTCTTACCTTGTCCCACTTCCGCCAAACAAGTACAGTCGTCCCCGCAGCGCCGTGAGGGTCATACCAGCACGTGGGTGTGGCAGTACTCCTGCTATATGCGGACAGGTCCATGTCGAGGTTGCTGTGTTCAATATGTGTATATCATTTAGCCGTTCAGAGCCATTCCATCCGCCAAATACCAAAAGCTCCCCCGTCTCTTCGAGGATGGCGCTTGAATGATTCGCCCTCTGTTGAGGTATTGCTCCAGTCGTTTCTACTTTTCTCCATGTAAATGTTCGTGTATTCAGCGCATGCAAGTCGTTCAAATATTCGCGCCCTACAGTAGGATGAAAAGTGTTGGCGAGATCAAAGTCAAAATTGCGAGCAGGGTATTTAATAATTGCTTACCATTTCCTACGCGAGAAGAAAACTGTTGGCAAGGTCAAAGTCAACATTGAGTAGTGTACGACATATAATGGATTGCTTACCACCACGGAAAACATATACTTCATGGGTTGCAGTAACATAGTCTGCAGAATGCATGTTGCACGGACCTGGCGGAGTCCCTCTCACTGGTGGTTCATACCAACGTAATTGTTTGCCTGAATGTGATATATCTAGCACATGCATGTCTGAAGCTGCCAACGGACCCGTTCCCAGCCACCCACCAATAATTATTATTCTTCCAATGTCATCATCATCTGGATCAATAGCAAGTGTTGCACTTCAAATGGAACAAGACACTCTCGTGAACGAATGAATCGATAAAAGATGGCTCGTCAAGATTTGTGGCTCACCTATGTCCATTGCGACCTGGTGGTGGAGTTCCAGTGACAAGAATATTATCTGAATTAGACAGGAATGATGGCTGCTCGTTCCCTCCCAAATGGTGGGGACGAATCCATCTCTTCTCCTCTATCGAATATATGAGAAGTGTCAAATGGTTCCTCCGACCATCGTATCCACCAAAGCAATATAAGTCTGAGTCAGCATTAAGAACAAGTGAGGTCCATAAATATCGCTGAAGGTTGAATGTTTTAAAAAACTCACACCCTCGAAAATGCGTAACAGAATGATTTTTTATCGTAGGGGCTCCAGGGCTTCCATGCTGCGGCGAGACGTTTTGCTCACTCCATCTCATAGCCTCCATTCTTTGTTGTAATATTGGTATTTCTGAATGCAGTCACCTACGTATTGTTGTGTGTTCTCGTCGCTACTGTAGTTTTGCAATTCTAAAATCACATTTGTTTCCAAACAGAGCATTGTGGGGACGTAAAATCAAAGTAGGGGTATTCGAGGATCAAAATACTCAAGTACCAGTATAAAAGGGAGTGTATTAATACCGTAGACGTAGTATTAAAATACGTTCTACCGGGGTACATCATATATATGGTATCGTATAGTAGTAACAACATCGTACCATCACCTGGTACAAGAGCAGCATATGCGATACTACAGTACCTGGTACACGATGTACTGTGGCACCTGACACCAACCCCGCGGCAACTGCCTGTACAGAGACACTAATCATAACAAAAAACATTCTTCTGTTTGCTCTTCTATTTGACCAGCAAATCGTCGTTCCAGCATGTCTGAAGATGATTGAATACCAATTGTGCAACCCGTGCATCCTTGCTTGCAAGTTCCAATAAACGCTCCTGTAAGTATAGAAATCCGTCTCTATTCTCCTTAGCTTTGGATAGTTCCCGCAATAACTGGGTGGCTAACAGCGGGGCCTCATTTCTCCCCACTTTACTCGACAAGATTGGGAAAATAGCATCAAAGAGACGACTGTATGGTTTGCTGGAACCTCCGGCCCCAAGCCGAAGTGCCATGCGGGGAGAATCCAGCTCCATGAGAGGGACAAGGACATCAAGTGCACGATCCCTCATGTCGGTATCAACCGTCGCGTCATAGCCCATCAAAAGCTTTAGCGTTGTTACTCGCGGAACAATATTGTGTACTGGGTCCACATATTCTAGTGAGTCAGGACCGAGTCGAGGAGTATACAACAAATTTGTCAACCTTTCCAATGCTTCGCCAGGCATGTGCACAAGAATAGCACGGGCGTTCGGGATCTCTGATGCTCCTTCTTGGTCTTCAACACTTCCAACTACCCCAACACGTGCATGATTGATAAACTCTTGCAAAAGCTCAACCGTTGTCATAACGACTAATCTAGTGGCTGTAGAGTCAGTCAAGACCTGTGCCAAAGCAGGAAAAATAGACCAAACACAAATGATGTGCTCTTTGGTCAGAAGCCGTAATAACTTCGGAGAAATATCTTGAACAATATCCTCCTTAGTGTCAAGCCGCTTAGCAAGCCATAGACTGCCAAATCCCCATGCACCGTTGGCAGCCTGACCAAACGTTTCAGGCGACGGTACCAAAGGAGCCTCTTCGGATGTTCCCGCGGAGTAGAACAGTTTATCACATAGCATCTTTTGACCTGTCACGTCCAAATACGGGGCCAAATTTACCAAAACGTGTAGAGCTGAAAGTGCTAGCAAGCCAGAATTACTGCTGCTAGTACCAAAGTCGTCGCCTCCACAGCTCTTAGAATTTGAACGTTCGTAAAGAGATCCCACGAGTACCTGCATGATTCGTGGCGAGTACGCCAACAATCGCAAATTCGCTGCAACGAAAGATAGATTTCGGATGATGATAACCACTGAATCCAAATACTTCTTTTTTTCCTGACTCAAGATGTCATTGGACAGTTTTCGTTTGCAAAAATCTGCAAAGGCTGCACACTCCTTTGTTGGATGAGACGTCCACGCCCTTTGCGAATGAAATATTGGTGACTCGGATTCTTCCCATGGCGTCCACTCAATGACATCGAAAAATATATCAGTAAGTCCAACCAAGGTGCTGTCTCCGCTCAATGCATAGTTCTTGTCGTGTTTTGAGGTAAGCTGCAGTAATTCATTTAACGCACCATTGCGAAGCAGGGGATTTCTCAGTCTCGCACCCAAAGCGTTATCATATAAATGATGTGGGTTTCGTAGTCTTGACTGGTTGCCTGGCGTTGGGGATACCGAGCGGGGTCTTTTTCGCCCACCGTCTTCCTGCGGCATGATGGGTGTTTGCTTTTGCACTCTGTTGTCGCTTCGGAATGAAATGACGATGGACTGGTGACCTATTGTAACTTGTATCGTACCGTGCCGTACCGGTCGCACTGTAGATATAGCCAGCTTTCGTACGGTACTGTATTTTGTAGACACCGGATGCGCACACACGAACAGACTGTTCATTCAAGTCGACTAATAATGCAATGCAAATGCAATCACGGTCAACCCTGACTATCTTGTGACGAAGATAACGAGATCGAGTATAACCCTGATAGAGGAATACTACAACCCTGATAGAGGAATACTAAGTCTGGTTCCTATCTATTGAACTGCAACTTTTTGACGCGTCTGTGTCGAGAGATCTACAACAATCCTATGTCCGAAGTCTTGGGTCAATACAAGATAGGCCTACCGATGTTTGACGGCCAAAATGGCTCATCCAAGACATGTTTGTCGGCATCATAACATTGAAAACTGTAGATAGATCTCAACAACAGTATTTAAATTTGCAGTGAACACATGTTCAAAAGAAAAAGTAGGAATGCTTCCGAAACATGCAATCACGCTATGGTATGGGTAGGTAGTTTTTCATGTTGATTTCGTCTGACCATTGCCACTCTCCTTTCTCTAGAGCATCCTCTTGTGAATCTGCTTTCTCGTCGTCATCCATCAAATCGGCCATCAGATCATCTTCTGGCGAATTTGTTTTCTTCCGAATGGTCCTTATTCGTACTTTCTGAAGCCCAACGAAATACCCAGCCTGCATCCAACCCATCATCTGTTGGGTTGTGTATGGCCCGTGGATCTGCCCATCTTGATTACCCTTATATTCCCAATCGGTTGGAGCTTGTTGCTTGTTTGGAAACTCCATCACAGTTGCATGCTTCGAAAGAACTTGGAGAATCCGTTGGCGTCTTGTATCATATATATCGACTTCTCCTTTCAGCAGAAGTGCATTGGCAGCTCCGGTGAGATCATCTAAACAAGACTTGGCAACTTTGCTGTCCTCCGTCGAACTCGGATCTCCTTTTTTAGACTTTAGCTTGCTTTGTTTCGAAACAGCGCCATACCTCCGCACAGCCTGTGCAACGGTTTCAGTACCGTTTATCAAAGGGAGCACCTTAAGATACAACTGCTCCTTTGTCAGACCGTCTAGATTCTCAGGTTTGTCTTCTGTGTTCTCAGTATCTTTGGGTGGTTGCAAAATCGATTTGGATGACGGAACAGCATTTCTTTCGTCGCCAAGAGAGTCAAGCCAAGCATCCGGTTCATCGTTTGGATCGTTCTTTCGCCAGATGTACGTATCTCCATCGAAATAACCAGCACCATCTGATTCTTCGCGTCTCATATGAAATGGCTCGATTTGAATGCCATCCGTAGCCAAACTTGTTGAATCGTCAATCTGCGTGCGGCCATCTGCATCCACTCCTGCCGCTCGTTCTCTACGACGCTTTCTTTTCGCCTCCAGTAACTCTCTTTCTGACGGTATGTCTTCTTCGCCATCAATTTCTTCCTTTTTCCAATCATCCAAGTCATCGATTTCCTCTTCGTTTAGTCGAACACGCTTGGATTTTTCATCTGAAGTTGCAATGTCGGCGTCCCTTTGGGACCGTTTGGCATTTTGGGAAGCAGCTGGGGCTGCGAATCGAACAGATTTGGAAGACATATCAAGGAATCAATGGTTTTCCACAACTTGAAACTCTCTCAGCTGCCTTGATGAACAATGTACCCTGTTTGATACCGGTAATAAAAAAAACGTCTTCACGTTTTTCTGTTCGACAAATCGGACCAAGAGCAGAGACTGTCTGTCCATAATGCGTCCAAAGACGTCACTAGATTAGTTTCATTTTCGTGAATGAATGAATCATTGAAGAAGGGAGTTCGTGGCTCAAAAGTAAATGCCGACGAACGACAGGTATCGTGCATCGTACATTAGAAATCTTTGAGATCAGTTCGTTGACCGGGTTCCATCTTTATACTAGGCGCTTGTCCCTCATTCACTGATCTACAGTATGTTTGCCTTGAGCCAAGTGGGACGTCGAGGCCGAAGGCAGCTCAGATGCGCTCAAGGGATTTGCGAGGATGTTCGAATTCATGAGTCGAAGAAGCTGAGTCTTGAAACTAAGCGAAGCACTCGAACAAAACGCGGAAAGTCTTCAGCGTCAATTGTAAATTTCCCAATTTCAGATAGTCTCAGAGAAACTGTAAAGACATCCTTGCTGGACCAGGTGACCAAGGATGAGAGCAAAGCTTGGAAAGACAAGTCCGGAGTCAATGGAGTAAATATTGAGATTTCATCTCTCCATGATCCTCTGGATGACCTATATCCAGTGACAGATACAAGGTATTGGCCTCACCTCCCACCAAACGTCCAAGTCAATGCAGACCCTTTTGAACTATCCAGAGTGGAGGTCGAGATGCTCTCAAAGTCAATACGAGATGACCTCGTCGGATCGGAGCATCCGGTTCTGACCAAAGCAGCGTCCTACTTTTTTGACAGTGCAGATGGTGGAAAAAAAATTAGACCGATGATGGTCATGCTCCTTTCGAGAGCACTCGCCGACACCGTAGGCGACGCCCAATATGATCAAGAATCACTATTCACAAAACCTTTGAAAGAACAACGACAGGATCTTCCAGCGGCTCAACGTAGACTGGCAGAAATATCGGAAATGATACACACCGCTTCTCTTTTCCATGATGATGTGATTGACGGATCCGATACGAGACGAGGAATGGCATCGGTACATATGGTTTTTGGAAACAAAATGGCGATCCTTGCTGGTGACTATCTTCTTGCACGGGCCTCAATTTGTCTAGCACGACTACGAAATGTGGAGGTTGTGGAGACCATGTCTACTATAATTGAGCATTTGGTTCGGGGCGAGGTCATGCAAATAAGAGGTAGTTCTTCATCAGATGGAGCCGAAGAAAACATGGTGTACTATTTGAAGAAGAACTTTTTCAAGACGGCTAGTCTTATGGCTAACTCCTGCAAAAGTGCCGCAGTCCTGGCTGGTTGCTCACCGGAATTGGTCAACGCCTCGTATAAATACGGAAAGCATGTGGGCATGGCTTTCCAGCTTGTCGACGATGTCTTGGACTTTGAAGGAAGCATTTCCTCAATGGGAAAGCCTGCACTGGCAGACTTGAACGCAGGATTAGCAACAGCTCCTGTGATGTTCACTGCAAGACAATTCCCTGAACTTGAGGAAATGATGGATCGAAAGTTCCGGGACGAAGGGGATGTAGAGCGAGCCCAACAGTTAGTGTTTGAAAGCGACGGTCTAGAACAAACAAAGCATCTCGCACGGCTCCACGCAGAAATTGCGATGGAAGCTCTGCTCGAACTAGATGACAGCGTCTATCGCGATTCTTTAATAAACTTGGCCTATAAAGTGGTAAGCCGAACGAAATAAAATGGCGCATCCGAGACGATTCTTGATGGATTGTCAGCCCTCGTCGCTTGCTTGTGGATGATAGCCAAGGCAGACCGAAATATAGAATAACCCCAAGGAAGTAGTTGGGACTAAATACTTTTAGAATAATGTTACGGTAAATGAGATGAATACAATCTACCGTTCGGATACGGGTAGTAAGGAAATAGGCAAGGTCATGTTTGTGTAGTCAAACTAGTCACTTGATTAAATTTACACAATCCTCTCATCAACCATCCAATATTTCCGCAACTTTTTCGTCAAATCATACAGGGATGGTTGAAGCTTACGTTGCGATTCGCGATGATTCTGGCATCCGTTCCTTGTCTGTGAATGAACGAGACTTTCTCCGAACATGTGTCCACGGAAACACTACGTTGCGGATCGATGGCCGTACGGGACAAGAACTTCGACGAGTGCGTTTGCAACTGGGTCGATGGGACAATGGTGCCGAATGCACAGTCCAATGGGGAAACACGCGGGTTTCTTCATTATGCTCTGCACAATTAGTCCCTCCTTCTCCTGATAGACCAAACGAAGGAATGGTGAACTTCACAGTTGAACTTTCTCCCATGGCAGGCAGCTCGTTTCGTCAGGCGCCCGTCGTTAGTACCGGTCCGTTGCCAATGGGAGCAAGAGGACCAAACTACTCCGATCGCAACCAAAGGCTTCTTGCTAATAGAATTCTTAGAAGTGTTGAACGGGTGATTATTCTTGGGGGGGCCTTAGATACCGAGGCACTGGTGTTGGCACCTGGAAAATGGGTTTGGCGCTTTACAATTGCCCTAACAATACTGGATGACGGTGGGAACATACTAGACGCTAGCATTTTGGCTGCCATGGCGGCCCTGAGACACTATCGAAAGCCACAGGTGCAGTTTTCAGGGGACGATGAGAAGGAGTCCGGTGCAATGTCACTTCCAACAATGATTCCATCCATTGTGAAAGAGGCAACTCCTCTCCCCCGTAAGTTTCACCCTCCTATTACGCCCTCCTTGCTCAATGCTGATTGTAGAGACCATATCTAACGTTTTTCGCTTCGCTGCAAAGTGCACCACACGCCACTCTCTGTTTCCTTTGCATTGGTTCCTGCCGACAATTCGTCAAACGCTGGGTCGACATCGACTGTTGCAGCAATAGCTGATCCAACAGATCGCGAGGAGCTCGTGCAACATGGAACTGTGACAATGTAAGAGGAAGTATTGATATTTAAATATGGTTCAGGTTTGGAATTTGGGACGATCTAATATGCGTTCTTTCACAGTGCAATGAACACCCACTCAGAAGTCTGTCTCCTTGATTTCGGTGGTGGATGCGAAATACCCCCGTCAAAGCTAAAAGAATGCTGGAAGATTGCTCAAACAACAACTAAACAACTCTGTCAGTTTTTGGAGCAGACTTTACAGGATGCTAACGGAAAGGCTCAACAAGAGCGTCTGGAAAAGTTGAAACAGCAGCAGGATGGAAAGTTTGCAACTTCAGCCGCTTCCCTTCCACCAAACGCACCGTACTTTGAGCAATCGAAAATTGGTGACGAAATGAATGTTGAAGTAGAGGTTGACGTCGATCACATTGCTGAAGTAGAGAAGAAAGCTGAAGAAGCCTACCGTCAACAAGCTTTGGATTATTCCCGGGGCCATGTAGCGAGCAAAGTTCGTGAGGACAGCACGAAAGAGAAGTCTTCTCAACAAAAAGGAAAGTCATTGATTGCAGCCATGCTCAGGTCAGTAAATCAAGGTGACAAAGGGGAAAGTACTCGCAGAAGCGAGGAATACGCATCTGATGTTGCACATTCTGTAGTGACGGGTGGTAAACAACGGCAGGTTACGAATCGGGAAGACTCTTGCAAAGTAGTCGACAAGACGAAGAATCGAGTTGCCATGGATTTGAACGATGACGAGGATGAAGAAGCGCCCACCATTCTGCAAAGTGAATTTCATTCGTCATCAAGGGAAGAGAAAGCGCCGACGGAATATGCCCTCACACCGCCACCCAATACCAATGATGAAGCAAATGATTTGTCAATGGCCATAAAGAAGAAGAAGAAGAAGGCGAAGAAGAAAAAGCCGACATAAGGGAAAATCTTGATTTAGACTGCTTCTTTGAGAGTCCAACGTTTTGTTTTCGTCTTTACGAGCCATCTTGTCCAAATAGTTTTGTCCATTCCTGAAAGCGTTTCAGTTCGTCGGCCGAGACCGAGCTAAAGGAGTGTTTCATCACCCGTTCAAAATCTGTCCGTTGGACCAGAGGCGCCACGAGCTTGTCCGATGGAACGTCCCAGAGTTGCATACGCTTAGCGCCGCAATTTCGACAATCATATCCAGTGCCTGGTGGATCTACCGATAGCTTTGGAGGGCACTGAGGACAGCTTGGGTACTGCTCACTAGGTGTATAATTTCCATTAGAGTCGACAATGAATTGCTTTGCTTGCTGACACTTTCTTAGCGGTTCCATCAACGCCTCCTTAACAAGCACTTTTATGTCCGACCCACTCGCTCCTTCTGTGATATTACCAATTCGCTCGAGATCGTCTTCTGATAAGTTATTTGGAGTGTCGCCAAGATTCAGCTTGACCATGTATGCGCGGGCTTCTGGCTCTGGCAACGGAATGTATACACGTTTCTCAAAACGACGACGAATCGCAGCGTCTAGCTCCCATGGAACATTCGTAGCACCTAGTACTAGGACCTGGCTATCTGACTTGCCAACACCATCCATCTGAACAAGGAATTCGGTTTTGACTCTTCTGGAGGAATCACTTTCACCCTCCGATCGACTACCGCAGAGAGAGTCCACTTCATCGATAAAAATGATGGCCCTACCCCCTTCTGATTCTCTGGCCAACTCGAATAGGTTTCTCACAAGTTTTTCAGATTCACCCTGCCATTTGGAAATCAGATCTGCACTACTAACGGAAAAAAACGTAGAATCTGCTTCTGTAGCCACCGCTTTTGCTAGGTACGATTTTCCAGTCCCCGGAGGACCGAAAAGCAGAATACCCTTGAATGGACGCCTTTTCCCAGTAAATAGTTGGGGAAATCGAACGGGGAGAATGACTGTCTGCAGATGGACCATGCAATGAAATGCAATATGTCAAAAACAGCGGAACACGACAAAGAGAAACACATGTATGGAGAGTCTCTCCTAACTTACCTCCTTCAAACTCTCTTTAGCATTATCGAGACCAGCAACATCGTCCCAGCTGATATTTGGCTTTTCCGAAACAATGGCGCCAGCCAGAGCCCCTCGCAGTTTCTTTTTCTCGGCATCGGCATCATCTTCTTTGTCACCACCATTCTTCATGGCGGAACCTCCACCACCATTCTTGTCGAGCTCATTCTGCTTGGACACGTAATCTCGGAGCTCTTCTGCCCGTTTCATGTATCCCTCGACACGTTCAAACACAAGCTTTTTCCTCGCTTCGTTCTTCTCGTACTTGAGTCCCATAGTGAACCGACCAAGTGCGTCGCGGTACAATGACAGCGCTTTCTCGTATTCCCCTGCATTATCAGCTTCTATGGCTTTCGTTACTATTTCAATTGCTTGTGGAATGAAGTTATTGTCCATTTTGAATGTGTAAGGTCGTCGATGCGAGCGACGTAGCTAGTGATGTACCTGCAGTTGATGGGAACTACTTCTTGTTTGGTCAAGAGCGTGTCGTGCGAACCAAGGTGACTCGGGCAGAAATGAACCAGAACAACGGTTATTTTTGCAGCCGAATTTGGTCAATCCCGGCTTGAGTCTTGGGGAGACGGGCGATGACATACAGTAGGTTACAGTACATACAGTATTACGGTACTCCTGCAATACCGAAATACTACTGTACGGTAGCGTGTTGCCATACAGAGCAAGTCGAAATCAATAGACAAGTAAAAGTAGCCGGTGGCTAGAGTGTGCGTTTAGCAGGGTAAAGCAAAAGAGGCGAGGACGAGGACTGCCGAGGTATGCGGGGGCATAATCTTAAGAGAAACAAGAACCCTAAACCTACCTACCGTACCGGGTAGCCCAGCACACCCCGGTATTGTAGATACTATTAGGTACTATTGCAACGTGGTGGAAAATAGCAGAGACAAAGACAGGACAATCCCACAAGGCATATTTCGCCACTTGATCTGATCATGATACCATCGACACCACAAGGGTAGGGACCTGTCTAATACTTTTCAAATCCAAACAAAAGGACAGTCTTGACCGAACCTGTTGAAGAGATAGCTTGCATTGAGGGTACTTGTACTTCGTCTTGATTCAGCTTGCGCTCCCTTTGTTGGCAACGATGGAAAGGTAGATGGTCCAGACCAAGGAACAGATATTCACAAACAAAGGGATCAAACTAACTGGAATCAAGGAATAAGAGATGATGTCGACAATGGGCCAGAAAGCAGAGCCCGCCAGCCAAGCACCAGGCAAATCACTTCTTATTTTTGCTCCCCAGTTGGCAATTGTAAATGTATTGTTTTGAATCAGACTAGATGCAAAGAAGATACATGTAAATGCAGGACCGAATATCGCTTGACCCAACAACGCCTTCTGAAAGGTAGATACCAGCCCTTTTCCTGGCAGAAAGTGAAAGATTGCTTCATACCAGTAGTGTGCAGCAGGAGCGAAGTAAAGCGCACCAATCATCGTCGTAAATATCAAACGCTTAGTGTCAAACGAGCCACCTTCTTGAGGTTTTTCTATTCGTTGCGCTAGGTAGTCAGAAAGGGCAAATATTAATCCAGCCGTCCAACTCTTTGTTAGGATAGGCCTGACCTCCAATTGTGCAGAATAATACTTGCCCAGCGACCCGCAGGTGGAAGCGATTGCAGAAAACCAAGGCATTGAAACTACCCCAGATTGCGTGGATGATGATTTTTGTGCCTCAGTTTCCTCAACTGGGATGACGTCATCTGCCGACATTTCCACATCGGCTTCACCCCCACGAAGCCGAAGCACAGCCATTGTGGAAACTGAACTCCCTCGTCGCATGTTCGTAGAGTGAATGGAAACAATGCTAACAGTACTCAATGCAACAACTTTGCAATGCAAAAGTGATACGAGCAACGTCCAAAACACAAGATTTTTCATTATATCTATAAAGGAAAAGGATACCAAAAAGAGAGAGAGAGAGAGTGAATGATACTACCTAGGACGGGCAACCACAAAGGTGCAAACACTTCTATCATATCCAAAAGAGAAAGATCGATTCCAATATCTCACATAGATGATTTGTGTCACTCTTCTGAGAAAACTCATTGTGATCTCAAACTTTAAATATATATCCACATCATTGATTTGGACTATAATCGACTTTCAACCTCTGCCTTGGCTCGGAAAATTGTGGTCTGATTCAAAATCGTCAAACGAGTGGATGTTCGTTTTCGCGGTGAATCGTTATCGTCAATGCCAGAAGGACGTCATGAATCGCAATCGCAGTCGCATTCGCTATATTTTTGATCTGCACTTACATTCTTGTTCCCCAACTTCCCCACGCTCTGTCGTTTTTGGAAGGTTGTGAAACGCTGCACACTGGCACTTTTTTGTCTCTACCGGTACACAGTCCTGAATATGAGGGGCGAGCGAGGGATTGGCTGGTGCGTGAGTTGCGCGCGACTCAGTCGACTCAAAGGACCAGTCTGTGCGTGATATCCCGCACGCGGGATATCAGAGCATGGTGAGTGGCTTCAAGAGACGACTGACTCGACATGCGACACCGTCAACAAAATATTTAGCTCACAAAAACAATTTGTTCCATATGCAAGACTCGGTTGCTTCCGCATGTATTGATGCGGTGAAAAATAGACCCATATACTTGTCTAGAAGATGAAGCTCGTTGACTACTGGAAAGCATGAAACATTTAGAATCCGTCACACAGGTGTTCGATCTACGTATGAAGCCTTTGTTGAACACTCCTGTCCAAAACAAACTATATCATGCGAATGACTCTTTTGATCAGATAAAGACATTAATGTCACAAGATCGCTCATATTATCGGCACTCAAGTACTGCTATGAATGCGGCAGACCGAGAAACAATGGCACAATGGGAATATAGAATAGTTGATCACTTCGGCCTTTCAAGAGACTTGGTAGGAATTGCTTTTTCCGTCTTGGATCGTTTCACAGAGAAGTGCGTGTGCGATAGACGTGCTTACAAATTGGCTGCGATGACGAGTGTTTTCATAACAATCAAGCTCCACAATCCCCGACGGTTTTCCATTGGTACATTGGCGACACTTTCACGTGGAGAATTCAACACTTTACATATTGCTCAAATGGAATCTATAATGTTGAAAACATTGGACTGGCGATTGAATCCACCAACAGTGCAGTCGTTTATCTACCTATGGGGAAATCATTTGTACAATGGGGGGCTATACGCTATGGAGTCAATGTAAGTACCCTAGGCTTGAAGGGTCCCTCCTTACCGGAATTCGATCCCCACTTAAAGACTCCACCGATCAAATGATACAGAGAGAGAGCTTGTTTTCTTGCAGAAATTGCAGTATTTGATACTTTGTTAGCATCAAAGGGGAGAGCGCTACTTGCAATCGCAGCACTAATTGAGGGTATGGTGGGCTTTGGCAGGTGTGGTGCTCCGGCGTACGAACAGGTGGAGGCCGCTATTCTTCGAAAACTGAAGACCGTCTTCGGAATCCACTACGCGCAAGAGGAAATAAAGTGTATCCGGAACCGTCTTTCCCATATCTACACCAAGACATCGCAGTACCAATCAGACTATAGCAACCAATCTGACGCTAGTACTAGTAGTAGAATGGTGCCCTACAATGGTGAAAACAAGGTCAACAAGATACAACATCATCAAGAATCGGTGGGGATATGCAGGAATATGATCAAGACGAAATATTTACAGTCACCTAGAAGTGTGCGGACGAAATGTGAACAAGGCTAATTGCAAATAGATATTATAAAAGTAGAGTGGAGACATCCATACCGGCAGTGTACTCTCTGGCACACATTTAGTCCGTACCGGTCGTGAAAGTACTTTGATAGGTCCAAATCCACGCTAAACATTCACGCTGTGTTGCAAATCAGGTTTTACTCTCTAGCTAGATTTACAATTTGCTCATCTCCTTTCCCACTATTTCCCTCAACGATGTCCGCAGAAAAAGCAACCCAAGATCATAATCCTTCATTGTCACTGACTGAATCACTATTTCCACCACCGAAGGCTTTTGGAAGTGGAGCAAAACCTGCGTTGCAATACAGAAGTGATTCTCCTTGCTGGGATTGTGTTTTCTCGAGAAATGGGAAATGGCTTGCAGCATGCTTCGGCGCTCCTGAGACATGTGTTAGAGTTTGGGAGCAAAAAGATGACGGTTGGCAGCTCCATTCCACCTTAGAAGGAATACATACGAAGACGATCCGATCCATCGCTTTTGCCCCGATTTCCGCTAATGATGTAATTGCAGCGGCCTCTTTCGACGGTAGCGTCTCTATATGGGAATTGACAAAGTATGGATAATTCTCAGGGGTATTATGAATTTATGTCGTATTAAAACTAACTTACCTTCTGTTGCTCGTTAGCGACCAGCAAAACAAAGAATGGGAATGCACCACACAACTTGAAGGTCATGAAAGTGAAGTTAAATGTGTCGTCTGGAATTCAACTGGCTCACTTTTGGCAACCAGTGGGAGAGATAAAAGCGTTTGGGTCTGGGAAACTTTCCTTGATGGAACGATCGGGGGATCGTCGGACAATGATTTCGAATGCATTGCTGTTCTCAGTGGGCACGAGGGAGATGTAAAGTGCGTTCGTTTTGCTGAATCCCATGGCCAGTGGGGTGATGGCGACGAAGTACTTCTGTCAGCTGGATACGATGATACGATAAGAGTCTGGGCGGGTACGTGGAATCTTGACTAATGTCTCGTTTCACTTCGTGCGTCTGTTCTAAGGTTGATTTCTGAATACTGTAGAAGATTCTGGGGATTGGTATTGTGCGCTTGTGATCGAGGGGATACACGCAGATACCATATGGTCATTAGCTGTTGCACCAGGATCTGGACGAATGGTCTCATCCAGTGCAGACGGCAGCATTGCGATCATGAAAAACTTTACCATTTTGGAAAGAAGGGAAATGTTTCCCGATCAGTCGAGTTGCTCGTAAGTTGCATCTGAAGTACTTTTTCCGAGATCAAGTGAGGGCATTGTCCTAACTATATCCCATGACAAATTGTAATTGTAGAAACGGTTTCTGGAAATGCGTTGGTAAATTAGGAGATGCTCATTCGTCGACTGTCTACAGTGTCGATTATGCTCCTGCAAGAGCTGGACATGGAAGGATAGCTTCTGCAGGCGGAGACAACAGAGTTCAAATATATCGAGAGGTGATGGGTAGTACCAGTGATGCACCTCTATTTACCGTTGATTCATCCCTTCAGATTGGACATGGTGATATCAACTGCGTTCGATGGCACCCTTCGGATGGTTCCATCCTCTGTGCAGCGTGTGATGACGGTTCCGTTCGGATTCTCAAGTTTCTAGTCTAGTTGCCACATCACATTGCCTTCTAACGGAACTCTGGTGCCTCGGAATTGCATTTTGAGATGTGGATTTGAAGTACCGTTTCCTTCTTCGACTGCAAGAGCAAGTCCAGAATTTTAGAAAAACTATTTTAGCCTTCGCAGTCAAAAGGGAGTTGGATCTCGTTCCGCGTCGGTAATGTCTCAAACAAGGGTCTACTCGTGTGCCACTAAACTGGCGCCTTCCACTTCTGTATTCGTCTACATGTAGTTGGTGGGTTAGCGCAAAGGTGGGTGTAACGGGTGAGTCCATTCTCGGAAATCCTGTAATGCGGGATTAATGTTGCGGGCTTTCTGAGACTTGTGCGACGACACCCACCAGTTGTTGTGGTACCACTACACGTACACGCAATGTACCGCCGGACACAAAGAAGGCATTCAACCTTCATGCGATCCGTGAGTGTAGTGTGTGAGTTTGTTCATTTCGACTATCTATAGCCAACTGGCGCCTTCTGTTCTGGTTCTTCTGCTTGGTGTTTCTTTGGAGTGACTCAGGTGGGTTGTGGTGTGAAGCTGGTCCTTTTGCTTTGAGTCAATATTGAATCCATTGGTTCGACCTCTACGCTAGATGACTAACTTGACTAGAGATGTATTGACTGACATCGAACAAGAAAATCTTGTCCAACAGTACCTACTGTACGATACATTATTTGGCGACATGAAATTCAACTACCTTCCAATTGTCCTCGGAGCAGTCGCTTGCTCGGCGTTCCATGTGGAGCCTCCTCGTCGCGTTTCTAGTACTGTCCTATCGATGAGCGGAGAGGGAGTTTCGCGTCGGGTTGCAATCGCAGCGACAATGGGAATGTCAGCAATTGTTGGTGCTGTTCCACCAGCTTCTGCTGGATCGGGGGCGCCAACTCCCGAAGAACTGGAACGTATCAAGACTGGGTACAAGCAAATTCAGTATCTCCTTGAAAACTTTGAACAAGAGACTACTGTGTGTCGGGAGAATGGTGGAGAGTGCAAGCGTGATGCAGAACCAATTCGTCGAGTACTAGGACTGCGAAGCACAACTGACCCCTTGTTTCAAATAGAGAAAGTTTTCGCGAAAGTCAAGAACATGGATATCGGTAAGTGACGTTGAATGTGATGACGAGCCCAAGTCGCTCTCCCTCTGATGTTTTTTTCGTAAAATCAACAGATCCGGACAAGCTAGAGGATTTCTTCGAAGCCTCTGAGGACTGGAATTCTGCAATGACTTTGTCGAATTCGATGGCATTTATCAGTCAGTTTGGAGAGTACAACCCCGGTGGTGGTAAAGATGCGGTTCTGAAGTACTTGAATGAAAGCAAGAAACAAGTCGAAATCGCATCGAGTTGTTTGAAGCGTATTATGAATGTTTTAAATTTAGAGACCTAGACACACCTGAAAATTTAGAAACTATTAATATCTAAACCATCGTTGGATACGCTTCGGGATAAGTACGATGTGTTGTAGATCGGAATGTTGTTGGAACTACATCATTCCATAGCTCCTCGCAAATAGTATTATTTTCTTCCAATCAACCGGAATTGCAAGTTGATTGTCAATCTTGAATATCATCACTACCTTGCGGATCCAGTAGTCACGCTTCAGTCTCAAAGCACTAGACTCATTTTCCTAGAACGTACTGTCACGCGATCGCTTTTTGAACCTAATATTACAACATTGAATTTTAAAATCATTCATATTGCCCTGTTGCATACAATGCAAAGGCAACCTGACTACCAAAACCAGCAGCAAATCTAAGAGCATATCTGCAAGCATACGCCCCTCCCTTGGAGAGATTAAGATTCCCGAGATACTCATCCTTCTCCCTAAAATTTGGGATCGGAGGAACCCGCTGTCGCAACAGGACTTCGACTGCTGTCACATCTTCAAAAGAAACACCCATTGGCTGTGGAAAGCAAGCTTAGAGACTGGATATTAAAATCTGATTCTTGACAATGTATCGAACTTACGTGACCGGTGTAACCTTTGGTGTTGAGAATAAGAAGTTTTGACAGCAACTCGACACCAAAAGCAAATCGAAGAGCAGCGATTTCGTTACCAGCACAACTGCTTGCAGATGAAGCATGAGTGCAGGTCTCATGAGAAAAGTATACACCATGCGTTGCAATCTCTGCTTTGCTGACTCCATGAATCACTTCAATTTCAGAAAGAAAGCGCTTGAGCTCTGACCCAATGTGATTTCTATCTAGAGCTGCTCCATGAAAGGCTGAATTCGAGTATTGGGTTGCAAGTAGCCTCGCCTTTATCTCAAAAGATTGTGGTGCAGCCCTTTGTCGCTCAATGCTGCTGAGCTCTGTTTCCAGTACCATACCTGGAGAAGCAGTAGTCAGCATGAGAAAAGTCATGATAGAATACAAAAATGCAGTACAAGGATCGATACGACTAACCAATTCCTCCCGCACCAAGGATCATCCCTGATCTACGCTTGTCAAATGGCAACGCTGCATCTTCCACTTTTCCTGCAGTTGTGGCAGCACCGAGCGCACGGAATCCACTCCCCAACCATGGCATCAGCGTCTCACCCGACGCGTTGTCACCTGCAACAACAACGACACGATCTGCTCTTCCACTGATGAGCATGTCTTGTGCCATAGCGATAGCCTGCCCACGGACATGACGGTGAGTCAATGATTTCCAAATATCACAGAGAAAGACGAAGATCATACCTGTGTTGTGCCTGCACATGCGGCATTTGTTTGTGTGTTAGGACCTCGACAACCAGCTAGTTGAGCGAGCTGCGCGTTTCCAAGTACAAGAACGCGGAAAAGGAATTTCCTATCGAACTCGTATTCGCTGTCTGGGTTCACTCCACTGATGTCTGCGTTGCCTTCAATTTCTCCGGCCCGAGTCAATAGACGAGCAAAGGCTGCCTCGTCGTCGTCTGACAACTCCCGGTCTTCCGATGCTCGTAGCAAGCGGCCACGAAGAGCAGAAATTAAGCGCATACTTGAAGCAGCTCCAACGGTCTTCGATTGGAGAAATCGCATGACCTCGCCCACTGCAGCATCCATCGCGGGGAATGAGGAAGCGTAAACGACACCTGTTGAATCACGGTACATTTCTGGACGAGAAAGGATTGAACATCAGTGACCGACTACAACGTTATTCACAAGTGTTGATTGAAGTTTCGAATTTTCCTACCTTCTAGCATCCACTCCTTAGGATCGTTGCTCCTTCCTTTCACCAAGCCTGCGGACTTCAGGGCCTCCATTCCAGCCGCAACCGCCACCTGAGCAGCGAGATCCATTGTTTCTGCAAGCCCGCTAGGTACTCCGTACGCAATGGACAAGTCAAAGGACCCAAGTTGGGCTGCAAGTTTGATAACATCGTCTTCTACCTCCACTGGAAATCGCTTGGTAGTTCCATCAGGAAATTTTTTAAGTTGTACAACACATTTTTCAAGCATAGCACTCTTCATGCTACCAGACACGGGGGTGATACACGTTTCTCCGTCAACCAAACGTTGCAGATTCGAAGGGTCGAAAACATTCCTGTCTCCTGGAAGTCCTGCTGCGGTCCCTGTAATGACACAGGCGATACGCCGCCTCGACTCGGTGATTTTGTCAGCCTTTCCATCTTCTGTCGACGAGAGAACTTGGAGCTTACCAGTGACCGGCTGAGATATGGCATCTTTTTTTGCCATTCGAAGAACAATGGGTGGAGCCAATTTAGCTCCAGACTTTTCCATCTTTGCATCTAGTGGAACTCTTGAATAACTACGTCTCCATTTCGAGTCAATGCCGTTGAGATAGTATGTTCCTGGAAACATCCTTCCAACAGTAGGATATACAGGAGAATAGGGAGCCCCCGCTCGATGCATTCGTGCACGGGTCTCCAAAGCCCTGGGGAAGCCAATAGTACAAAGTTGAGAATCTTCCTACACCTGTCGTTGCACGGGAACACTGACACAATACTGCACTCACAGATCTAGCTCACTAGGATGAACCTTGTCACGGCTCTGCAATCGATCCATCAACTTTAGAGCCTCAACCATCTTTGGAATCGAGAATCTCGATGACTTTGCCACTTCGCGGCTGATGGAACAAGTTGATAAACATACTGATGAGATGATCAAACTAATGCACAGACAAAGTCAATTCGCTGTCACTTACACAGAGAGACGATACATTGAAGCAATAGCACCAGAGCCATACGAGAAAACAGCGATGGATTTGCCCGCAGTCAGTTCTCCTCTCCCTCCCACACGATCGACGAGAGAGGCTAGTCCGAAGAAGACACTGGCAGTATAAGTATTGCCAACCATTTTGCTGGCCATGTTGGCATCTCCCAATCGTTGATCAAAAGAATCTTTACTCAGGGTCTTAAGTACCTTTTCGAGCGCTTTATCCGTGTATGTTTCCGTCAATGGCTTGGTTAGCCACTCAGTGTCGATAGCTGGGTTGTCTTCTCCTTTTCCCTCTTTCTTTTGTTTTCGTGCGTCGAGAAAGAACAATCTGCCGAATGACTTGGATACTAATTTATTGTATGGGGCGTGCATAACGACGTACTCGTGGCTGCTCGCGTTGAAGTCCATGCCAGGATTATTTTTGCAAAGCTTGTCGCAGAACCTAGTATAGACGGCCTCAAGAGCTGCGCAGGAGAGTTGTTAGAAGTCACGCCACGTATGAAGAATCGAAGTTTGACTCCGTATTATTACCTTGATAATAGCAATCTTGCTGCAAATAAAATATGTAAAAGAGTAAAAAGTGAGCCAAAGAAACAAATATAAAGTATATATACGCGAACATCATATCGCTGACGTCTTGTTGCTGCCGTACCGAGAGTTTCCCATCGACCGTTGGATATTCCACACTGTGATCTGGTTTGAAAAAATCCCAAACATTCGCTGCATAAGTCGCTTTTTCTCTGGGATCAAACACCAATGGAGCATCCCTACCAATGAGGCAGGCTACGGCTCCACATCCGGATGTCGGTCTTGCACTTCCCCGAGCGTAAGCCGCGATATCTGCTGCTACCACAATGGCAAACCTTCCATCCCAACCTTCAGACTCTACCCAAGCGAAAGCATTCAGTAGAGCTGCTGTGCCTCCGTAGCAAGCATTGATTACAGTAGCGCCTTCGATTTCTGAGTTTCCTGGGAAGAGATCCATCAGAACTGTTTTGGTAGACTTGGATTTGTCGACCAAAGTTTCCGTGCCAACCTCCAGTCTTCCCACTTCCGTCGGATCAATTTGATACCTGAGTAGAGTGAGTTGTTATAAAACAAGATCAACGTGAGCAAGCCAAAATATCATATGTCAACAAGGTTCTCTTTTTGAAGGAATCGTCGTACTTCTCTAGCAATGAGTGAACCACTGTAAGGGCGAGGCTGTTGACATCTTCGGCATCGCCACAAAAACCCAATCCTTCTTGACCCAAGCCAATCGTAAATTTCCCCTTTGAAACTCCTGAGTGCTCTTCCAAGTCCTCTTGACTGATATAGGTGCACGGTGTGTACACCTCAATTGCCAAAATGCCAACATTCTTCTCCTTGAAGAAATGCTCTTGGGAGTTCGTTGGAGAAGAAGAAGACAGACGGCGTGCTGCTTGTGACGCCAATGCACCTACAGCAGCACCAACTGCTAGTACTCCGCTCATTATTTGTGCGATTGATTCTTTCCTCAATACTGTACTGTAACTTCAAACTGTGATCATCAGTAATCAGGAGGTCGAAGATGGATGCACAACGAGGTGCGGGCGCACGTAAAACGAAATTTATCGCGTAAGGTGCAGTAGGAATTGTACGTGGTGTCAGCATTGGTGCAATTTTCATGCCGACAATTCCTCGACCTCCACGAATAAATATTTTCCACAATTTACAGTTTTCTCGTGGCCCTATTTTAATACTGTATTCTACTGTACGATACGGGTACCGGTATAATGGTACCGGTACGACAGCCTTAGAATGAATGAATCATCATCAATCGTAATGCAACAACACAGTTTCCACAACGTACAGTATTGAAATAATTTTCAAGTGAGTACTTCTGTACTGTAAAAAGAGAGAAAAAGAGGCGTTGACGTGGTGCTGGCTGGGGGCTTTCGTTTTATATTTTTATTATGAGATAACATAGTCCAGTATTGCCCGGCCTGTCTGTGGTCAATCAAAAGGCCCAAAGGAAATGACTTAGAGGTATTGTTTGTAGAATGCGCATTCCCAACGCTGTATAGAACACATGTTATCTGCATCTACTTTGCTTCTTCTACACTGGGACCTTTGTATCGGTACTCGTCTTGGACACGGACATGGTCCAACAGGATAAAGTTCTTTCTCTTCTTTAGTTGCCGATCACAACATCGCTGGTAATATGCCAAGAATGTTCTGCATTCGTCAAGAGGATTGTCGCCTTGTTTTGGAAAGTCGGGATTCGTAGGGTCTTCTGAAACCGCAGCTGCAGCAGTTTCATCTGTTGCCTTCGCCTTCACGTCTGCGAAATAAGACTTGTGTAGTCCAGCACGTTCCATGTCTCGTGCTTTGGTGGTTGCCTCATTTGCAAGGCAATTGAATAGCTTCTGAGAGTGTTTCTCGCAGCCCTTCGGTTCGACTGGAAAGTAAGAAGGCAGCTTGGTGGGGCCTTCTGGCAATTCTGGTTCGCCAAGTCCGATCGCGTTCTTGATGCTTCCCCAAACCATCTTTCTTTATTCTATCTTGTTTGTCGCTATGGAAGATCTCCACCTATCTCTCAAATGAAATGGTGAGGTTGCTTGTTGTGCGTTGTGTGGATGCGTGGTGGTGGTACTATAGTTGGTGTTAATAGGATCCCCCAAATTAAAACAGGAATTATAAAATGAAGCCTCGAGTATAATATATTGTACCGTAGTAGGCACAGCATAGTACTGTATAGTATCGTATATAAGTATTACGACCTTGCTACGACGCTTCGTACCAGTATCAAGTTGATGATAGTACAAAACCTCCGAACTTCCAAGAATCTTCCCCCAAATATGATCATTTCGGTCGATTTTTACTGTAGTGAATGAATGAACCAATGAGTCAGATTTTCTGGAACGCATCATTTTGATGTATATAATACGTAATACACGTGTATCCGACCACAAGGCGGGAAAACAGTCATACCAGTAGAAGCAATTGTCTGTCCCTAGCGGGTGAAAAGGAGAGAATTCCAACTCTACTATGAAGATGATGAAGAGGTTGATGATTCTTAACGGAGTTTTGTCCTCTGTGCAAGCGTTTCAAGTGGGGACTGCTACTCGACCTTTGCACTCTACAATAGTTCTCTTCGCTCGGAAAAACAGTTCACCACACACCACACGCTGTGGAGAGTTTTGGGAGTCCAAAATGGACGGTTTTCGACCCACTGTCAATGATGTCGAACGTATCAGCTGGGGGAAACCTGCCAAACGAAAAGGAACTGGATCACGTGGCATGCCGCACCGATTGAACGAAGACGAAAGAAAGTTGTTTGATCAAGCCAGGCGAAAAGGATTTCTGGAAGTCGCTGGTTCAGGATGGAGATCACAACGGCGAGATGCGCCACTGCTGAACACGTATCGATCGTTGTGTGATGCACGGGGACAAGCCTCGATTGTTTTGCACAAAGACAAGACTGGTGTCGACGAAATTGTGATCGACTTATCGCCCCTACGGTGTCATGCAGCTTTCCATGATGTAGCTGTCAAATGCCTCGAGCATCAGCCTGATGGAGAAATCGTTTTTGGAAACAGCAATGAAAACAACCTTCCAACAATGTCGGAAGACAATGACGCAAGAGAGATCGAATTGAGAGATGAGGGGCCCGAAATAGCATCATGGTCGGAAAGACCAATTTATCAACTACCTCCGTACTGCATTGCGTGGAGATTACCACGTGGAGAGGCAAAAGCCGTTGGCAAGAAAATGGCATCGTTGTTCGACACTGTTGAGAAGACAGCAGTGAGATCAAAAAAACCAACCGGTGTCAAGCATGGAAAGGGACGTCGTCACGGAGGATATGGAATTGGCTAATATCCATTCTTTCCCCCTTCTTTGAGATGCCATTTTTACTGTCTGAACTAGACTGCAAATACGAAAATTCCAAACATTTTCAGCTGCTAGCCTCAAGCTTTGGTTTCTTTGATTTCTGCATCCTCTTTTGACACTGTATGGCTTGTGACAAGCATTCGTCATACTCTTCACTTCCCGCTTTTAAGATGTGCCTTTCGAATTGGTACAGCTTCATACCCTTTCCTTGTTCTTCATTCCGTTTCTTTGCCATCGACGAACTACTGTCTGATGAATACAACTCCTTCTCAAATTCATCTCGAGAAACACGGCAATAATGCCGAATCATAGCAGCTGCTTCTTCAACTCTTGTGGCCTTTATTGTAGACAAAGAAACAGGAATGAACATAAAATCCTTGTCTTTTCGAAACCAAGACATTTGCTTTTTGGCATAACGTCTCGTAGCTGTGGTGAAGTCGTTGATGAACGAATCAAACTCATCAGAAGAATCTTTGTTGTCCCGCAACTCTTTGGAGAGATAATCCAACGTTTGTCGATATCCGATTGCCCTTGCTGCCATTTCCGGCATTTGTTCAGTTAGACTAAGCTCTATGGCATCAGTTCGAAAGCTGGAATAGTAAGAAACAAGAAACACAGCTCCTCATCAAAAGACAAAGACCGTACCTGCCGTTTCTTTCAACAGACCCTTGATAACCATTTCTTCACAGCGCCTGTCAATGATCTTAGTATGACCCATACGATCGTCTGGACAAAGGAAAAAGCACCGAACATCACAACCGAATGATTCTAACCCTCCGTTCCGTTCTCCAGTATATAGTGTCTCTACTATCCACGCCTTATCGACTTCAGTTTGGGCTGTTAGCGCAACTTCCAGAGTTCGACGTAATCTATACCTAATAGGATTGGTAAGTTGTCGAACATTTCTTCAACACAGCAACAATTCATAGACAGAGAAATGGGCATACCAATCATCGCCACAGAACCCCTCGACTCTCGCTTTGAAAACTTGTCCAAAAGAAGAAACATGATCTTTTGCAGCTTGGAAATCATCTTTCTTCTGGAAGTTAGAGATCGTTTTTTTCGCTTGTTCCGAGGCTTCTGCACTTGGACGCATTGTATCTGGCGCACCGTGGACAAGCCATTGTATGTACATCATGGTGCCTCCACATACAATTGGCAAGATTGCGTCATCTTGATTGCATCCTTTGGCATCACGAGCACTTCGAACGCTGGCGATCACATCGTTGGCTCTCGGATTTGTATCGTCGGCATCGGTTTTCGGGTCCAAAAGGACTTGGATTGCGGTTCTGGCGTCAGCACGCCATTCGGCAGCGTTGTAGTTTTGTGTGCAATCGGCAACATCGATCAACAGATGCGGAGTCTTTTCAAGCTCCAGATTGCTCGGTTTGTTCGCGCCGATCTGCACTCCTCTGTAAGCTTGCACACTGTCTGCGGAAACAATAATTCCATTTTCTTCAGCACATAGCCTCGCAGCAACGTCGCTCTTTCCGGTAGCAGTAGGACCAGCCAAGATGACGACAAGGTTCTTCGAAAGTTTGGAGTTGTTGCTGCTACTCATGGAAAGAGATAATAAACTTTTCGGCTGGCCAATCATCCGTTGAGTAATTTGAAGAAGTGCCTTCCCCGTTCGCAGCAACATGCAAGCAATTATGAGCCTAGTTCTTGGGCATCTCAATGCTTTCATGTGGGGTCTCTTCTCACTTTGATAATACACATTAGGGGTTGTCAATGAACCCAACCCAACTCTTTTTCTTTTTTTTGGGCAGCTGTGATTGGTCGAGCCAAAAAAAAAAATAGTTGGTTTGGGTCAGAAAGAAAAAAATAGTTGTGCCGAAAAGAGACCCAACTATATTATAGTTGGGTCTTCAATGACCCGGAGATAATTGATTCGCGGGATAAAAGATTTACAATTCTTGTCCAATGTTTTAGATTTATCGTGTGGAACAGTTCAATTTTGAGTAAACGTAGCCCAAACTTAAACAAAGAATAGTTGGGTCATGCTATTTTTCGACGAAAAATAAGTAGGCAAATATATCTACGAGATATCGTACGTCTCCCTAAACTACCGGCTTTTCCCCAAAAATAGTTGGTTCGTGGCTTCAAAGGGGGTGGTCAAATATCGGGAAAAATACTGCCCTTCTATTGGTCAATAAAAATAAACAAAAAATAGTTGGGTTGGGTTCATTGACAACCCCTATTGGAGAGGATGCATACCGTACCGGTACAGTCATAGTTTGTATTTTGCAGGTAAGGTGGAAGATTCCATGGTTGGCAGACAGACGAAACTGATTTGAGAAGAGAAGAAATTGAGAGAATTCAGGATTTTGAAATGCATCATGTCAATATTTTCTGAAAATAAAATTACTTGTATTCCTGCAGGAAGAATCCTAGAACTATGAAAGCCACCAAGTTTTGCACATACGTGGGAAAGAGTAGACAGAAATGGAGCAGAAACATTGCGAAGAGGAACATAATCAGCATTGTTTTTGCTCCATATGCCGGCCAAAGAGCAATATGGTATGCCAAAGAAGACAGCAATATCAACATTATTGCAGCATGTGTGGACCGAGGAAATGAAGCATAAGAAACTTTCTGATTCTTTAATTTTCCCGCATATATCTCAACATACCCTTTTACAAACAGCAAAGCTTTTGCAACAGTTTCAAGCGCAAAGTCAGTTTTTAAAAATCCCATGCATAAGTAGCGTGGAAGATTGTCGAACGTACCCACAGAAGCGGCAATGGCGAACTTGAACCACTCGTGAGAAACACTTGGATCTCTCATTATCGTCTCGTATGCATTGAAATAGTTGAGACCATACAGAGAAACACCAATATAAACCCCTCTACGCAACACATTCATAGGGTGCCAATAATGCAACGGTGCTGCAGTATCGCTGTACGGATTGTCCATAGGGGTCTTTCTGCCCCGCTGCCTCCTGCTTGCTTCAACGTCCATGATTGATTATTGATGATGATTCCGATGTGTACAGTACGATATTCAAATATGGCGGTCGTGACGAAGTGTTTTTTGGGGAGATCGTCTTCGCTTCGTCCGGAAAGTTTACTCGAATAGTTCGATCACTATGACGTACGAGTTTCAAGTGAATCATCAATCAACCATTCCCAATCAATCAATCAATCAATCAATCAATCAATCAATCAAACTTGAGTTGTACTTGTTAATCATGAAGTTTTCGGTTGCTGCGATCGTTGCCTCTTCTTTGCTCTACAGCACTTCTGCTTTTCACATTCAAGCACCGTCCAAGCCTTCCAGTTTGGTCCTGAACGCAAGCAGAGCTGCCAAGAAGAAAGTCTCTCGCGCCAAATGGCTCGAAAAACGGGGCTTTAGCGACGCCGTCGCAACTACTTCCTCCGAAAGTGGAATCATAAAGAACGACGAGGGACTTGAGTTTGTCAAGTTGGTGCACCCAGAATCTGGTGCATCCGCAGAAGTTTACCTCTTCGGTGGCGTAGTTACTTCATATAAGGATGGAGACGGCACCGAATTCATTGCTGTTCGCCCGGACGCAAAAATGGATGGTTCCAAGCCTATTAGTGGGGGTCTATCTCACTGCTGGCCTCAGGTAAATTTCCACCAACAGCAATTTTTTTTCCCTTTGCTACGTGTCAAAGGGCTCAATATTTCCTTTTTTGTTTTCAGTTTGGACCAGGCGAAATCCAACAGCACGGATTTGCCCGTAATGTCATGTGGGAGGTCACGGAATCGACTGATACTACTGTGACAATGCAGATGAAGCCTAGTGATTACACCAAGGAGATGTGGGATAAGGTAAGTCTTGAGCTTTGCATGCCGAATCGGTCCTAGTAGTAGCAACTCCCTCACATGAATCAACACGACAGGAATTTCTGTGCAACTTCTCTGTCTCGTTGGAAGCCGGCGAGCTTAAGACTGTAATGAATGTTAAGAATGAAGGCGCTGAAGAATCTTTCGATTTTCAAGCTGCCCTCCATTCCTATTTTACCACATCTTCCCTGGAAAACCTTGAAATCACTGGTTCATTCGAAGGCAAGGAATTCTTGAACAAGCTTGTTGGTGACGAAGGAGAGATGCAAACAGAGGATCGTAGTGCAATTAAGATTTCAGAAGAATACGATCGAGTGTACAAGGGTGTGAATGACCCTGTTCTCAAGGATTCGGGTACTGGAAAGGCTGTAAGTTTTTGCTTGTTTTCAAGAGATCAGCCATTAGGATGGAATCATTTCTAACCCAAATTTCGGCAGCTCAACATCTTGAACCAAGCTGGATGGGAAGATACCGTTCTATGGAGCCCTTATGGCAATGAGGCAATGGGGTTTGACAACTTCGTATGTGTGGAGTCTGTCAAGTTTGATCCTGTCACCTTGGATGCTGGAAAATCATGGGAAGGTGTTCTTGTGTTGAAGCCTGAGGCACTCTAAATCATTTCAACCTATTAGCAAAGTAACTACAGTAGAATGCCGCTTCCTTACCACCAATCTATGCATCGAACCAGATTTTAGAGGCACATTTTGACGGCGTAATAATTTTACCAGCAAAAGAAACCCGGAACCAACAGCTTCGTGCTCAACCATACAACAGAATAAAGACATCAATGACAAGACCGGCTGACCAGGGCATCTTTTTTCGAGAACATGATGCCTTCGGAGGATTGCGACAACTTCTCAACGGTTTCTGTGATCCTCGAAGATCAATGGAAGACGACGATAACGAACCTGGGGCAACCAGCACTGAAAATCTTTCAATCAAACCTCGTTCACAATCAAAACAAGCTCGTCCAACGAAAGATGAGTCAGATAGGAAGGCTCCTTCAATAACTGACACCTCGGTGGATTCTAAAGAATATACAGAGATATTCCAAAAGGATGAAGAAAAATGGCATGCACAAAGGGAGGACCTTCAAGAACCCAACTGTCTTCAACACAGTTCTATTCGAAGCACCCGACGAAGCCAAGTTGTATTGTTTGCATTTGCGGCTGTGATACTCACTATTTATGCTCTCAGCTCTCTTGGTTTTACTATGGATTTTGCAGTAATTGAGTCACAAAAGACAACAGCAGAACCAAAGAACCTGATAAACATAGGCATGGCTCCAAAAAAGGGTGGCGCCGAAACAAAAGTTGAACATGCAGCAACAAGTAGGGATGAAATGGCCTTGGAAAGCTTGGAGGCGCTTAAAGAGCTTGTAGCTGAAATCAAGGCAATGTAGTGGTGGCTTCGCGATCTGCGCAACAATAGAAAACGGGCGATGTATCTCTGCCAAGTTGTTGAATCATTCGGTGTAAATTTATATAGGTGTAGACTAGATGGTAGTCCTAAAAGCTAATTTTGGAGTGATGATGATTTCCAAAAGCATCGATAGCATTGTCTTGCATATCATTACTTATCATTCTTCCAATACTTGTGTTTTTTCCGGTTGTTGGCTGCCTCCTTCAGTTTGCCCACCGATGTTGCAAAGCCAAACACTGTCGTTGACGTCCGGCAGTAAGCCGAGGATTCGTTCGTACTGCTGTTTGATTCGGTTGAAATCTTCCTTCGTGTCAGTTGCCTTCCATAGGCTTGAAAGCTTCCGGTTTGGATCGGATTCTGTTGCATTTACTGTCTCAACTATCTGGGGTACATGTAGAAGGAGGATATCACGAGAGACAAGGGTATTGCCAAACTTTGACCACTCATTGAGCAAAATGAGGAGATACTCGTGCGCTGGAGATAGCATAGAACCAATTTTGGCTTTTTCCCCGTTGATCTTGGAATCACTGAGCCATTCTATCCAGGAAGTGAGTATTGCGTCACGTACAGGACCTTTCAATCGACTCTTGTGGCGCAATATGGAAGGCACTAGACAAGCAAAGAACGACTGCTCATCCCACGCCTTGGGTAATAGACTCAACAACGATTGCGAGAACTTCGAAAATGTGACAGCAAGAGAAGTTTCTTGCGAGTTTCCGGGTAGGCAAGTGTAAACAAAGGCACCCTGTAGGAGGGCAACTGCAACCTGAGAATACGCCTTGGTTTCAGGTTCAATCACAGGGGCAGGTGGCCGAGGCACTGACTGTGATACCGAGACTAAGTCGCCACCAGGTGATAGCCGTTTATCAAGCTTTGCTTCCAGCATTAGATGGACGACAAGAGGGAGATACCGTCGAAGGGAGTAATGAGGTATGATAGCTTCATGAAAGGAATCCCGCGGTTCCATCAAACCAGCATCTGGCACCAAGTAGCGCTTTCCCCTTACAAGACAGAATTGACTTGACCACTGCGCAATATGTAACAGTTGCAAGGTTGATGGAATTGTTTTGTGTGCAGCTGGAATTGACGACCCGCTGAGGACATCAACTCTAAGGGATCGCAAGACGTGGTCGAGCAAGAGGCGCACGACAAATGGGTCGCTCAATAGCATTGACGCCAATGTCGGTATACTGAGAGAATAGTCTTCGAGATTGAGCTTTCTTTTCTTGTTCATTGGTTGGAGAGGGTTTACGTTCGGTGATTCGTCTTCTGGCTTTCGTTTCGCCACATCGTTCGCCGCAGTTCTCTTTTGAACCTCCACCATATATAGCTTCTTTGCTTGAGAAAAGATTTCTTGTTTGAATACTTTTAATTGGCGGCCTGCTTCGTCACGGAACCACTTTCCACTCGGTCCTTTGTTATAATCCGCGCAATTCTTGAACATGAGCTTCACATCAACCTCCCAATCCTGGAGCGAATTATAGACATTTTTATCAATTTTCTCCTGGATTGTTGTTAACGACATCGGTTTCTTGATAACTTTGGAATACCCAGGTGCAATGTTATCAGTTACGGGGTTCAAAAACAAGCTCTGCGGATCCGATTCCTTCATCGCGGTGACACCAGCTGTGATGATCCTGTTCAGCTGTCGCTTCAAGAATGTATTGGGTTTGAAAGTGCTTGAATCGTCTGTTTCACCTTTACCCTCCTTCTTTGTCTCCTCTTCACTGGACGTCTTGTCACCATCTGCTGCAAATATCAGTTTCAGAGCTCCTTGGACCTTCATCAAGTCTTTTTCTGAGAATACGCCATTTTTCACTGCATCATCCAAAGCTCTCGCAAGTGTAAGAAGGGGTTGATATATTTTCGGAAGCGATCCCCCAGCCGAAAGTAGGATGTCAGCCACAAGTGTACAATGCAAGTTTACGTCAGTTAGAACTCCTCGATCTGTACCATGTTTCATCATCAGCATAGATAGAATGCCATGCAAGAGCTTTGGGCGATAGGATATCGAACCGCTGCTGCTGTCACTCAATAGATCTCTTATTCGAGACACTGCTTTTCCGGACGAAAGTGAGTTATCATTGGAAATCGAAGTTGTAGTTCCAGCATTTGTCCCCTTCCCTCGCAAGAGGGCAGCAGTCGAGGAAGGGGTGGAAGACTTTGTCGTCGTGGATTGGGCGAGAGCTCGTCGTTGGGTCGTTAGAATCCGGCGTTCATGAACGCTGGTTGCAAATGCCAATTTAGCTGACTCAATCAAGTGGGCATTGCTTGTGTACTCTTCCACAAGCGGAGTCACTGTCTTGAACAGCAACGTAGACTGTACTAGTTTCGAATACTCAGAAGGGTTATCGATATTCTCTTTTTCGATTGGCATTTTGTGGTCCCAATCAGCTTCCCATACTAATCGCTTTAGGAGTGGCGGCAATGGGCGAAAGATTTCTTCGTGCTTCTGTTTGCCTTCACCGTCGTCTTCAGCTAGTGCTTTCAAAACAGTTAGGGGCGTCCTATCTCCAAGCTGCTTCAGAAGACCCCACAGGATAGGGCGAAGTTCTGGAACAGTTGTTGCATAGTGCCAGCAGTTCTTTAGTAGGTGCAGAAGAGCCTCTTGATTGGTGACCTTTCGAATTTCATCTTCGAGTTGTTTTTGAAGTGTGTCGGCAATTCGCTTGTGCACATCATACTGACTCACACCCAAGTGGGTCAAGAATACCAACACAGGATCAGTATCCAATGATTCAACTTCTGTCTTTTTCTTTGAAGTTGTGTATGCTGGTGAGGTGCCAAATGCCTTGGAAAGCATTGTATGCAGCGAGCGTGTGCGCTGAAAGCTTGATATCGTCTCGGCTGGATTGGTAGACTTGTTCAGCTCTCTTTGCAACTGTCTCGCAGCAGCCTGGCCCACCAGGAACTTTGGAGTTTTGCTTTTGCTATCTGCCATAATGCGTTGTTGGTTAGAAAAAAAATGCTTGAGTATTGCGCATTGATGCCTGGTTGACGATGCTGTTGCATAGAAAGTATGAAGAGTAAGTTTCAAACTGTAGTTTGTTGATTTCACAACTCAGGACTCACTCGACACGATCCACAAACTGAAAATATCCAACCATGGAATATGCAAGTAACAGCGGAAGATTCCAACCATGATGCATGATGACTCTTGGGTTGAGCTCTGCGAAATTTCGGAATCGGTTGTTGGCACAGAATCCAAGAAAGAAGTTGCTGTTCATCTGTTCCAGCCGAATTGCGGATCCATCGTTGCTTCAGCAGTCTCGGTTCGTGCAAGCTCGGAATGCAACAATTCTGTTGTATGCATACACCCTGTTTTGTACGACTTTCTGCACCAAAGTGTTGGGGCAATTCAAGATGCTGAAAACGGCGATTCAGATTGTGTTATGGGGAGTATTCGCCCAAAAGTTGAAATGATTCCACTACCAATGGAACCGCCTTTGCCACGAGAAGCTGATGGCCTCGAAACAAAACTCTTTTGGAACATGGAGATATTGGAAATTGTAAATGCAACAGATCAATGCACACTCGAGCTTTGTTGCGTTTTCATAGGAGATGACATATCCCGACGAATTGAGAGGGGTTCCATACACCGAGAATCCTTCTTTAAAAGTCACCTTCAAGGACGCCTTGTTAGAAAGAAGTCTGTCTTGTTGATATCAACGTGCTTTGGATACGCATTTTTTTCAGTTTCAAATGTCGAGGTATCTGCCCAAATCTCGAATGATGTCGTATATAGACTTGGCTCCCCTGGTAGCATTTTTTTGAGAATAGAGAACATGCCAATTTTCAAAGCAAACGAGAAATTACGGGCTTCCACGCCGATAAGTTATCACCAAGGTATCCCAGGTTATGACGTCGAACTGAACGAAATCATGGCGACTCTTTGTATCACCAAGAGAAATATTGCACCTGCAGCAATCCTCATCGCTGGACCAAGTGGTGTTGGAAAGAGTCGACTTTGCAGCTGTATTGCTCATCGCTTTGAACAGAATGGCCATCGGGTTTCAAAGATATCTGTGCAAGATCTTGTATTTCGGGCAAATACCACGACGGACCTGTACAAAGAATCCATCGAGCCAAGTCTGCAAGGATGCCAGCTGTGTGTTTTGGACGATCTACATCTGTTAGAGACAGGCGACGATGACGACACCTCAAGAGATATAGAGTACACGATTGTCCAAAACTGTATTGCTACCCTCATTGACAAATTCTCAAACCAATGCCGGATTATGGGTATATCACAGGTGCCGTCAAAGCTGCCAACGGAATTAACAAAGATAAATAGACTGGAAAGAGTATTCCATATCAATCCTCCAACACAGGAACAGAGAGAGATGATTTGGATGGATCTGTTAGAGGACGAAGACCGTTCAAAAACGACCGAGAAATGGTCAAAAGCTTTAGCTTCTTCCACTGCTGGATGTGTGGCTGCTGACCTTCACCAAATCTATCAGGATGCCAGCACTCGTCGAGTGACTTTATCCGACCAAGATCAAACTAGAAGCGATAGATGGCGCTGTCTGCGAGACGCTTCGCACACTTGCATCCCTTCCCAATTGTCGGACTTGGATGTTGTAAAGCCCAAACTTGAAGACGGGGATGACGGTTGGAGTGATTTTGCAGCCTACTCACAAGCGAGGGCACACGTCATGAGAAATGTTGTCTTGCCCTGGCGGATTTTTCTCCGACAAATGGACCAACCTGAAGAAACACGCGAGGCATGGATACAACCTCCACCTGGTGTGCTATTTCACGGGCCATCTGGTTGTGGCAAAACCCAAGCAGCACGTTGTCTAGCTGCCTCGCTGAACCTCCCGACGATTCAAGTGCGGGCAGCAGATGTATTGGACAAATGGCTCGGAGGCTCAGAGGCATTATTGCGATCACTTTTTGCGCGGGCAAGAGCCGCTTCTCCGTGGTAAGCTTACGGTTACCACTTGACTGTTGAATCACTGATTGTCTGGCTACTAAACCTTCTGCACGTAATGCGACACTTTTTTTAGCGTGTTGTTTCTCGATGAAATAGATGCTATTGCCATCAACCGTGAAGAAGATGACACGCAGAATCTATCGTCCAGGATTTTATCTACTTTATTGAATGAGATGGATGGAGTTTCGAGTTCAATAACGACAAGCAGGGTTTTAGTTATCGCGTGTACAAATCGACTGCAAGCTTTAGATTCTGCTCTCCTTCGCCCTGGAAGGCTACAAGAACACTTTCACCTTGACCTTCCCAACACTGAAGAGCTACTAGAAATCTTGACGCTCAGGACAAAGAATATCCCTCTAGCTAGTGACGTCACTCTCGCTGACATCGCTCGAGGGCTATACAAGCATGGGGGAACAGGGGCAGATGTTGAAGGCTTGTGTCGTGAAGCATGCTTGATAGCACTGCAAAACTCTGAATTCGGAGATGAGGTATACATCGGGATGGAGCACATACTTCACGCAATGAGGGAAATAAGGCATTCAAAGTGATGTGAAGTGTAATTACTTTTACAATAGAAGGCATGAGACAGGTCACTTTCTGTATATCTTTTCTAGCATTTGTAGTTGGTAGCATTAATAATCAACATAAAGATCACATATTTATTTCATCTTCATCAGTGTGCTTGCTGGGTGTGGCGTCACCCAACTCCGTAAGCTCTTCTTCTGAAAAGAACTTTGGCAGAACTGCAGATCGAACTACCATCAGCATCCCAATGACGCTAGGGAAGAATATGGCAGTTGAAGGATTCTGCTTAAAAGACCACAGTCCAGCAAGACAGAGAATTTGGACCAATGTGAACGCGGACATTCGTTTTCGACCTAGTTTTTGCATTGGGTGGTCCAATGGAAGCCTTTTTTTCTCTACGAAACTGTCACGACAACGCTTCAAGAATGAATTGCCGCTCATCAGTTTCCGCCCAAGGAATAGAAATACACCTGAAACGACAGGTATAGGTACTAATCGAATGACAGGCAGTAGTAGGAGCGACGAAGCCATCAGTGCGTGAATCACAAAACCTGTCAACCTTGTTTCAGTAACACTGACAATTTCAACTTCTTCAGTTTCTGGATTGAACTGCGTCTCTGTCAACGCTCGTACGTGATTCATTGATTGCACAGTAGCCCCACACATCCAAGGTAAACCGAAAATTGAGAGGACTGTAGATGGGTTTGAAGCTGTTAGTGTAGTAAAAATATATGCTGCCAAAACAAAGACGACTGACCTCCAGTTATTAGTCCGAGTGCAACCATATCCAAGTTGTAAGCTGCTCCCTTTTTCAGTCCATTATCAGGATTGTTGACTACTCGAACGCTGATGTTTTGGTCCATGTAGAATAATGCTGTGAGAAGCACGGCAGGCAAACTACATAGGAGTTTGATTTTTATTGGGACATCGTTCAAAGGTATAAGGAAGTTTCTTCCTCCTGCGAGTTGAAATGTGTCGGGAACGGATAATGTGGGGACAGCAAACTTCCTGATATCCCCCCATGTATTGAAGCAAGACATAGCCACAAATATTGTGACCGGCCCAAAATCCTTCACGAAAGATCGGATCTTTTGATTCAAAAACTTACTGCTTTCGAAAGCTGTAACACTCATCGTTGCGAAGAACGTTGTCAACGCCATCCCCAACGAAACAAACGGCATTGTCAAATTCATGGGGTCGGCTTGTTTAAAGTTTCGGCGAAGAGATGCTAGAGCTTCGTAGATGAAGTTGAGACTAAGCAAGGCGTTGAAGATTTCATCGGTAAATCGAGTGCAATATCGGATCAACTGACTTGACCCAGCAAGGCCGAGCACTGTAAAGAAAAAGCTTGTCCACAGTCCGACCCATGAGTAAATGGGAAAAAACGGAAGCCCCTTCAAAGAACAGAACCTAAAGAGCCCTGAAATGAACGCTAGAGTCAATCCTGTTGGAGCAATGAATGCCATTGGTTGACCACACAATATTGAATACGCCTAGAAAACGAATCATGAGAATAAAGCGGAGTTCTTGGGAAATGAAACAAGTTTCACTTACCATCCCGCTAGTACCTGCACTCAAAAGAAACTCAACTACTCCCATAGAATTCTTGGTGATTTGTGATGCAATTGTTCCAAAGCTGATTGCCGGTGCAAGGCATGCGAAATAGAGAAAGAGGATGGCGGGTACAACTTTCTTCATATCCTTTAGACCGTCTGTCCAATCTGAAATGTAGCATTCCTTCCGCCGCAAGATGTCTCGACTGTAGGTGTAGACGGCAATAAATCAGATTGAAATGCAAAGGTTTTGACTGAAAGACTGCTAATCCAACTTACATCATAACTCGGGAAAGCGGTGGTCGTGCCGCAATCCATTCGTAGTCTTTTCCACTCTGACTCTCCAAGTTTTCGAAAAAACCTTTTGCCAGGGACAGAGATGCAGCTTTTCGACGTCCATTCCCATGGATTCTAGGACCATCAGATCGATGGCCTGCCGAGCTCCTCAAGCCCGATAGTCCTCCTAGATTTAGAGACGACCAATCACTCGCAGGGCCTGAGTGATATATTGCTCCAATGGACGTTCTAACGTGCGGAGTAATCGGGAGAGTCTGTTGGAAGCTGAAACAACTGGAAACATTGGTCATCAATATCATCAGAAGTGCCAATGGGCAACCGAGATGTCCAACAATTGCCATTTCCCTTTGTGCTGCTGCGGACCCTAGCAGTTTCTCCTATTCAAATACAATCACTAGTCAGATTCTGCTCCATGAATCCATATAAATATTATTGTCGCAATTGCTGATATCTTGTTGAATTGTTTGATGGTAGAACGGATTCTTGGCCATCAGTTTTCACAGCGACCGCTCACGTGACTCACGATGTTTTCGTACGTCGCAGAAAAAGCGCAAGATTCGATAATATATGCGAACTTACTTAGTACTATTTTATTCAAAGGAGTCGTAGTAGAGGATGATAGTGATACCTTCCGCTCCGCCACCCCGATCAGATGTACCACCCTCCATTTTGAATAAGTAAGCTGCTGTAAACCCCCCTTTGCTTGTCAGGGGTAGCAACCAATGACTCAGCACCAATACTCCATTCCGCCACGCTTTTATCTTTTATCCACTTTTGTCCCCCAATCCAACACTGGGCAATTGGAGATTCGGATGATGCCACGCATACTTGGTAGTCTGGGGACACAAGACTTCGGAGTTCGGCTTCTAATCTTTCTTTCAAATTGGGAATTTTAGAGACACCACCGGTAATGAAGACGGAACGGTAAAGCGCGGGATGGTATGGCTCCGGACAGGCCTCAACCGCTTGCACAACAGCCTGAGAAAGTCCCACTAGTTGCGCCTGCATCCCAGCATCCTGTGGCCGGAAGAGGACTTCTGGTACAGTGAACCGTTCCACAGACACTAGAAGGGCTTGTTCTTCCTGTTCTTGAGCCTTCCGCAACCGTTCGCGCTCGGCCCTCTCTCGAAGGAGTCTCGTCCGTTTTTCTTCTTCAGTTTCGTCTTCTGAGTCGGCATTGTCTTCAACGTCGTTATCGCCTTCACTACAGTTCGATCCATCACTTCCCTCGTCATTGAAGTCCTCGTCGTCATCCTCGTCGTCCTCTTCTTGATCATTGTCTATCCCGGCTTGCTGCATTTCGATTTCTTTCTGCAGGGCTAAGGGAAGTCTGGTAGAACTGCGATGGCTTGTTTGATAATCCGGTAGAATGAAATCACGATCATAATGCCGCCTCCCTGCTGGAGTATCTTGCGCAATTTTCATTTCATGTCCAAAGTCTAAGGCAACAAAGCTCAAACATTCAAATACCTCCCGCATTATAATCTCTTGCTCCATAAGATTGTACTGTCTGTAGCTCATGTAGTATTTCAGCATGTTAATCATGTGTCGTCCACCAATAGGCATCCGTCGGATGGCGGTATGGGTTACAGGTTTTTTCTTGAAGCTTGGGACGACTAATGTGGACGACCAACCAAGATCGATCGTGCAGGAGGTGCACCATTTCGAATGCTCTTCACCTGCCATGATGGAAGATATTGCAAAGCCAATGCGACAGACTCCGAAGTCAGTCAACCAAACGTTTAAAATCTGATTCAGCAGCACACGAGGACAGTGTGGTGGCAAAAGAAGAAGTACAGCAACGGTGTTGCTTGGAATTTTTTGTTCGGAATCAGCAACAGCCGTGCGTTTTCTTGAGTTTATTGACCACCCAAATGCTCCCGCAGCCTCAGAATTTTGTGGTACTATGACCCCAAGCTTGTCAAGCATTCTTTTCCATACCAATGTCTGGTTTCCAAGGTTCACAATCATTCCTCTTTCAGTTGAGCGGGTGTTAGCATGCAGGCTATTTGGATTCTGCACTTGATTCAATTCATCTCCCACTAATACCGTGAATTGATGCTTCAGACGAGCGGTTATATTAGGGATTATCTCAGGACGTTGGTCTGTAGACCACCCATACTTGAGGTTGAATCCGCCATTGTCAATGATCAATGTTCTTATCGGATCACCAAAAATTGTTGGCGTGGTTGATTGAGCTTGGTCTTCTTTCTTCTTTCGTCCTGCAGGGCTCGTTTGACTTCGTCTTCGCTTTTTGGCCTGTGGCTTCGCCGCTGAGTCACTAGTCTCATCAACCATGTTGGTCTTATTCTGTGGTTGTTGGAAAAGGAATGGCAATTATTGTCACTCTTCGCTTGGAAGGAAAAGGGGGTTACATATAAAATAAGGGATCGAATTGAAATGGGGGAACAATCGCTATGAAAGCAACATCAAACAATAAGAGCACACAAAAGATAGAAACTACGAGGTACAACAGGGAACATTCATGAGCTCTTCTACCGAGGCAACAACAAGTTACGTAGCATTAGATCATCAGCAAGAATCAATTACAGGTGCAAACGATGCAGTCCCACACTCTCTTCTCAGCGCTGCAAAGGACGCCCGTTACATAGAACAATGCTACAAATTGCTGGTTGACGCAATGCAATCCCGACAAAAAACTTTCTCGTCACGATCTGAGGCAGTGGTCAAACGTTCTTCCATGCTACTATCAACTATACTTTATATTGTTATCGTAATTCTTCCGTCTAACAGGACGTTGGGAATGGAGGTTTGTGGGCTTAAATTTAAGGTTTCAAACGGGCTTCTTCGAAAGCTAATCTCAACAGTTCTCGGTTGGTATGTTTTGGAAACTATCGTCGACAAGGCCCGTATTAACCTTCCAATCGAAACTCAAGAATCATTGAGAGGGAATACAAGAATGGAGATGCATCAAAGATTAAGAAGACAGATGATGGCGAGAGCGCAAATACACACCGAATCTTCCAATGATATGCAGTCTACTCATTCTCAGACTGCCAGAGCTGAAACTTTGAATTCAACCTTGCAAAATCTAGTGGTAGTGGTTCAAAATTCCATCAGTGTATGTTCACAAACATTTAAGTTTGCAAGGTACACTCATTGCCGTTCATTCTAACTGCTGGTCTGTTGCCTTCCTCAGTCATTGCGGCAATCCCTCGACCAATCGGAAGGCCCTCATTCGCTGGAAAATCAACAAGAAGCTGTCGGCTCGAGACTAAGCATTGTAACTTGGATTTTGAGGTTACACATGGCCCATTACTGTGTTACAGGTACCTATCCAACCATCATTCATAGGCTGTTGAAACTAAATCACGCTGTTGACGGTTCAACCGAAATAAGTTATCAACCTGACACCAATCGAGTTGTGGCGCTTCTGGTTGGAGTACAAGCAGCAGCATCAATGTCGCGGTACATCATAAACTTTTCTGCTGATGCATTTGCAGAAATGCTTGAATCCAGGCGTTTCAAATCGTCCACGCGAGCGCCACCCCCAAGCCTTGAGAAGTCAGTATTCAAGAAGTCATCTCTTCGATTTGATTCCAGAAGTCATTCCAAAAGTACATGTGGAATCTGTCGGTTGGATCGGAAGCATGCGGCAGCATCAATACATTGCGGCCATGTCTTTTGCTGGAATTGCTTGAATCAATGGATATCCACCGTCCAACAAGCTTGTCCACTGTGTAGACGGCCTTGCCGAACTCAGGATATTATCTTCCTTCATAACTACCAGGAATGAGCCACTGCTAGGAAGCCTATTGTACCTGTAGCATCAAGCGAAACATTTAATTTCATTTTGTGTATGTCGTCCGTCCGTTCGCGTAAGTCACTTATGTGCAGTTTGGAAGTACCAGGAGTACGTGTACCGTACTGGGACGGCCGGGAAAATCAACATTTACTCCCAAGAATTGTATGCTAAATTTCTATTTCCCGGCCGTTCCTGTACTGTAGGTTGTAGTTTAGAAAAGTGGCGAATGAGAACGTGAGCACTGTAGGTATGACTTTGACAGGGTCAATTCGCATGACAGCGAGGTGACTACTACGCTACTACGCTACTACGCTACTTTAACGAAGCAGTGCAACGTTCTACACTCTACCATCTTATATCAACAACAACTACATTAACCACAATGGACGATTCACCACAACCGAAGAAGAAAGGAGTTGGTTTCCACAGCAGACAGTCAATCGAACAAGTTCGTCGAATCTCAAGATACAGCAACTACGATATCGAGGAAATCGAAGCTTATTGGGGTGATGGAAGTGAGCACAAGCTCCGTAAACAAGAGCTGAGATCAGCAGTACAAGAGTGGCAAGCAGGGAGGCGAATGAGTGATAACCTCACCTTTACAACCCGAGGAATCATGGATAAAATCGGCGAGGGAAAGCAAATAAAGAAAGCCAACAGGGAACGAGCTCGACAAGCTGTTATGGACGAACAGGAGCTCCAGGATCAAGAGGGGCTCATTGACGACGATCTACTGGCAGAAATTTACACTGCGACTACAGTTAGCTCAAAGAAAAAAGCTCAGAACGAAGCTATGGCCGTAAGGGAGGAGGTAGATGCTTTTGGGACCAACGAGAAGTCATCCTAGACATGCATGTCTCAAAATAATTACCGACCATCGTCGCTATGCCTTCCCACTAGAATATAATTTTCGACTTTATTTCACTCTTCCAATCCAGTTACATAAGGCAATACGAACCGGCATAAGGTTCATGTACCGCAACAAGCGTCGATGATAAGTGTAGTGCAAAATCGTCACAGCAACTTATGTACCATTGTTACTACCGTATCTAGGCCCGATTATCGATGTTGCGCATGTCGGTCCAGTGCTCGTTGCCCTCCACCCGTTCGATCATGGCGCCTCCCCTTCTTTTCATGACGACCATTCTTGCCAACGAGACCTTCAACAACTTCGTAATCTTCAGCATTCCGACCATCTCCACCGAGCTTGGCATCTATATCCATGTGCTTGCGGCATTGAAATTTCGTACTCATCCAACCACTGTCAGTATCCCCTGTGTTCGTTTCAAGTATTTGTCCATGATATCCTTCCTCGTTGTCCTCGCCCTTGCCTTCTTCGTTACCAGATACCTTTGCAATTTTATGTTGAAACAACTTCAGCTTGGAAAGGGTATCTTCTTCTCTTTTCCTCTTATTTTTGTTTCCACCTCTTGCATACTTTGCCCGCCTTGCAGCTACGAGACTCATCCTATTCTCCTTTGATTTTGAGTCTTTCGGTGTTAGAGCATCAGCCTGGCGCGGAGTTGGGGCATCACTTCTCGGAGTCAATTCAATTGTGTCAGACATCGAAACATTTTTGCTTGAACCAGTAAAAGTACCAGTGCCACTACCCAACTTAGTCCCCTTGATTTGTTCACTGGCTGATTCCATCTCATTTTTCGGTTCTCTGGCAGATCCTATCGACTCTTTGAGTTCGCGCTTCTGGGGTTTTGCCTTTGTTTCTTGCGTTCCTTCCACCGAAATTGGGATCTTCTTCTCGTTAGTCTCAGTCGCTTTAAGCTTATTTTTGCTTTCTGATATTGCATGTCTGCTCTTGATCCCTAAACTCTGCGACGTATCGACCTCAAATTCATCACCGAAAGACAAAACATTCACGTTCTTCACGCCACGTTTTTTCTTTTTTTTCTTTGGTGCATCTTTATTTTTTATTTTCCATGGGACTACAACCGAAGGAACAATATCTGAGTGGACATCATTATCCATTATCCGTACCCTTTGTATTCTGGGAGCTTCAGAGATAATTGTCGGCTGGTTCGAATCGTCTACATCTGTCTTCCCGATACGCAGACAATTGAAAATTGTTGGGCCGTTAACTGTGCCGAATATGACATGCTTTCCATCCAAAAATGGCGCTTCATCTAGCGTAATAAAGAATTGAGGTTGCAGATGGGTAGAATCTTCTTGAGCATCTACCTCAAGAGCCATTGCCACTTGTCCACGATGATTGAATCGAATTCTGGAGTTGAGTTCGTAGGATCGACGTGAAAGAGCTTCGTCAGCTTCAAGTTTTTGACGATACAAATTCATCTCCTCTTCTTTCCCAAACGCCTCTTGCAGCTCTGATCCCAGTCGTAGAGCTCCAGTTTGAATTAGAAAAGCAGGGGCAATGCGGTGAAAGGCCATGTTGTCGTAGAAACCATCCAAGCACAGTCGCATGAACATTTTTGTCGCCGTTGGACACTCGCGAGACCACAATTGTATTTCAATCGGGCCATGTGTCGTCTCAAGGATGACACGACCAGATGTTTGCGGTTCCGTTGAGTACACTTGACTCATGATCCTGTTGTTTTTTTCAAAATGAATTACGATTTCAGTTTTCTTCCTCCCCCAACGACGGCCAGAGACTCACTCGACTCAAAAAACCGTTACTTTATGACGTCGATGGAAAAAGTCGTTTCTACAAAGAAGGAAGTGACTACAGTACGTTCCGTAGTAAGGAGGTTGGAGTCGAACATCGCACAAACATTTTGTCGACGAAGGCACCCGCCCATCTTCAAAACTTGTGTGCAACAATGGTTGAACCTACCAAAGAGCAGTTGTTCGGAGCCGTTTCCTCGTTTCTCTTGAAGGTAGTACGACTGATTGTTCGTTCGTACGTACTGTATTATTTGTTCTTCCGCCCACACTCACAGAATTCTGACTTGACTTTCTTTTTCTCTTCGTTTTGACCTGCAAAAGGAGGACAATGTGACCTCTAAGAATATGAAAGCAAAGATTTTGACGGAACATCCCGATTGGAAAGTCTCAGAACGCCGGGTCAAGAAATATATCAAACGCCATTCGAACGGGTTGAAACTTTCTGATATGGACGACGAAAGTACTGCTGTAGAAGGAACAAAATCGAAATCTTTCATCAAGAGGATATTCCAAAAGAAGAGAAGGCCTTCTCAAAAGCCTCCCATCAGCGTTATTGAAGAGGGAGTGCTACAATCGGTTTCAGAAACTGATTTGGAAGCTGGTTTGGACCCTGGGATGGAAGCTGCTGGTGTGGAAGCTGTTGTAGACCCAGATTTGGAAGTGAAGACATCTGATGTAGACACAGCAGTGGAAAAGGGGAAGAATCTTGATGAGAAGATCTACGAAGAAGGGGAATCAGAGGAGAAGAAGGATTGCGAATGCAACGCGTGTATTATTTCTTAGGGGGTCCTTTTATGTGTTTCTGAATTGTGTTCTTGATCGACGTTGTGTGAAGAAAGCGTTTGCTGTACGTGTACTGGGACCTAAGGGGTTTTTAGAGATGTTTCACTTATGATTGATTAACAGCCTTCTAAAAACAAAAAGATAGGTATACATTGAGGCCTTTTACTTTATCGGGTTGCTTCAACTAGGCAATACACCATCTTCCAGTATTTTTATTCGACCAATTCCTTCCATTTCGAACATCCTTCCATTTGAATTTTCAAAATTCTGATGCAGGGTGATGGACAGACAAAAGGGGGGGGCAAACTTTCTCAACTGCTCTTGCTTCCCCCCTTTTGAGACCAAAAAAAACAACAAGAAATCTCGACAGTGAGCATCCGAATATTGAAGCAACATCAAACATCATGGCTAACGATAACAACCATGCCAAGCCATTTGAATGGTTATCTGGTGGTCTGTTTTTTGGGAAAAAAGATGGAATTGATAGCGTTGACTCGTGTAAGGACGCATCTGTATTACTGAAAGGCATCGACGAAAACTTGTCGTCGATCCTTGATGAAAGCATTGACACGGAGGAGCAGGAATCGAAGGATGATGGTGAGAAAAAGGGTCCTTCTCCCTCGGCATTCTTGGCATCTCGTCTAGCAAGATTGAGGTTTTTGTTGTACGACGAAAGATCGCAGCAAGACAATCGACGCCCAGTGGTTGCAACTGCAACCATGCGGAGCCTAACCGGAGAGAAACACCGGCAGCTTATGCCAAAACTGATTGAAAATCTTCAAAACTTGCCATTTGAAAGTAGAAAGCATGTGGCTGCGATATTCAACTATCTTCTTGTCTGTGGATTTGAGGGAGTTGATAGGGATGGCTATGTTTCGATCATGAACACCTTTCGTGACTACGTTGGTGTTCATTTCGATCGAATTCTCACATCTATTGTTCAAGGTCATGAAGTCACAGTTGCAGGATCATCAGACATTGGGCTTCATTGTGGCGCCATGTATCGCTCTTGTTTCAAGCATGTTGATCTGTATCGACGGCTGGTATCCTCAACGGAAAATGTCGAGAAGTACATATTTCCTTTTCTGGATAAGTTTGTTCACCTTCCAAACTTTGATGTTTCTAGTGATGCAATGGAGTCACTTCGATTCGTTTTTATTGCAGGAAGCGATACTCAAGCTGGTGATGATAGTGCTCAAGGTGAATTCGCCGACTTAGTGGCTTCGTTTCTGATACGAGATTACGACGCAATATGGGATGCTCGCTTCAATCTACGGTTAATGTCTGATGAAGCAAACTATATGACCAAGCGGATTGCGCTTCAGATTCTGTCCACTGTACTGCTGACAAGATCGAATTATGCTGTGATGATAAAGTATGTCAATTCTCGAAGAAATCTCATTCTTGTCATGAAGCTGCTTCGTGATACATCCCCGCACATCACACTTGACGCCTTTCATGTGTTCAAAGTGTTTGTCGCAAATCCAAGCAAGATCCCGGAGGTTGAAAAGATACTTAGAGACAATAGCGAAAAGCTCTGTGCCTATCTTGAAACTCTGCACAAAACCAAAGAGGACTCAGACCAACAGTTTCGAGACGAAAAGGCACTAATTATTGCTACAATAAGAGGGTTATAGAACAAAATCGAAGGATGATGATATTGGGAGTCAGTCAGGTGGGCGAGTCGACCCATTAAAGTTACACATAATCAATCTGGTACAAACTTAAGTGCTTTCGGAGCACAAAACCAAAACGTAGGACACTGATGCAGTAGAGGAAGCAAATCATTGCAATCGTCGCACTTTGCTTTAGCTGCGTTTGAAGAATGCTTGTGACTTCGTCTAGACCCCATTCTGGGCACTGATTCCCGCCAACACTGTCCCCGCAACCTGTGCAAGTCCCACCCAAATCAATGTAACATGCGATTTCTCCTCTATCAGCTTCATCGATGGGCGACTCTAGCAAAGCAGCAGACAACACGATGGAAGCAACAAATAGCGTCACCAAGAGGACCGTGTTTGTGGCCATAACGACGATGAAAACAATCACAGCAATACTCTTTCGCTTCTTGTCATGATTGTCTTGAATCGAAAACGAAGACAAGAGCCACCCCGTCAGCATTGCGATGCAGAAGAGCGCCGCCGTTACCAAGTAGACAGATCCAATCCAAGAGTTTTCAGCACCTGCTCCAGATCTTGAACTCAGCAACGACGATGGAGAGAAAAGAAATAGCCATCCCGCCAATGCGTTGCCAAGTGTTGGTAACAGTAACCAAGCTGGAACATTCGTCTCTCGGGACTTTTGAACAATAGGTTTCGAAATGATACGCTCGAGCGAATTGACCATCAGTAGCATGATGAACAGCAAGAAACATCCCAATGCACCTAGTACGGTATAATACGCAAGCATAGATGCAATCATTTGAGATTGTGCGCTGTCTCTCGTCTGTGTGCAAGTTGTGCTATTGTGAAAATAAATGCACCAGTCTTCCTCACTTTCAAAGTCATTCCCACCCATGATCGGAACCGCGCAAAGTGTGTCGGCTTTTCCTAAAGGACAATAGTAGCCACGAAACCATGATAGCTGAGGTCGGATCCACCTAAATTTTGAGAAGTCGCATTTGGTGAGCAGTCCAGGGTAGATCAGAAGATTTTTGATGGTGTGAAACGTACCAGTGGCGGATCCAAACGGAAGTCACATTGAAGTAATCGAAAAGACTGATGTTCAGGAAGACTTCAAACGGAACAAGCCACAACATAGCCCATAAGTAGCGAATGGCGCCAACCAAATCAACGTTTTGCAATACTCGAATCGTTCCCAAGCAAACCATTACGAGAATGATAGACACAGCTAGAACCCCAAACGCCGGCCCATTGAGGTTCCAGAAATGTGGGTCATATTCATCGAGGATTCCGGGGGCGTCGTCAAGGAAAACAAGGGAAATCACCAGGAGTGAAATCACGATAATTTGGCTAAGCACAAAAATCAGGCACAACCAATTCAACCTGGTCAGAACTGCCCGATCGGTAGATCCACTGTGCACCGAATTTCTGCAACACAAGAAGCATGGAGCGAATTGGACTATGAACACCGATACCTGGGACAGACTGGGCGGCTGCTTTATAATTCTTTGGTCACAAATCATGGAGATTGAGGTGATTCTAATTCCAATTTCAAACACAATACACTTGGTCTTATGTTTGCATACCTTGATAAGCCCAATGGAAGAGTGATGTTCCATAGCACAATGGGCTCGATTTCGCCGTCCTGAGAAAAATCGGAGGACTGCTTCTCGTTGGAAAATTGAGACTCGGAACGTGCTGACGACGGCTGAAAACTGCTTGCTCCTAAAAACTTCGTTGTTCGTTCAACTTCCATCGGTTGTGGTCTCCCATTATGCAATGGTAGAGGATGATTCCTGCCAGATCTCGTGGGGCGCATGGGAATACCTTGCCTGGATGGTGCTTGATGCCCAAAGCCTGAATGCTGGGACAAATCGGAGTTTGGACGCCACCCACCTCCATCACTTAATGGTACCATGTACTCTTGAGGTTCCCCACGTTCGTCGGAGTACGAATGCTCCATCTTTTAAAAACTCACAGCTTTGTAACAAACAACAAAGTTGTGGATCAAGCGAACATCATATATGAGAGGACAAATGCAGAACGGAAGACAATGAAGTATTTTGACACTACAGTAGGAAATGGGTCAAACAAGTCGAATAATTCGAAAAAATAAGCTACTATCGTACACAAGAGACTGGGAAAATAGCAAGTTATTCTAAGAATCGATGCTCAATGGGCACCAAGACATTGAACATTTGCGTAAATATTGTCATCCGACAGACAGTACAGTACCGACGACTGCAACGAAACATCCAATTAACATAAAGCACCAGTACACCAGAGACTCTAGATACCCAAGCTTAGGCCCAAATAAGCGGAGGTAGGCTGCAGAAGGGAAAATCACCGAGACAATCATGGTACAAATCATGCCGACCATGGAACATAAGAATGAGAAAGAGGGAACATATACAGCCACTAATAAGGCCGCAAAGAGCAACACCACTTTTATCAAGATGGAACAAGCCTCGACCGCCCTTTCTGTAGAAAGAAATGGAGCAAAGATTTCTTCCATTCCAATTGCCAAAGGAAACATTGTCAGAGTCAACTTGGAAAAGGCTGTCAAGATCATCAGATACGTCAAGATCGTCATGGCAAACTCTGCCGACGAGTTTTCTTCGAGAGACAAAGTCACTTGGTCAAGTACAAAATCTCCGAACATCATATAGCCGCTCAACGCAACTGCCAAGCAGCTCACAAACACAATCGCAAATGAAATATTCACAACTTTCTCGAAATCCTGAGGTCTTTCCATCGAACAGAAGATGCTGGGTACAATTGCATGACCTGAGAAGCAGTAGGCAACTAGTCCAAATACCAACGGAATGCCATCGATCCGAAAGGCTCCATGATAAGGTGGTTCGCTATCTGGGATGGTTTGTGCAATCCGTTCTGTGATATCACCTTCGACAAGATATGACAAGACCACAGAAACAACCACGCAAATTGTCGCGACAGTACCAACCATGCTGAGGTATGACAGCAAGCGGGCTGTGCGCAACAAGATCACTGGTATCGCTGAAATCAATGCTGCACCCATCATGTAGATGGATGCTGGATGGCCGGGGAACAATGTGTGCATATGATCACCCATAGAAACCAGAAAAATCCCAATGCCGGAGAAGAGCTCGAAGTAGAGAACACAAGCAAGCAAAAAGGAACCAACGTCACCAAATGCCTCGCGGGCGATGTCTGGAAACCCACTGATAGGCTTGCGCATGCGAGCTTCCGGCGAAGATCCCGGCTTTATCGATGTCGTCCATGGGGAGTCGTCGAAGTAAGCGAGTGGGCGGCTATCTCCATTGAGTGAACGCCCGATCAAAATCGACGTCCGCCATGTGGTGAATGCCAAACATACAATTGCAACAATTCCACCAATTGTCCCGGCAACCTTGCACGTATATGGAAGTGTCAAGAGACCCACGCCCATCAAAATATTCGACATATTGAAAATACACTGAGCATTTGTAGCTTTGCCTTCCGAATCCTTCCGTTTTTTTTCCATAGCTGATCCACCTTGTGTTAAGTTTGCTTGCTGCTTCAGAATACGGGCTCGGTATTTTGCGGCCCCCTGTGCCTGCTTCCTCAGGTCTTCTTTCGTTTGCTTGAAATTCAGGTTGTTGATGTCTCCCGAAAGAATATTTGTCTTTGCGTCCATTGACTTGTTGCGTGTTAATGGTCGCACAAGTGCACCAGCTGGGGCTATTGGAGTTGACTGCATTTCAAAATGGGGAAATCAAGGTCACACAAAGGTCACACGAGGGGATATTAGGCCAAGAATAGTGCATACAGTAGAAGGAAGCTTGTGAATCGTACCATCAGACGCCGGTCAGCCAGCCGCATGTTTCCTGGCTTTGGGCTTTTTGTAAAATGCTTCACTTCTTCCACACCAAACATTGGACTTGAGAGCAAAGACACGGATCGTTCGAACGAGGCCGGCCACGGACGATCCATCTCTTCCCAGATTTCGGACTCCTCAGTAGATTCTGCATCTACGGTTGATTGGAATAACGGAGTTTCCTCGCTTGCTTCAGGATCTAAACTATTGTTGTTCGATGTCATATCTCGTTACATTTGTGAGGAGAAAGAGAAGATCTTGGTCTGTTTTTTTGCGAACTATTTTCTTCGTCAAAACTGTAGGCTGACAGTGTCCTTCCATTGCCCGTTCCTTCTCCTTTTTTGAACTAATGCTGTACCTTGTACCACTATTTCCACTTCTCTGTGAGTACTGGCTGGTAACCGGTACCTGGCACTGTTATTACCAGGTACTGTACAACTCAAGTGCTCATATCAGGTACCGGTAGGGGTGTGATAGGTAAAAGATATCGAGTCTGACTAGTATTTTAAAAAATGTCACTTCCTCACAATTTTATGTCGTTTGGGTCAAGTAGTCAAGGACGAACTCATACACCACAAAAGTCAAGGCAGAACTAGGTGCTACGCGTACTGCATTTGGTATCGCACCCTTGAAGAACCCAGTAATTCCCTCCTGTTGCCATGTTCGTATTATCGTTGAAACTACACCTCTATGGTCTCGCTTGACAACTCTCACTTCCCCATCCGAAGACAGCTCTACGAATTCAGAGCGTTGTTGCACGCGAGCCTTTATCAATTGCAGCGGATACGTCGTGGTACTTGCAATAATTTTAGAGACAGCTCCCATCGTCAAGTGTCCAACAGACTTTCTCAGGCGTTCGAGCACTGAAGATCTCTTCCCGTCCTCCCGACGTTCAGCACGTGCGTAGTTAAAGCGTTTCTTCAGAGCTTCGTAAACCACAAACTGTACACCACCATGTGACGTCAAAAGCAATGCTGGCCCTGCTCCCTTGTAAAGCGCAAAGAAGCCTTCTTCCCTCACTATCGTTCTTGCAGCGTCGAACAGTCCATTGTACGGCTTATGGGATGTGTGCAGACGTTCTGAAGCCTTCTTCATTTGCAGTTGCATCCGCAATTTTATCAACCAGATGGGGTTTGTCATGAAAACCATTACAGCGCCGCTTGCACATGCGATTTGAAAGTTGTCAATTGAGGAGAGGTCTGACTGTTTTTCCAATCCCTTCCTCTGTCGTGCCAATTTCTTGAAATTCTCATAAACAAAAAAGAATCCTCCCCAAGATACCGCGGATCCCATTACGGCAGGTGTCATACCCTGATAGAGGCCACCGATTCCTTCATGTTTCAGTATTCCGCGAATGATCCGCATTGATGCCAGACGTTCCCCCTGCTTGTCGTGAACTTGCATTCGCACCTTAATGGTTTCTAAAGGGAGGAGCGTGATTGTACTGATGCTCCCCCCTAAAACGCCAGCAATTAAAGGAAACGTTGATTCGTTTAGCAGTGCCATTGTTGCTGAGAGAAGTATTCAAAGTCAGCGAAGAAGGATTATGGCGTGTTGTTTTAAAGACTGTACCGGTACAGAAGGTGATAGCAACGACTGACTGACTGACTCACTCGACACTTCCTCTTTGGATTCGAATGAGTCAGTCAGTCGTACGATGTGGCCGTACCGGTACGTGTACAGTGATATATTCGTACAGCACCGCGACAAACACCTTACCTATGCTTTCAACAGGCTATCACGCAGTACCAGGTACCGGTAAAGAGTGACCGTGCAGTACTTGTATCTCGAAAGTCACACGCATGGATACATTACGAAATCTTGGGTGCTTTGAGAATTAGATAATCTTTAGAACGACAAAAGTAACTCAAGAAGTGGGGATGAAGCATCGATCATCATGTTTCCAGACTTATCATGACCATAAGGACCGTTCCAGGGATGAGATAGCTCGTTTTCGTTTTGGCTTGTACTTGGGGTGTTTCCTTCGCTTCTCGATATTCCATGCGTATTACCACCTTGTCCAGCAGCGTGCTTTTGGTTTATTTCAACCGTACTTAACAATGTCAAGTACGATTGAGCAAATACCCAACGAATACTACTCCATGCAAAGCAGCTTCGAGCCACGTTGCTTGTCTCTGCGCCTTCCAGAGGATCATATACAACGATTGGGTCAACAGTAAGCATTCCTGTCATGGGATCATAAGATCCCCCGCTTCTTCGACGCATGTAAGGTGATACTTGAGAGTAACCGTTATTCCCCTTCATGTCTCGCTTGTGAGTTCCAGAGTAATCGATGGCGGTTGATTGCGAATCAAAGTGTTGGCCATAAAAGAGAAGAAAGTGCATCAGCAGTTTTCCAGCAGTTGTTTCCCCGGAACATAATACTTCTGTGACATCGTGAAAGCCCTGTGGAAACATGGATCGCACTTCAGTAAATGCGGCATCATCGATGACTTGCTGCGCACTCTGCAAACCAGAAGCAGCTGAACCTGCTTGACGGGAAGGTGGCGAAGACGCCCTCGACTGCAGTTTTGGTTGTGCAGCAGACTTTTGGTCAGCTTTGGTGGCAGACTTTTGAGCCGCCGACTTAGTTTTCTCTCTATGTTGGGCTTCATCTTTCCGAGGCTGCGAAACCGAACCAGCTTTTCCACCAGTCTGTTTTGTTGCTCGCCGCCCATTGGCAACGGCATCTGCGAAGCTACTGGCTTTTCGAACAGTTTTGCCTTGCCGTCCACTTGCCTTCTCCGAGTTTGATTTCTCTGGACCATCTTTATTAGCTTTTACAGCGTTAGGTGGCGACGAGCTTTTCATTGCAATGGATGCCCAAGATGATGGGCCAGCCTTCGCTGGTTGCGCAGTATTCGCTTTCTTTGGACCTGGCTGCGCTTGAGCATTCTTGTCAGCAGAATGAGAGGATGATGAGCCCCCTCTCGCAGCTACGTTCCAGCTCGGCTTGCTATTCGCCATGTGTAGTGCTGGTTGTGCAAGCTTGGATAATTTTTCGTCGGCGGATACCTTCCCTGCTGCTGGCTGGTTTGGAGAGGAACGACCTGTTCTTTGCTCGACATCCTCTGACGCAACAAGCTGTCTTTGCCTCTCCACTATCTCCAGTTCCTGACAGATGATGGCTCTTTCACGAAGTACGGAAATTACCAAAAGGAGCAGGGCATAACTGCTTAATCCACCAGAAAAGGGTTCATTGAGCCGACGCTGTGCAAGGAGCTCTTTGACAACCATCAATACCTGCACAGCCGGTGTACCATCTTGTGGAAGGCTTGTTTCGTCACAAAACTCCTTCACCACTCGGGAGGAGAACTTTGTTGATCCAATGCCACCATGCTCGGGTCCCTCAAACGTGATATCTACTTTCAGCAACCCATTCATCACATCTGCCCCACGCCAAGGAAGCGTTTGTTGGCTTTGAAAGGTAGGCATAGGCGACTGTGCACTCCTGCTTGTTTTGTCTTGTTTCAACATTCCCCGTTGGTTGCTACTTACAGCACTAGCTTCAGCAACTGAAGGTTCTTGCATCAACCATTCTCCGTTTCCAGATATCCTGGTGGGGTCTGCTAGAATTTTGATTACTGGCACGCTGGCCGTAGGAATCGCTTTGACATGAACAGCCCATGGTTGTGTCTCAAGTTCTACAGCTAGGCGAACAATGCGCTCTGCGTTCTGTGAGATATGGCTGTATCCTGGGTGAAGAAGTTCTGCTTGCTGCGCAGCAATTCGATCTTTGACTGGATCATTAGAGCAGCTGTTCCCAGCCACGCTGCCACTGGAGCCACCATTTGATGTTGGTTCTGTCGGGCTGCGCCTATCTTCATTCGTCTTTTGTGGATGTCCCTTGTTCGGACCGGGCTTTGACGGTTTCATCGCGGGTTTGTATAATCCTGTTACCACTACGTCAAGATCAGAGGATGGAAGATCCAATTGCGTTGCGCAACTGCCATACATTTCAACATTACACAAATTTGGCCAAATCGACTGCAACGTTAAAATCAAGTTAGATTGTTTCGGGACAATGAGGACGAACAAAAAGACAACTTACAGATACGGTGCCCTGAAGAGCCAAAAGCACAGCACCGCGTTCTCTCCGACGAGCTTCGAGCGCGTTTTCTCGTCGTTTCATAAAGATGTTAATATCGCGTGTTAGCCTGTCACATACATCCAGGAGGTGGTATCCCACATCCTTCTCTTTCCCTTGTTGGGACGCAACGTGGTTGTTCTGATGGCCCGCATGGGAAGTATCCAGACTTGAGGCTACAGAAGATGATGCACTGTTTGCATTTTCTGGGCTCAGAAGCGTCGGCAACGGAGGCGACACTTCTTTGCCAGTTTGCGATGATTGGGGTTTTGAGGTTTGCCCGCTGTCTCCCAAGCTAATGTCTCCTCGAACTACCTCAGCACCCACTGCGGGGACGTGTCTGGCTGAAGTTTCCACTGAAACGGCGGAAAGGGTCTCTTGAACCGTTGGGGCTGTATTTTGATCAGCACCAGTTCCTGTTGCATTTGTCTTTTCGCGGTATATAAATCCATCAGCTCCCCGGCGTATCTGCCCTTGGCCTGATCGCCCGTCTCGCTGACGCAAGCGATTCGCTGCACTTCGGACAGGGCTTCTGCTTCCTTTCGGTGCACTATCTTCTTGACGGCTAGCAATGGTGTCGCGCACAGATAAATTTTTGGATTGATCTCTCGTTTGCGACAAAGGTTTTTCCCGTGATGCGATTATTGTCTTTTTGCCGTGAATAGGCGCTATCGCCGAACCGGAACTGTTTACTGCGGAATTACCTGTCTCCCGACGACCTTGGTGGCGCTTTTGAACTTCCTCTTCAACTCTGTCAAGCACTGTCGAGAGAATCTCCCGGACCATTTTCCGCATGTTTGCTCGTTGTTTTCTGTTACCACTTTTTGAAGACTTGGACTTTTTGGAAGTTGTACTGATCTGACCACTATGCGATTGGCCATGCTGGTGTGACTGGAAACGGTTTTGGTTCGCTCTTTCAGCTGCTTTTTTCCTATTTCCACGTCCCTTGACTTCCACGGTTTCCCATTCGCCACTGTCGTCATTTTCAATATCGGCGATCGTTGAAAGGCCTGCAATGATATTCGGACTGAAATTCTTGGAGTCATTCGTCGTCAACTCCCGAGCCGGTTTCTTAGCCTCATTCTTGCCTAAGGGCTCGGTCTTTTCGTCATCCTCACTGTCACTGCCATCATCATCCATTGGAAGTTTTTGGTTCGATATTTGAGACTTCGGTGAGACATTCTCAACAGTAGAAGGTTCGATAGCTGACGCTTTTGTCTCATTGTTAGTCGGTGCGTCTGATTCAGTTTCGTCTTTTTCCAAATTGTTTTGTTTGCCGTTTTCCTTCCGATCATCAGCTTTCGGTGTGTCCAATGCAGATGCTTTATCTTTTTTCATCAGCATTTTCTCCTCCTTATCAGGTCGTTGCGACGCCTCCTCTTGCTGCTCTGTTACATTCGATTGCATTTTAGACCCAACATTTTGACCATGACTGCTAGTTCCTTTTCGTTTCTGGTGTCACGGACATGTCAGCAGTAAAAGTGTTAACAAAGAGAGCAAACAAAAAGCGAGAGCACTGTTGACTGCAATTTAAAAACTCACCTTTTTCTTCCTCTTCTTCCTCTTCCCCCCGCCAGTGGACCTTGACACCTGCTCGTTTTCTCTTGCAGGTTCGAGAACCATTTTGGTCTCTTGCTGAGATGAGCCCTTTGAAGTTTCGTTCGAGTTGGCGTCGGATTTACTTGGTGCCGTATCTGGTTTAGAGGACGATTGCTTATGAGAATTTCTGGATCCGTCTTGAACGTAGTTTTGAACAATTGATGTGGCAGCATCATTTGTGGACAGCGCAGAATTATTTGGTAGGCTAGAATTCATCTCTCGTAAAAGCAAATGGAAAGGAAGTATCACACCTACCCCTTCACTCGACAGTGCTTTGCGATCTCCAGTTGAAAAGGAGGCATCCGATAAATCTAGGACCAGCGCCTGTTCGGTTTCTGGAAGCGAACTAAGCTGCACCAGGCACCCAAAGACTGGTGACGACGAAGCCATTTGGCCGCCACCAGTCTTTACACCGGGATTGCCAGTTTCATGCATTGGTAATATTGATGTGTCAGATATATCGTTGCCTTCCGCTAGTGTTGACTGTAGATAGGATTCGATAACTGCCGACGTCATGCGCAATACAACCAATGCATACAACGGTATCGTGGTTTTGCCCGTTTTAGCACTGTCAAAGACAAAATTTCGAAGGGACTCCCACGATGATTCCAGAGGGGATGCAAAATGAGAATGATTCGGAATGGCATGACTCAGAATTGCTTTCATAGCTGAAAGCACGTCTGCTTCATTCTGTACCCGCAAATAGGATGGCTGTAGCGTAACAAAGGCATGCTTTGATGTATCGGAAAGATTTAGCTTGTTGTTTGAAGAAAAGATGACACAAATGTTGTTCATCATTTCAGCAATATTTGTCTCTGCGTCGTTGGAATTGAAGGAATAGAACGGACTTGCAGAGGACTTTGCGGCAGCGTCGCCCCCTTCTTGACTAGATAGCGTAGATTTTTCCTTAGCGACATGTATTCTATAGGCATCTGACAGATGTGTCGCTCCAGGTTCCTTGTTTTTGCCAACGGTAGTTTTCGTTTCTGTTGTCGCCGATAAGCCGTTGGATTCATTTTGTTGTTCTACTGTGTTATCTTTCGTCTTCTCTTCAGAACTCGCTTTCTTCACATCCTTATCGTTTGTTTCCGTTTCATCTGAAGTAATGGTACTCGGGATTGAGGCTTCGAAGTCATTGATTGAAACCTCTGCGTGCCATCCGAACCGATGTAATGAATTGCTCAAATCTGAAAGTGAGAAACAGGCAAGAACAGAGGTGTGAGACCTGCTCGGTGAGCAAATGGTGGATTACGAAAGGACGGGGCGAGTTATTCCCGAAGATAAGCTAAATGGAGTTGCTAGAAAGGCGAAAGGTTGACATGAAGAGACGAAGAATGTGTTGCTCACCTTTTTTGTCTGTCCTGCTTTCCGGAATGTCCTTCAACGTGGGAAACGACGACGCGAGCAAAGCATGTTTGAGAATGATTGAAAACATGGTGCCGTCTTGAAACCCCACTGCTCTCGCTTGCTCTTCAACCGAAAGTGCGGCAAACCATTCATCAATGCTATCGTCAGTTTTTGTTGGTTGAGAAGCACCACTGGTCTCCACTGCTCGATCGCCAGAAGCGTGCTTCTCTTTCTCAACCTTCTCAGTTTTCCCCATTGTATTTTTTTCTTCTACTCTATGTTCAGAAAGTATGATTCCCCTAGTCTTCTGTACGGCTGTATTCCTGATGCGTGTCTACTACAAGATTTCTTTTCGTTGGTTCCAGGTGCTGCTTCCCCTGCAGTGACGCAATCGACGCACAATCTGCTGGTTGGTAGTCAATTCCAACCCAACTTTAGTGTGCTTTATGCTCTTATATTGAGCTACAACCCACAGTATGTAGTGGTTGTGGACAAGAATAGTGCTTGCTTTGGCGCTTTCTAGTTCTATCTTTCAACTTTGAGATCGGAAAGCCAAAGAAGCTACAGTACAGTATGAACAATGAAACTCAACACGAACGAGGAGGCGCCAGAAATCTGCACCTCAAACACAAAACATCCGGGTCATGTTACAATTTTGTCAGTTGTGTGGATGTTGGTGTTTGTGAGCATAAATGTCTGTCCGTCGACGAAATCTACGTAGTTGTACTGCAGCTTCAAGCTGGGCCTTAGTATGTACTCTCCTACCGGTAGCCACCAATTTCGTTCAAGTCCGATGCTACAGTAGAGTATTTTAAAAATACTTTCTCGATAACGCGTTCACAGCAAAACCTCCCGTCACCCGTAGGAGCACTTATTCATTCGGCTAGTTAATTTGCAAAACGGAGCTAAATTTTGCCCAGTTCGGAAAATAACAAACAATATTGGGTACTGCATTCTTCTCACTCACTAGTGGTAACATTCTCAGACGCCACTTCATTGGTTGATATGGTGTCTATATGCTCTTCTTCCGTCGTGCCTGCACCTTCTTTGTCTTCTTCCTCGCCCATCTCGTTATCTTCTATAATCTCTCCTTCGTCTTCACTCGAATCCTCTTGACGCTGTTGCAAAACACGCCGTGACAAATCCAAAGCGCGCGAAATCAACTCGTCGTAATACAAGCGCGCACTGGAAACTGGCTCTTCCGTTTTGATGATTTGTCGAGCATCCGCGTACGACTCCTGAGATTCGGAGGCCAATTCAAGTAACAGCTTGGAAAAGTCTTCATATGTTGTATCACTCTTAATCCCCGATTCCTTTTTCGGGGAGGAATTGATCAATCGACTCAAGAAAGCCTTATCATGATGATAGATATCGTCCCATTCCCCAACAAAGTCTTCGAACAAAGACCGAGGAGAATCCCGATCTTGTGCCTCTACCAGGTTGAAAGCCTGGTCCATCGATACGATATCTTCAATACTACGCCACCGAGTGGATGGTGAAATTTTCCGCTCTGCTGCTAGCTTTTGCAAGACTTCTCGGTAGGCATCTCGCTGGGCCTTTTCCGCCCGACGTCGAGCATCCCGAATCCGCCGTCGTTTCTCATCTTGCTCTGATTGCAGCTCAAGAACAAAATCGGCAAAGTATAGTTGTCGGTCAGCATCCGACATTGTAGCTGAGACATCGAAGCGACTATCCTTCACGGCATCTCCGCTCAGTGATAAGAAAAATGATTCCCTGAAAAAAAGTGAAAAGCACAGCATCAGCATGGAGTGTGCATTGCACTAAGCTAAGCAAAATTGACTTGTTCTTACCATGTTGAAGCGAACGTCAAATTTCCAGCCTCCTCGTGTTCACGAAGGAACGAAACGAAGGCATCATGTGTCTCTCTTCTTTTGTTGCGCTTCTTTCGCTCGTCTCGTTTGCGGAGCTCTTCACAAAAATCAAGAAAGAGTGATTCCCGCATTTCTTCCGTTGCAACTGAATGGAAGCGGTCATCTTTCGCTAGAGCCGCCCGCACATCCGAAAATCGAGAATTTAAAACCGAAAATCCTGCAATTGTGGGCAAGGTGTCTCCTAGGAGCTGACCAAAGGCATCCTTTGCCCGAAGCCGCTCTTGGCGCTCGAGGTTCTTAAGCTCATTTGCTCGTTTGGTTTGATATTCCGCAAGTGCCTGCCGTCGTTCACCGAGTGATAATGCATTTTCACAGGCTGCCCAGCGTGCATCTGAAGAAACAGTCTTTGCAACCTCGCCCCACTTGATGGCGGGAGCAATGCCTTTTGCGAGTAAAAGACCTTTGAAGGCCGCTATGGCTTCGGATTTACTCGAAAACGACGTCTCCGTAGACAGTTTTGCCTCTTTTCGCTTTCGACTAACTTCGTCATCAGCATTTTCTTGTGGATCTGCGTCAAAGTCGTCAGGCTTTTCCCAAGTAGTTGTAACTCCATCGGAATAGTATTTCTTGCCGCTTGTAGCATCTTCGTACTCCTGCCATTTTCGCTCCATTGAAGCTCGTGAATCCATTCCTGTTTGCTTCTTTGTAAGAGTAATGGGTTTTGTGTATGTGCTCTCTTTCAAGATAGCATTGTGATAGTATTTCATCCCATTTGGTGCCGCATATTCCTTCCAAGCATCGTCAATTTGTTGTGCTGTTGGTTTGGACCCCTGAGATAGTGCACTACTGCTTCTTGGATGTACCGCCGTAATTTGTTGAGAGCTGTTTGGAATTGTAATGGACATGGAAGCAGAAGCATTTGGGAACGGGGGAGTGCTCGCATAGGAAGGAGCTCCTGGAGGGCGCTGCCTTTGTTGCACACCTCCATTTGCTTGATAAGACGGATTCGGACCGCCAATCAAAACACGAGACCCCCCTTGAAGCTTCGAAAGAGATGTTTGCAGGTTTCGTTGTTGAAATTGTGGCGGGATATTCTGCCCGAGCGGTGGCCCCATCCCTCCGCGAGGGTTGTGTATTGGTGGTGGTGGTGGTGGTGGTGGTGGAAAATTGGTGTTTGGAAAGGGAGGTCTTGGTGCCAAAGAAGGAGGATGTCCCATCTTCCCCCGAGGCGGCGGCGGCGGTACATTAGAGAATGGAATTGGTGGTCCTGGCCTAGGTGGACCTCTTCCCATCATTGGTGGTGGTCTACCGTGTATCTGCCCTCTTCCCATCATTCCATTCTCCCTTCCCATTATGTTCCCTCTTCCCGTTATTGGTGGACCTCGACCCATTCCTTGAGGTCCAGATCCCCGTGGCGGCCCACCTCTGAATATAGGAGGTCCCCTACTCGGTGGACCGTTCGGTCCAGGACCCCCTCGGGAAGGAAACCCAGGCGCCCCTCTTCTGTAGAAGGCACTGTTCTGTGGTGGCCTGAGCCCACCTCTTCGAGGAGGAGGTCCCCCAGGAGGACCTCTAGGAGGACCCATATTCCCACCACCTGGAAACGATCTATATCTGGGATCATTTGGTCGTCGTCCAGGAAAACCTCCTGGCCCTGGTGGACCGGCAGAATCTCCTGGATATCTTCTTTTCATCCTTGTCAATATTCGCAGAAACAGAGGATTCAGTGAAATTGATTAAAATCCTTCAAGTGAATAATCCGAAAGCCCCAAGATAATTCGTGTTGGAATGCTGTGCGGGGAGGAAAATAGCACTAGTGCTGGTCGAAATGGACAATGACAGCTCCTCTATTGTTGCAACGAACAGGAAAAGCATATTTGATGTCGGAACTAGCTTGATTGGCTGCGCGTGGGAAGAGCGCAGAGTCGAACGAATCAATCAATCAATCCGGAAGTACCGGTACCGGTACTGGTACGGTATCTTTGCTTCACCTCGTACTGGTACTGGTACCTGGTAGGGGACGGACCGGTGCTGGTAGCTTTCATCAAACTTCATTCATTCATCTGAAGATAGATTTGCAAGCAACGAGTATTGATACATGGGGCAGCATCATATTCAAGAGAGCTTTACTGTACACAATATATCTAATATCCAGAGAAGTAGCTACACAGCCAAGTATAAAGGAATTCATTCATACCAATAACAACAATGGGCCTTTTTGGGTGATGTACTGCAGTATACGTGGCAGGCATCCTTGGTGATACAGGAGGAGAAAGCGGTATCCTACTTTCATCACATTCATCCCTACCAGGTATCGTATTATATGTACCTATAATTTTGCTCATCAAGCGGGAAATGTCTCATCTTGGTGTTCGCCTCCGGGTTGCTTGATCGATGTTGAATGTGAGTCCCGGTATTTAGAGAAGTTGAACTTGAAATTCTATGCGTAAAATCCTACCAGAATGATCGAAGGTCTGTATCCTACCTATCACGTGAGGAGGTAGTCCTTCCAAGCATTGCGAACAAGAGGAGAGAAGAGTTCAATTAGATTTGAACCAAGTTTCCTCATCACTTGACTGGCCAAAGTGACGTTGGAGGAGGAAACAAGTCTCATCGGAACTGGAATCGATTCGGATGTATCACTGTGGAAAAAGTTGCATTCGAAAAGTCGGTTTCCAGTGAATTTCTTCCTGGTGTGATATCTTTCTTCTCGCTTTCATTGAAGTCTGTGATTCTGTCGCACTAGATCTAATTTCTGCCGAGGCACTGAAGCGGATCTGCCATCTAATGGACCAAGCAGAGGAAGGCCGTGAGGCGCAAAAGGGATCCTCTCCAAGCAGCCATGGAGAGTCTGCATTGAACGCCTCGTCCATCCTCAAAGAGAATGATACCCATGAAGATGAACATGAAAAGATAAGGCAAAGGCAGTCGCTTGAAGGCGAAAGGAACCTTTCTGAAGAAGTGGTCAAGGCCAAGCCGAAAAACAGCGCAGAAAGTCGGACTGAATGGGTTGAAACAAAAGCCATTGCATGGTCAAGTCAGAAAGAAGAAAGCAATGAAAGTAATTGCATTGATTCCAATGCGGGTAAGGAGGAAAAGGCAATCTTGAACGGAAAGAAGACAATACGTAATGAAGGTTTGGATGACCTTCGGAACAAACCAAGCTTGCAACAGAATGACTCTCTCCCACAAAAGATACCTAGTTCCGTACTTACCAAACGGGAAACCGAAAAATCTACTTCATCGGCAGGTTCAACATCAAGTGGACCACCAAAGGTAATACATACGCAGATTCCGAATTGCACCACGACTTCACAGGCGCCTCCAACAAGCATCAATGGAACTGCTTCAGCTACCCGTCCAAAGGGCAAGACACTTCGGCGTGGTAAATGGACAGTGGAGGAGGAGGCCTATGTCGCCCGCGTCATTCAAGACTTCAATTCAGGTTTCCTGGATGCACCTGCAGGTACAACTCTTAGGAGTTATCTGTCAGAGAAGCTACAATGCGATCCCATGCGCATCACGAAGAAGTTTACTGGCGATGCCTGTATTGGGAAACGTGTGTTCCATCCTGCCGTTCGGAGCATCGGAAACGCGCCTGCGATAGACAAAGCACAGGTATGTTGGAAGTAGATACCCGAACCGCAATTCAATCTTTCTTTTTCGTCTAACCAGCAGTATATTTCAGGCGGAATTGGATGCTCTCGAAAGAAGGTGGCGGCGTCGGCTGGAAATGCAGCAAAGGGAATCAGCAAAGAAAGCGGCGGCTTCTGCTGCCGCTGTAAGTGCTGCACCACAAAATGGTAACTTCCACTTTGTGCAAGGCGTGCCAGTAGCCCTTTTAGGGGTGCAGGGGGTGCGAAGCCAAGGAGGAACAACCATGCCAGAGACAGTTGTGACTCAAGCTGCATCATGGCTTGATCGGGCGAATGCCATTCTCGGAGGAACGGCTATCGATGGCAATCGAATGATGCTGCCCACAACCGCCTCGGTCTCTGCTTCCCATCAAGTGTCAGGTTCTGAAATTGAGAATCAAATGAATGAAGTTCGTCGTCTCATTTACGAAGGACCACTGATACAACAGACGACAGCTGGACTCCCGCGTATGCTAAATTACGATACCAATGCAGAGAATGCACCCTCTAATATCAGTCCTGTGAATGGGAATCACTCCATCGAACCGGCTGACAAGAGGCAACGGAGAACATCGTTGTCGGGTGCGGAAGATGCAGAGGCTCTCGTCGGCTTCCTTAGAAGTGTACGTGCATCTGCAGCATCAGAACAAGACGTTTCGAACTAATTCAAGCTTGGCTCGGAATGAAAGATACCGCACGGATCAGCTACTACCCCATTTAAATGCCAAGTCAATGCTGTTCAGACGAAAACTGTTGTATTTGATATAACTCAGTCAATAATAGGAAGCAAATGGCACTTATCAAATTCAATGAAATAAATATAGATTGACATTCAGAAAATTTCACCTCAACAGTTTCTTTTGCTTCACTATGAAAGACCTATTTTAGTATGGAGGGACAAGAATGCCTGGTCGTGAGTTACTTGCGACCAGGACGTCGTCTCGGATGCACTGAATCATCTTTCCAAGACCATTGGTTGCCAACTCATCTTCACACTTGCACCACATTTCATTTGCAAGTGGATAACACATGCTGGTCACTATTGCTGTTCTCACTAGCATATTGACGCTACTCTTGAACGATCTTTGTGACCCCTTGCCTCCTTTGGATTTACTTTCCAACGTTATCCAGGCAAGCTGGCTATCTGCGGATGCGCTCAGGGCATGCATCTGCACACCGTCTTCGTCGCCATTCAAGGGGACAGGGAATGGTCTGGCAGCAATACATGTTACTGGTAAGTCGTGCACTTCTGGAAACTTTTTCATAGGTTTCCAACGCTCAACGCCCCAGAGAATTACAGTCCCGTCCGTTGCTCCAAGCGCAAGAAGGCCTGCATCTCCAGAAAGGCTCATTGCAGAGACCGGATTTGGACTACACTCAGTTCGAACTGCACATTCAAATTGATCGCCTTTGAGCTCCCATGCCGACAAGAAAGCTTTACCTCTTCTTCCAGAAGCAACAGTATATATCACCTTGCCTTCCAAGTCTCCAAATGCGCACCCGCGGACAAGGATTTGTCCTATTCTTTTTGGAGGTGGCCCTCGGGGATCTATAATTGAACACTTGAGCTCAGCAAAAGCTTCGCCGTCCTTCCAAACTCGTGCTGTGCCATCTTTGGCGGAAGAGACTAACGAGTTCCCACGTGGACTCCAAGCCACTGAGCAAACAGCTTTGGAATGCCCGAGCATTTCGTGAAGTGGATCAGCCTGCATTTCATCAACATCGATGGAGTAGATCTTAACTGTTCCGTTTTCTGTACCCACTGCAATGCGGTCCGTCATTGAATTCAATGAGAGCGCGTTCACACTGTCACAAACATCAAGTTCACCAACTTCTCTGCCGTCTGGTAAACTATAGCTCTTCACCTTGTTCCCCAATGCAACGTAGAGATATATCTTGCCGCTCAGTGGATTTCTTACAACGCTCAAAGCCACTCCAATCTGATCTCCAGTAGAAATTATCAAATCCTCTTCTGCTCCTGCAATCTTAACAGTGACTATGTTCTTAACACCAGTTGCTGCAGATCCTCCTCCACCGCAATGAGCGACAATGTCAGTGCCATCGCCTGGATCACCGAACCAACATATTCCGAATAGAGGGGTCGCGACTGTATCTATTCGAGAAGGTGGCTTTGGTCGTGGCATGGTCACAATCGAATGAATGTGTACTGAATTCTTGGTTCAATTTTCGACCGTTATATACCGGCACAGTAGTTTATACGTGGAAACAAGCTGTAGTACTGTAGACACAGTAAAAGAGTAGCGACTTCTGAATGTTTGTATCGTGTCCTAAAACTCTGGCGGCAGGGACTTTGAGGTAGATTCAGAACTTTGGGGCAACATTTGGAATCAAATGCATGAACTTCAACAACCTATTTGGGTTTGTCATCATAATGCGCTACTTTGAACTTAGTTGGTTAAATTGACATACTTGTTCTTAGAAACAGGCTTCTTCTTCTTTGCAATGTGACTTATAATTTTAGTACGGCATATGATTCAAAGCATAGAGATCTACAAGATAGGAATGATGGATTCAAAACGGCTTATTCCGAGGTATAGTGTACAGAGATGTCAGAGTAATTCAAAGTGTTTTGTGGGCATACTTGAGATCATGTAAATCATCGATAGAAGTAAAAGTGGATTGGTCGTCCCACCGAAGCAATATGCATCCGACAAATGTCACCATGTTGCTCAGTAACAATCCAATATGAAAGTGCTCAATGTCTTCATGAAACAAATCCATCACCCAGAATATCATTGGTATCACAACCAGCGCGAACAAAATCAAGAACCAATGAAAGTCTTGCTCATTGCTCTGGTTCCTAGCAAGAGCGACAGCAGCACCGTGTAGGACAGCAGAAAATATTGAATGACTCCAACAACTCGTAATTTGCTGTTCGCACTCTTCCTGACAGAGAAATGGATCCACCAAAGAGATAGCAATCGCTCCAAAACCAATGAATGTAAAGTAACGTTGAAATTGCTCCATCTGGGCTTCTGCTTCAAGCCGAATTTCTTCGATTAATTCACTTTGATCATCTTCATCCAAGACATCGTCTTCGGTTGTTGTGTTGGTACCTCGATAACTTGTTGGGGATCTTCCTCGTCGTCGCATGGTTCTGTGTTGTAATAAGTGGAGGCGACTTTGAATTTTTGTTCGGTTTAGTCATCAATGGTACCCATATTTTATGTGCAAAAATTTGAAACTATTTATGTTGCATGTATTATAATATATACTCGTAGTACTATACTGGTAGAGTTATAATATTTTAACCATCTAAACCACGATCACAAGAGGCATCACAGCATATTTTAATAAATCGCACATTATATATTACTCCATTCATGCAAGTAAGGAACGAGAGGCTTACAGAAATGACAACTCAGTTCTCACCACCGAACCCTCCCACAGTGAAACCTTTTGTCATCGCTCTCGTCATACCGAAAAAACATCTAAATTGAGATAACTTCTTCAGCACTTTCGACTACTTCTTTGCCAACTTCTGCCACAGCTGCCTCCACGGCAGCATCGGTGGCAAGCTTGGTTTCGTCTGGCTTGAGGTCATCCACAGTATGAATGGGGGCTTCCACGGCTCCAACAACCCCCAACGCCGAAGCATCTGCTCTTGCTTCTGCTTTCTTTTGACGTGCCATGGCAGCACGTTCGCGTCTCTTGCGGTTTTTGGCCTCTAGCTCTTCTGAGCTTAAACGTTGGTAGCGTTCTCGTTCCAACTTGGCACGACGAGCATTTCGTTCCTTTGCCGATTCGTTATCTAGAGAATGGTAACGAGAACGTTCACGTTCTCTTCGGCGTTGCCTAGAGAGCTCGCTTTGTCGATGATACTGCTCGCGACGCTTGGAGTTGTAAACTTGACGTTGCTCTGGTGTCATGTTGGCGTATCTCTGACGATCCTTCAAGCGGCGTGCAGCAAGCTGGTCTTCGTGAGACTGGGACTTCTTGGCTGGCTTATTATCCACAGTGTCATCTTCAACGCTCTTCTCACGGTACCGCTTTCGTCTCTGGTCGTTCTTCTTGGCTTGGGCTGCATCGTCATCGTCAGTTTTGACCGCCAATGCGGCAGCGGTGACATCAGCATCTGTAACTAAGTACATGAGTCAAAGCAATCGGGTCGTAAATGCGTGAAATTCTAGTATTCGCTTTGCAAGCATATTTCATCATAATACTTACCTTCAACGTTGGCAGCCATCGTGGCCGCTGCCACTGCTTCAGCAATTAGGGCTGAGGTATCTTGATCCTTGTTTCCCCCATCGGCAGCAGCGTGTTCTGCAGCCAAACTAGCAGCTGCAGCAGCAGCTGCTGCATCCATTTCCGGTTGGGCAAGCTCTGGTTGTGGAAGGTCATCATCGACAATGATTTCATTGGCAGCCGCATTTACGTCTGCGGTTATGGAATCTACAACCAGACAAGACGAAGCAAATTGAGTTTACCACAAACAGATTTCAACTCTGCAGATGAGTTCAAGAAAAAAAAGCAGGAGAGAGCCTGTGCTTTTGATTCATTCAAGAAGCCCATTGTCCCAGAAATGGAAAAGGGAAAGGATAACGACGACGAAATTGTCAAGTCGTCAGTGTCTTTGACCCCAGACGGAACGTACCACTCATTCTAAAATCTCGATCCAGTCTGTTGATGCGTCCTCAGGCCAGGTCTGTTTGTTGCCCTTTTTGTGTTCCGTCCGTTCGTTGTAATGTGGTGTCTTCGCTGTCTGTCTGTTTGTGGTGGTTGGGGGCTGTACCGGTACCTGGTACGGTGGTCCATGTTTCTTTCGTTTTCCACAGAGATCATTCATCGTTGAAATGCTACGCTAGCTAGTAGTTCTTCTTGGTTCGCGCCAGCCGTCCTTGTATTTGGCCTGACGTCAGCTATCGCGCATGGCTCATCGCAGCGACCGAAACTAAACTGAAAACGTTAAAAACGATGGCAACGACATTGATGGACTACTTCGACTTCATGAGACCACTTACTACAGCTCATAATACCAATACCTGGTACCATCTAGAGTAACCACTGAAGATCCAAATAGATCATGAAACTCGGCGAAAAGCAGCGAACGCTGTTCGTCTAAGGTACAATACGATCAAGCAAGTCGGGGGCTGAATCAAAGCTGCAAAGCTGCTGTCAAGACAAAACAGCTGAAGGAGCAGCGAGTCTCAACACCAAGCAGAAGAATGAATGATCATCATCCCGTAGGTAAGCACACCTACGTTTCCTTTTGAAAAGCAAATGACGGTGCTGGTTATCTGTGTCAGCATGATGATATTATGCGAAACGAAGTGGGTAATTCTTGTCTTGCTGCATGATGCTGACAATGCATGTGCTGCGACCACACCAGATGGAGAATTATATCGAGAGCATAGCTTAGTAGTATGTTCTGAGACATTGATGGAGAGTAATGGGTTGTCCTCCCTGAGTTTTCACTCCGAGATCTTGCGCATTTTCCTACCTTATCCAATGTTGAATGAATTAATAATCGACAAAGTGCCGAACATCACGAAGCAATATTCGTCATGTTCGCAAATACCGGTAGGTACATCTAAGACAGTCTCAATTCTCAAATACTGCCGGAATGAAATCTGGGGGCGATTTCCCGAGAAAATCTAACCCAAAACAAATGTGTGTCTCCTAGTAGGATCGCTACGTGTGGCGTCTGTCCATTAATAAAAACGGAATGAAGGTCATGTGCTGCCAACAACATGATTTTTGAAGATTCGACGTTTGACGTCACACCGTCAATGTACCGGTACTGATGGCTGCGTACTGTAATTCCACAGTGAGAGCAAGTTCGATTTCGTTTGCTTCTGCTTGCAACCATCAAACTTCTAAAAGGAAGCAAGAGACGGAGTACTAAACGAACCAATCTTGGTACTTTCAATAATGTCAGGTGGAAATATAAATCCAGGTGCTGTGAAGGCTGACTACTACTCGAAAGGATCCACAGAATTGGCTCAGGATACTGCTCTCACGCTTAGTCGACTGGAAGCTGTAAGTTTGAGAAGTGATGGAATCAATCTTCGGAACTCTTTCTACATTTTGTATACTGACTTCATGACTACTCCTTTTCCAGAGACGGAGGCTCACTAAAGATTCCCAGCGACTTGTAATCGTATTGGTTGGATTGCCAGCTCGAGGAAAATCCTTTGTGGCAAGAAAGCTCGTCAATTTTCTAGAATGGAACGGAATCGACACAAAGATCTTCAATGTAGGAAGATATCGACGCCAAGCATATGCCGAGATATCGACATCCGAGAGTGGTGCATGTGATGCAACCTTCTTTGATTCCAAAAACGAAAAGGCTGCGGCTTTGAGAGAAAAGGTTGCCGAAATTGCTCTCAAAGACATGCTACGGTGGCTAGATGACGAGGGGGTGAACGACGGTGATTCGGACAATGGAAACAACAGTAGAGACTCTATCGCTTCGGGAGGTTCTGAAACAAATTATGTCCGCCAAGATAGGATCGCAATCTTTGATGCAACTAATTCAACAGACAAAAGAAGGCAGTGGGTCCTTGAAGAGTGTACTTCACCTGAAAAGAGACCCGGTAAACCAACTGGTTGCGTGTTCGTGGAATCAATCTGCGATGACGAAGAACTGGTTGAGGAAAATTTCAGATTCAAGATATCAAACAGCCCTGATTACAAAGGCGTCTCCAAAGAGGAAGCTATAAGAGATTTGAAGGAGAGAGTCCGAAAGTATGAAGAACAGTACGAAACAATCACAGATGATTCCCTATCCTATATCAAAATGTACAATCTCTCCACAAAGATGATGGTCAACCATATTTATGGACGTATGTCAAAGATAATTGTGCCTGCACTGATGGCATGGAACATTGGAACACGTCCCATTTTTCTTTGCCGTCCTGGCCAAACTATTTCTGACATCACAACTGATAGCGACGACCACGTTACCAAGGTGAACCTTAAGGGTAGCGACATTTTGGATTTGTCTGTCTCCACCCGAAAACGGGTCATGAGTGGTGATAAACTCGGACCAGCTGGCAAGAAATTCTCGGAAGAGCTTTACAATTTCGTGTACGAAGAGGGCATGGATTTCTTGTTGAAGCGAACAAGCATCATGGACATGACACAGACGGGTACCTCTATCAGTGGCTTAGCACCCAGTATCTATAACACAAAACAGAAGGATGTTCGAGAGCCTCCATTTCCGCTCAAAATTTTTACTAGTACAATGCCAAGAGCTGCTGAAACGATCCGATGGGATGAATACGATATGCGCGTTGACGAACTATCAAACTTGAATCCGCTAGACAAAGGAGACCACGCCGGAAAAGAACTACAGGACTTGCAGTCGACAGATCCCGCATGGTATGCAATCCTTCAAAAAAATCCATTTTCCACAAGGTAAATCTCGCCTGTTGCATCCCTTGAATAATGATTGAGATTCCAATAACCCAACTTTTTGCTTCTTCCAGATTCCCTGGTGGCGAATCGTACAAAGACTTGATCAAACGATTAGAGTCCGTAGTTGTTGAGCTGGAACAGCAAGTCATTCCTACTTTGGTCGTGAGTCATGTAAGCACACTGCAGGTTTTGATTGCGTATTTCCGCAATACACCAGTAGAGGAAGCCATGACAATTGAAGTGCCACTACATTCGGTAATTAAGTTTACGCCTGCTCGTGGTGGAGGTTGGAGTGAAAGTCAGGTTCCTCTATCTCCCGTTTTTGAAAGGGCCAATTCGGAAGTGATGACTCAAGAATCGTTGACAATCGAGGGAATGGAGGAGCTTGGAGGAGTTAAAACGCCAATTTGGGGTGATCACATGAGGAAATCAAGCTTACTTTCGTTTGGAAGCAATACCCATTAACTGGCATCAGAATTCGAGAAAGGATGGTGGTGTTATAGAAGTGTACTGCATTTGCATATCTTGAGTATATTGTTTATTTCATCAAAGCTTTATGTGTAAATATTAAACAAGCAATTGTTTCATTAGGGTCTTGCTTTTTTCGACGACGTGCTGTCTTGCCCATGCGTCACAGGATAGAATATCATCCAGAGTGACATCAGAAGTCTTGTGATCGTCCTTGTGAGCTTCCATGGCACTTTCAATGAGTTTCGGGATATCAAGGAATCCGAGTCCAATATCTTCACGGAACATTTCGTTGGCGGCTTCGTTTGCAGCATTCAAGACAGCAGTCATTGTACCCCCAGCACGCCCTGCCTCATAAGCTAGTCCGATGCATGGGTACTTTTCGTGGTCAGGAGCCAAGAAAGTCATCTGGCCAACCTCGGCCAAGTCCAATGGCCTGTATGGCATCTTCAATCGGTGAGGCCAAGACACGGAATAAACAAGAGGCAATCTCATATCTGCCCATCCCAGCTGAGCAATGCAAGAAGTATCCTGAGTTTCAACCATTGAGTGAATAATAGATTGGGGGTGGATGACGACATCGATGTCGTCATAACTGGCACCGAACAAATAGTGTGCTTCAATGACCTAAAAGTGTGAATGAAAGCATTCTGAGTAAGTAATGCTACATCCCAATAAATTCACATTCAACGCTTACCTCGAGTCCCTTGTTCATCATGGTAGCACTGTCTAGAGTAATCTTCGCACCCATGTCCCAATTTGGGTGGGTCGTTGCCTTGGCCTGAACTGCGCGAGGATCGTCCCTGCACATTTGGAAGAGTTCATCCTTGCTCAAATCTCTGAAAGCACCTCCAGATGCAGTCAAAATGACTCTACGAAGCCCTCCCTCTGGAACTCCTTGCAAGCATTGGAAAATTGCACTGTGTTCACTATCGGCAGGAAGCATGTTGATACCGTATTTCTCCACAAGAGGGTTGATGACTGGTCCTCCACTGATAAGAGTTTCCTTGTTAGCCAAAGCGATATCCTTTTTTAGCTTGATAGCCTCGATTGTTGGCTTCAATCCCGCTGCACCGACAATACCAGTGACAACAGTGTCAGCAGTGTCAATGGTAGCTGCAGCCAAAATTCCATCGTCTCCATGAAGAATCTCGGGCATTTGATCACAGCCTGCAGCTTTAAGACGCTCCCTAAGTTCATTGGCAGCCTCGGGAGTGGATAGAGAAGCAATTTTGGGCTTGTATTTCAAGACTTGTTCAGCCATCAATTCTGCGTTGGTTCCAGCGGATAGAGCGTCGATCACAAAGTTATCTGGGCAGGCATCAACAATATCGAGTGTTTGTGTACCGATAGATCCAGTAGATCCCAAAAGAGAGAGTCTCTTTTGAAAGTTGGATCCTTCTAGACTCTTTTCCAAAGTGAGCTTGAGGGATTCTGCAGAGTTGACAGGAGCCGAAGGATCGATCCATCCTGCTCCAGTTCCCTTGGAACCAGAAACTGCTTCCAAGGATTTTTGGACACCTGTTGGTGCATTGGGCATGAAAGCGACAGATTGACCAACAAGAAGCACCGACAATACAATTGGTAGTTTCATTTTTCTACTTGGAATTGGAGGTTGTTGGTATTATTATTATTTACCAGAGTACTGAACCAAAATTCTGATTTGCTCCTGTGGATTTCGGGTTGACAAAGGAGCTTCAACTTAAGGCGCCAAGTTCCACCGAATGACGTTCCCAACCTCAACCGTGCGTGTCCACGTATCCGCAAAAATGCCTGACGACAATGCACCGTGCAGTCGTGGCAATCGAACGAAGAAGTCAGAAGAAAACTTCCTCCTGAAAAATTCTCCGACCATGGCTTTGGCCTGCTATCATAGTGACTAGGAAAAACAGAACGGAAGACTTAACACCTTCTGATAGTTTTAACATGACAAATCAAGGAAAAAAGAAATGGTTCAACAAAAAGAAGAAGGAGGAGACAATAGAGGATTTCATTCCGCCATACCTAGGAAACATGGTCCTTCCATATCATGGAGATTTCTGTTTTTCGAGAATATTTCACTACAAACTTCTGTGTCAGCTTTGTTCTGAAGGATTTTTGCCAATCGCCACGGATGGTGTCCTATTGCCAAAGCTACATGCCCAACGCTGCGTCATTGCTCTCCCTACGGATCTCCATATCAGCAAATCAACGAGAAAGAAATCAAAGAAGTACAGTGTGACCGTCAACAAGGCATTTGATCAAGTAATAATTGGATGTCAACAACAACATGGTGATAGATGTTGGCTTTACCCTCCACTAGTCAGGGCGTTTAAGGAGATCAATCAACGTGGGCATGTCAACGCGGAAGTCTTTGAAGATAAAGGGAGGCGGTCGACGGGGCGGGTTTGCCCTGTGCGGTTATATTCAATTGAAGTTTGGGATTCTGACAAGAACATGGTTGCTGGAGAGCTCGGATATACGGTCGGGAGCATATACACAAGTCTCACAGGCTTCTCATCGCAAGACAGTGCTGGTTCTGTACAACTCTGTGCTTTGGGGAAAATGCTTTGCTCATTGGGCTTTTCAATGTGGGACCTGGGTAAGGAACGCTTTGAACTTGTTTTTGAGACAGCCCTACCATAGGAGTGCATCTCATTTCCTTTTCGTTGCTTCATGAATAATAGGTATGGAAATGGCATATAAGTTTAGTCTTGGCGCAAAGCTAATGCCACGAGAACAATTTTTGAATCATGTTTGGAGCGTGAGAGAACCAAAGGGCTTTCTTGTATTACCCGCAGACCACGAGGCTTTGAATGCAAAGTGTTTAATTGATGAACTTCCACTGTGCGATGCGGTACAGAGCAAAGTGGAAACGGAAGAGACAAATGGGAACAATGCCAAAGGAAAAGTCCAAACAAAGCATCCATCTTCGTCCCAGAAAGAATGCGTACCCCCAGAGAAGAAAAGGTTGAAGAATACTCAAAGCACTGCACCTATGTGATCATGCTAGCTACAAACGATGCAATTTTAAAACCGAGCATACATCGAATTTGCAGAAAAAGGGCGGCACTATTTTTATCACCCAACATGCGAAGCTCATCTCATCCTAGTTGGCCCAATTGTGATAGGAATTGGTCGGCATCTACAAGCTCTGTGCTTCCATAGCTAACAGTGCGCCTCTCATTGGCTACCATTTGCAAGTTCTGGTATTCGGCGTAGCATCCTCCTCCGATAACAAATGCTGTAACTTCGCGGATTGGTGCTCGGTTCATCATTCGAAGCTTTCCAACATCGACGTCGCCCCGAACACGTGGATCCAAATACAAATAGTCGTCATCTTCTGAACTAGGAACCATTTCGCACAGATTTTCGACAACAGTTGTTGCGTAGTGTTTGTGTGTTTTTCCCAACATGGACGTGACCTTGTCGGTGGCTTTTGCCAGCAAACCGGATGCTTGAGTTGTCGCCTTGGCCATGAAACTCGAAAGCATGTCGGACTGGCTTTGGGTGCCCCCAGCATCGATTTCTTGCAAGGTAGATGAAAGCGGCAACATGTGCATGGAACGAAGTTGTTTTAGGTATCCAATTGCCTTCATGCCCTTGTCAAGCTTTTCTCTACCAGCCTTGTCCAATAGTGGTTTGCCCTTGTCGTCCTTCCCTTCCATAGCTTGTTGAACCGCCGCTGCCACTTCGTCAACCTCGCTGGTCTTTGCATTCGTTGTCAAGACATAAACCACAACTAGGCGGATCTTATCTTCCACATTTCCTTTTGATGGATCCGCAGCCAATTGGAGCACGTCTCCTTTTGCTCTCGAAAGGTCGTTTTTGTAGGATCCTGTCGCTAATGAGGTCTCCAGTTCAAAAAATTGCGGGACATCGCGTGCAGCAACTTGGTTCATCACGGCTTGCAAAATACTGGTATGGACTTCGAGTTGTTTCTTTCGCTCCAACAATGCTGGAAGGGAATCGACTGCTGTCGCCAAATCAGTGGCGGAGGAAGCCATGGGATCAACTGCTGTCTCTTTGCCAGCAGCCTTTGAACGAATGCTCTGTTCCTTGACAGTCACTTCCTGCAATTCGACACCATTACTCTCAATTGCCTCTGGGAACGGATTGAATTTGTGTTGCCTGTAGAAAGGGTCTTCGTCCGGATCCAAGTCGAACTTTTTCTTCTCAATCTTTGGTCGCTTTCCGGAATCAATGGTAACGTCAAATTCTACACGATTTGCGTTGTGCTTCAGCATATCGTTAATCAAAGCTTGGTACGTTGATGTATGTTGGATAGGTGTGATCAAGTCAGCATTACGGTCGAGAATTACCAATAGTGGTCGATGCAGACTCGACTTGTTGCGAAGAAGAGTTGGGTGTTCAGCAATCATTTTATTCAGTTTTCGGGCGACCATTTCAGGAGCTCCCCCCTAGATGATTCAATTGCAAGAAATGTAGAGAGCAACGTCGTATAGTGAGCGTTTCATTTTAATAGGAAAATGCTCGCGGATTCGTGCTTCGTTACTCACCTTTGGGCATCGAATGATCGGTACCTTTCCAACGGTTGCAACGACGCTGAAGAGGCCGTAGGCAATTTCTGTCATGGCTGTTTCGATCATTTGCTCATTGGCCCCAGATCCGTTATAAACAACATAAGAGTCCTCCTTTCCCAATGAAAAGAGTTGTTGTTCTAGACACACAAAATCAAGATATTGATCGTGAACTCCAGCAACTTTGTCAAGTGACCCTGTTTGAACTACCAACTTTGCGAATTCTTCCATCAATGGACGCTCTAGTTTCGTAACAAAATTGAGATGAGCTTTACCATAGAGTCCATTTGCACAGTCCTTGGCAATAATAGCTAGGTTCTCTTTGTTTGGTGTACAGAAGTAAATTGCAGGTACATCAGGAATTGGTTCCCGTTCCGAATTTAACGATAAATGAAGTGTCACACCTCTGCGCCGGAGTTGACTGACACTGAGCAATGGAGAAATGATTGATCGGCAAGCAGCATCATAGATCAGGATTTTCCATTGATTGTGAGAGGAACCGGCAGGGGGCAATGAAAAGTCATCGTCGAACGAATCGGCATCTTCATTGAAGGAAAGCATGCGGTAGACTGCCTTCAACTGCGCTGTTTTTAGAGTCATTGAAGACAGACTCAACGACATTTGTCAAGATCCAAGATTCTTCAATCAAGACAAAGATTGGAGGCTTGTAGAATGGTCAAACGCCGAGACCAAGAGGTATGGAGCCTTCACAAAATGTTTACAACTGCAAGCGCAACACTGTTGCGTCACACGAACACACCGTGCAATGACTTTGGTCCAATGAGTCGAACATCCGATCCAATCTCATTATTCATTCAAATCCTTCCCATCACATCACATCCACCAATTCTTGACGAAGCAGAGAGGTTTTCTGCAGCAGCCCATTCTATTGCGTTCTGTTTCAAACTTTTGACAACACTTGGGAAATATGACACGAATTACGCTTTCAACACTGAAAACTCTTCAGATTATCTTAGTTCTTTTGACTGAACCTGTCTTATCATGGACAATGCCGAGCAACCACCACGATCCTTCGACAAATAGAAAAATGAAACTTTTCTCCACACCATTTGAACTCGACTACTACGACGATTCTGGAAATCCATACATGGATGACATTTCTCCCCTTAAGGTGCCTGAAGATACTAAACTGGTGCTTGGGCTCAACAAATATTCACACGACACGACGCTCTGTGCTGCCGACATCAAGACCGGTAAGGTCCTGTTCGCTTTATCAAAAGAGCGACTCTCGCGCAAGAAACACGACGCCGGTAACGTGGCTACTTTGGTAGAATCATGCTTGAAGTGTTTGAACTTGGATTACGATGCGATTGAAAAGGTGGTCATGAACAATCACCATCACCGAATCCTTCCTTTAGAAGAATCACGTGAACATATGGAATGGGAAAGTGGTCTAGGTATCAATGGTGGGATTGAAAGCGGATACGATGATGAGGAAAATTTGTTGCTAGATGCAGATCGGGCAAGTTTTATTTTTGTCTTCACGACTTGCTTACAAATCAACCTTGCTTCTAATCCTCTCTTTGTTATTTCAGACGGAGCTGTCGCATCATTTGGCACACGCCTACTCGACAGCAACACAGAGTCCATTTGATTCTGGTCTGGTGGTAGTAATGGATGGTATGGGCGAAACCTACAGGACCATGCTGCGGGGACAAAAGACAAAGGATCCTACTTATGTCAGTGATTTCTCATTTGGAGAGGATAGTTTCCAAATCATTCCCAGTAATTTGCAAGAACAGAGTCAGATTAGCTATTTTGACTGGAGGGAAGCAGAAAGTGTTTATGTGTATACAAAAAAGGAGAACTCCATAGATTTGAAGCCAATCTTTAAGCGCTTCACGCCAGAAAGATCACCACCTTCGCTCTTTAATGTGAGAAACTCTTCGTTCCGCGGCGCTGTGTTTTTCTGTGCTTGATTGACCGACTGACATGCCCGTTCCTTTCCGTAGCATGGATTTGAAAACATGGATAGTGTTGGAGCTCTCTATTCACGAGCCTCGTCTCATATTTTTGGCGACTGGAATGCTTGCGGCAAAGTCATGGGGCTAGCTCCTTGGATGGGTAGTTCCTGGAAGGACGGAGATCTCGTTCAGCGCCCAGTGGAAGAGGAACGTCGGGTCATGTTTGGATCTTTATATTCCGAGGATGACGACAAGAAATTCCAACAAGACAAGAGCGTTATCTCGGGAATGCCTCTAATATCTCGTATGGACGCAGATTTGTTTGATGAGGACGGAAATCTAGTAAAGAAGCGAAGATATGATTTCGATGATGACGAAGGTCTGAAGAAGCAGGATGATGGAAATGAAGTCCAAGAGAAACGATTGCCAACAAAAGTGGCTCTCGACGCTATATCACTAGCCCACCGCATCCAAATTGATCTGGAAGCTATTGTGATTGATTTCGTCAAACATTTCAAAGAACAAACAGGTGAAGAGAATCTATGCATTGCTGGGGGAGTGGGATTAAACTCTGTATTGAATGGGCGTCTATCAAGGGAGCTAGGCTTCTCCAACACTTTCATCACTCCGTACCCTGGTGATGACGGGGTTGCTGTTGGTTGCTGCGCTTTTGGTCTGTTTGGTAATGGTCTTCTTGAGGAGCAAAAGGAGACGGAGGAACGCCCGCCCATCTGGAAAGAGCCTCTTTCTCCGTACCTAGGCCCCGCACCGACTGAGGCTGCAATCAAGGCTGCCATTGAGGCTGCCGCACCATGGCTTCAAGTGGAAGAAGTTCGTGATGAAAGTTCGAGACTCGAGCTCGCTGCCCAAGAAATTGAATCAGGTGCAGTCATCGCGTGGTATCATGATCGATCAGAACTTGGCCCTCGTGCATTGGGACATCGCAGTATTTTGGCAGATCCTCGGAAAAAGGGCCTCGTAAGATTCATCAACCAGTACACGAAGAGCCGCGAGAGTTTTCGCCCATTTGCACCAAGTGTACTTGCAGAGTATGCTGACGACTGGTTTGAGCTAGGCGATACATCGTCTGATTCCAACAAGAGTCCGTACATGAGTTTAACTGCAATGGTCCGCGAAAAGAAGAGAAAGTTGATTCCAGCTGTCACTCATGTTGATGGCTCATCCCGCCTGCAGACCGTAACTGCAGAAGCAGAGCCATTGTACCACAAGCTTATCTCTATGTTCTATGATTTGTCCGGAGTTCCCCTTGTGTTGAATACATCTTTCAACACGATACCTGGCGAACCTATTGTTGAAAGTCCATCTGATGCTATCCGAAGTTTTTTGTGCTCTTTCGGATCTGTAGAAACGCTTGTCATGGGAGACTACGTCATCAAGAGGAAAACTGCTAATCTAAAAACATTACTGGGAGAGGCCGACAAGCGTGATATGGAGATTGTCACAGAAGCATTGTGCCCGAAGCGAGTTGGACCCTGTACGTTTCAAACGATTACCGAAGCTGATGCCGGGACTGTCGACCCAGAGTCAGTTGTCAGTAAAACTAGAGTTCGAATGCCAGCACGCCCCATGCACCATGATGGGGATGAGTGGTTTGAGATTTTGGACGAGTTGGAGGGCGAACTCTTATCTGTTTGTGACGGTACAGCCACTTTGAGCGACATCTTTCAAGAGTACACGGCCATGGATGAAGACGAAGAAATGGATAAGGAACGCGTCGAAGACGTCGAAGTACTTCTACAGAACATAGTCTATCGCCTTGTCCGTCTGTATGAAAATACACTGGTTTCTTGGTAATAAATAGTTGCGGTGCTAATTAGTTTAAAATAGCAATCTTCCGTTTGGTCTAGTGAATCAATCCCAAAGTCTTGACAACCTTTCTATACGACTCAAAGTCCTTCCGTTCCATGTAATCCAGCAGCTTGCGGCGTCTTACGTAGAGAGCATCTAGCCCACGTTTGGAATGCTTGTCCTTCTTGTGTTGTCTCAAGTGTGTTTGGATCTGTTGAATTCGGGTCGTCAAAGCAATTACTGAAGGTTTCAATCCATTCAAGAGTGAGATAACGCTAAAAACATGTATAAAGCACAAGTATGGACATTTACGTACCTTGAACACCACTTGATCCTGTGTCACCTTCGCGCATTTGGAAGAGTTCCATTCCTCGCTTCTTCTGAGCCTTAATGACTTCTTGTTGGTTACCATTTTGAAGATCAAACAATTTCTTCACACGATCGCTCATTTTCAAATTGTCCTCACTGAAACCAAAACGCAAAAGAGGCTCCTTCACAACTTCCATCCTTTCTTTCAATTCCTGCGCTGCCAATTCGTCGGAGCGCTTGGATTCAGCATCTCGTTCTTCTCTTGAAACTGCATTGATCACTGGTGTATCCACAGGCATATACATGTGTGGCTTAGGGGTGGAAACACCTTGAGCAGCTAGATCCTCCTTCCTCTGTCGCTTCTCCTGTCTATGCACACGCTTCTTTGTCACCATCGTACGAACTTGTGGTTGTTGTTTGAAGTCGTCGAAGCATTGCCTTGCTACAACATTAACTGCTGGTAAAGCGGAAACTTTGTTAGACCAAACAGTTGATGTCAATGCTGCCGACGAACGACGTGCAAGTGTTGACGAAAACATAATGGCTTTGTATGTTGAACCGGAACCGCAAATCGACGATGCACAACGATGTTGTTGCTTTTTGATTTTGATGATGATTGAGGTTGTCGGTCGCGCCTGTCCATCGCATCGTATGCTCGTGACTGACTCTTTTGACTACAGTACTTTGGGGGTTCATTACTGTGGGTATTACAGTAGAAGACTGACCCAAAAGTTGCAGCTGCATTACGAACGCAACCGAAGCATGAAACATTGTCGTATCCTTTTGATTTGAAAGGCATTATGAACCAGTCGACCAGACGCTGGAAGAGTAGCGACAAGGAATAGAGAAGAAAAAATACTATACGAAGTAATAAGGCTTCAAAATGGTGTCTATAAAGCTGTTGTTCCGATCAGTATGCTTGATAATATTCCAACTCGTACAAGTCCATGCGCTGATTGCGAACGGCTGCAATGAAGGAGTCACGGTTTTGTCAAAGAAGCGGCCGTTGCAAGAATGCCTTCAATTCAGCTTAGGGGCTCGATCTTGGCGATCCTACTACGATGATGATGATGAACGAGACGATGATACTGCTCGTCAACGATCTGTTGATCGTCCAACAAAGACGGCCTTCGATGAGTTCGATCCAGCGATATCACCGCAAAACCCAAAAATCGTCGTCTTGGGCGCCACGGGACGAGTTGGTCGACATGTAATACGACAACTTTTGGAAACTGGAAGCAAAGATATGACGATCGTAGCTTTAGTCAGGGACTACGACAAGGCGATTCGCTTGTTTTATGACGATTGCATATTTGCGAGAAAGGGGCCATCTCTCCAAATAGTGCAAGGGAATCTAGTCCCTCGGGAAGAATTGCCTGGGTTTTCTGAAGAGGATGCTGACGAGGAAATCTTCTTTCAGCAAAAGGCTGCGTCTGCTGCAAAGTTCTATGGCACCAATGTTTCAGAATACGACAACCGCGAATTGTTGCCGAGTTTGAACGAAGCACTAGAGTCTTGCATCATCGATGCTACTTCTATCATTAGCTGTGTTGGATCTGTGCGACCGACAAATCTTTGGCATGATGTCTTGGCGAGACCTCTTTGGCGGCTTTTGCGATCTGATGTGAGCAAGTGGTGCAATGATCCAAGGCATCCATACTACGTACACTATCTGTCGACTAGAAAGGCACTTGCATTCGCCGAGCGAGAGCAGCGAAAACGCGAGGCAGCGGCGATGGCAATAATCGAAGGTGACGAAAAAGAAATGGATCCCATAGTTGTACCAAGGATACGGTTCATTCGGATAAGCGATCTTTGTGTCGGAGCTAGACCATGGCACTTTGTACCGTTGGTAACAAACATGGTACAGTCCGTGGTTTTCCGGTATCAAGAAATGACAGAACGTATGCTAGATCAAAGCACCTTGGTAGAGACAGTCATTTTGCGCCCTGGTGACTTGGTGGATGAAGAACGCGTACGTTGCACGCGTCGGCTGGGCTGTTGCATCATGGTCTTGGTCATGAACAAGTGTTACTAACCTCTGCTCTTTTGACTTCTTCCTGCTTTCATTGTTTCAGGATACCAACACAACAGCGTTACAAGTATCTGCCAGTGGGGTATTGCCTAATCCTGCTCGCGTCGGTCGGGAAGATGTTGCAGCCTTGGCTGTTGCAGCTGCTAGCTTTACCAGTGAGGGAAACGAAAGTGCACTGGAGGGGCCTCTTCATTACACTCTCGGTGTACGTTGGGTTGGAGAAGACATGTCACCTTATCCACCCCAGGGACGAAAGCACGACGGCCTACCCGACGCCAGATTGGCTCTCCAGCGAACCATAGAAACTATATCCAAGGCCCAAGAACGGACTAGACGGCGAAAGCAAGTCGCAGCTCAAAACCGCTCACCACCACGTCAACGAGCCAACAATATCATTGAACGCATTCGGAACCATCAAACCAGGAGATTGGGTCGGATACAACCGCATGGAATCTGCGCGGCGGTCCCAATGTACCTCTTTGTAATGCTGGCTGCAAAGACAATGGTTTATCCATTGGTACAATTTCTTCCTGGTGGAAGGACGATTTTGCTACCAGGATTACGACGTCTGAATCAAATGGTACTCTCCACTATTTCGGCCTTTCTGCTTGCTATATTCAGGAACTTGTTGCCTCTTGCCCAAAGAAGACGGTACATCGCTTTTTGATCGGATACCCACCCAGTTTTTTAAGTGTTGCAATCATTCATATCAGCCATTATGTATGCGAATAGTATTTTAATTATTATGTAGCCTACGATAGTGCAGTTTCATCAAATCCATCAGTCCACCGACCCTGCTAAGTGATTATCCTCCCATTTGTTGTTGCATTTGCATCATGGCTTGTTGCTGTTGTACTTGGGCTTCGTTCGCTTTTTGAAGAACAACTCCAACCAACTGTTGACCCTCTAGGTATTTCGAAACGCATCGATCTACATCGGCAAATGCGTAAAGGAGTTAGAAGGAGAGATGTTTTGAATTGTGACACAGAGCTGGTGGGAGAGGCGTCGGTTTGAGGCGAAAATCCCCGTTTGTAAACCTACCTGTGCAAGTCATTTCCCCGAGCGACAAATCTTGATCCCGGTGCTTGCGCGAGGCACACTTCTGGAAACAAGAGGATGCGATTTTGTTGAAAAGATCGGTGTACATTTCCATTTCCGTCTTGGCTAAGAAACAAGAGAGACAGAAAGTATGAGACTTGGTCCCGTTGTCAAATTAAAACTGGATTGGATTGGATAGCATACCAGCAAAGACCGGCTCTGGGCCTTGAGGCTGTTGCTCTTGACCTCCACCAAAGAAGTTCATTGTGTATCTGTTCGAGGTACGTAAGTCTGGATAAAGCAAAAGAAGTAAAGACTATCTTCTACAGTGCCGATATGATGATTTGATTTGAGCGTCGTTTTCGCAAGCATCATCCACTTCAGATGGACCGAACGGTACGGACAGACAGACTGTAAATTAGACTCATTCGAGTAGTAGAAGCTCACAATTGCACGATCCAACATCTCAACGATCCAACGGTAAAAAGTTGGAAGAAAGACTTGTACCGGTATTGCTATCGCTGCTTGCGAGCTTGGGTCATCACCCTCTTTGAGTCCATAGTTTATTGTTTAAAATCATGGAAGGTGAAGAATCATCTTCAGGAACAATTCAGGCTTCTTATTCATCGGTTGCCAAGATTCAAGCAGCATTGTTGGAGACATTGACTGAGAGTCATGTGAGAACTGAAGTGGAAGACTGCATGAGCTCGATGTTGCTCGATGTCGAAACGACCTTCAATCTTCAGCAACAGCTGATGGCTCACTCCAATCAGGTTCAGGTCGATAGACTGTCAAAAGAACAAAGAGCAACGATTCTTGAAGCCGAATCTGAGCGAGTTGCTCGAGAACAAGAACGAATGGAATTAGCAGATCACTTTGTGAAAGAATTGTTGACGCTAAGTCGAGAAATGGAAAAGATATTGCAGTGGAAGAAAGAACATGAGCATAAAGTGAAGTCGTATGATGAACTACTGGCAAAACTTGTCCAAGCTGAAGAAGAACTGGAATCTGCGAATCGAGTTTCGTACGGAGGATCTCCCAAGGCTCGTCAGCCGGAAACAATAGAAAAGGAATCTTCCTTTTCTGCTCCTGAAGCCAAAGAATCCGAAAAGATCGAAGAAGGAACAGCACCAGCGGTTGCCTTACGTATCGATTCCGTTCCAGAAGAACCCATTGTGAAGAAGCCAGAGGTGCAAGAAACAGAGGAATCTGTCACACAAGGAACCAAGGAACTTCCAGGACAAAGTAGTGCGGAAATCCCAGAAGAACCATCGGAAGAGGACCAAAAGCCTACTGCAAAACTTACCCCACCAGTAGAGGAGGCATCACCTGACATAGCAGCGGCAGATGTTGCTGTTGTCTTGGAAGAGGAAGAAGATGATGTCCCCAACCTCGTAGAGGTCGATATGGAAATATTGATGAACATTTTTGGGTACCTAGATGCCATGGACATTTTGAACACGGCACAAATCAATATTGAGATGTATACCAGAGTCGATTCTATTTTTGGTATTGCTGAAGATGGTCATGCAATGCCGCAACCCACTCCTTCCAAACCACCAGCTCCTGCTCCGACAGCGCCAGCCTCCAGTGCGGCACCCAGTGTTACCAAAACACCTCCAATACCCCAGAAGCCGGCCTTTGCTTCAGCAGCAGATACGGGGAGTGGTATGGGACTGTTTTCATCAATACTCCAACCACGACCGCCAACTACCCGGCCTAATGCACCACCAGCCAAATCTGGTCGCCCTCAGGCTTTGAATGGAAATATGGCTAAGTCCATGGCATCGAAGCTGAGTGACGCTGAATTGGCTGCTATCATCTCCATGACGGAGAAGCTCTCAAAGCTAGATAAGGAGGTAAATATGCTACGGAACGAAAAGGAAGCATTGACCGCCAAACTAGATGGAACTGAAAACGTCAAAAAGTTTCTGATCGCCAAAGTGCGAGACGTTGAGATCAAATTGAAACAGCAGGAGGATGAGGATGTCAAAATCACCAAGCAGGTCGCAAGCGACCAGGAGGTGATTGCATTTTTGGATAGTCGAGTGCAAGAGCTGGAACGTTCCACAGAGCAAGTGACAACCGAACGCGCATTGGCGCAGAGCGAATTGGATTCACTAAAGGTATCTAGTTCCAAAAAGGCAATAATGCTGAATGACATGCTCAAATATGAACGTGAAAAACTTAGAGAAGAAGAGTCCGAGTGGAAAGCAACGAAAAAGGTTCTGGTCAAGGAAGTGAAGAGCTGTCGAGCCCAGATTCTTGCACTACAGGCAGAGCGCGATGGCTTCAAGGAACAAAATGAAATGCTGAAACGAGCTATCGTATCTACTGGTAAAAATCATGCCAGCCCAATGAAATAGTTGTAAAATACTCGAATACTCGAATTTTGTATAGTATACAAGCTAAGGAATAGTCTGAATCAACTTGGTATTGTATTTTAATTCATTTCAGTTGGTGCCCTCCTTAATGTTGCAATCTAAGATTCGGTTTCTCCCATTTGTTTCGTACTTTCACCGACATTGCGGATACTCTTTCGTTGAGTTTCGAAATGAGCTCTGCATAATCAGATGCAGCCCTGCACCCTGACAATACATCTTCCAATGCATTGCAGCAGACTTGCAAGCTAGTCGTCGACTCCTCCATCGCCATGGTCTGGAGAAAGATCTCGATGATTTTGCCAATGTGAGCCGTAGTTCGAGCAGGCCCATCTTCGGTTGACTGCTCAATATCGACAAAAATGGAGGACGCCAAATGCCAAGGAAAACACGATACTCTTGTTTTCTCCATTATGCTGGCAAGAATAACCAACGACTGATCCCGCAAAACTTTCTGCATTGCCCTAGAATTATTATCCGATTCTGTCTCGGTGGAATCAAGACAACACCGCGAGATGACGGTCGGAAGAATGGATGTTTTCTCGAGTAATGTCAAGAGACTTCCCACTGATGTTGAACGTACCCATCCTTGAAACCACCTAGCACGGGTATCCGCCAATGCTAGAACATGCGCTGTAGAGAATTGAATACTCTCTGTTGACGTTGCAATATGGTACTTTGAGTCATCGAGGAGAAGCTCCAACATCCTGGACTCCATAGTGCCAACCAACTCCTCAACGAAAACGTCTCGTTGGATAAGGTCCACCAAGATATCACACCACGTTCTAATCAGTAAGAGTAATAATTCTGCATTGGAATTATCTTGTTGAGTATACGACATTATCGCATCGAAAATATTGTGGCAGATGCCATATTGCAACAAAAGGTACTCTGACGAAGCTCGTCCCAAATCATAGTATTTTCGATGAATTTTGATGATGTCTACAGCTGCATTGGCCTGTAGGCTCCCTCGTAGATCACTCAAGAGCATTGATTTAATTTCATTCCAGTCTAGAAGCAGATCGTCAACATAAGATACGCTTCGGAAGACTGTAAGCCTATCCTCAGCACTTTGTGCTTCCTTGATATCATCTATCGTTACAGGAGGCTGAAACCCGCCTCCCGTCAACTGATCAAAAAGGGATATCGGTGTCGATTTGGACTTTTTAGGCACCGAAACAGGAGTTGTGTCTTTCCATCGTTGTATCGCAAGTGGTATGGCATCTTGCATGACTAACTCTTCCTCCTTGGACGTTTCATTTTTAGCAAGTAAAGCCAGTAATCCTCTCTCAATGAATTTATCATTCGTTCCTTCAGATGGACCATCTGAGTATAGTATCACTAACTGGTCGGTTAAGGAAGATACAAAAAGCTCAACTAGTTCTTCATGCTGATCACTCATCTCGCATCTGCCAAAGTACTTCGTGAAATTTGAAATTGTTGTTTGTTGCATCATACCAATCTTGGTGTGAATATCTGGGGGATGGGTAAAAATGAGGGGCAGATTGAGCGCCTGGCAAAAGGCATCGAATACACGTGTACATAGGACTGTAGTACACGTGTACGTACGTCACCAGTGACGATGTTGATGGAAAATATGCCAATGATACTGGAGGTTTCCTTGACGATGCAATCAAATGAAATCATCAATTTCTGTCATCGTTACACTTGCGGTTGCAGGACTGCATCATCAAACAGAAGGTTTCATCGCTCCAACGCCTGGACGTGCCTCTAGCATTAGGCTGGACGAGACGACTCTAGAAGACTGGCAACTTCTTGACAATGGGAGTCTTGTTGGTAGTGTGAGGGATCATCCAAGCTTGAATGATGGAGATATAATCACGACGTCCCCCCTCTCTTCGCCCGGAAGCGTCATGGTAGATGGATTTGTCACAACGCTGAGTGGATCAGTGTACAAACTAGGAAGACCGATGCAATTGAAGAGTCCAAATGCTGTGTCCAGTGCAGTTGAAGAAGATGGATCATCAGATCGCGATAGCCTGCTCAGGGTTGCTGGACTTGTGCTTACTTTTGCTTCTGGAGTTGCCGTTGGTATTGGTGTATCAAATACAGGTGAGAAACCCTTGTCAGTCGCGGATATCCTTGGGAAATTTGTCAATCACTCTGGATTTTTCTAACATTTTTCTACATCTCAACGCATTTGAAACCTAGGATTGCAATAGCATAGACCTTCAAAGAATCGTTAGATGTTGCATTGTGAAAGGCGTAGTCGATATATGTACTCTACGCGGACAAAGTGCACTGATAGCCTATTGCATTTGCCAATTGCCGATATTCGTTCCAGTTGCAAAGCCTCAAAAAAACCTTCTCATGCAAGATCGCCGGATCTTCTGTGTTGCTAAATTCCATAATGTATCCCTAGAGTCGAATTTATTTGCTACCAACATAGTGTCTAGCCGAAAATCGGCTGTTGTTACAACGTCAGTTCAACTTCGGCGGTACCTTGTTGGGAGAGATACGGATTTTCACCCATCGGTTTGAACAGCGCACCCACTGTTACATAAAATGCAAGCGTCACCCCCTCAATCACAAAATGCTTCACCCACTGGTGACGATAGTCCAGCGTAGAAGCAAAGATGTAGACCACGATCCTCGTGGTATAAATGTAAGCAACAACAAGCAAGTAGAAACTTCGGAACAATTTGAGTTTTGAGGCCAACTTTTGATCGGTCGGCCGACCTTTTAAAGGTTCGTTTTCAAATTCATCCTCTGAAATGATGGCATCACTGGTATCGTTGACATCTGCATGTGAATTGTTGCTCAATTCGATGTTCTTTTCTAGAGTGTTGACTTGCCAAACTATTGGAATCAACACAGCACAACAGCAAATGATATCTACCAGATGAAGGACAGCAGTCCATCTATCGAAGGCCACTTCTCCCTCTGTCTCTTGCGTTAGCACAACGATAGCAATGTTGTTGATCACTTGAAGCACCAAAATTGCAAAAATCATCTTTTTCTCTCGATCACTAAGGAATGGTTTGACAAAGCTCCATCCTGATCCAATCAGCAAGATGGCCGTAAATAGAATCATTCCTTTTAGAAATGTAAACGTATAATACAACCCTGACCACACTGAAGCGTGTCCAGTTACTCTCAAGTAGTGATATCGAATACTCTCGAAGAGGATGGAGAAGGTCTTGAGTAACAATAGAAATGACATGATATAGTGAATTGGGTAGACCAGGGGTCGTCCTCCTGCTAAATCTGCAAAATACCCAACTCCCCCTTCGGAAATCGCGCTAATATTTCTTGTCCATAAATAGAGGCAAATCGAGTAGAGGAGGAAGAAACAGAAGAACATATTTGGCAAGATCATTTCTCCAGCAGAGAGATAGGATTCGCTACTGAACGAATCTTGATTCGAGAAATGAAAATCAAGCTCAAAGTCGCTGTAAATTGTGACATCCTTGAGAACATCCAAGGTGAGGTAAACGGGTGATTCAAAACAACCTGCAGTTTATATGGCAAAGTTACCGTACCTTTGGAGGAGAGCATATTTGATAGATCAAGAAGTAGTATCCGCCTTCACCTCGCCGGAAATCATAGGAAACGTGAGCTGTATTAGGTGCCCATCGAGATGTTTGTGACATATCAAGAAAGATTCCATCCTCCACTGCATTCAAAACTTGACCATCACCATCATTCGAAAAGGCATCATCTTCACCATTGAACACATCATCATTTTGATTCAAATACTTCTGAAAAACGCAGGTCGTTTCATTTTGTTGCATCTCGTTGATATAGTGGTTGAAGTCTGATTCGTCTTTGAATCTTTTCAGCAAGAATCCAACTCCAGCTACGTAATTGTTAACATTTGGTTGGTCCTCAGAGTACAAGTTGTAGTCAAAAACGCTCATGCCGTAATGTCCAGTCTCAAGAAAACCAAAGGGAAATCCTAATGGTCCAATGACAGTACGTCTATCGTCGACAGTTGTGAATGAATGTTTCAATGCACTGCCAAATTGAATAAGCAAAAAAAGCACCCTAACAAAAGCCATAATGAATCAATCTATTTCCCTCCTTCACAACACAAATTTTTCGTTGTTCGTTGCTTTTGCGCCTATTATGCAATAGAGTAAGCACCACCAGCCAAGAACACAACTGCTTGCGGGTTGTTGATCATTGTTGTAAGATTCAAGGATGACTGTTTTGGTCCTAAAATAGGCCCTGTCAATGTAGTCGAAGTGCTCCAACCATAAGTGGAATAGAAGTGCTAGTGAAGATGGAACGGACGCACCTGCTGGTTCAGAACAAGGGTGTTAAGTCACTGTTCCTCTGAATGGATATTATCTGAAGATTCACTCAATCTTCTGCATGCAGATGCTACAGTAGATTTTGGACGTGCTCTCTTTGCAGAATTCATGGCGTAAAGTCAACTTGCGAAAGCTATCAATCTTTTTTACAATTTATTATATACAGTATATTTTGAACTTGAATAGCCCCATGTCACATAGTCTTGTGTACATGAATTTGATTCAATACTTGGTGTAGTGTTATTTGTCATCATCGTCACGAAGTAATATCAGCCAATACTTCGCCCACCAGCCTGCGTCGTCGTAGCTTTTTTCCAGAAAACCAATTCTATGCCCAGATGTGGCTTCGGCCAACGTATCACGGCTCTTCTGATCAGCCAAATCTGCAATGAAGCCATTTGTTTCGATATGCATAAACACGTTTCCAGGCTGCAACAGACTTGGAACAACACCCCAACCGAAGAAGAGGATAACCCCTCCAGCATGCAAAACTCCCTGATCGGGATCAAACTCTCTTGTTGGCAGCGAATAACACGGCGACCCTCCTTCCACGAGCTTTGTTGACTTGATCTGAATGTCGCCCCCGGTTCCATTTATCACACTCGCAGCAATGCATCGTCGAGAGCTGAGTCCCGAGAAAACTTGTCCCCAGCAAGAAACCAGATTCCAAGCTTCTTCATCAATTGTTGCAAAGTATCTATTGGAAGCACTCCCTAGTCGCTTAATTCTCTCGAAGCATTGCTCGATCAGATCAATCTCATCTTTCACACCACTCGGCAAGCGCTTTTTCATTGCATTGCAGCTACCAAAAACGTGCCGTGACTGCTGTGATTTGACTCCAGGAATTTTCGTCAGCATAATATCAAGTTCATCATCGCCGGAAGAAGGTCTTAGTTCAGCAAGGTTACTGGAGCTATTTCCTGTCTTCTGTAGCTGCATGGCCAAAAGTTTGTGCAAGTCCTCCGTCTCTTCATCGTCATCAGTATGGAACAGGAAAGTCTTGAGACCTGTCTGACTAAAAACGGCGATTCGCATTCCCATCTCTGTAGCTCCGAAATGGGAGATTTCTTCCCAAGCTACGCACCATGGTTCCCGGGATCCACGATCAATCGCCCAGAGACATTGGTCGCTGAAAACGACATTTAGTGAGAGTTTTGAATCACCAAAATATACGCTATTAGTCTGAAACACGAGACATACCTTGCAATGATCAAATGGGTAGGAATATTCACATGTCCAATGTAGATGTCATCCACACTTTCACCACCAGTCACGATCTTTTGTGCCTTGGCAGCTCGGTCGTCATATGGTTGTAGCGAGACACAGTTTGGTTTCTGAGAGTTTGTGCTTGGAAGCGCCCGGCGAAGCCTTTTAGGGATTTTATGGTGTATTTGTTTGTTGCTCGTTGCATCTGACACATGATTCATCAGTAAAGTAGCAGCATCCCCCACTCCAACAACGGGCTTCACCAATGCCCCGACCATAGCTTTGCCCACCCCTTTCATGAATCCTACTGGACCAAATTTCGAAGCATATCTAGTAGGCTGATCAACGATTCCATAGGCACCTGACTTCACTCCACGTGCAATGCTTGCACCAGCAAGGAAGAGTGAATTGTAAAATGTTCTACTTGCAACTCCACGGCTCATTGCATCCGCGAGCATCCGTTGATGAGCCTTCCTTTCATCGATGAAGTCGTCATCTGCAGTAAGCCCAGCCAAGTTAGAATTGATCACATCGGTCACATTTGCTGCCCCACGAACGACCCCGACAAACACTCCCCTTGCAAGTGACTGTGTTCCGGCCTCAAGACCCTCGATGAACTGACGAGGGCCGTGCACTGCACCCTGGATCGGTTCGTAAAAAAAATCGCGAACACCTGTCCCGACGTTTGAAATGAAGTCAGCTGGTACTCCGAGTATAGCAAGGCTACCGAGAATTGTAAAGATTTGCTTTGTGAGCTGGGATGAGTAGTGAGTTGCAATAACTCGAACAAGGGTCTGTGGTGACTCAAACACATGAGCTACCACAAAAGATGTAAATGTCAGAGGTGCATCAGCGATGCTTGCCATGCCTCTTATGAACTGGAATACCATCATGCTTTCAGCTTGGCTCGATTCCATCCACTCCTGCGTAAAGGTGAGAGAAATTCTTACAGGGTGGAGGTGGAGCTGCTCAAAATAAATGCGGCCTGAGTTTGCTGTACGAGTCAAGAGCTCGACTTCTCGAGGCGCTCTTCGGTCAGGATGAGAATACTTCGTTTCCATTCCACTAGTAAGGTCGGATACCCAGCTACCAGTTTTGCCGGCTACAATATTTTCGGCTTGTGTCACTGGCTCAATATATCGGGCAATAGTCTCCGCGGTTCTAATGAAAAGTGAGCATTGCACATTGGAAAAAATCTTTTGCACAAAAGAGCGCTACTCGTACTCACCGGCGGTCAAGAAAAATGTGCACTTCCAGCATACGGCAAGCAGCGTAGCGAAAAACGTAAGTATAGCTCTGTTGCATCCGTCGCACTGCAGACATATGCAAAAATGGCTCCTTGTCGTCGTTCTTTGGGCAAAATAGCTGAAGAGGGCTCTGTGAGTTCTAGTGAAGCTTTTTCTTCGTCATAAAGAAGCGGCTTTGACTTACCAACACTGGATGTATCGAAGAAGGAACGTGATTATCGACCTGCAGGCTCATCAGCTGTAGCTCCATTTCGTGATAACCCTCGCGGCTTTGGGATAATGTCAAGTAAAGGTTTTCGAAACTAGCCATGAGTATCTCACGACCATATTGACTGGGATCAAGGTTGTCAATAAAGCTAGCGCACATGACTGGGACATTGAAACGAAAACTAAACGAAGGGTGCTCATCGTCTCCTTCAAAATCAAATGGACTTCCGTTGGCCGTGTTTTTAGCGTTGGGATCGAGAGAGGAAGGGCTGTGATTCTCAGGAGGCTCCTCCACGGAAAAAACAATCACCTTGGTCGATAACTCTGCGCCGATTTGGCATCTGATTTCTCTTCCATCGCCGACACCAAGACTGCTCGTTGATCCCATGGCATCGACCTCCACAACAGCCTTTCTCAACGTGCTATTAAAGAAAGGATTGTCCTCATCTACACAAGCCCATTCAAGAATATGCGGCTTCTCAGGATCGTCAAATCCAAAACAAGTCACTTCGCCACCCTTAAGAATCCACACAAATTCCTCCAGCCGGTCGAGACCAAGCATGGAACGAACAATCGGAGAAAACTCTGCCCCGCATTCAATTGAAGCCCTTCCCACACCATCGATATTCGGAACAATTGCAAGATCGTTTACTGTTCCTTCGTTTTCTTCTGCCTGCAGCGGCTGACGACAAATTATCGTATGAGGGGTTGTGTTTCGAAGCACATAGAGAGGGTTTGACTTCTCGTTTGTCGACCACAACACAATCACAACAGCTGAGCTTTGCTCCTTTGTCGCTAGACGAACTTCAGCTTGAACGACCATTGGTTTAGTAGGCACTAGAGTCGACGTCGGAAGTCTCATGGATGTTATTCCAATTTTATCCAGCTGAATACAACCATTTGCCCAGCAGTTCGAAAAGCTTTTCGAATCTTTTTCCTTGGCATTTGGTGCGCCAAGCCTTACCTTCGGTGGTAGCGATTGTCGTTCCCAGTGGTACGGCACCGATGCCTGGGACGGAATTACGATGGATTTCTTTAGACAACCGTCTTGAGCCAAAACAATATCTCTCTTCAAGAGATTCACGATTTGGTATCTCGGAATGACTGTTATCAGTTTTGTTCGCGAAAAAATGCCATCGCACATGCTGACACCAATAGCGAGCTCAAATCTCCGAGAGCCACCACTTTCATCCACTGACAGGACAGCCTTCGGCATGACATTCGAAATGTCAAGAGCAGCAGTCCACTTTGACTTTTCTGCAATGGTGAGGTAGGACCTATCACCCACACCGCTTTCGATGGAGAGAGCAATCTTTTCTTGCCGTGAGAAATACAGGGACATGCCACTCATTCCGATTGACCACTGGTGCCCTTGGATCTTCATATCTCGCTTGATCGCAGGAATACGCGAGTCTTCCTTTAGTAAGTGAGACCGCCGAGAACACTCGACATCCGGAGATGTCCCCATGACATTTGTACCACTTTCACAAAAATGACATCCAAATCCAGTTTTGTCAACGATCCAATACTGTGCGTACACCCTGATTGTAGGAGAATGCCCGCACTCAACTGCAACAACAAGTACAAGCGGATCTCGGTAGGCATCGCCTAGTCTATCGAAGCGAACAGTCATCCGAAACTCGTCCCCCTTCTCTACATCATCCTTGTCAAAGTTGAAATATAGATCCTCCTCGTCCTCGTCTGGTCTCCATGTACAAGTACTGACTTTTCTGTTCACGATTCTTTGCCAACAGGACCATTTGTAGCCAGGAACACGAAGTGATAGATGCGGCTTCGCTGATGGATTGAGAGCAATGCACTTTCCTGCTTTGCCACTAGCGATTGTAAGCGTTTCTACATTCGCAACCCTCTTTTTCATTCCAAGAGGAAGCGATGGCCTGGAATCTGCTTGACGCCTGTCGGACGGGCGTAGCAACTCACCAAGTTGGCATTCAAGTTGACAGGGCAGCAAATTGACAACCCTTAGCACCGGCTCAACGTGTATGTCGACGATTCCTCGTTTACATTCAATTTGCAAAAGGAAATGCAGGCTTGTCTCGGAAGCATCTCCTAGCTCCATACAAGTTCGAACCAAGACGTTTGAGTTGTAGCCTGTCGGAAGTATCATGACCTTATCGGCCGTAGCATAGTCTTTGATTGAACTAGACAAGCGTCCAGATCGATTCTTCGCAAGGTGTAGATACAATGCGGATGATAGAACGATAGGAACGTTCGCTTTTCTGGCTGGCTCCACGCTACCCGCATACTTCTCTTCATCCCAAGTTGGACTTGAAACGAAGAGAGACAACTTCGATCCGGTCGAGTTGTGAACGGTTACGTGGCTCTTTACCTCGACCTTGTAATTGCCCCTGTCATCCCGAGATGTTTCCCAGACCAATTTCAATTGTCGATTTGGATCGTCTAAACTCGGAGGCTTAACAATCCTTGTTCTCGTCCACCTGCGTCGTCGACAGGAGTCTCCGCGCTGGTAAAACCGTCTGGCGCGGGTAAACGTTTCAAAATCTGCCTGGTACTCCCAACCATCAGCATCTGTTGATTCTCCATAAACACCATTCACATCGACTGACCAGTTGTTCACCTAAAGTGACCGTAAAAAAATTAGATTCACCTTTGCTGCGATGTGTTCAAGGTGGAAAACGTACCCATATCCAGTTGCTATCGGGAAGCATCACCCGTTCCCTCGCCATACGGAGAATACAAGTCATATCTGTCCACTCTGGGCTGTCGTTCTTGAGATATGGCCGCAACCACTCACTTTTGTGTCCCGTGTGGGTCTTGCCCTTTCGACTTGGACTACCGACCTGATTGTTGCTTGACGTTGATGGATCTTTACCCTGAAGATGAACCAGAGCATCCTCGTTGTAGTCTTCCTCGGGTGACCAGATACTTGCCGAGAGCAAGTCTCTACCTTTTCGAAGGCTGTACAAGTCAACAGTACTGGATCGAAGCCTTTGGTTTTGCATACACCATTCTACAACCGGCTCTGCGTGGAAGTTTACATACTCCCGAGCACTGTTTGCCATTTCGTTTTGAACGGTTTCCGGGCTCGATCTACCACCTCCCACCACATCTTTCGGTCTCAGCAAATGCATCGACACCGAATGATCTAGTGGTGACGAGACTGGCAAATTGGATACTATCTCTCGCTCTCCAATCGAGATATCACTTGTCGAGGCTACCTGAAGAGACAACTTCATTGCTTCCATTGCTTCATCTACACTATTTTGGAAGTGCGCAACATCCACAATTGACTCAATGGATACACAGCACGAGTCTTTGATCAACCCCAGTCCAATAGTGTCAAATCGGACGCTTGATTGACGAGGACTACTGACAGACGAAGGACTCATGGGGTGGACTTCAATGTCCATGCCCGTGAAGTTGTGAATCGAGACAGTATGAGACTCAGTAGCACGACGTAATCCCACTGTCGACAAAGCTGAAGGAGTCAACACATTTGGCCTCTCCGTAGTCTCTTGCGTGTTCAAGGAATCAATACTTAGTTCCGCGACATCACGAAGAAAAATGCCAGTAAGATTCAATTGGACTGGTGTTGGAGTTGTTGCATCCAAAACCTAAGCAACACGTGAGAAAAAGGGTATCGACTTCAAAAAATGGCTTGGTCAACACACTTCACCTACCAGTTCGTTTGGCATCTGGTCGACATGTACCGTGATTGGGAAAGGCTCAACTGCGTGGTCCCAAACGCCAACCTCAGAATTAAAATAGTCAATGGAGATGCCGGCATTGCACTCCCCTGTTAGCGCTGATATGCAACCGTCAAGTTTCGCTTTCAATTCCTTCAAATTGAATGAGAGGAACTCGGGAGCACCAAACTTTGATCTATATGCCCTGAGGACAACGAAAGAGAAGGTTTGAAACTCTACACGAATACTCGTTGCAATCCCTGTTCCTCGCTTCTGATACTTCATCAAGGCTGCGACACCAGAGTCCTCATTTCGTCGCATTTTCTCTCTTGCTGAATGCAATGCATCGCTTTCTCCCTTTAGCCTATTCATCATCGTCTTGAGAATATTCACAAGTATTCTCAGATCATTGGGAGTCAGGGCAGACTTCAAATGCTCGCAATCAAGTGAAAGTTCACGGGATACAACACAGCCTTGGTTCTCAGTAGCATTCATTATGCGAAGCTCAGCACCAGTAGGCCCTATCATCGGCGATGAAACTGACGCCGAAGCACTGTCAAAAGCTGTGGTAACAGATATTGATAGGTTATCGAGACTTGCATGTAATGTCGTGTTGCCACTAGCATCATGATTCTCTATACTTTGGAACATGATCAATGCATTTGAGGAGACATGCACCACAGCGAATGCGTAGGAACGACGAGCCGACCCTGAAACACGATGATCGGAGACTTCGCTTGAAGTCGGCCGTCCTGCGAGAATCATTCCATCTCGTATTGTTACCTTGAATAACAGGCTTGAATCCGAAGGCGATCTGGTGACGCTGTCATCGTCTTCTTTTTGTAAACCAGTCAGATCCGAATGCGGGTTCGTCAAATCCGAAGTTACTGAAAAAGTTTGAGACCCTGGCCTTGACGCCTTTGTTTTGCCATCTTCTGGATCTTGAATGAAGTCGCTGATATGTGAGACACATGTCACGATCATTATATAGAGCAAACAGTACCTTACCATTATTGTTTCCTTGTTGGCGAGCCTTGCGTCCTTGTTCATGCACATTTCGCTCCATCTCTTTTGTCATCAGTTGTACCAACTCGACAATTTTCCGTATACCTTTTGCACAATCTTTGAGAGAAGTCGGAGTGACTCGGAGCACAAACGACTCGATGTCAATTTCTACTTCGTCCAAGTGTGTCCTTCTATCGTGAAATAGGGAAACCTTGAGAATTTGATGAGGCTGAAGAACTTTGGGTGCAATCCCATCATGGATGACAGGCGCCGTACTGTGAGTGGCATTCGAGGTACTGCCAACGTTTCGACGCTCCAGGATGCAATATTGATCTTGAACGGCAATGTGACGATGCGCCAATGGAGTATATTCAAATGAATTCCTCACTTGGACTACCGATGCATCGTTTATCAAAAGCTCAGTGGCTGTAACCTGATGATGCCGAGATCTTCTTGCAGATATTTGAAACAGTTCAACAACATACGTTCGAATGAGCGAAGTTGCATCCCCAGTGAGAGCGGTATCATATGACCCTAGACTTCTCTCGTCAGAGATATGAATTTTGGAATGACCTTCGAGAGCCATCTCGATTTTTTCTATCGTCAAGGAAAGACAATGGGGTGGAGAATGGCGCGACTCGCCAATATGCTTATCTTTCTGTTTTCGGGAATGTGTGCCCGCATTATCCCGCAAAGGCACCACTTCATCTCTCGACAAAGCTCTACCACGTACAGCCACGATCCCTTGTGAGTACCATTTCCCAATAGCTCTTGCTAAGACCTCGGCGTCAACAAGATTCAAGCATATTGGGCTTATTGCAATATCGAGGTTCATAACAGAGCCCATATATGTGTTGTGTTCGATCAGAAATGAACTTGCAACATCTTTGGCATCTTTCCTACCGCTGACAGCATTGACTTGGAAAGGCCGAATGATTGGTACACTTTCATCAGTATTGTGATCCAAGAGAGAATTCAAAATCCTTTGTCGGACCTCAGAAAGGTGGCATCGTATGTAGTTTATCTGGATATCACTAGCATCGAGATTCCAATCAGTACCCATGTTGCCATCTTTTTTCGAACAGACCAGACGAAAGTTCCCCGCATCAAGTAGGAGCGACCCGTCAGACATATTGGAGGAAAAGGGCACCCAGACCTTTGGCGCAGCCACGTTGAAGAAGAACTGAAAGTCTGATTGCGAAAGGAATGCAAGTTGTGCTTTCCTTGCAAGTGGTGTGGAGACATCCTTAAGGTGTCGTGTCAATTCTGTCTTCATTTTGCTTGTTGGGGCACCAAAAAACTCGGCGAGGGCGTCGAAGCAACGGGTTGTCCAGATTAGGGTTGCTGGATGGGCCGAGAGACTCATTCGTTTCGAAGGTTTGCTTCGCATTGCCGCAAATCGACAGACTACACCATTCGGTGGAAGCTTCATGAAGCTTGTTGCAGATGGAACAGCAATAATTGCAGTCTCAGAAACTTCCGAGTCCGAATCCGAGTTTTCATCAGGGATCTCAACGTCTCCAGACGCTGCCTGCACAAAAAGAAGCCTATCATTCTGCCCATTTTGTTCCTGACAATCGAACAATTCAAATTGAGAAATGTCAAAATAAATGTCCTGATGGCCTGGACCCAGCAGTTTTACTTCCCCAGCACCTTCTGTCACCAACTTTACGATTTCATCGTTGGATTCGGTTAAAAGTGATATAGTGAGTCCTGGTTGCAGAAACCGCAGCCTCGTCTTCCATTGTTTCCTACCCAATCTTAGCTTCATCGCTTCGAGAATTGAAGTGGAAATGGAGTCACCAGTCTTTGGTGGAATCACAGGGGTCGTTGCCCTTTGTGAAATCGACACTTCCTCATGTTGACCTGAGGACTCTTGCAACTGCCGTGACGACTTAGAACTGCTTCGAAACATACTGGAAAGTTTTTTTCTTATCTTGGTTCTTCCCCGACCTTGATCACCTGACTTTTCTAGTCTTGCGGTACCATCTTGATCAGTATCAAAGTGCTGCCGTAGCGCGATGAGGTGAAACGCCATCAAGGCTTCAATAGGTAGTAATTCCTCCAGCTCCAACAGCCTCGAACTTTCTGATTCTGTGAGACCAGCGTGATAGCCAGAACCTCCTTTTCCTTTCGAAAGCTTTTTCAACACCAGCTCTAAATATTCGTCTCTACTTCGAACAATTCGTAACACGTCTTCCCATGGCCTTGAGTTTGGACGCGATGTAATGCAACCATAAGCGTACTTCCACCACTCTAGCGGTTGTTTTTGTGGAGATCGACTTGGTTTCTGTCTTAGCATCGTATCAAATCGTCGCTGAGAGAGCATGGCACTTTTTAGTTTTCTATACTGAACCAGCTGCGATGGACGCAGTTTCCAGTCCCATTGAAATGGGAGAAACTCCGCTTCACAAGATATGGGACCCGGTTGAGTGCGATCACTAATCCTTTGCTTTACTTCGTAATTGAAATCTTGAAAGCAGTATTGATGTGGACGGGATTGGTTGACGTGTTTTGCTTGAGAGGATCGTTTCTTCGCCATGAGGGATTCGTACACCTTCCGACCGGGATCTTGTGAATTGACAAGCGCTGCCATGGCATTTCCAATTTTCAAATGGAATGATTCCGCCGACATTTTCTTCTCTGGGGATATGATGATATCGGTTTCGGAGAGTAGAAACGGAGGATCATCATCCCAGTACATACACAAATTTTCAAAACCAAATATCTTATTGTTCCGCACATCATATGGATGTGCACCCAGGTGGTCGTCATTTATGTTGCGTTTGTTCTTCTCATGACTTCCCACGACCCAATTCTCATTCGCTGTCCGAATTCGCAGTTCGTCGAGGGTTGTTCCAAATGCAAAGGCTCTTTGATCGTAGTTCAGTCCTCGGTGGTCACTATTTGTTCGTTGGGCTCCATTTGGAACGGATTTTTTCTGAACTCCAAATTCCAACCCGCCCTCTGAAACCTCGCAGCGTACATGGATGTCGATCATAACTGCTTCAAGATTGCGAAGCATCTTTTCTCTTAACTTCACCTTCCAGTCGCGAGGTAGGTCATAAAGATCTGCTTCAAGGTTCACATGCTTCTCCTCTGATGACATATTATTGCCTGTCGACTGCTCTGGATTTCTTTCTTTCTCCAAGTCGGACACCAAGTAATCGAAAAAGGCATCAGACTCAGCACCCTCGGTGCTCTGCCGTTTTCTGTTCTTTCGCTTTTGTTCTTTTTCAACATTTCGCGCTGCTATTATAATCCGTCGAGCTACTGGTCCTTCTCCTGATATCCGTCCTGTTCTAAAATACTTTTCGTACCGAGCTAGCTTCGAACGTTTGACTCTGGTTCTCAATGTGCAGGTTGGTTCTTTCGATGTACCTGCGCCATACATTTTATTCGCAGTCGATGGCAACAGTGGTAAACACAGCAGATGGATTCCTTTGATTTCTATTCTGGTTGGTTCTTTCTCTATGTTTGTCAAAGGAACGGTGATTTTGACTGTTTTTGCCCAGCACGACAGCACTCCAAACCCTGACAATCCAATGGACCCCAGGATTCTCCCTCCAATAAAATCACCGTCAAGTTGGACATTCTCCAATTTTATTCTGCCTCGAAGGGCCTGAAATTTCAGGCTTTCCTTATCCAGATTGACAACAAATTCTCCGATTACGTCTTCCAACGCTGCAAGCAAGAACGACAAAGAGTTGCGTTGCATTAGTACACAGATTTGATTTTTGTCATTGATTCCTCACGAGACCATTTCTACAATTGACTGTCATGTCACATACCTCCGAGAATTGCTTGTTTGGCCATCCCTTGAGTGTTTCTTTATTATATAGACTCTATGTTGCTGCGATTGTTGGCATTATTTCTCTGCAGGTGAGGCAACTGTCAATGATACTGTGGCATCTCTCTTCTAGCTTGGTTTTCTTTTGCATGTTCAAATTGATTCTTCTTGCACGCGCGCGCCGACCTACTTTTGATCATTTCGACACATGTCAAAGATTACGATGTTGTAATTGAAACTGATAGAACACAAAAAAAATGTAAGACCTAAGCTTTATGCCGCTTGTTACTATCCGTAATATCACCAGCCGCCGCTGCATTGAACTGTTGCATGGTCTGCATATTGTTTAGGGCCTCCAACATGTTAACTTGATTCATGTTGAAACCTGGTTGTCCCAAGAAGTTGCTTGGGAGGAATCCTGAAACAGCTTGTGGGGCTTGGGCGGGGATTTGTGGCTGCACTCGCGCAGGTTGAAACTTGCGTTTGGACGAAACGGAAGGATCCTTAAAGTGCAATCGGTCCCAAATGCGAGCGAAGAAAGCTTTTTGGCTTCCAAATTTCATCTTGGCCCGTTCTTCGTCGTGCGTCTTGCGGAGACTGGTAAGAGAATCTCGGATCTCGGGTGGAACCTTTCGACATCTCATCATGTGATTATGAAGAACATTCAATGTCTTGGAAGTATCTGAAAGAGTCTTGATACTAGAGGGAAAGAACCTTCCCGAACCATATCCGCCAAAGCAATGCTTGCAAGCAAGACCAGGAAATCCCGGAGGGAGACCTTTGCGTTTCCCAAGTCTATCGGCTTCTGCAAATACGCAAGGACGCATTTGTTGCAGCAAATAATAAGAAAACGCAGTGCCGCATGGTTCATCTTCTGGAACAACAATGGGACTTTCGGGTGAAGCTGGCTCCATTATAGTATTGTCCCTCTTTTGTTCTGCCGCTGGCTTGGAATCGGTAGCAGTTTCAGCTTCTGACGAGCTTTCGGCTGCCTCATCATGTTTCACAGGTTCTTCATTGGGTTTGAACATATTTCCAGCCTCGAGCGCTGGGATTTGTGGTAGAGCATTTGGCTGAGGCACTCCAGAATAACGAATTCCAGTTCCAGTGTCTACAAGTCCCAGACTGACAGCACTCTGGACCCAGTATTTCTTGGAAGTTCCACTTCGTGCATCATCACCTTTAAGCATTTCGTAACGTTCCATGATTTCGGGTGGAACTGCATTACAATTGTGCAAGTGTCTTTGTAGGAGATTCATCGTAGCGTTGTAGATCGAGGCAATAGAGGTAGGGTAATATATACTGCCTCGTTCTTTCGACTGGGATAATGGATCTCTATGACAGTGCGGACATCGAATTCCGACTTGACCGACTTGGATTGGTTTCCGCTTTCCTTTGGAAGGAGTGGCGACATCTTCTTCCACTGCTGTAAACACTTCCACACAATGCTTACGTACAAAGCAGTGCAACGGCGTCAACCACTCCTTGTCGGTTTCCATCGCCAAAGGTATTGGCTTGTTCATTGCGGCAAACGGGCCGTTGGACATGTGTTCCGATACAAAAGCATCATCGTTGTTTTGCTTGCTGGTTTGATTCGCAACTGACATGGATAGTTGTGGTTGAAAGCCTTGGACGGCAGCAAAGATATCGGGTGTTTGGTTGGCCAATGGACCACCCGCCAGAGACCCAAGAAGATCCAGACTGCCACGTCTCATCATTCCAGCAAGGCTATTACGTCTTGCAGCAGCGGCGCCAGCATTGTTCATCATGCACATATTCTCGTGAGCATTCGCCTCTTCTCGGTTATTAAATGCCTTCCCATTGCATACTCTGCATACAAACCACTGCTGTTGCTGGCCGCCACCGTTAACGTCAGGTGCAGAATTCGTAGCAGCCGCAGCTGCAGCAAATCCTTGATTCTGTAGTCCCATGAGCAGACCTTGGGCATTATTGAAATTCAATGCATTTCGTTGAGCTTGTTGGGCTTGTTGTGTGTTGTTCTGAGGCCCGTTCATATTATGATGCATGCTCTGAATGGCAAGGCGTCGTTCCCCCATGGCTGCAAGCAGTTGCTGTCTCTGAAGTTCCAGTTCTTTCTGCTTGCGTTCGAGATCATGTTGTTGTTCTTGAAGTTGTTGTTGGCGGTTATTCAAAGAAGTAGCATCTTGTCCCAAAGCAGCAGCAGAAGCAGCTCCATTGTTACTGTTGGGTGGATTCCCTCCCGACATAGAAGGAAGCTGACCGAACGAATTGATGGAAGCTACATTGCCCAAGTTCAAGTTGACACCCCCCATTCCTCCAAGCGGATCAAACGAAGCTAGTGGATCGTTAGTTCCACCTGCCATTGACAATCTCCTCCTTGTTAGATCCATGATGTGAGCATCAAAGGCTGCAGCGGTAGAATCCATAGATCCTCTACGTCCAAACAGGTTGTCCAGTTCTCCAAAACCACTCGGTCTTCTTCCAAATAGAGCATCGTTGATTTGATCAAAGCCAAGACTAGATCGACGATTGGCACCTCCAATAGTGACACGACGACCTTGGGGAGGGACTGGAGCCCCAGCTTGTCCAGCTTGTTGTGATTGCGTAGCAGGGGAAGGAACCAGTGACGCAGCAGACTCTTTACCTTGCAAGGCCTGAGCATCTCCAGCCCAATCGCCTTTGGAATTGAGGAGGTTTTCACTCATGTTGACAGTATTGTGGACAACCGTGTTACACTGTGCACAGTAGAAAGATACGACTGCTGAGGGTCAACACAAAAGATGAGAGTGAGATACTCCTTGGTCTAATGTGAATGCTTGTTGGGAGTCCCTAAGGAACCTTTTGGTCAAAGGCGCTACAAACCACGGTCTTGATTTGAATGCGTCGTAAAAATCTACAGGATAAATGTACCGACATTATTTTCTCCCTCCGTTCCGAATTGTCCATTCTACATGTATTGCTATGAGCTTCTAGTACCCGTGTTTTGTCATATAAGAGAACCAAAGAACGATACTTAAGGAAAGAGAAAATAGTCTTTTCGGTACGAGTAAACCTCTCAGGCCTCTAATACTCAACTTGAATCACGAATCGTGTTGTTATTTGGTCGTTGAGCCTTCAAGTTCGTTTGACCGTCCAATCTTTTTGAACGCCACCTCAAATGCGTCCACACCATCTCTCACAGAAGTGCAAGTGGAGGGAGTCAAGTCAGTCAGTCCTATTTTCATTACTCCTACAGTAATGGCTTCTCAACCTGGTACCAGATACTAGATACCAGGATGACCTGGGACTGCATGGGTACCAGGTACCAGGTACGTACTAGGTATTATTCATTTGGCGTTGTTAGCCTTGCAAATCCTTGGTCCAATCAAACTTCTTCCATCCCTCCATGAAAGCAGCAATATTTTCTCGTTCGTCTTCATGGGAGAATTTCCTCCTGCGATTGAATCGAATGGGGTCCAAATCCATAATGGAAGAGAGTGTATCCATTCCAAAGTCATGGCGAAAGCTATCTCCTTCAATTATAGCGCAATAGCCAGTATTTTCAGAGGTAGATACACTTCCCCAATCCACATAAAAGTAGGGGAATCCTTTCTTTGGAAGCACACTTTTGACAGGTTTCCTGGCACTCGTCGGCATCACCTTGTTGTGGGTACCCCATTCATCACTTTGTTCTACCATGGACGACTTGAAATACATTGGAGCATCCTGCAATACAGAAAAGGGAACGGCAATCACATCCATTTTGGTCTGCCAGAATCCGTTGTTGGGCAATACTGTTTCCAGCAGAATGATACCCTTTCCCTTAGTTGCATACATGTTGCTCAGTGCTGTGTGAAATCGTTTGACTTCATCCCAAATGGCATCATCGTTGCATTCCACAAAGGATGGTGCATGTTGGATTGGAACCATGTGAAAGTGATGGCCTGGGATTAACGAGAGATTAGGAGGGGCCATTACCAAAGAAAGGTGATTTCCAAATCCTAATAACCGGTGCTTTGCAAAAGATTTCGAACCGACCCACCATGAACACTTGGCAGTAATCTTTTCCTGCTTCAAATATCGATCCACCTCGCGATGTTGTTCCCGTTGCGTAGCTTTCCCCGCAGCCTTTGCTTTCTGCTCTTTGACATCGACTGGCAACAGTCGCTTCATATTCTCCAATTCTTCATCACTGTCGTCACCGGATATTCCTTTCTTTCGTTTCTTTCCCGTGCGGATTGCGTTTCGGACCATTTGTTCATCCCACGGCATGGTCATGTTTCGTTCGTTCATGGCAAGTTCAGCAGCAGTCATGTCTTCTTCTCGTTTATCGATGGAAGAAATCTTTCTTGATACAACGACAGTAGCACTAGCAGCAAAATCACTAGGATTTTCAGCTTCCATAGGAAGCGATTCCAGTCGTCCAATCATTCGGGAAGCGGATCGGTCCTCCAGAACACTTGTTTTGCCACTGGCAATGGCATTTCGTAGTTTGTCGGCAACCGATTGGTTGTCATCATTTTCATGGCCATGTCTCGGCTCTTTGGAAACTGGCTCCGGCCTATCTGAATCTGATGAAGCGCTCGGTTCATGTACCTTCTTAGCTTTCTTCTTTTTCTTTCCGACTTTGATTCCGCTAAGCATGATCTATGTATCGTGCTGGCTGGTTTGTTGCTCGGTGAATATTGCTCCTTTCCTTCCTGACTTGCTTCCTATCTTTTTTCAGTGTTTCGTTTTTCTGTCAGCTGGCTATTCGATTAGCCCGATTCATTCAGCGTTACAGATTAGGATCTCTACCAACTATTACCATGTTCTATGATTATGAGCTGTTCATGATTCCACTTTTTTTCCAGTATATATCTTTGTAACGTTTGACCATTGTGGCGGCAAGATATATGTTGTAAGCTGCTCCCCTTCCTTAAAGTCAGCACTGCTTGGCTTCTTTTTGGGAGCACAAATTTGTTCCGATGTTGTATCCTCCATCTCTTGGCCTTTCTTCGAGTAGTTAAAGGTCAACTTCCAAACATCACAATTTCCAAACTTAAAATCTAGACCCAACATGGCTTTGAAGAATTCACTGTGACCAACAACTGCGATAGTATCTTCTGGTTGGTCATGTAGCCATTTCTCAAAAAATTCGACTCTTCCCTTGAATTGCCCTCGATACATGGGTATCCATTCTTTTGGCGTCATTTCTATCAATTCTGCCAATTCCACAACTCGATTTACGGCGCCTACCTTTGTCTCGGGGGCAACACACCCCAGCATACCCTCGCTCGTTTCCCTTGCACGTATCAAAGGAGAATGCACAACCAATTTTACGTTGAAAGTCTCCAAGAAATTTGCCGCATCAAGCTTTGCCTTCATGTCACTGATTTGATCCTTGCCAATATCGCTAACTATCGAGTCAATCTGTGCAGGAATATTCAGCAGTTCTCCTACAGCCTTCGCATCTTGCAGACTTGGTAGACGGAATCGACCAAGAGTCCTCAGAGAGTTTTTCAAGCTTCCAATCCTTCTATTTTCTTCAGATTCTGCATGACGGATAAGGTATATAGTCTTCTCGACTGATTCTTCGGGAACCGACATTGTGTTGGCTAGGGTCAGAATGAAAAGACAGAGAGTTTGTACAACAAAACGCATTGGATGTTCGTTCGAACAACGGTCGAAAAAAAGGAGGTGATGGTTACAGTACGTGTCCGCTGAAAGAGCCAGCCGACATCAACGCAGGCCGGCGATGCAATCATGCAAAACGAAAAACACATCGTAATGGTACCGGTACATGTATGATACTCAACAAAATAATAATAGTATAGATAGGATTGGATAAGAATATTCATTCTCGCTCTAGTCCTTAAAGCGCGACTTCTTGCCCTGCCAAGTTTTTGAGGATGCTAATTGTTTCGCCTTGATGACAGAAACTTGAATCACGTTGCTCCGTCCCTTGACCGACTTCAACACAAAGTACATGACTAGAAGCCCAAGGAGGAATACGACTGGGACCGAGCTGGACGACGGTTCTCTCTCAAACTTTAGCAACCGGTCGTACTTGGGATCGATCTCAGTACCATGCCTAAAACAAGGGGACAAGGGACAGATTGGTAAGGGCGTATTTCGGAGATATCAAAGGATCGACATGGTCTGAATTACCAGTATTTGCTTTCAAGGAACGTGAAAATGCCGGCCTCCTTCCAACTTCCATCTTCCTTGAAGCATGCAATACAATCTTTTATTTGAGGCCAAAGAACCTCTAGCTGCTCTGTCGCGGAAAGCTCATGTTTGTCCTTTGTTGGCAGACCGGCATTCATGCTGTTTGCCCGAGTTTTTACTACTCGCACTGAAACTTCATTATGAACTTCCCATAGCCAAGTTGGCAATTCTTTCCAATCAGCAACACTTGCACCCTCTAATTCTTCCGTCAGTCTATCGCATCTCCGATTGTTTTCACAGGAGTCATAGGTTGCAATGAATTCTTTTCGGCATGGTCCACAAGTAAAAAAATGGTCAATGTAGTTTCGTATCGCGTTAGCCGCTTCCAAGGGGGAGAAAGTCCTCGCCGATTGAAGAATCAGCCCAGATTCAATTAGGTTCAACCCACCACGGTTCTCAGCAATGCCAACAGTTGAAGTGTGCAACAGCTTCCAGAAGCCACATGTAAATTTGCCTTTCGTACAATCCTTGCTCCATCCTTCTTGAATCTGATATTTGTCCAAGATTTCCAATAAATTGGATCGGCCCTTACCTACTTTGACATAATTTTGTCTTAACTCCAAAATTAGCTTGTGAAGACGCCATTCCGGTGGCAAAGAAACACCGAGGAGATCGAGATAGTCACGAAAGGTATTTAGTTGATTTGAGTCGAGTTGGTTGCTCTTGACAAAGAGACCATATTTCAGTCCCATTACAAATGAATGCGTCACATCCAGGATCAATCCTTCTTCTTCTGACAGATGTGCGTACGACCGAACCAAAGGTCGTCTTCTCCCGCGAACGTCCTTGTGGTACGGCAACATTCCAATCGTCATGCTGTTGCTAATCGACCCACGGTTTCTCCATCGTTTCCTTGCTTTTTGGATAATCTCATCCAAGGACTTTCTTCTGGCAATGAACTCTTCTGTGCCTGGAGTGTTTGCTCTCATTGTTTTCGTCAACACATCAGACTCGACATTGTGTGCTGCTGCATTGTCTTTCGTTCCCCCAAAGAAAATGCCAAAGAATCCCTTCCGTTTCTGTTTGCGATCGTAATCTTGCAGCTTTTTCAGCAGCGGGCTACGGAATCGATCAAGTTCCATCGGCTTGTACTTGGCGTGTAGTGCCCCTCCACGTCGCGCTTTTGTAATCTCCGCATTGATAGAGGTACCTTCATCATTGCTACTACCATTGTTGTCTTCGTCAGTTTCGTCGTTCTCACCTGTGGTGTCCTCGTCATTGTCGCCATCCATGTCATGTTCTCGGTAAGTTTCAGTCTCTTGATGGTCTTCATTTTCGCGGCGAAAGTGTTCGACTAGATTTTCGTCACCCTCGCCATTCTCATCGCTTGTACCATCTTTAATATCATTTTTATCGCTTTCATCTTCTTGGATATTTTCATTTTCCTTCCGAAATTGTGGTCGTGGATCTTCTTGATCGTCAGCCTCGCCATCGTCAGCCTCTGGTGCATTCTCATCATGATCGTCCCCATCCGCGTTATGAATATAACTGTTATCCTCACTCCTCTCTCCACCTGACCCTTCCTCATTCGCATCAGAGTCTGCTTCATTTTCGTCGTTTTCCTCATCAACGTTTTCGGCACCTCCTTCAGGTTCATTCTCCCTGTCTATTCCAATCGATTCTCCATTTGAAACGTCGAGCAATTCGACAATCTGATCCACCGTATATCCACCTTCGTCATCTGCCATCTCGGTTCCAGAATCCTCTCCTGCCTTGTAGAGCTTTAGAGTGGGGAAATCATCAATACCAAATTCATTGCACGTATCAAAGTGATCGTCACAGGAGACGGCAAAGAACTCGATCTGTGGATATTTTTCGGTCACCTCTTTCGCAAGCTTGATGTATTTTGGTTTGAACTGAACACAAGCAGGACAGGATGGGCTATAGAACTCTACTACGCGAGGAGAGTTGGAATCCATGAACCGGTTCTCTTCACCTATGTACTCCTTGATGGGATGCTCTGTGGCATCTGCCAAATATAGGTAGGTATCCGTAGCCGTCCCGGCAACTAGCAAGACATAGAAGGATAGGAAAATTATTGCTTGCATCATCTTGTCGTCCATTCCAAATAGATAGTGACCATTCGGTTTTGTTGACGAGTGTGACGTGTGACTGTGATATTCACGTTCAACTTTACTCCACCTGTGTCCCATGAAAAGATTCGAAAACCCTCGAAATCTTCAGTATTGGGGGACCAATTATTTTGGATCAAACCATTATTCCCGTATTTCCATTAGTAGTCGAATGAATCATATGAGCTCTGTATTTTCGTCCTTTTGGCAGCTGTTGGTTGTCAATAAATAAAACGCTGTACTGGAATATACTGTACCTACGAGAAGGCGCCTGGCCCCCCCACCAACCCTTAAAATAAAAGAAACGAACTATTCAACTCCGTCCAACGAACGACCCGACACTGGAGAAGATTGTAACACCTTTCAACGAAACCACGTGCGTTCTTTAGAAAGAAACATACAATAATACACGAAAGAAAATAGACTAATACCTCCACACCACTGTAACCAAGCAAGCAATTCCAATCCTATCCAATGTCAAATCAGAATCAATAAAGCATGACGACGCTGGTTCAAGTTCTTACATCGAAAGCTTCCGTAGAAAAGAATCTCAAAATGCCGACAAGCATCTCAGACCAGAAACCCTCGTCTTCCTTGAAATCGCACGATAGCGGAGACTCCGCAACGTATCATCATCAGTCAGAAATCTCGTCGCAAATGGCACAACATGGCAACGATAGCCATACAACAAGCAATTCCACAAAGAACATATCTCAACTATCCGAGTCGATCCAACGCTTGGACGACCTTCTCATAGAGGAGACTGGTGAATTGATCCAAGCAGCCGCACCACAGACAATATTGAATAGAGATTCCATCGGAAAAGACGAATGGGACAATTATGAAGGTGGTTTTCCTCTAGAAGATGATGCTGTTTCATACAACATTCCACACTCTGCAGCGCCCGAATCTTTACACATGGTTCTGAATGGGGGATCCTCCTTTAACAGCATAGAGGGTTCAGCAAGGAGCGAGATAGCAGAATCTGTGACGACAGTGTCACTCAGCAGCCGAGGAAGTACACCATCCAACTCGCTACCTCGGCCTCTTTTGTACAGTGCCATTGGATCCTTAGAAAATCCAAATGCTGCATCGCTCGGAAGCTACGCGAAAAAATTATCCCGGGTAGATACAACCGGTCTGCTTCCACCTGCTTCTGCAATCGCTCCTTCGGCGGTTGCCTCTATTGCTAATAAGTCCAAAAGAAGTTCATCCTCAAATGGCCTGAAGAATGGATCATCAAGGCAGACATCTAGTGGCTCGAATGGGGGAAAACGCTCTAACCGCGGAGATGGCACTCTTTCGAACGATAGTCAATGGGAAAAACAAAACCAAGCAGCGCAGGCAACTGGCACCAACGCTGTTGACTCTGAAGGGAATGCTGTCAATTCGTTACGAAATATTGTCCAAGCAAAGTCAAGTCTTCGTTCGCCACAATCGCAGAAGAAGAAAAAGAAAGAAAAGAAGAAACGAGTTTCGTATGATCTGAAATCGAAAAAACAAGTGGAAATGTTTCGACCGTCCTGTGATGCTTATACCCCACGCATTGAAAAGAAGAAAATCAAGTACAAGGCTGCCGAAAATCGAACTCCGGTCCAAACCATGGCCACGACCATGGGTACACTACAGCGACCGAACTTTAGGGATGCTCTGCGTCGAGTTGCCATGATTATTCACCAGCACATTGTCAAGATTGAACGACGCTTTGAAAGTAACGATGCCAGACTTGGTAGTCGAGCTCTTTTCACTTCGGCGATGAAGGATGCCTTTTCTGAAGAAACCTTTTGCACTCCCAAATACAAATGCACAATGGTACGAATTCCTATGGCTCGACCTGGGATGGTCTTTGGTCTGCGAAAGATCAAGACGAAATACATGATTCCATCAGAAAAAGAAATTTATGAATTTGCACATCAGCTCTTCAAATCGGTACAATTGTCGTCCGAGTGTTCGATTGTTTGTCTCATTTACGTTGAGCGCCTCATGGAAGCCGCGAAAGTGCCTTTGATGGCCTGCACATGGAGACCAATCTTCATGTGCGGGTTGCTCTTGGCATCCAAGGTATGGCAAGATCTAAGCTCGTGGAACATTGAGTTTTCATGTGTCTATCCACAATATTCGCTGGATGCGATCAACAAGTTGGAAGTAAACTTTTTACGGAACATCAAATGGGATCTGTACATTTCCAGCAGGTACGTTTGTTTGAAATGAGATCTGTGTTGTACCACTCGGTCGGCCCTAATTCTCACATATTGCAATCCAGTTTGTATGCCAAATATTACTTTGCGCTAAGGTCATTGGTCGAAAAGGTCGATTTCCGGCAGCGTTACAATCGAATGGTTGGAAGGGTGGACAGTGTTGCGCAAGCGGAAGCTCTTAAAATCCAGGAACGATCCGAAGCTGTGAAAGAAGAGGCGCTATCACACCTGAGTCGTAGCATGTAAAAATGAACCATTCTTAGAATTTTCCTAGGGCAATACGTTGATCTCCACCACGATTGTAGGTGTTTTGGGCTTTCAAACAGCTGGGTGTACTGTAGCCTTGAAAGGTCGAGAAGTCAGATGAGTCAACTCTGGTTCAACCGTCATCAATCACAACCAAAGATGACTGAAACTCTAGCTAGGAGTTGAATCGCTAACACTATAATTGCTAACCACGAGCAAACAACATTCAAAGGAGCTACGAGAATGCCACCCCTATTGACTCAAGTTGCACGTATCTCTGATGGGCTCCCACTGGTTGCTTCTCAAACTCCATCACCTGGTACTCCCCTGACAAATCAACACCAGAAGGAAGCCAAAGACATCTTGCGCAAGATCACTACAGGAACGCCAACGAAGATGTCCATTACCTCCGGTGACATGGTGTTCTACTACATGACTCGCGATAGTCTGTGTTTCTTAACATTGGCGGAAGCGAGATATCCAAAAAGATTGGCGTTTCTCTATTTGGACGAGGTGTGTGACATGATCCTCTCGGAACTTGTCAAGGAGTTTGACAGCAATGTGAGTGCCTGCCTGCAAGAAAGCTTGTATTGTATTTATCTAGACGCACTTCTTACTCAAGCATGTGACATGTGATGCTCTCAGTGGAGAACGGAGGTTGACAAAACAGCCAGACCATTTGCATTTATTCATTACGATCCAATTATCCAACGGAAGCAACGCGAATTCCAGGACGAACGGCTACAGAGATCGAAGCTAAATGATGATCTGAGCGAGATTCAATCGATTATGAAAAAGAATATCAATGATTTGTTAGATCGAGGGGAAAAACTCGACAATGTCCAAAACATTAGTCAGGACTTGCTCAAACAATCAAGTGGTTTCAAGTGGGGAACAAGAAAATTGACGTGGCAAGCGCGATTACAACAAGCTGCACCGATACTTGTTGGAGGCTCTATTGTTGCCTTTGTAACTTACGTTAAGTTTTTCTGGTGAATTTGGTAATGCATTGTCGCTTTCCTTCGCCGCAGAATAAGTAATCTAAATTTGCCTTGCAAAGCTATCCAAGATGAGCTTGCATCTAAAGTCTAGACTTTACTTTCCCCTGCAACTAGGATTAGAAATATTTAGGACAAGCACCCATTTGTAGCAGAAGATGAAGAGTAAAAGTACCAGGTTAGGTATCAAATGCTGCAATGACTCGACTCAGCCGACCAAATCCATCCTTCCACGTGCTGATTTGAGATTTGAGATTGCCAAAATCAAACGACCATCAACGAACAATAATCGACACAAAAACTTGGATCTTAGGCAATGAATGAGTGCATAATACCGCCTCGTCGTGGCCATGGAACAAGATTTTGTAAAGGAAGAGATATGAAGCTGGCAATTTTTCTCGTTCTGGTATTAGAGGCTAGTTTTTTTCATGGTGCTGAAGGTTTTAAGAGAGGCTTCAAAAGAAGCGGATGGTTTTCCTGTCGTGGAGGATCCTCATCGCAACCCTCAAACCATGACCATACAAACTATGATAGTGCCTCAGCTCCACCGGAACTTCCTCCAGATCTTCCGCCGTTGGAAGGCGACGACACCCAATCAGCGTTTCAAGGACAACCTCAATCACAGGATCCATATTCGTATCAAGGCGATCCGTACGGCAACAGCAATGAGCCTGCAGCAAGAGGTGGTCATCCACAGCACCAAGTACCACCACCACTTCCTCCAGGATACAGTAATGAACAACCTCCATTGGGATACGGGCCTCCCGGAATTCATGACCCGCCGCTGTATGACGATAATAATGAAGATTCTGCAATGACAGATTCTTGGGGTGATACTGGAAATGATTCTAGAATGGATTTGTCAAGCTTTAACAAGGAGTACATTTTGCGTGGACTTGCAAAATTATACAAGAAAAAAATCTTGCCTTTAGAGTTGAGCTCCGGATTCGGACATTTTCACTCTCCTCCCCTATCTCCATCAGATTTTGTGGCACCGCCGATGGTCTTGCTCCTTGGTCAATATAGGTAAGGTTCAAGAATGCTGCGCTTGACGGCACCATTGTTTATCGATAAAAGTACTCACTATTTTGTTTACCAGCGTTGGGAAAACTTCATTTATCAAATACTTGCTTGGGAGAGACTTTCCAGGAATCAGGGTAGGTCCTGAGCCAACAACGGATCGATTCACGGCAGTTCTTTGGGGTTCAACTGACAAAATTGTTCCGGGAGCTGCATTATGTTCGCAACAAGATAGGCCGTTCACGGGACTAAGCCCATTCGGAAACAACTTCCTCAGCCGACTGGAAGGTGTTGAGCTCGATTCACCTGTCCTCTACAATGTAACTCTTGTCGACACACCAGGTATTCTTTCTGGACAGAAACAAAAAAACCGAAACTACGATTACGAAAGTGTTATGAAATGGTTTGGCGAAAGGGCTGATCTAGTGATTGTTATGTTTGATGCCCACAAGCTGGATATTTCGGATGAATTGAAAAGGGTAATGGAGCTTTTCATTCCTCACATTGATAAGGTTCGAATCGTTTTGAACAAAGCCGACAGCATATCTACGCAGCAGCTGATGCGTGTCTATGGTGCCCTGATGTGGTCCTTAGGGAAGGTGCTGAATACACCGGAAGTATGCAGAGTCTACGTGGTAAGCACCCATCATTGCACTTTATATTTCATGCAGAACTTCAATGCGTCTCAAAACCCTTTTCTTGGACCAACAGGGAAGCTTTTGGGATGCGCCGTTACACAATTCAGAACAGGCAGAACTATTACAACGTGAAGAAATGGATCTGCTGCAAGACATTACAAGACTTCCTCAAGAAGCTGTAATGAGGCGCATCAATGAGCTTGTGAAGAGAGCGCGAAGTGTCAAGGTACATGCCTATATTATCCACTATCTCCGAAAACAACTGCCGTATACGTGGGGGAAACGAGAGAAGCAAAAACGACTCATAGGACGGTTGGAATCCGAGTTCAACGCTGCGGCTCGGCGCTATGGGTTGCCCAAGGGTGACTTCCCTTCAATCGAACCATTCCGACAGGCACTCCTAGAAATTCGTGATATAAGCGAGTTCCCAAAACTAGATAAGAGATTGGTGAAGGAAATGGACAAGGTTTTCTCATCCGATATCCCTGGGCTTTTGGAGAAGGCTAAAAACTCAGAATAAAATGAACTTATTTCGGTATTCGTTCCATAGACAACAACGCTGTAATGTTCAATGATCTTCAACACGATTGATCGTCGTAGGACTCGTTTCACAGTGGATTAGGTGGAATTCAATTGGATGACTATATACTGTTTATTTCTCGGGCTTGGGCATTGGGGAAGCGGGTTCATCGGATATCGAGTATTCAGCGGGCTTTTGGAAAGAGTGGATCTCGTAAATTGTTGGAGTGCGATTGATGTCAGAAGGACGGGACTTCCGGGGGCGCTTGGCCTTGGCCCATTTAGCAGCCTTGTCTTTCACGTGTTTGGCGAAGCAAACGCTGCAGATGAAAAAGTAGGTTCCATTACCAAGTTAGAAAGAATGAATTCTGCGACATCATTGAAGTCGAAATGCAAGGAAAACTACTTACGTGTTTGTGTCGCGTACTCCAATGGTTTGAGGAGCGAATGCAGCCACCGATGCAATCAAAGCGATGAAGAGAAGGATTTGCTTGTACATGCTGAAATAGGAGTGTTCTACTTGACTTGTACCTGGTACTGAACTGCTTGATGTTGATGTGCGTGGGCGAAGTGATGTACCGACGACTGTCCTTCGAACAAAACGATTCCAAACCACGCGTTTTCGTTGTCTGTACGGTGGGTTGCCGTACGATGCAGGTACCAGACATCAGTACAGCTACCGTAGAAAAAGTGCGTCACTACCGTCCATCGTCCATCACCTATCAACCTGGAACTGCAGAAAACCCTTGGATCGTAGAAGACAGCATCTCGCCCAACCCTCTTTCAAAGAAGCAGTACACATCAAACCATCATGAGAATTTCTGCTGTCGCCCTATCTTTGGCACTCTTTACCGGAAGCGCCACTGCCTTCACCACTCCATGTGAGTCATTCTAAGCCGAGAAAATGCAATCACCGCTTTTTCTTCACTTGTTCTCTGAAAAAAGGCTTCTCCTCCTCACTCTTTCCGTTGTCCCTCGTACCGATTAGCCACCTCTCTTTCCGTTGGTGCAAAGACTGCTTCTACTGAGGCTAAACTATGTGCATGCAGTTCTTGCCGTGGAGTTCGCACCCACACTTCTCTCTTTGCTGATGTTGCCGCTGAGGAAGTTCCTGCTGAGGTCGAAGCAATGGATGGAATTGAGAGCAAGGATGAAGCTCACAACGCCGATCGTCCCGCCAGAAAGCAATTGAAGAAGAAGAAGGGAAAGGATCTTAGTGAATTTTCAGAAGGATCCATGGTTACCGGAAAGGTTCGATCCATTACTTCTTACGGTGCCTTTGTCGATATTGGTGCAAACACTGATGGTTTGCTTCACATTTCCCAACTTGCCTCTGGATTCGTCTCCAGTGTTGGAGATATTGTGAGTGAGGGACAAGAGGTCGAGGTCAGAATCGTTTCCATCGATTCTGCAAAGGGACAAGTCGGTCTCAGTATGATGACAGAAGAGGAAGCTAAAACCGATGCACAGCCAAAGCGACAACAAAGACAAAGCAACCGCCGCGATGACAGTGCCGTTCTTGGCCCACTTGCTGATAAGGGATGGGACGCAGACACATTCGTTGAGGGTACCGTTGTCAGTACTGTTGACTTCGGAGCCTTCGTCAGAGTTGATGCCAAGACACTGAACGAAGAATGCGAGGGTGAATTCGACGGTCTTGTTCACATCTCTGCTCTTTCTCTTGGGCGTGTCAGCTCAGTGTCTGATATTGTCAGTCCTGAACAGAAGGTCCAAATCCGTGTCAAGAGCATCCAAGGAAACAAGGTTTCTCTTACAATGCTTTCTGTTGAAGACGAGGATTCCAAGCAAGACTCGTTCTCCTCAGGACCACCAGTACAGATGGGAGCAAAAGACTGGAAGGAAAGTTGTGCAAAGTTGGACGAAATCCAACCCGTTTTCAAGAATGGACCAGTCGTTGCTGACAAGCGAAAATAGAGACCAGAATGATCTAGCGAAATATTGTATTAACTCCAGGTGAAAGTATGACTAGAGATAATTTTGTTTAGCTTCATATCCCTTTTGAGACTGCATCAGATTTCAGGAATAAAAGATGTCATTGTCGACAACATGCATTCCATGGTGAGCTCTTGTCCTGTTGTCAACAACCAATGCCTCTACCGCGAACTAGTACCAGGTACCATTTACATTTACAGAACCAGGTACCAGGTACTCTACCGTACGAGATCTGCGATCGACCAGGACTAGTTGGACTGTGTTGGTCGATTGAGTCAGTCGAGTCACGCAAAGAACAAGATATCCAGAAATGACACAAATTCGGAATCTGCGAACGAATGGGACAACAGTGAACACGATCCAACAAGCACAATCATTTGTGAAAATCAGACAGCAGAATGAATCAAGCGGTAGAGGAATCAACATATGACAGACAAGAAGAATACCGTTCTGCTCAGAGAGCAGCGGTTGAGAGCATAATGATTGGTCGCGAGACTCTGGAATCTGCAATTCGACAAGGAGAACAACTTCAAAATGCTGAGAACCTTGCGGTGGAGACCGAATACAAATTGGACAGGGCAACCCGGTTGATAAAAGGAATGTCGTTGGGAGGCTGGATAAAAAATAAATTCACTGCTGATATTGAACCCCCTGAATATCGCGGACAAGGTGACGCAGATGCTCTTGGAGGCCCTCCAAGGATGTACGACGATGTCCCAGAATTTTGTTCCTCGGCAGCGCAAGCAATTCAAAACTACCACTGTAATGTTGATGTTCTAGAGGAATGTGAAACTGATGAGCAGCGCGAGACATGTAAGGTCATTTGCAACAATATGCATACTCTGGCTCACAAGGAACTGAAGCAACTCCTTCTGAAAGAAGGCGGAGACAAAGACTCACGACAATTTGCTTCCAAGCTGAAAGATGATTTGACGATACTTCGAAGTAGGCAAGAAAGTGCTCAGTCGCTTAGGGCGTCACCAAAGAGTGCGAGTCAAAATACAACAAGCCAACGAGATAAACTATTCTCTTCAGCTTCTCAAGCTTCGCATGAAACCAAATCACCGATTGAGGAAGTACAAGACGAGCATCTCGATTCTATGGCCCGACATTTAGATGAGTTAGGCTCACTAGCCACAAACTTAAATGCTTCTCTGGCTTATCATGCAGATACTCTAGAGACCCTCGATGACAAGATGGAATCAAATCTTGTCAAGAGCAATGCGGTCACTCGTCGGACTGATCGCTTGATCCAAAAGAAGGTACGACCACGCGGTGTTTATTGCGTAATTTTCCGTAGTGGGCTATAAGAGTCTCATCATCTTTTAGTCTTGGAACAAAACAAAACCAATTTTTGTTTCCAATTTCTCGATCCAGCACGTTCGAACGGGAAAGTACTTGGCAGTTTCCACCAATAGCACGCTTGTTCTGTCGTCGAAATTCAACGAGACTTGCATCTTTGGTATTTGGAAACGACAGGGCAAGATTTTTGGTTTGCAGAGCAAGTATTCTACTAGATGGCTAGGACAAAACATGTTTGGTAGTTTGGTTTGTACAGCATCCAAGTTTGCCAAGAGAGAAGAGTGGGATGTAAGTTTAGTATCAGTGTTCTCCTTGCTGCAATGGTGATGTTCAGCCTAAATCCATATTCTTTTTTGCAGGCTGATGGAGATGACTGGACAAGCACTCCCTTGATCTGCTGTTCTGCTGGTTGGGGTGCAGGAGGCTACCTCCTTGTTGATGAAACTGACGGTTCCATTTCTTTAATCGGTGGAGAACTAAGTGATAGAAATCGAGCCACTTTGTGGTCAATCAAGGACTTTGAAAAGAAGAACAGCACATCCCCTCAAAAAAGCAAATAGGCCCAATAAACGTGCGATAACAGAGCAATCATCGCTTATGGCTCCATAATTGTAGCATGGTCAGTCAATAGGTTTCAAGCAGAGTCGACGCTGTCGTTGGCTTCCGTACTTTTGACAGAAACGTTGGGATCAGACAATCTTGCAGCTGGTTCGACTTCCCCCAGCTCAAGTAACGCTGCTTCTACTTGTTGCCCTGCTTTCTCTGGGTCGTAGAATCTCAACAGAGCCCAATGCCTTTCTTCAAATGTTTCAAGCTGGTCCCTTGCCAACTCTGTTGAAGTTCGTGCACGTCGAAGTTCCCGCGACGCATCATCCATTTCAAATTCAATTTGACGTAGTTGTTCCTGTAACAGGAAAGGATCGCTTTCGGAGTTCCTGAGTTTTCGTCTTTGCAACTCGGCGTCCCTGGAACAGAAAGTTAGCAATATTTTAAAATAAAATAAAAGCTACTTGCGAAGTTCTTGTCGCACTTACACTTTCAAAATCATGATCTCCTCCTTGGCCAAAGCTTCTTTCTTTAATCTCCTTTCCAGCTTTTGTCGGGCGGTTTGGATATCCTCCAAGGCATCCATTATCGCTTTTGTGCGCGCATCACAAGGCATTTCCCCTGATGGACCCCACGCCGAAATACCAGCTGGGGGTACCCGTTCTACAGCCAAAGAACGTTCTTCCCAGGTCTTCTCTTTTCTCTTACGTGTTGACATCGATGGCATTTCTGCCTCTGTATTCTGCACATCGACAGTTTCACTGGCATCTTCTACAGGAGTATCCATACCAATATCGACGATTGGATTCAACTCTTCCTCGTCTTCCTCGTCATACTTGTACGCATATCCTGGTCGTCTGGGAGTCTGCCGTCTTGTACGCTCTCGGGATCCATTTCGAAAAGATGATCTACGCTTCATTCCTAGTCCCATCTTTTCATTATAGATATCCGCCTTATACTGCATTTCATCTCGATCGACACCAAAGAATCGGTCGACAATGTTGAAAGGACTGAAAGTTGAAGATTCCTTTCTCCTGCGTCTTTTACTAGATCGATCATCAAAGTCATCATCTTCATCATTGTCCTCGCTTCCTGTGAACCATGAGGAGACCGACTTTGATACCCAATCGCCAGGATTTTCTGACTCGAATCTGTCGTCAAATTCATTAGATTGCTGCCGATTTGTTCTTCGTCGTTGTCGATCTCCTCTCCCAGCTCGATCGGCACGAGGGTATGGGGTATCCGATGGTGGCTTCATTGATCGAGGGCGATCTCCTGGTGTCTCATAGTAGCCTTCGCCATAGTCATCGATGCCGTAGCCATCCTCGTAGTATTCGTTGTCTCCCCTTCGTCGTGGTTGGCGATTTGGTCCTTGGTAGGGACTAGTTTCAGAAGCTTCCTTGAAAGAAAGACCATTGAATTTGCCCTTTGTACCCCCAAAGACTGTTTTGTCACCTACTCCTTCGGTATCGTCTGCGTCAAACCCATACCAAAACAATCGCTCATAAAAATCCTTCGCTGGATTTGGAACAGAGCTCCCATTCATTCTGATTGGACTTCTGGGTTGTGGGAATGATATCCAATTTCTGTAAGTATGGAAACGAAAAGTGCAACATATTTATATTGGGCCTACCTTCTAGCAGGAGGCCTCCTTTTGCCTTCGGCAGAATAACCTCTTGGTCTGGGTTGCTGTAGCGATCCTTGTCGTCGTCTTGATGGAATGGGACGATCCACTCCACCAGAAGGATTGGACCAGAAGTTCCCTGGATCTGCTTCTTCATCAGAATAATCATCGTCGTATTTGTCGAAGTATCGGTCTTCATTATTTTCAATGACTTCCTCGTAGTCGTCGTCGTCACCATATCTTGCAATACTGCTGGTTTCGTCGTAGTATTCGTCCATGTCCTTTGGAAGCGACATCTCGTTCAACTCAATTTCTTCTTTGCTCCCAGCTGGATACTCTTCCCAGTACCTGTCTTCTTCCTTAGCGCCTTCATCGCTGTATCGAGAGTTGATCGGCCGTCTTGATTCACTCAGACATGTTCTTGAACTGCTGTGTATTCGACTTCTTCCTGCACGTGACAGTGAACTCGGAATGAAAGCTTCTGCTTGCTGTAATGAAATGTAGAACAGTTGTGTAATTGAAAATAGTATTATCGGCAACCTTAATATTATCATTATCAGAGGCGTGGATTTCAAATGTATGCGCAGGATCAGTACGATACATGTATATCAGAGTATATGGCAACGACGAAAGTGTGGAACTCTGTTGTTGATGGAATTTCTTGGTGACTCACATGCATCTTTTCTCTGGTTGCGGACAGACTTCGATACGATTTGAGAGAAAATTTGTAATCATACTGTACCAGGTACTTATTATATCCATGCATCGCTGTTTACACCATCATGAAACTTCAAATTTCGCCAACTCCTTCCTGCAATCGAAAATTCTAAGTTCTTCTTGAGACTTCGAAGCAACAGAATATACCCACTAGCACTCTTTGTAACTGTAGCAGTCGACTTTTAATCAGTTTTTGTGAAGTCTGTTTAGAGACGTCCAAGCAAGGAAAAAGTGTTGTAGCGTGATGAAACACTGATATCATCAAACACAACTCGGAATGTTAATTTAACCTGCTTTGTTCTAGACCCTATCCGAGTACAGTGTCATCCTTGTCGTGCCTCAAAAATCCCTAGAAACACCGCACTTCAAAAGGTACTCTCGCAGTTGTCATGTTTTCCCCACTAGCTTCTTGTCGGGTCTATGCGCATGCTCTCGGTCTACAGACTCCTACGTCGATACCCAACACACATTAATTCACCCATTTATGCCCACAATTGCAGCAAACGAAAATCAAGGCCAACGAATCTGCTTGAGCAACATCGGATTGGAAGAATACAGCTTCATTGTGGTTACAATTGCTACATTTGGCGTTTTGACTCCTAGCCAAGGTTGGATCATCTGCAATTGAGGAAGGAACATTGTTTAAAACATTTCCCACCTCGTGTTTTAGATTGTTTCTGTAAATCAAAGGGTACTGTGGGGTTGCCTCCTTGTAACTGCACAAACGGCAAGAGTATTGCAAAGTCCGATTTCGTTTGTCTTCCTACATTTCAAACACTGATGTGAGACATGCATCAATAACACAATCAGATTTCTGAACACGTTGCATATCTTGGCTGCTCTCGTACCTGTGGATACAACATAGATGAATCATTCGGACAAAAGCGCATCAGCAGTCCCTCTTTCTCATTGGTCTCCTGGTCATCTTCTCCCATGTCGAGGATGTCTCCCTCGTCATCTTCTTGTTCCTCTTCTTCAGCAACTCCGACATCTTGTTGCCCTTCCCATTCTTCTTCCATCTTCTATTCAATATACAATGCTGATTCGAAACGGAATAACGGTACGATAAATCAAGGTTGATGTCACTACCGCATTGACTGTTGAATACATGCATGCCGATCACGTTTGGTTTAATTGTTAGAGGTTGGGCAGACAGACAGACGACCACGGCGGGTTAAATGAAATTGTGAATGTGATCCGCCACACGACGGGTGGATCCAGTATATCCAGTTGATTACCTCCCGCCGAACAGCAGGTTTCAACTTCCAACAATAAAAGAAACAGTTTTCACTTTAGCCGCAATAAGATCTCATAATGAGCTTTGGCAATAGCTACAACGGTGGGAAAACAAAAATGGTACGTTCAGTATCGCTTGGATTTTCTGTTAGAATTATTTTTCGACAGTAGCCAGCAGATCTTTCTGCATCATGTCTTTGCTCGTTTTCGTTGTTGTTCTCTTACAGTTAACGTCTTCAGGGTACCAAAGTGTTCCTCAATCTTTACGACTTGAGTCCCATGAATGACTACTTGGTGCCAGTTGGATTTGGATTGCATCATAGTGGAATTGAAATTAGTGGCGTAGAGTACTCCTTTGGCAGTGGCGGTGGAGTCTTTGAAGGTCCTCCCAAACAAGCGCCGGGTGCACGGTTTCGATACCAGCTGGAAATGGGAACCTTTGAAGGAGGTTCGCACGAATTGAACAAGGCGTTGGACGATTTACGACATGGTGGTTTTGGGAATTCACAGTACAATTTGGTTAAGAGAAACTGTAATCATTTTTGTGATGCATTGGTCTGGAAATTGCTCAAGATCCGACTTCCAGGCTATGTCAACCGATGGGCAGATCTTGGAAACTGCTGTTCCTGTTTGTTACCAAAACAGTTTTTGGAGGACTCACCGGTTGGCGGAAGTGGTAATCGAAACGATGGAGCCTCGTCTTTCCTAGTGCCAACCACTGCTTCGATGAAACGAGGCGGAGCCAAGGTGGCAACAACGACACAGGCATTTTCAGGGACGGGGCACAGTCTTTCCGGTGATGGAAGCAGTAGTTCTGCAAGTGGCTGGACAAAATCGAATAGCGCTACCAAGGACGACTTGATTGACAGGCGAGAAAAAGCAAGAAAGGCTGCACTGGCGAGACTAGAAAGGGGCCAACAGCAACAACAGGAACAAACATAATGAACAGTGAAATTACAATTCTTGAAAATTAAATTCTCTTTTGGTCTATATATTCTACAATGTCAACACTATAATTACAGCTTTGCCTTTTTCTTTGTAGGTTCTTCTGCGCTATCATTTACTTCATCTTCTTGTGCCTCTGCCAAACTCATTCCAACACCCATGATCATGGTTGACAAGTGGCAGACTTCATTCTTTTCAGCTGTAATATCAGTCCCCGATGCAGCTAGTTTCGCCATGAAGAAGAGCGTGTCTTGCAAGGAATCCCGTGCCCGATCATAGTATCCCGTGATGTAGTCTATTTGTTCGTCTGCCTTGACAATTAGGCTTTGGGTTTCGCTTGTCACAATGTCTTCTCCTGATGGACAAAAGAGCAGCTCTTCGGCAACGAGAACTGTTGCCTCGCAAACTCTCCTATGAGCTGTCAGGTACTCGATCGACATTGTGTCTTTTGCAAAGGAATCTAGCTTTCCTTGATACCATTCCAAGGCCCTCGAATACGCATCGGCAGCATCAGCATGTCGATCCAACATTGACAATGTATCCCCAATTCCCAATAGAGCTCTTGGTAGTGCCTCCTTGACCCAATCTTGGTATTTCCCGCCCTTTTCACTAGAGCTATATTCGTCCATTATGCTGTACGCATTTTCCATCATCTCGAGTGCGAGATTTTCGTCGTTCTCATTTTCAGTTTCATCTATGACTGCTGTGTTGGAAGGTTCTTTACTGGCTGCATCTGTTTCGCCAGCCTTCCGCGCTGGAGGCTTCGAAACTTTATCTTCACTTTCTTGTTTCTGTCCGAGGAGTCGCTTTTCTGCCGCTTTTGCGATTGCCTCTTTCGGATCATCCGTTGGCCCAGCATCGTTAGATTCTTCCGCTTCCATTTTCCGGCGATTCATGGCTCTCAACAAAGCATTCCCATATTCAAAATAAGCTGGGGATGATTCGATGGATGATTCTCCAAACTTGTTTCCCACTTCTTCCGCAAGTGATTCAAAGATTTCGACAGCACCATGAGCTGCCAGTCCTTTTTGAATCATATTGCGTCCAGCTTTGAACCGAGGATCTAGTGTCACGATTGGAACGGGACATGCATTTGTCGCTTCCTTGGACCCCGACATGATGTCTTCGGTTTCCTCAGTTTGTGTTGTATTTCGAACTCGTTATTGGGACGGTCGATGTACAGGCCAGAAATATCTTTTCACAAGGAATCATGCGATCAGGCATCTTTCTGCGAAGCTACCGTACCGGTACAGTGGAGGGACTTTGACTATGGTCTATATTTGACGACTTGTTCAGCACTCTGTTACAGTAGACAATTACGCTGAAGAAAACTTCGAAATCATTATGCGAAAATCAAACCAAGCTCCTGCTCGAGCCGAACCATTCGATCATTTATCAAAAGACCTCTCCGCCCCAATGACTTTTGTTTTGCCAGCCATTTTCCAACATTGCGATCGCCAATCATCATGTCGCCTCGAACATCTTCAATTGAACCGTTTTCCTCTTTGTACTTTCGTAGTAGGTCTAAGGAAATGTCGAACTCTTTCCGCTGATCAATCAATTTTCCAGAACGTAGAGTTTTATTGCTTGTATCGAAGGTCCAAACAAAGTTCAACTTTTCCAAGAGAGCCATTTTCTCCGCGCTCAGGCAATTTTTGTTTCGAAGTGTCCGCTGTTTTCGAACCCAGTTGGACAGTGTTCTATCTTCATGATTATCGGTATGCTTGTGTTGAGGAACCATCGAATGGCCGTTTTCCCTGACATAGACCTGCAAGTTCTTGTATTGTCTCATCCAGGTATTCGGAATTCTGCTCGCGTTCTTCTTCGTCTTTTTTGCTGCCCAATCAGTGTAGCCAATGCCTTCAAGTCGTTCTTTTCTGTCTTCTCTCAAGCGGCCATGGAGCTGGAGATTTCGCTGCCATATTAGCCATCCATGGAGCTTCTTAAATTCTGCAAACTTGTGGACTGCAAAGTTGTTGTGCTCCTTGTGAAACTTGTCGAGACGATCTAGGTTTTCGTCCCAGGCTCGTTCTTTCTTCTCCTGCCCCGTGGTCCAGTCAAAACCCAAATCACAAAGTGCGTCTTTCTGCTCGACGTTGAGCTCGTCAGAATTGTTTTTTAGCTGTACTACAAATTCTGCTAGACCTCGGTCATGAAAATTTCGTGATGGGACATTCGTGTGTCCGTGCTCTAGTTTGAAGTTGATCAAAGCTTCGAGACGTTCATTCCATGTTCGTGGGCTGTAACGATTGCTGACGCTCATTTGACTTCTACCTTTTCTTCTCTCCCTTTCTTGTGTCCTTTCCTTCCTCCTAGGCCTAGGTGCAGTCTCTTCATTTTTTTCAATTTCCTCGTTTGCATCCTCATCATCATCTGTGGAAGGGTATAACTCGGCAATACCATCATGGGAATCACGCGCAGCTGCGTGGACGGAGGCGTCATTGTGGTAGCCAGGATTTGCGTCATCTTCCGAAATGGTTTGCTCGTCGTTCTCAGGTGACCCAGGATTGTTGACCGACGAGCCCCTTTCATGGGAACGATCTGCAGTGTTCGCTTTCAGTCTCTCGATCTCCGTTATCTTTCTCTTCTTTGTTGGCTTAGAAGCAACGCCAGGGTCGTTTGAAGCTGCATCTTCTTCTATGGGCGCACTTTCTTGATTTGTGGACTCCTCCTCCCGTTGATCTGCACTTGTGCTTCGACCCCTTTTCTTGAGTGCCTTGAGCTGTCGTTTTTCTTTCTTCTTGGATTCTTTTTCCATTCGTCTCTCGTCTCGTTCTCGACGCTGTTTTTCCTTTCTCGCCTTCTTGGCTGATTTGCGCTCCTTTTTCAGTTTCTTCCTCGTGGATTTGGACAGAGCGCTGGAATCATCCTCAGAATCATGGTTAGGACTCCTCTTTCTCTTCGTCGGTGATGACTGTGATTGTGTAATTACTTGTACTCTTGGGCTGCCCTCATTGGTAGCTGAGTCGACGGACAGATCCGTCGCTCCTTCGTGTACATGCATGCTTACAGCATCAACCTGGCATACAGGTAATGTAGCGGTTTGTGATCATTCATTGAATGTGCATGTACCGGTACCACCGTATGCATGCAGACCTCGCGCCTACAATTGGACTCCTATGATTCCAACAAATGAAATTCCATTGAAACGAAACCGAAAACACTTCCAAAAAATATGTTACTGTATATATACCGGTAGAAATATAATGTATAAAATATAATAAAATATACAAGTGCAGTAGTCCTACAGTAGGGTTGATTCCATGCATCTGTTATACATTATTTGCCAAAAATAAAGTTACGATACGGCAATGCGATCGTTTCTAATCAAAGGTGATTTCATCACACAGGGCGTCCCACTCTTGGACACCAGGCGCGAACTCTGGCAGGTAGCTGGATTCGGCGGCCTTTTGCATGACTGCCTTGGGTGGCATGCGGATCTTTCCACCACTCTGCATCAAACGCAGTTGGACTTCACAGCATCTCTCAAAATAGTAGGCCAAGACCCATACTTCTCTCACGGAGGAACCAAAGCATACAAAACCATGGTTGTTCATCAAGAGCGTATTGCAACCTTCAACAGACTTGACAGCAGCGGCAATCAGAGGACCTTCCGAGGCGTCGTCGGATAGACCGTCCCATTCGTAGTTGGCCACCTTTCCATAAAAGTAGGCACCATCTTGCGTGACTGGTTGGAATCCGCCCTCCAAACAGGATACGGCAGTTGCCGCAGGAGTATGAAGATGAATGATGGCCTTGATATCCCGACGAGACGAGTAGATTGCGTCATGGATGACATCAGCAGTCACATTGGATGAGCTGTATACCAAATCTCGAGGTAAAATTTTGGACCACATTTTGCGTCCTGGAGTGATCAAGCATCCAGTACGGAATCGGGCCGAAATGTGATTCCAGACCAACATGTCCATGCCATACTTGGCCGTCAGACGATGGGCCACTGCCAAGTCGTGACGGATCGCCTTTTCTTCGGCCTTGCGTCGCTCATCAGAATGTCCTAAGCCAAAGTGGTCTTCGATAATGGGCTGAATGTCTCCCACTAGAGCTTCACGAACCGCCATTGTGTTTGTAGCATAATGCGGCAAGATGAAGCATTGCTCCATAGACCAAAGTTCATGTTCTTTGGGCAATGGTTCAGGGAAGGTAGTATCAAGAATGGCGTACTTGATCTTTTTGGCCTTGAGGGTTGCGGTCAAAGCGTCAGTATCGACGACTTTTCCACGAGACATGTTCATAAAACCAGCATGTGGTTGCATTGCGTCGAAAACTTCTTGATTGATGAGATGTTCCGTGTGCTTGGTCAAAGGACATAGTGGCAAGAGAATGTCACAAATCGCTGCTAGGCCCTTGACGCTGCTGACGTACTCGACGTTGAAGTTCGATTCGGCATCAAAATCTCTCATGTTGGCAGGCACGTGATAAACGATGCGGGTATCCGGCGCCAACTTGCGGATTTCCGATATCAAGCCCTTAGCAATCAGTCCCATGCCCACAATGGCGATGGTCGACTTGGTGAGTGGTTTACCGTCGCAGTTCCAGTTAAGGTTCCACCCACTTGATGGAAAAGGAACTCCAAGTTGATTCAGCGCATCTCGAAGGCCCACAATGAGGAAACCCAAGACATACTGGACCACATGGGACGTAATGGCGTCACGACCAGACTGCTTGACAATGATTCCATTTGCAGCACATGCTCTGGTATCAATGTGATCAAGACCGGCAGACATTGTGATCATTAGATCTACCGATTTTGGAAGCGCGCTGATCTTCTCTTCTGTCATTTTGTTCAAAATATCAATCACCACTACATTCAATCCTTGGCCACCCCCGGTTTCTTCATTACGGGTGAGAAGCAAGTGATTGGTCTTGTTGAAGGGAACGGGTGGTTTGCAAACAATGTCCATAACCACTGGTTTACGGGCATGAATAACCCCCCATTTGAAGACACCACGGTCGATTTGCGTAATGCGACGGCAAATGGAGTCGTGGTAGTTTCTCAGTTGGACTCCCTGCTGGTTATCCCCAACTTCTCCGTGTTCCAAAACGAATTTGACCTTTGATGCAGCAATTGAAAACGTGTGTGAGGGAGATTGTTCACCTGAAGAAATATAAGTAAATGCGCTTTCATCAAAACATCATGCTTTGCTTACCTTTTTCAACATCAGTTGGAAACTGATACGTAGATCAGTAGTCAAGTCAACAAACTTGACATCCTTCCACCCGGCAGTCTGGCAAGTCTTGCGGGTTTGCGATGGATTCAACCAATCGTTAATGCGGTTGTTCTCAGCAAATTGCGTGAATTCTTGTGTGGTCAAATCAGGATTGTCTCCGCACATGATATCGCAAAAGACCAGGGCACCTCCTGGCTTTGTGATACGAAAAGCTTCCGAAAAAGAAATGAACTTATTCCTCGAGTGCACAAAGGCGTCTTGTGAAAAGGCCAAATCAAAATAGTTGGCATCACAATTGGAATCATCAAACGAGGCATCAATGGTCTCTAGTCGTTGAGACACGCCTAGGGCAGAAGCCCGATCCTTGGCTTGATCGTTTTGTTCATGACACAAGTTAAGACAAGTAACATTTTCAATGGTCTTGTGTTCCTGCAACAATTGCAAGGCAGCAGCTCCACTGCCACTGCCTAGATCAATGTAGCGAAAGTCATCAGCCTCGGCACGGTGAGGCAACAAGTTGAGAGAGAGCTGAAACATATAACGCGTCATGGCATCGGCGGCTCTTCCATAAGCGCCCGGTTGTTCGAGATCAATTCCATCCCACTTTCCAAAGTGAATATTCTCAGATCCATCACCCAAAACGTGGGCATAGAATTTGAGCTTAATACGATCATTGTTGACGGGTTTTGGGTTCATGTACTCATCGAGACTACCACCGAAACTTGGTGCACGGTACTTGAGTGTCTTCGTTGGGGTGCCATCATCATTTGTCGTATCCTTGGTGTCATCTTGTCCAAATTCCCGCCAGTAATACGAACTGTAGTGAAAGATATCAGCGACGAGAGTAGGTGCCTCTTTGGGAGAAGAGGCGGGAGGATTTTGCGAAGACATGGTCAGGTGTTTGTGATGGAAAGAAGATATTTATGACTACTTGATGTGCGTGGAGAAGATTGGAGAATTTTGTAGGCAATGATGATGATTGCAGTCAGTCGTAAACTGAATTCTTGTATGGCGAGGTCGAAACTTTCAACTTGCGCAAAAGTTCTTGTTTCTCGTAGGAATCAGACAAATTTTGTTTGTTTGTCAAGTACGTATGGGAGTGTTTTGCCCACGTACGTCGCAAATTCTCGGAAATCCTGTCTGTGAGAAATTTTTTGCCAGTAGTATCTTCCACGTGCGAGGCTGTTTTTCGGCTAACGCAGGGACGATAAGTACCAGCTGTACTTACACCTAGGCGTAAGAGCGTTTCACACTCGAACACCACGCAGAAAGTTCCAAAGTCTTCGAATCTCAGAAACGTACAGTAATACCGGTACCGCACAAGATACAGTATTTTAGACAATATCCAAAAAAATACAGACAGACGAAACAATGACCACCACTGCCGATCCCATTGCTGCTTCCGTTGACCCTGACACTTATGGAAAGTCTGGGGATACCGACAAGCATCTTGATGGCGTCAAGAAGCAATATGACACCAAGGAAAAGCTTGAATTCTATTCTCAAGTCATGGGTGACGGAACCGACAATATCCACTTTGGTAAGTGGGATAACATTGATCTAGAAGAAGCAGGTGCTTACGGAAAGGCATCGGAGCAAATGAGTGACTGGATGTTGAACCTAGCACTAGAACTATCACCCGAACTTAAGACAAAGGAAGATTTCTCGTATGTCGATTTGGGCAGTGGTACCGGTGCTGCCGCCCTTCGATTGACTGAAATTAATCCATTTATTGCCAAGGCCACTTGCTTGAATTTGTGCGGTGAGCAAAATAATTTGGCCACCAAGAGAGCCGCTGAAAAAGGTCTCGAGAAGAAGATCACCGTCGTCACTGGAACCTATGAAAACTGCCCGTTTGACGACAACTCGTTTGATTTGTCATTTTCCCAAGATGCTTTTGTTCACGCCTTTTCCAAGCTCAAGGCTTTCTCAGAAGCCTTCCGAGTGACCAAATCTGGTGGTGTCTTTATCTTTTGCGATTTGATGTGCGGTGATGGGCCAGGTACGTGACTGTTGAGCGAATTACATGTTGTTTTCAATTTTCAACATTTTGACGACGGCATGCTCACATGCAATTTAATTTACGTTATCTTTCATCTTGCAGGAGTTTCGGACGAAGAATTGGCCACCTTTGCCAATACCAACATGGTGAATGACTGGTTGTCTCCTGAACAAAATGTCAAGGCCTGCACAGAAGCTGGCTGGAAGGATGCCACCTTTGTTAATTTGACTACTGACATTCGCATCAGTTTTCAATTAATGTTGAAAAAGGTGGACCAAATCCTGGAACGAGGTGGAGATGGTATTGGATTGGATCTGTTGGAAGCCTACAAAAAGAATCTGTCTAATCGCATCACGCAAGTCGACCGTGGGGTCTTCAAGTGGGGTGTCGTTCACGGAAAGAAGCCATAAACAACGATGGAATCGTGTCCATCTCATACATATATATCATTTGCTGCCATATATATAACCACCATCTGGCATTGCATTTTAGCTAATAAACGCACTGAACAACATATCCTCCTAGCCCTAGCCTTCGAAAACGACCATTATTTCAATGAATGAATGAATAAATAAATCCAGCCGGGAAATATGTCATCATTGTCTTTGAAAGCTTGCTACAATAATTTTCTAGTCTCCATTCCGGAAAAAAGCTGAATTCCAATGTAAGAGTTGTGATATGAGCAATCCATCATTCTTCGTTCATTGTTGGATCGTCATCCTCGGTAAATGCCATTGTTACTTCTTTAAAACCATTGCTACCGCACGATTTCCGCGCGAACAAGTGATGCGGACGACGTGGTTCCCTTTGGTCCAACGAAAAGGTCCCGACAGGAATCAAATTCCTTTTGTTTCGTTATTTGTTCGATTCTTCATCAAACACTGGAAGCAGCAAAGAAGAAACAAGATGTCGTTGTTGGAACCGCCGCAAGATTTGTTGGCACTTCTCCGAGAAGCTGTCAATGCTGAGGAAGGAAAAGAAGTTGATTTTGAGGAATCTGAGGATGTATTGGCTTATGTTACATTTTTGGCTGCCGGACTCTGCAAGGCTCAGGATTTCTCTCCAGCAACCTGGAAGGATGTCTTGGAACCGTACTTGGAAGATACTATGAGTGTCGAGTCCGTTGAAAAGTTTCGTGAGAGTGTTCAAAAGGCCACCATGGGGGATGACGACCAAGATTCGTATGGTGAAGATGACGATGATGAGCATGAAGAAGTCTGCAACATTCGCTTCAATTTGGCCTACGGTGGAAAGATTTTGCTTCGTGAGTCCAAACTTAAGTTGTTGCGAGGACGCCGATACGCTTTGGTGGGACAGAATGGAGTGGGTAAAACCACTCTGATGAGTGCCATCAACAATGGAAAGTTGGAAGGATGGCCACAACAGTTGAAGACTGCTTATGTGGATTCTGGTTCCAATGTTGATCCCAATTACGAAATGCAGCCTGTCATGCAACATTTATTGGACGATACCAAGAAATCTAAGGAGGTTTGTACGGCCAAGTTGAAGGAACTTGACTTCACCGATTCCATGATCAATGGTACCATTGGTGCTCTTTCCGGGGGTTGGCAAATGAAACTCCGTTTGATTCGAGCCATTTTGATCGATCCCGATATCTACTTGTTGGATGAACCGACAAATCACTTGGCTGAAGGAGCTGTGAAATGGATCACCGACTATTTAAACTCACTTGATCATCAGACTGTGCTGACGGTGTCTCACGACACCACTTTCCTCGAGAATATTTGTACGGATGTCATTCATTATGAACAAAGAGACGTCTGGGGTCCTTACCGTCGATTGGTCCATTACAAAGGAAAGATGTCTGAATTTGTTGAGAAGCAGCCTCAAGCTAAACACTATTTTGAGCTTGCTACTTCGGAAGACACAATGACATTCAATTTCCCAGAACCAGGACGTTTGGAAGGTATCAAGACATCCACACAAAAGTTCTTAGAGATGGAAGGTGTAAACTTCCGTTACCCAGGACAAGATGTGGATCAGTTGTCGGATGTCAATTTGAAAATGACTCTATCTTCTCGGGTGGTTGTATTGGGAGCCAATGGTGCAGGAAAAACAACACTGTTGAAAATGATGGTTGGTGAAACTCTTCCGTCAAACTTGGGACAATGCAAGTACTACGTCCACCAGAATCTTCGTATTGCTTATGTTGCTCAGCATGCCTTTTCGCACGTTGAGCAACACATGGAGGAAAGCCCCGTTGCGTACATTCAATGGCGTTTCAAGGATGGCTTTGATAAGGAGAAGTTGGAGTCTGCAGCATACAAAATTTCGCCCGAAGAGCAAAAGGCTATCGACGAATTCCAGCTCGAAGGAATCTGGAGTCGACGTATGCGTGCTGGTCGAATCGAGTACGAAGTCAAGAAAAAGAATATTCGTGAGAAAGACAACAAGTACTATACTAAGGAAGAACTTTTGGGACTGGGATTTGAGCATCTCCTCAAACAAACAGATGAAAAGATTGCGGCAAAAGAAGCTGGTTTGGACTTGAGACCAGTGACCACAACCGAGATTCAAAAGCACTTGGACGGCTTTGGTCTTCCTCAAGAGTTTGGTACCTATGGAAAAATCCGCGGTTTGAGTGGAGGACAAAAAGTGAAGCTTGTGTTGGCAGCTGCCTACTGGACCGTTCCGCATCTCATTGTGATGGACGAACCTACAAATTTCTTGGATCGCGAAGCGTTGGGTGCCCTATCTGCCGCGTTGAACAAATGGGGAGGTGCCGTGTTGATGATATCTCACAACCGTGAGTTCTACTCTTCTGTTTGCAGAGAGGAGTGGCATGTAGGTGGTGGTAAAGTCGATGTTAAGGGCGACTCCCATGAACGTGAAATGAAAGCTGTTGCAAGAAAGAAGAAGTACGAGAAAGAATTGGACACAGATGAAGTTCTTGAGAAGGCTGGTGGTAACATGAACGCTAATGCCGACCGCTACAAAGATGCGACAACAGGTTCGTAGTGGATGTTCCAGGTCGAACTTAATCGTTTCATTCCTCACATTGCTCTTGTTGTACTTTAGATTTTTGGGGTAAAACCGTTAGCAAGAAGGATGCCCGAAAATACGATAAGGCCAAGAAGAAGGGAAACATTGCCGAGATGAGAAAAATTTTGGGCGTTCCAAATGGCAAGGTCATGCCCGGATACGAAGAGCTTGGTGATGGTACTGCAAAGTAAAATTTTAGCCTGCACCTAAATATATGAAACGTCGGTTTGTTACTTGTTACTCCATCCATTGTGGACGCGGTGGATACTGCATCTGCTCTTCCTCGACTGTTGGTGTTACAAAATTGTGATCCATTTCCAGCGATGCGTTTACAGCATCGAGTTCATCTTCGTCGTCGTCATTTGGAATTAATCGATGACCGAGCCCTCTTCCCTGTATTCGTTCTCCCTCGTCACCCCTCTTCACTGCGACATAGGTCAGTGCTCCAAATACAAACAAAGTGAACACAACTTCAAATGGACACACAATGGGTCAGCTGAATCTATTTATATCGTTCTTCAAAAATAACAAATGAAACTTACTTGAGGAAGAAGTCATTGCCTTGAGCTCAGCCTTGTACTTTGATCCTGTCTTCGTAACCTGGTCCCAGACCGGAATGCTCTCCACTAGTGAAAATGAAACAGCACCTCGAACACCAGCAAGCAGAAGAATTAGTTGAGTTTTCTTGTCGAGATATGGTTTGTTGTGCCCCTCTGTGAAATCGTCGTCATCTGCGAGATTAACTCTCCTAAATGACCTGTAAAAACGCTTGAGCTTATTTTCAACGTCAAAGAACACGAAAATGTTGATCAAAAGAGACAAAATTCCAACCATCACCCCACGACTCGAGACGACGCCAAGGATTGCTGTAAGGTTGAGTCTAAAATCCCATTTGTTGTCAGAAAACAAGAAGAGACCGAGGTATGCGAATATGGCAGTGTCCATGATTGAAGCAACTACATGTGCCACGAATCCTACATGCGTCCTTGATCTAGACAGGATATGACCATCTCCGTTGAATGCCTGAGAGAAGAAAATCTGAAGATCGGTCCATCGATCTCCACCTCCGAATGGCATGGCGCGTTCCTCACCGTTCCCGAAGTTTTGCATTGGCATGTAGTCATTCACTGTAGGATTTTGTTGTGGATGAGATCCGCCAATCACATAATAGTCCATGAGGAATCCCATTACCATGATAGCAATGATTCCAGAACAAGATAACCCGTCAGCAACATAGTAGGGAATTAGAGCCCAACAGAAAAAAACACCAACTTCAGTGACAGCCGTTTGCCGACCACGGAGAACGTAGAAATAAACGGTGCAGCAAGCACCAATAGCCAATCCAATTGCAATCGAACCTGGTAGCAAAGAACAAATTAGCGCGTGTTGGATAAGCTGTACAGATACAAGTGTTCCAGTGCACTTACCGAAAAGAACTACAAAGAAATGCTTAGCCATTTCTTGATATGCTTCCTTTCCAAGTTCCTCATCTTCCCCAAGATGATCTACCAACGTTTCGAACAGAACAATGGCAACACCATCGTTCAGAAGAGATTCGCCAAAGATTAGCGTGTAGAGTGTATCAGTTTGAGAGACCCCAACGCCAGCTAAAATACTCAAAGTAGCCACAGGATCAATGGAAGAAATAAGAGACCCAAACACAAGCGAATCCAACAGCGGAAGCGTATCTTCAGATCCCAAGGTACTGACATGATGAGTGATAAGTCCAATAGCAACGGCAGAAAAAGCTGTTCCGAGACCAGCAAAAAGCAAGATAGGAAAGAGATCTCTTCGAAAGGCACGTTTATCTATACTCAGTGCCGCTTGAAAGATGATTGGCGGCAATAAGATCTGCAAAAACAAATCGTTGTCGAAACTCTGCCGATTTTGGAGCAAGCCCTTGTTCACAACACGGACTAGCGCTCCAACGATTGTACCAACCAAAATGAAAGCACACGCATCTGGAAGCCAATTCACACCAAAAGCCTTCAGTAGAGCCTTGATCATAGTACAGGCAAGCATAACAAGCATAATTCCCAGTAATCGAGAACTATGTAGCTCAGAAGTTTGTTCACAGTTCCTTTCATAAAATTGCTGTATACTATCGCAGCATTCCCAGTTCTCAAAAAAGTCATCAACTAACGCAAATGGTGCATTCCAAGTGAGCATATGCTTTACAACATATATCTTGAATCAATCAAGACAACTTACTCAAGAGGTCGTCTTCTTTGTCAGTTTTGTTCTTGTCGTCTTCGTCGAGGATCACTACGTGAGTATCGTGCTCGCAATCCGCAGCTTTGTAGGCGCTGTAGAACGCGTTGCATTGGTCATTGCTATCTGTGGTCCCGTTTAGAAAGTTGTACAAGTATTTTTTGCATGTTGTGGTCCGGTTTTGATCATCGTCCAGCGTTGGTGCGTCTTTGTGTCCATCGTCCGCATCAGCAAGGAAACGCCTGGCGATGACGTTTGGTTGAGCCGTCCTTGAAAGAGTAGTAGTTTGCAAAGCATTATCGTGCCAAAGTATGACGCCTGTCAATATTAGAACTGTGAAAGCCAATGAAGCCAACGAAAGCGTTTCGGAAGGAAGTGGTGAACGCTTCATAGAATCAGTAGAACCTCGATGCGTTGAATTTTGTTGTGTTGGATGGAAGTAGACTATTGTAACCCGAAACGAAAATCCCTTTATTCTTGTGGAGATTTACAGCGGATGAACCTAATTGGGACTCGTAAAAGGGGGCCCTGCTGTTTCAACGACTATTGTCTCTTTGCAAAGATGATGAATGAAGAATGTTCAATGTGATTGATCCATTGTTCTCTCAGCACGACTTGGGGGGTTGGTCATGGGGTCCGTTTATGTTCCGTGTATGTTCCGTTTATGTTCCGTTTATGTCCGCGTGTGTCCGAGAGTCTGACACGAAACCGCGGAGCCAATCCCAGCACGACAACTTCAAAACTAACTGAAAGGTGTCCTTGATCGTTGACAACATTTACAAAGATGGGGAAGGAAAGCGAAGGTGAAGGAAAATTGACGCAACTGGATCGCAGCATCAAAATCCTTGTGGATGAGCCTACGGCATCGGCAACAGAGGGAATAGAGCCTTCGACGGAACGCATACATCGATTGCACGGGACGTCTTTAATCCATGATGCATCCACCTTGTTGTCACTCGGAGCATCTACCTTTGCAACCGCATGTACAATATTTCATCGATTCTGTCACCAATGTTCCTTATATGATTATGATGTTTGGAGTGTGGCTGCTGCATCAATCTTGCTGGCAATAAAGATTGAGGAGGAACCGTATGCCATGAAGGGGATCATTCACGTCTTTGCGCACCTATATCGGAAGCGAATAATGCTCGCAACAACCGAAACCCCGGATCAAGTGAAGAGTCATCCACTTGGTGCAAGCCTACCTGCTGCAAGCACTCTTTCGTTGGAAGAAAAGCATCAAAGAATGGGGAAAGTACCACTTCCATCAAAACTTGGCCCAGTCTACAAGGAGTGGCATAGTCGAATTTCTAAAATGGAAGCCATCGTGTTGAGGCAGCTTGGTTTTACTCTATATTGGATTCCAGATTCTCATCCACATAAGTTCATTGCTTGCATCTACGATGCTTTGGAATTGACAGATGTAAAGGTCCGTTGACGGTGAATTGTGAATTGATTATGTACTTTGTCATTGTCTTTCTCCTCATCCACCACAGCTTGCACAACGGGCTTGGGAATATTGCAACGATTCATATCGACTGGACTTGTGCGTACGCTTTCCATCCGAGGTCATTGTAAGTAAAATGAGTCATTCTGCTATTTTTCAATGTTGAGCTCGTGATTGACACTGCTCATGTGGGACATGTAGGCAACCAGCGCTTTCTTTTTGGCTAGTTGCGATTTGAAAATAACTCTGCCTACAAACCCAACGCCGTGGTGGGAATATTTGGTTGGAAAGGGCAAAGAAAAGGACATTTCGTCCATCACCAATGTGCTCCTTGGACTCCAATCAGCGCAAGATGGCTCGACCTTTAATAACGATATGATGTTGGCATCCTTGGGGTTTGTCAAGACAATTCAAAAGACAAAAGGAGAAACAATGAGCAGTTTCAACGGTGTGGGGAGTTTTCTATGGGACCACCAGAGTGAAGTATTTGCAAAGGAGATGTGAAGGTAACAGCAAATACCTGCTCAATCATGTTAGCATCAAGATGCTGGAAATATATGGTATTAACGGTCGTGTCGTTGTCGTCGGTAGAAAAAAGCAGACCTATTTTCGATAATATGACGAAGGATTTGACCTCGAGATTCCTTGTGGAAAAGAAGTCTGACAATCAAACATCCAAGAAATGCACAATGCTGTGGTTGTACAGTGCAGCGGCTGCAGGGCCAAACTTACTTCCAACTCATATATTCGCCATATGGGCTTTTATATCCGACCATCAACTGTATTTCAAGTATTGGTTCTTGTCTTACTAGGCAGAAACCTTCGTGTTGCAGTCTCCAATCAACTCAATTATCCATGTTGCAGTCACTTAACGATTGATTCGATCACAATGATTACAGTAGCTTGGAACAGCATTAGCTGCCTGAAACGTGGAACTTGTAATTCAACATTGAAGCATAGTGATGTAGTTCAACATTGAATCATGAGCTGACACTCAAAAAAATTTAGGAGACGGTTGCACTTGCTCGGAAAGGCACCAACATGTCAAAAACGTGGCAGTTCAGATTTCATAATACTGGATGTACCGGTAGTAACTCCGATGACGAAATATGACGCATCAAATGGATGTTTTAATGATTACTTTGATTCGTACGCACATCGCTTGGAGACATCGCTGGCGTGTGCTTGAAATTTTTGGATAGTTTTGATTGGTGATAACTTCTATTTATTGACACCAGGCGTCAAGCTTGCGTCAAAGTTTGTGGCTCGAATTTGAAACGCATGTAAAAGATGACACCAGTAGAAACACACTACTGAAAGTGTCCTCTCCACGTGACTTTGAACATGATCGCCCCTTTGTTGACCGAGAAAAGGATTCGAAAAGAATTCAATCCGACCTACGTAATCATCAAATCAACAAAACTTCTGGCCCACAGAAAAAAGTGCTGGAGCCATCAAAGTGAGCACAAAATTATAAATTATCAGTCAAGCAGAACCATCATCAACATCTCGCCATGACCAATCTTTCGACCGTCTCTTATCCTCGCACTGGCAAGAGAGGTGTACCTCAGCAGTTTCCAAGACGACTTTATGAGATGCTCGAGGGCGAAGCCAAAATTGCTGCCTCAGGAAACCAAGGCAAAGTTGTGATTTCCTGGTCAGAATCAGGAAAGGCATTCAGGATTTTCGATGTAGACTCTTTCATGGCTTCTGTTCTTCCAAAGTATTTCCGTACCAAGAAGTTCAGTTCCTTCCAGAGAAATCTAAATTTGGTATGTTGGTTTGGCATTGGCTTTAACATACTTTTATCGGTTCAAATGATCTCATCTTTTTCCTTTTTCTTTCTCCAGTATGGCTTTGCCAAAGTACGAAGAGGTCCCGACACAGACATGTACGCACACCCATGCTTCGCCAGAGGCTATCCAGAGTCCTTGGCACAGCTGCGAAAATCGGCAACTTCGTCACGCAGACGTCTTTCTCAACAACCTTCCACCGATGAGAGCGATGGAAGTAGTTGTGATGGCTCGCTTGTGAGGTCGATAACACCGTCTCCAACAAGAAATGTCATACAACCCGTTCCTCAAAGTAGGATCCAAGAAGTCACATCCCAAACCCGCTACCTAAACTCTGCGTGGCTCACACTTTGTGCACCATCATTGCCAACCCAGAGTGCCCACACTCCTATTTCGTTTCTACCACCTCGCAAGACAGACGGCTCTGGAAGGCTTGATCTCTTGGCTCTTGCTATTGAGAGAGAACAGCGCCATGTAAATGCTTTGTAAATTCCCTGTTGCTATAACCCGCTAGTCTCGACTATGGGTGTATGGTATCCTGCTAAGCCCATTCCCAAGTCAAAAGACGCTACATATTACAAGCTTTGTAGATATTGTACAATCAAACGCTATTAAAATAATAAACAATATGTCCAAAAGGACACTGCTATCACCACCAATGATTTCATCTAGAGTAAAATCAAATCCTATAGAGTACTTCACGCGCTTTTGAACACGGCGACTGCCAAGGACTCCATTTTCGTTGGCTTTCTACAGCTGGGGCAGGTTGAATTCTTCTTTAGCCACTGAGACCAACAGGAGATGCAAGCAATATGACCACATTCTGCAATGTAAGGCTATGATGCAACAGCACCGTTAGTGCATTCAATTTAAGGATACAAAGACAGGATGGTCAAGATGGAAACATACCTTATCAACCTTCTTCTCGCAAATGGGGCATGCCAAGCTGTCTGGAGCATTTGACTTTATATTGTGCAATCCATTGAAATTGGATCGTCCTGTAAACATTCTCGATTCTGATTGATGAATAGCCTTTCGGTAGGGATTCTTACTCAAAGGGCTCAACAAAGATGAAGTGTTGAAAGCATTTTTGGGCCGCTTGGCGGATTTTAGAACCCCTTTTGCTACTGCGTTCAGTCGTTTCTTTCTATCATCGATAGGGAAACCTCGGGCCTTTTGAAGCGAGATTCCATTTGCAGCAACAGTACCCTGTTTTGAGTCATCTTGTGTGCTGTTGATCTGTCTCGATGCACTAGTCTTGCTAGTGTTGTCGGGTGGGGTTTGTTGAGTACTCATGAGTTCTTGGTTCAAAAGTCTTTTCTCTGATTCTTTCATTTGATGCATTCCCATGGAAGCTCTTCGAACATCTGCAATCTTGTGAATCAGGCTGTCTATTGCTGAATGACACTCTAGTGGCAGAAAAGACTTGCAGCCACGTACACTACCAGGGTCAAGTCCCGGGTTGGCCTCGACGAGCCGGACAAGGTGTGACTCGAATTCCTTTGTCAAGGTGGAGAAAGAGGACTTCTGGCTAGCTTCATCTTCAAACCAGATCAGTTTGAGGATCTTCAGGAGACTGCTCCTGTGTTCTCTATATTTATCCGTGGTCAACATCGACTTTGCCTGTTTTCCGAAGGCAGATTGCCTGTATACAGAGTTTAGAGTCACCATTTCGCAATCATCACGGTAATGTGATGGCAAAAGTCGAAACAGTAATGAAACTAGCTCCGGTGGTGCTGTCCGTGATCGATTTTCAAAGTTCTCGTGGCGTAGAATAGTATCGATTGCTGCACTAGCTGATGCCATGAATGGTTTGCGATGTTGAATGTCAACATATCGCTTCATTGTGAAGATTTGCTTCTTCATTGTCGCAATTTCACCCTTGGACATGCAAGTCTGTAGTTTCAGGAAGAAAGTTTTTGCAGGAGATATCCCATTCTGTGTGCCGCTGCTGATGGTACCAGACGCTTCAGACTGGGAAGCCTGGGCTGCCATAGCATCCTTCAATCGAACAGCAGTCGTTGCATTGCTATCCGTGTAATTGAGAGCTTTATCTTCTGTCCGAACAAGCTTCCGAAAGTCTCGTGATCCTGTCCCCTTCGTATCGATCCTGGCAATGATGTCGTTTGATGAAACAAAGGTGGAATCTGCTCCAGCGGATGTTTCGTTGCCCGAGGCAAGCATTGCAGTCCCATCCGCCTTTCGAATAATTGCAACTTTTGTTATCTTATTCTCATCGGACATGCGTTGCATATCTTCTTTTCCTTCGTCTTCATACTTTAGTATCACCGAAACTTTGTTTGGCTCCAACCGAGGAGTGGGGATGGAGAGCTTTCTTTGCTCAACTTTCACCGCTGCCTCTTTGTAGAATTTTGCAAGACTAGATATAGTCTTACCCATTCCTTCATCGTCCAGGATGTGCGGTCGCACCCACTTGCTTAAGCCTTGTTTGTTCGCAGGCATACCAAATCTAGAATCCAGCAACAGAACTGCACCATAATCGACCCTGTTTCGTATCACACGTCCAATTGCTTGATTGACTGCTCTATGGGCTTGCTGAGTGTACCATTCGTGGCCCGATAGAACATCTGCTGTCTTTGCACCGAAACCGCCATCCTCTTTGGATTTCATGTTCTGTTTTCTCTTGTTGCAATCAAGGAATTCACGTTTCATTTTTACTTTTGGATCGAACGAAGGAGCAAAAGGCAAACCAGTAATAACGACGGCGCGACACATGTCGTGCGCAAAATCAATTCCCTATTGATGAAGGTGAGCGAACGGATGAGTTATTCATTCTTGAACCAGAAAATGCTTCGTACGACATTAGAAAGAGCCGCAACGTACCTCACTGATCTTTCCTCTGCATACTCCCATGAGGACAACACCTTTCGACTTTGGCATATTCAGAAATTTGTGAAACTCCGCAATGGCATCTTGCAAATCAGCTGTGGATCTTGGTTCAAGAACCACAGCCTTATTTCCGAGTAGTCGCTTCCACGGTGTCAGCGTCTCTTTTGAAGTACTGAACGCCGTTGGGGTATGCGGAAAGGAGTATCGAGTAGATTGCTTTTTCTTGGCCCCAAAGAAACTGCTTACTGGTTTTCCACCTGATTGGCGGGAATTTGCCGGGCCGCCCCACTTCTCGATGCAAGCCTGCATGACGCTGTAACTTGGAAAAAAGATCAACATTCCGGCGGGAATCACTCTGCTAAGACTGACCAATGTGTTACCCAGTTCAGTGTAGTATTCCTTGTCTTGGCGGCGCTCATAGCTGCTTGATAGAAGTTTGCCAGTTACTCCTCTCCCAACTACCCTTACATGCACTTGGTCATCCTTGATAATATGCGGATTCTCGATTCGGTTTGGAAAGGGAATGTCTAATTCCATCGCGTAACTCTCCAATGGGGATAGCGTTCCAGAGGTAACAAGAATGGAACGAACCTTTAAAGCGGCCAACTCTCGCATGGCTTCAGACGGAGCAAAGCACCAATAAGAAACAGTCCTTCCGACCGCAGCGTTACTGTTTTGTTTCGGTGAGATGTGTACCCGATAGGATTGTGCCTTGGCGATGCATCTGGCTTCAGTTTGCTCTCCAAACACTCTCTTTACACATTGAATCAAATGTTGCAAGCCTGGGGCACCCTTATTGTTGCCACCTTGGACTTCAAGAAAGATATCCACGAGTTTCTTGACCTCTCGAATAAACAGATCATGATTCGCATGCGAAATCGATGCCCCCCTTCGGAAGATTTCCATCATGAACTCTCCTTTATGTGCTGCCTCGTTCTCCATGGTCAAAATATGTTCCTCAAGACACAGAAAGATTGACTTGAGTCGAAGAATGTTTTCTTTCTTGATTTTGTTTTCTTGCTCCGGTATGTTTTCAACGTAATTCAATGCCCTGCTCACTTCCTGAATACACCGAGATATGTCCAACGTTGACAGATCAAACGAGGCCGACTCACTTGCAAAGGATTCGAGATTGTGCGCCTCATCGAAAATAATCACAGCATTGTCCCAAGCGACTTCTGCCAAAGTTGTGGTCCGAGCATCATTGTCAAACAGATAGTTGTACGGAACGAAAATCAAGTCCGCTTCCTCCACCTTTGATCGAGTATAGTAGAACGAACAGACCTTGTGCGTCTTTCCCATTGCAACAATATCTTCAATGTCCATGATAGGCTGATCGTTCGACGTAAGACCAGATTCGTTGGGCGGTGGCTGAAAACCTTCCAGCTTGTTTCGGTACCGACATTTTCGTTCTTTGCAGAGTTTGTTGCAGTCGTGATTGATTTCGGAAGCTGTCGAAGTTGCTTTCTTGACCTTTGGGTTGACGCACATTTGTTCACGAGAGCCAAGCACTGCGTGCTTGGGACGATATCGAGTGTTCTGCAGCTCACGAACCACTTGTGACAGCTGCGAGTGGGTTCTGGAAGCATAAATAATGGTCGGCACTCGGTGCACTGCCTTTTTTGTCGGGTTCGCAGCTGATGGATCAGCAAATGTCTGTTGTTGCAGCAGTCGAGCTTGTTCCTTTTGCCATGCCAGAGCCGAGCAGAGCAAACAAAGCGCTGGAAAAGGAGAAAGTTAAAAAAATGACAACATTCTACCAATCGTGAAATATAATTTTTATCACTTCAACAGACTTACTTTTTCCTGTACCAGTGGGAGACTCAAGAAGCGCATTTTCAGATCGATGCAATGCATCCAAAACTTTTCCCATGTAATCTTCTTGGCAAGCGTATGGTTTGAAGGGAAAATGAACTTGGACACCACGAAGGTCGATGGTTGTCGCAGGTGTTACCGCTGATTTTGCGGCAGCAGATCCCGAATTCGCCGTATTGGCACCATCTGACAGTGGTGAAATCTTTCGTCTCGCATTGTTTGATGGTTTGACCGCCTTCATCAGATGCCCAGAGCTCAATTCGATAAGGTTGGCGACATTTTCGATGCAAACAAGGATGAGTGCATGCGGTCCATTGAATCAAATCAACTTCGCGCCATGTGAAGCTTGCTTGGTGCGTTCGTTACGTTACGTTCGTGCCTACTCCAACGACTTGAACAACTTCTAAATTGTACTATAGGTACCTAAGATTAGTACATGCCACTGTTCCCAACTCTCCATGGTGGCCAGTAGACAAATACAGCCCGACCGATAATATTCTTCGTCGGAAGGAAACCCCAGATGTGACCATCCAAACTGTGATTCCGGTTGTCTCCAAGCACCAAGACGCTATCTTTCGGAACAGTGACTGGGCCAAACTCGTAATCGGCAGTTTCGGCAATAAAAGACTCTGTCTGTTCGTCGCCATTGACGAATAGCTTTCCTCGTTTCACTTCGACTTCGTCGCCCTGAAACAAAGCAAGAGAATGTTATCATTAACAAAAAACTGTAACTTTTATTTCGTTCAAACTGACCAAGACAGTTGACTCACCTCAATGGCTACAATTCTCTTGATTAGAGCTTCTTTTGCCTTTGCGGTCTCTTGACCATAATTCTGGACGATCATGTCTCGGAACGTTTTTGGTGGGTTGAATACAACAACCTCATTTCGGTAGAACGGCTTGATTCTCTTTGTCACCTTCTCAACAGCAAGTTGATCACCGACATCAAAAGTAGGGAACATCGAAAGACTTGGAATGAAACGTGGCTCGACGATGGTGAATCTTAAGAGAAGTGCAAATCCGAGACTGATGACGTATGTCTTGATGTCATCCTGAACATCTTTTCTGGAGAAAAATCTTGCAACAGCATTGCCCTCTGTCGCGGGACTTTCCTCTTCGTCCCACTGACCTGTAGGTTTATCTTCTGTCGATCCGAATAGATATGATTGTCGTTGCGGCCTTGAAACCTGAGTCAGCGATAACTGTTGTGAAAATTGTGTTGGAACGAACGCAGAGGCCTCGTGTGCAAGGATCAGCAGCAAGATGGATAAAACTAATCTTCTGTTCATTTTATTTATCGTTATACAATGGAATTGACACCAGGTAATGGGAAGAGTCGATTGGCAAAAGAAAGTAACCAACAGCCACCAGCAAAGATCCAGTTTCTTGGAGGCTGAGGCTGATGATTTTTTGGTGCCGCAAGGTGGCGGGAGATTTGTTTTTTGATGTAGAGACTCCGGCTACTGAACGGTTAGCGTACACGCATTCCATTCAACTTACGTTGGACAGACTACTACACTGTACACTGACTGTAATGTACCATACGAATACTTTTTCTGACCGTGATTATATATTTGATGCGACCTACAGTAAGATCGATTATCGGAGGTGCAGGAAGATACCTTGTTCAACTTGAAAATCTTAGCTTTGAACATATTCGTTGGTCTCGTATTTGATACCTACTTGCTCCTTCACGAAAGAGTAAAAACCTTGAAACCATGAAGACCGCTGTCCTTGCCTCTCTTGTTGCCACCGCTGCAGCCTTTGCCCCTTCCTCCAACCAAGCCGCACGAGGATCAGTAGCTGTCCAAGAGTCCAAGGCAGACCTTGAGGCCATGGCTAAGAAGCTTAACCCTGTTCTTGGCTTCTGGGATCCTTTGAACCTTGCGGAGGCTGAATTCTGGGGAGCAAGCAACGAAGCCACCATCGGTTTCTTGCGTCATGCCGAGATCAAGCACGGACGCGTTGCTATGTTCGCCTTTGTTGGATACATTGTCCATGCCAACGGAGTGAAGGTAAGAATTCTTTTGCAACCGCTTGGCGGTACTGTTGCCTTTGTATCGGAACAAAAACTTGATTTCGTATCTCACTATGTGCTTTCTTCTCTCAACCTACTCCTAACCCCTAATACTAACAGTTCCCATGGGCCATGCAAATGGACGGAACTCCCTTCCCAACTGGGACCAACCCACCTGCTCTTTGGGATGCAGTCAGCGAAGATGCCAAGTGGCAAATCTTCTCGTTGATCGCTTTCCTTGAATTCTGGAGCGAACTTTCCACCCCTGACCACAAACATTACATGGCTGGAGGAAAGCCAGGTGACTTCCCTGACTTCAAGAGTGGTCCCGATGGACTCCCACACCCTGTCCCATTCAACTTATACGATCCATTTAAGTTAAGCAAAAATATGAGCGAGGAAAAGAAAGAGAGACGTCTTCTAGCCGAACTCAACAACGGACGATTGGCACAGTTGGGAATTTTCGGTTTCTTGTGCGAACAAACCATCCCAGGATCTGTCCCTATTCTTAGTGGAGTCGTCCCGCCTTACTCTGGAGAGGTTATGGCACCATTTACAACCAATTACCTTGGACAACCCTTCGGAATGTAAATCATTTCAACTTCAAGGCATACAATGCAGACACTTCGTCATCAGCTCCCTTCGGCTTCAATTTAGTCATTTTTGTAAACATCCCTATGGGTTTGAGCCAAGCTGGTGCATGTAAATTATAGAATTTATGACATGCAAACTGCCTATGATGCATTTACTAGTCTCTACATTGCAGTATAATGTATTGCGCCAAGTCTCGCTTACACTGTTGGAATCTATGTCAAAAGGATTATTCGTCACTGGCCGACGATTCTTCTGCGCTCTCCATTTCGCTACCAGAGCTTGCATTCATTTCATCTCCCACTTCTTCGTCACTTTCGTCATCATTATCCCATCGCAATTGCACAATTGCAAGGCGATTCTTTGCCTTGGGAACCCGATGCCATCTTCCTAGTTTTGGTTCTTGCCCACAAGCAGCGACACAGAAACGAGCCTTTGGCCCCACAGCTATTCCGTTTAAGTATCCAGAAAGAGGGATGCGATTCATTTCTTCCATACCCCTCGAATCCAGCGTACTCCCCATTGCTAGCTACAAAATACAAGTAGCAAGTGGTTAGGCTGAGCGGGATTGAAACTCTTGCATGCGTTGCAACATAAAACAAAACTCACCTTCCACAAACGGAGATATCCATCGTACGAACCACTGACAGCCAGATCAGAACCTCTCAAAGAAGCCAAACTACAGATCCCACGTCCTACACCTCCATCAACACCGTGGGCGTGATCAAAAGTCTTTACAGCTTTCTTCTTGTCTGTCATCCATAGATTCAGCGATCCATCATCATGCCCAGTCATGAACCAGTCGTCCTTCATCACACGGACGCAGTCAGCAGAAGATAATCTTGCACCACCTCGAAAGATTAAGTGAGTGTCTTCCGCAAGCTTCCAAGCTCTAGCAGTACGGTCACGGCCAACTGAGATCGGTCTTTCTTTTCTATGACAATCAACAGACGTGACTCCGAACTGGTGCCCATAAAGCGTTTCGACATACATTTGTTCGCTCAGATTATAATGACTATAAAGACAGGAAACATTTAGTAACACGTCCAAAATATGGGCAACCTCAAAGGAACAATCAAACCGGAATGACGTACCGAATGCATCTATCTTCACTGCCAGAGAACAATTGAAGTGACTGGGTCCTGAATGCCAAAGTAGTGATTGGTCCTTTGTGACCAGTGAAGGTTTTGACTAAGCTATTCTTTCCAGCACGAACATCAAAAATGGATACCGTGGCATCTCGTCGGCCAACGGCTGCGTAGTTTCCGTCGTCGGAACATGCAACCGACAACACTTCACCTTCTCCTCTTGATAGCTCAGATGAATTTTGCTTCTTCCATGATTTGCACAGTATTAGAGATTTCTTCTGTTGATCCACATCCCATAATATAACAGAATGATCTTTGCTCCCGGAAATTGCCGTCGCGCCGTCCGACTGCAACGCTACACATGTGGGTGTCAAATCATGACCTCGCAAAAGGTTGATTTTTCCATCGTCAATCCATGACTTTTCATGGCTTTCGATGGATCCAAGTGACTGTTCAAAAGATGAAACACAGCTTTCGACTTTGCCAGCAACAGCTCTCTCCAGTGTTCCTTCTCGCTTCAGCCGTTCTCGTTGCAACTTAACACCTATTCGATCATATCCTGTATCGCCCTCGTCATCTTCGGACGAGCTTGATGAGCTATCGTCCGAGTCTTCTGTTTCCAACTTCCTCAGATACTCGCGAGCAAGACGAATTTTTTTGGCGTCCAGTGTCTCTTCTTCCTCCAGCTCCTCATCATCCAAGGATGGTTCTAGGTTTTCTTCATCGTCGGACGATACGATATCCTCGTCATTTCGATTCCAACCAAGATCAATAGTCTTCTGCTTCTTGCCACCACCAGACAATGAGCCTTTAGAATCTTCAGTTTTTCTTTGAACTCGAGACATCTTGAAAGAAACTGGAGAAAGAATGAGAGATAAGTCTACAAATTAAAATGCAAACAAGGGAAATGTTTTGGGATGACATTTTTCATGTTTCCTCTTGGTTTCACTTGGCTATGAACAGTTCGACCCAAACCGAGCGTAGGACAGACTGGAGATAAGTTTCAAAACCGAGAGATCAAAACATTGGGAAATCCATTCCCTCTTCTCCACCCTCTAGTGGTGCATCTAAATCAAGTTCAATTGAATCAATGTCACCAAGCGCATCTAAGCCACCAAATCCCGAGGACGTAAACGGATCCGATTCATTCTTTGCTTGCGTCTTTACTTTGTTCTGTTTCGAGGATGACTCTTGTGATGCTGGGAACTCTCTTGGAATCAAGGTTACAAAACGTGCTGGAATATGATATTGTGGTACTTTTCCTGTAGGATCTGATGCAACGCGTGTTGGTATGTTATCATGCGTACAAGTATTGCAGCATAAAGCATGTGTCACGAACCTTGTTCTTCACCATCGAATTCAACTACAATGATATCGTCATCATTTCTGCAGTACGTCGTGCTATCAATAACTGTAGCTGGGTATAGAGATGTCGTTTGAGGATACATTGCATAAACGCGGGATCCTTTCTTGCACCTTTGCGCATAAAAAGAGTAACAGAAGTTTGAGAAAAGTGAGACTTTGAAGACCGGCTCTCGAGAGATCGAGAGGTGACGTACCGCTGCCCCCATTCGGCCGCTTCAGAATATGTCCTTGGAAGGGGCAAAACGAGGTTTCTTGAAACCAGAGTTGACCCCCCATCTTCTTTTTCTTCCACGTCCCGTACCATCACCTTTTCTTTGAACACGGCATCCCGACGTGCGCCTGATAACTTCACAAATTCAACAGGAGCCATGGTAAATCCCGAATAATCCTTTAGTACCTTTGCAAGAATCCATAAATCTCTGCTGGACAATCGAGCCGCAACAAAGTCACCTGCCTTCAATGACCTGAAACGCAACACCTCAAAGACGCGAATACTGTGTTCCTTCTTGGCACAGACTCTCTTTCCAAACGAATCGAATTCAGGTAAGTTGACAGGCGGCTCCTTGGATGGAGGCAACTTCTTCCGCCGCGATCTCCGCAATGTAGAGGAGCCAACATTCTGAGCCGATGAAGCGGCAGAGCTAGCAGAGGGTGCCGCAGGAGCTGGCCGTTGTTTCGGTGCTGTTTTTGAATTCAATGCCCATGGTATACTGGAGTCATGAGGAACCGTTGGTTGCTGTGGCGTGGGAAGTGTTGGAACAAGAGCCGGTTTGTCAAGTGGTGCCGGGAAGTACTGGCTCATGGAAGGATCCACCTCATACAAGACACTTCTCAGAACGTTATGGAGCGAAGTGCAATATTCCATGCCAGCTTCCAACTCTGATTTAATTTTCTTGGCTGTTCGAGGATTCATAATGTCCTTTTTCAGTTTTTCCTCTTCCACCTGATCAAAAACAGGTTTTGCCTTTTTGTCAGCGTCTGCAGCAGCTTCCGCATTGCCGCCTGTAGAGGCTGCAGCAGCTGCTGTCTTTCTGGCTTGTGCACTCTGACGAGCTCGTTGCTTCTTGATACGTTGTGCTGCAGCCGTCGCCCGCAAGAAGCCGTTCACAGAGTTTCCTCCAAGAATCATGCGACTCGCCCATAGCACCTTATCTTTCCATTCGCAATAAGACAAGAGCTTATTCTGCTCGTCAGTGTTGTACGGAAATCCAGACGGCCCCGTCGCAATATTTTTGTCTATCTTCTTCGTTGTACTTGCTTTGGACTGCGCTGGTTTGGGAGTTGGGTTTGGAAATGTCGTAGGAGGACCTGACATTCCTCCTGCAGGAGGTGGGTGCGATGCTTGAGGAGGAGATCCATAGGGAGACAATCGATTGGGTACTTGTGGATTCACAGGAGGATTTGTGTATGATACACCCTGTGTGGGTTGATATTGTTGGTTAGGCATGTTCATTTGCTGTGGTGGTTGCTGATAGGCCGGGGGATGTTGGGGTGGAAAGTGTGGGTTCCTCGCTCGATTGGGTTGAGGATATCGTTGTGCCATGAGATCCTGAATACTCTGCCCCGTAGGTGGACGATTCGTGTTGGGCATGGTTCAATGAACAGTGAATTTGCTTCACTAGCAGTCTCTGGGAGTTGGCAGCAAACGTTGGAATGATCCCCGTTCAAGGTTGTCATTTGAACAGACGCATTTGACATTCGGTTTGTGACCTTAATGGTACTGACAAAGCCCCAAACAACATGCACATGAACTCCTTTGCCAAAGTCAGAAAAACGAAAGTCACATCTGAACAGATTGATAGACTTGAGTCTGTAACGTGCACCCATCACACAAGAAAAGAAGAAAACTCTTTAACAGTTTCATAGCAAGTATCGTCACAAGAGACATACTCTTTGCTCTACATAAAGAGAACCGAATTCACAAAATTCGTCTACAAAAGATTTTGAAACGCTAACCAGTCGCACACACCTCTAGCAAACAACAATGACAGACGGAACGAAACCAGCATGGGTCGCATTGTCCAAGTTTCTAGCACCTTGGGCTGCAATTGTTGTGTTTTCTGCAGTGAGTAGACCTTGGAGGATACGAGACTGAACTACGTGATTTATATTCGCTCACACACCTATGATCTTCAGCCAATTCCAACAATTCGTGCTATCGAAAGAGACCGATCAGTTGGGTCGCTACCTCTACTGCCTTATTCATCGATGATTGTGTCTTCGTTCCTGTGGCTTGCATATGGTGCATTGATTCATGAACCAGCAGTTTGGCGAACCAATACTTGTGGTTTGTTCATGTCCCTATACTACTTTATGCGCTTTGTGAAGCACGCACCACCAAAATCACCGACACTTCCTGGATCCGTTCAGGATCATTCAAACGCAGTACTGTTGATTGTCCTTGGAACTCTTGCCATCATATATGTGATGCCCATTGAGAATCCAGCTCATTTGATTGGAAACATTGCTGTCATTTTCTGTGTGGCCATGTTCGCATCACCCTTGGCGGCATTGAAGACAGTGATACAAACAAAGTCAGCAAGGTCTATTCCTCTGCCGTTGGCAATTGCTACTTGCATCAATTGTGGGCTTTGGTCTATAGTGGGCCTTTTTGACATTGTCGATTTCAATATCTATTTCCCGAACCTGTTAGGGTTGGTGTGTGGTATCGCCCAGCTAGTTTTGAAGTTATACTATGGCAGCGGGGGGACAGAAAAGGGAGTCTCAGAAATGGATCTTATAATATGAATAGTATGATAACACGGACAATTTGAAGGTAGCTTGTGCAGATAGAAGGCGGTCCGCCCAACAGAAGGTGGTCCAGCCAAGGATCCAGCAGCTGGTATTCAAAATGTTTTGTCAGTAAGATAGGTAAAAGGCACTTTAGATTTGGAATAGTATAGTATATTAGGAATGACACGTGCAGTAGTATGATTGATTATTTTTCTTCTTGGAGTGTACCGGTATCGCGTTCGATCGAATTATTGCACTTCTACCGGCGGCCGGTACAAGTACCGGTACCGGTACGGTACGGTACCTATCAAAAAATCTACCAGTATCAGATTTAGGTACCGGTACTTTTTAGGAACTTGGCGATGGCAATCCACGTCACGGCCAGCAAACTGCAAGGAGGAAGGTATTTAGCAGCCTTTCTAAAACTTGGATCAATTTTGGAACTCTATTTGCTTCCGTGAAAACGATAAATAACGCTGTGTTTACCTCATTTTTGTTCCCGCCGGTGTGCACATACCAGTTATCTTTGCTGTACACGTTTACGTACGCATCGGAATTGTATTATATTTCTCACGAATGAAATCGATTTGAGTGAGAAAGGGGCGAACTTCATGCATAACAACGGCACAAAAGCATCAAACGACTTTATGAAGCCACTGTCAAGAATAGCCTTCGCGCTGTCGCTTTGTTTCTTTGGGCTAGCATCGCTTATAAATGCGGAAACTACCCCAGGGTTGTCACCATCGCGGCTGTTACGAAATTCACATTCTGATCAATACGATGTGAGCGACAATTCGATACGATCGACCACGAGATGGAATTGGATCGATTTCGCAAATTTTTCTTCTATTGCCGACTATGAAGCCTTTCGGTTTGAGATACCGGAGATATTTCAGGAAAAAGGGCCAAAGGGGATGCATCGAAGACTTCAAGAAGAGGAGCTTCTAGTCCAAGAGGAAAGCACTGCAGATGATTTCAATCCAAATGATCTTATTGTTTCTGTGACCTTTAGCGAGATTTGTAAGTCTCCTGAGCACTGGAAGCTCCGCTTTTTTTATTTGTGATGATCGTGTGGTTTGATTTTTTTCTAATTGCCCCCCAAATTCTCGTTCTTTCGATAGACAAAGTTATTATTTTCATTGCAATTGCTTGGTTACTGGGGAACCTTTCGGTGAAAATTGGGCTACCTACTTTGGTGGGAGAACTTGTGACTGGAGTTGTACTCGGACCGCCGCTTCTCGATTTCGTTCCATTTCCAGGGGCATTGGTACTGACAGGAAATCTGGGTCTGATTGGGTTGATCTTGGAGAGCGGGATTAGTTTGGATGTTGTCCAATTGCAAGAAGTCGGAAGTAGAGCATTGCTCCTGGCGATAGCTGGATCAGTGATTCCGCTCGCAACAGGCTTTGGGATTGGTCGGTGGATCGGGATGAGCACCAAGGCGGCGATTGCAGTTGGCGCAGCTTTTGCTCCTAGCTCTTTGGGTGTTGCGTCAAATGCACTATCAAGCGGTGATGTTCTCAATACACCGATTGGTCAGACAATTGTGGCTAGTAGTGTGTTTGACGACGTCTTTGGCTTGATCTTGCTGAGTATTTTGGAAGTTTTTGCTGCTCCGGATCCTCGGGTCTTTGACTACATCTTGCCATTCATTTCGTCCTTTGGATACTTGATTGTCTTGGGCTTTTTGGGAATTACTGTGTTCCCACGAGTAATCGAAAACAACATCCTGCCGCTTGTGTCGGAACCAAACCGAGATCAGCTCGCTATGGTGCTCATGTTGGTGCTCACGATTTGTTATATGCTCGCTCTGAATTACTCCAGAGCAAGTTATCTGACTGGGGTTTTTCTCGCAGGATTGACATTCAGCCAACTCCACATGGTTCATGCTTCCTTTGTCAAACATGGACGACCGATGCTCAATTGGTTGCTCCGCATATTCTTTGCTGCAACAATTGGTTTTCAAGTTCCCGTCACCAGGTTTTCAGATGTTTATGTATTGGGTTGGGGATTTGCACTCCGTAAGTTTGAATTTCCATGTTTTTTCCGATGTCCCACGACGATTTCGACTAATACGTCTCCCACGGATGACTGTAGTGCTTGTTGTTCTCGCAAAGGTCCCGGTTGGATTTCTTGTCCCTCACTTTCAAAAGGAAATACCCAAGGGCTTCCCGTACAACCCGTACTTTCGAGATATTGTGGTTACATCTCTTGCAATGACTTGTCGAGGAGAGTTCAATGTGATTGTGGCATCTTATGCTCTCAGTGAAGGGCTTTTCGAACCCGAGATCTACAGCGCTGTGATTCTCGCTATATTGTTTGGTAGTATTGTGTCACCGCTTGTTTTGACAAGAGTACTTCGGTACTACAACGGTATGTCTGTGAGCTATCTAGAAGGCGATCATCCAATCGAACGTATCGGGAACACATGCGATGGTTCCAGACCTCTTTTCCTTGCAATTCAGGCTAGAACACCAGTCCATTGGAACTTGCAAGAGGATTTCAAAAGACGGCTAGAAGAACATGGTCTCATTATCATTGACCACCGATCCTGGCATACGCTCGGACGAAAAGATATCGGACAAGAGGCAGTAGACATCACAGAGCTCTTCGCTCAAGATACAAAGCAGCGGGTTAGGGTTGCGGGATGCTTTCCTTCGCAACAATCTAGTGGGACGGTCGAGGACGAAAGCTCCATTGGATCTAATTTCGACAGACAACCATCGTCAAGTAGCATTGGATCTGATTTCGACAGACTACCATCGTCAACTCGAACTTCAGACGACACCTTCCCAATGGATTTCGGTCCAGGGGGTGATGTCGGCTGGGAGGAGGAAAGGAGAGAAAGGATGATGATCGAAGATCGGTGTGAAGCCATAAAACAAGGTACAGTTCACGAGTTTCTTGTTATTTGTTGCAAGTCTATCCTTCACCTCACCTTTGAAATTTCTGGAATATAGTAATGGCTGACTGCTTGAAATCAGACAGCCCTGACGACTACCGTATCCAGGTTAGTCAGTGGGAACCGTTCATTGTCAATAGGAAAGCTGAAGAGCAGGAAGAAGAGCCATCGGAATTACAACCACATCATGCACTACGACGTCGGTTCTATACGTTCGGTTCCTTCCGTGACGATGAAGACAGCGCCAGCGGGGATAATCCTGATCCGTGCGATGTGGTCTCGTCAGCTCCATCAAATGATAGCTCCCTTGTGTTCGAGAATACGAAGCCAAAGAAGCTTAGCCTTAATCTTGGTCCAAAAAGACCTTCCATCATCGGACGAAGCGCCTCCGCCGTCGCCGCCGTCGAAACACCCACAGCTGCTGCAGATGGACCGCTTCTGTCAGCTGCCGATCTGTGGGAGAACGACAACGCTTGTCGTCAAGCAACACGGGATGGATTCACCTTCTCTCCTGATTCGTATGGCTATGGGGGTTGTAACGTTACCATTGGTCTGGGAGATGTGGTCTCAACACCGAACAGCAGCAGCGTCCCAAGAGCGAGACATCGTCGAGCAGTGAGCTTTGATCCGAATATCATGAATCCAAGACTGCAGGAAGATGTGGAGAGTTTTGTGATCAAGGACCGCCTCCATGGTTACGTCAGACATCACCACCCCCAAAGCATGACACCACAACCTTCTCAAGAGTTTACAGTCAGACAGCAAGATCCTCAAGAGTTTCCATAGGCGAATCGCAGTATCATTATATAAATTTCTATGCAACAAACACCGCAATGCATATCCAATATTTCTAAACTTCTAAAAAAGTAGTTTATATATCAGTTTCTGAGTACGTGGAAAAACAACAGCGTCATCGACATTCCAAATATTATCCAAGCGAACAAATGCCTTGACTTCTTCTGTCGATATGTCGCGTCAACCAAACTTTCCTGTCCCCTGTTCAAGTTTGTCTTGGATTCTTTTGCTGAATCATGAATCTGAAGGATTTCTTCTTGTTGCTCTCCCACAAGGTTCGAAAACTGACCTATTAGTGTTGTGATTTCGACCATTCTGTGCTCCATTTGCTGGACACTGTCAAGATCGCTGTGGGCAGCAACAGTCAGCATAGCTACCTCCTGCTGCAAATCTGCCTCAAATTGCCGATTCGACTCTTCTATTGCTGCATCCTGATACGGCTTGATTTGTGGTTTTGGAAGTGGGGTAGGTACAGGTGATGGGAGTAGCGACGCACGCGGAGAGTCCAGATCTTCCGTTTGCGAAACCGATTTTCCTTCTTCCCTCTCGATATTCTCAAGAAAACTTGGACGTTGTGGAGCCATTCTATTTTCCCGCGCGTCATCTTGATACCTCGTCTCAAAGCTTTTATCGTTGATCACTCCTGCTGAGGTTGGCAAAAATCGTTGGTCACGGCTCTCATCACCATCGCTATCAATTAAGTCTATAAGAGAGCTGTTCTTGTTTCCATTTTGCTTCGGTTGGAACAGTGTGCACTCCTGGGGGTTCTGCCAAATGTGAACCGCAGGCCTTGTCCGCTGTTTCTGAAGTCTCCCAAAAGGAGAAGTCACCATCGATTGAAGAATCATCAACAATACTTGGACGATCCCAGAGCGATGGCTTGAAATATCCGACGATGACGCTGGAATAATTTTCCGTAAAGTCTCCAGCTCACTTGCAGTTGTTGCGGCGAAGGAAGTTATCGTGGACTGGATCAGTGCAGCCTCGTCATCGCCCATGTTGAGACCAGCATATTCGTTTTGCTTTGTTCGTATCCATTGTGCCATGCGAAATAGATCTGCTTGCATGCGTAGAGCATTTTCCATCCACGGATCTAGTGAATTACTATTTTCAGACTCGGCATCATCTATGTCGTAATCTTCCAAAAGGTTGATGATCTCTTGAACCTCAAACGGTGTTTCGCTTTCGTCTTCAAGATTTGCCGTTTCGCTGTCTTCTTCGAACTCATCGACCCATTCGAAGCCATTCGCTTGACTACAGCAGCGATCCCAGTCCTCTTCCCGGCTGTACGATGCAGTCCACATGAAGCTATGCTAGCTGCAAATGGATCGCAAGCTGGTTCGTCGTCTTCATGCGTGATTGTGCAATGCGATTTTCGTCTAGCAGTCGAACAAGTCGCAAATTTATGGTGTACCGGTAGGTAGACGGACGAATATCTAGATGGTGCAAGTACAACTCTTACCATACCGGTACAACAAAACCTCCATCTAGACACCCACGCATCGAGAATGGCATGGCAGTGTGAAGTTAATGGCAAAGATCGAGAGTAATAAGCAAAAAGCTCATTATGAAATACGCATTTAGACATCTACACACCCGAGACTGGCATGGCAGCAAGAAGTACAGCAGCTGCAAGTAACCGCTGGATCCTCTGCCCTACAGTCCGCTGCAAAAGTGGTCAAGGTCAGAGCATTCGAGGGACTACAGAAATGCTCGTCCAAATCGCCATCAAATTGATTGTGGTCAACCCTAAGTTCGGCTGCGACATAAAACTTTGAGAATTGGTTGATACATGAAAGGGCAATGGAGATGAATGATAACTCACCGAGAGATCCAAGACCAGCTAAACCATTTGGAACAGAACCAGAAAAGTTGTTGTGGTTGAGAAGCAGCCTCTTCAGACGCTTCATTCCTGAAAATTCAGGGGTTAGCAATCCTGAAAACTGATTGTGTGCCATGGAAATGCTTGTAAGAAAAGTGTAGGAATCCAGAGAAGAAGGTAGCGTTCCGGTCAGGCCATTTGAGTCTAAGTTCACCTCAGCCAATCGTTTGGGACCATCTGCAGAAAACAAGTGGTCCAGCTGTCCACTTATCTCGTTGTTGGAAAGATCAAGGACTTGCAGTAGCCCAAGATTGTCTTCAAACTCCGGGATCGCACCAGTCAATTGATTTTTGGAAGCATAAAAAGTCACAAGCCTTGGAAGGCTAACAAACATCGCATGTACATAAAAGGAAGGTCAGATGCATTATAGGCAAAGAAGACAGCTGAAGTTTCACAATACTCACAGGCCAAGTGAAAGCGGAAGCGATCCACTCAAGACATTGTTATGGATGTCCAAGTAGAGAAGTCCTTGTAGGGATCCTATTGATTTGGGAATATTACCACTCAAACGATTGTCATTGATCGACAAATGGTACAGATCGTTTTGCAAGGGAGAGAATTCTGGAATAGGACCTGTAAGATCATTGCTTGAAAGCTCCAACATTTGCAGTTCATGCAGGTTCGAAAGTGCAATCGGCATCTGACCAACGATGCTATTGCCACGAAGCCTCAACTCTTTAAGGAACGGAAGCGAACCAATCTCGGGTGAAAGCTTGCCGCCCAAGTTGTTGGCAGCTATAGTAGAAGAACATAAAAAGATCAGTTGTTTCTTAAATCACACTCGTCTTAACGCAGCCGAAAACTTACATATTGTGATTCTAGATACATTTCCAAAACCATTGCAATAAACACCGTTGCCGTTTCCGTCGTTCCATTCGCAAACTGAATCACTTGCAAGGAAATTAAGTTGTGAATACCAATTTTCCCCGTTGAGAGCAAAATACAATAGAGCACAAACATAGCGCTGGATGATGTGATCAGGTTCTAGCGTCATCAGGTCACCCTTCGCTTGGTCATCTTCGAGAAGCCAGGTATACGCCATATTCTGAACTGAGTCGTGCTCGACAAGTGCGTTGCCGGAGAGTATCTGTAGCTGAGACAAAATCGGGTCGTTTTCTGATGGAGCATGGGATAATAGTCGTGTTGGCGACAAAGTTGGTAGTTTTGTTGGCATTTTTGTGGATGGTGCAGAAGTTGGCATTTCTGAAGAAGCCACGGGAGTTGGTAGCACGACGTCTAACTGTCCGTCTTTTGCAACATTAGCCTCTGATTCCCCTTTTTTTGACATTATTGCAGCGATGGCAATACTCAAAACCAGTAGAAGAGCTATAGCAAGAACAATCCACCTTGCCCACGCAGCCGCCCACGTCTTTTTCTCTTGAATTGTACTGTCGTCGTCCATAGACCTATTGTTTATTTGGCTTACTCCATCTGCTTGCTCGAAATCTCCCTCCAAATTGTCAAGATCGATTTTCCACGTTGATTCGTCAGGGTCCTCGATACAAATGTCGGACTTCTTCTCGTTGTCACCTTGCTGCTCAGGAGACACTAGAGCCAACTCCTGGTGCTGCCCTTGCTCCACGTCCTTGAAATTTTCCTCAAAGAAATTTCTCTTCGGCGTCAAATGTTCATTCTTGCTTAAGCGTTTTTGAACCTGTCTCACAATCTCATTCGTAGTGATACCGTTCGATGGCTCTTCGTTGTTAGCTTCGTTGGGCGAGGGTGGTTGACGGTCCTCAGCAACAATGTCCAATGCTTCATTTTCGTCGATCGAATGGATCTCGAGAAGTTGCAGTTTCTCTGAGCGGGTTGAAGTGTCTTTTGATTCGTTGACTGTCTCTGAACTGCATTCTCTAGTAGCTCGTGTATTGTGAGACCTCTCTGGCTGTGATAACTTGTCTTGCCAGTCTTTCTCGGTTTTGTCGAGCTCGGTTAGCTGATCTCTCAACCCCTTCCTTTCGGATCGTTCCGATGGCTCTTTGTCACTGAATGTCTCACAGACATCTCTATTTTCTTCAGGTTGCGTGACAAAGGAGTCAATAGTGGCCGAGTCCGGAATATCAAGAGCTTGATCTTCCTTGCAGTTGTTGATGGGAACTGTTGGATCATCATGTCCAATGACACTTTCCCATGCACTCATGCTGCCATGACTGTGTACACTTCTACAATCGGCAGATGCTGAACCTTGTCGTGAAAATGAATATCCTGAGCTTGTCATCGTTGTTGGTTGACACCAGGATGTGTGATAGATGCAAGGATGAAGAAGCTGTTCTTCTACTCCACTTTCAACTTTTTCCACGATTTGTGGGCGATGAAAAGGAGGATGACCGGCCGACTGGCGAATCACCATTATACCTCTTTGTATACACATTCAAGCTAATTTAGCCATCTCAAAATACATAGATCTCTGATCTGAGATCGGACGAGTCAGTCAGTCGTCCATTTTTCTCTCCGTCTTTCCGCCGTACGAAAATATTTTCGTCTGCCCACCACTCAGAAACTTCACACCACAAGCCACCAAATTCGAAGTTTCAACATTTTAAATTCTCAAGCAGTGAGATAGGATGAGGAAGCGCAAGACATCCTCCTTGGACGAAGTCGACAGTTCCGGCAGCGAGATGGAAGTAGATGGTGAGGAGAAAATGGATGTGAACGAAGTAGATGATGTCAACTCCTCTGACGAACAATCTGAAGCTGAAGAACCAGCCACCCATTTTGTTCCTAAAGACAATCCATTTCTAGACTCCTTCTACGGCTTGTCTTCCGAGGATCCGAGAGAAAGGTCAAATTCAGCAAAGACAATGCTTCACCAGTGTCTGTTGGGTCCAGATGCCAACTCAAAGGATGCTTCGTACGCTTTGCGTCGCCTTTTGAACGGTCTTTGTTCGGGAAGGGCGGCAGCTCGACAAGGAAATGCATCGGCTTTAACAAGTTTTCTGAAAGCTTCTTTTCAACTGGACAAAATCCAGGGCATTCGAAGTGAAATGGAAGGAGATGACCCGACCGGTGGAACACCCCTATCATTCATTAGAACGAAATTGCTTGCTGCCACTGACCCTAACCAAATTTCCGGCAAGAAGAAAGGATCAGAAGAACGGGACTATCAATTTGGAAGATTGTTTGGGATCCTTGGTGTGATTCGCAGCGGTATTCTACTACCCGATGACTACGACGATGACAATATGTCGAATGTTGTTGAAGTTGTTAGCGGTTTTGTTGAAGATCTTGCTGAGCTGTTTTGGCTCAAGAGATGGATGAGAGAACCTGCTACGCATGGAATTGCAACGCTTCTGAAGTCTTTCTATCAGGGATCACCAGAAAAGGCCTGTACGCAAATCTTGAATCACATCGTCAATAGAATCGTCATTCCAAAAGTTTTTTTGAAGGAAGAGGGCGAGAGAAGCCTTGAAGTTGTATTGGAGACTTATTGTGCTGAACAAATCGGACTGGCTTGTTTTATCCAGTCACGGGCAGGGCCTCGCGGAGACAAGCTGTCATTTCCGCTAAATGAAGCTGTGCTCTCTGCCGAAACCGTTATTCTCATCAGCGATGCCTTGGCAGAAACCAGTGTAGTGGTGCAGCCAAGAATGCATTTCGTATGGGATTCACTGTGGTGCTATCTATTTGAAATGAAAAATAACGAAGGTGGCAAGGAGATACAGTGGGAACTACAAGAGACATGCGCAATCAATGGTGGTAAAGCAGTTGAAATATTGGAGCAAATTGTCAAAACGATTGTCGTAAAGAAGCTTCTTGGGATTGACTCTGAGAAAGGTGGCGGAACGTCGAAGGCAACACACGAGCGTCGGTCTTTAGCGTTGTGCATTGTCAAAACTCTCTGCGGTGTTACATTTGCTTCATCTATTTGTGGTCCGTCAAAATTGCTGGTTGACAACGAATCTATCGGGAGATTTGTTCTCTCCCCGAGCATAATTCGTCGTCTCTTCGTAGACACCATTTGTGCTGGGAAACAGAATAAGTCGCAGTCGTCGCACTTGTTGAAGCCTTTGGCTCTAGAGGTGCTGGCTTCAATGTCTTCGAGCTACTCGACCACCGATGCTACAACAGCGGAAAGGCGCCTCACAATTGCCAAAGCATTCCTGAAAGCCGAGGTCCGTTTTGACTCTAGAACAAAAACGTCGGCCGTTGAAGATATGCTTGGACTCACTGTGGCAGTAGAAGAACAAAATGAGCACTTTTTTGCCCTTGTTGACCACTACCTTCGCTTTCTGAAAGATCAGTTCTTGTCCGCTTGCGCAGATGCTGACGAGTCTACGGCTTTGGCAACAGGATTCGTTGAGGCCATGTACAGTGCAGTCAAGCGAATCATTCGAGTAGACGGAGAAAATAAAGCCGAAGTGGCTTTATGGAAGAAGACATCGGTTCGCGGGGTGGTAAACTTTTTCATGGCATCGGCTTTCTTTGATTGCTCTGATGTGAAAAATAGTAAGGGCAAGAAGAAAAAGAGAAAAAGCACTGGAGATCAGAACAGTATTCGTAGCTGTGCGACTTCTGTGAAGGATGTCGAAATTCCACACAGTATCCGATCAATCATCTCTGCAAGGTTCTTCTCGCTGGTTGCTGATTGCATACACCAGGAGACGCACCAAAAGTCAGGAACCGGTCAAGGAAAGTTGGAAAAGGATGCGATTGCTCTTTCTTTCCTATCGGAAACGCATCAAGGCTGGCTTGAATTGGAAACTGCTGGGGCGAAGAGATATTCCAATGCCACAGTTTCAGATGATGACAAATCTGAAAATCCGGATGCCCATCTTGTAATACAGGGCATTGGGAAAATGATGACCGAGATATCTGATGCGCAGCGCAAAAACCCTGAGAACTCTCTGATTGAAGCCAAGAAGCGTTGCTGTACGGGTGTTTCAACATTTGCCTACACGCTTTATCTTCATCGTTTGAACTGTACCAAGGATGGCGACGAAATGGATGATAATCCTGATGCAGATGAAGAAGATGACGAGGAAGAGATTTGCAGCGCACTTACAAGCTTGAATGAAATCCTTCAAGACTTCATGGCGGGTGGTGTTGAAGAAAACCCACTATCGGGACTTTCTGAACTTTGCGCCAACATTTTATCATCGCCACTAGGTTCTGGTGAGATCGGCCGGGGAGCATCACCGAAATTGATTCGAGAGTCTGTTAAGTTTGCTTGGCTCGGTGGGCTGAAACTATCCTCCGCGTTAGCAACAAAAGACCGCACATTCCTTGATAGTGAAGTGGTCAGTACCTTGATGGATGCGGTCGGTGCAAATGCAGGTGAGGATGATGAAATGGATGGAGAGGATAGCAATGGGGATGGGGATTCCAGTGATGGAGAAGATGATGAACGCGGAATGCATGATGAAGACGTCTTCAGTAAGGCGTCAAATTTAATTGATTCTGAATCAATGGAGGTTGACGACGAACAAGAGCGAGCCGTTTCTGAAGAGGACGAGTCGGATGTAGTACTGGATCAAGACAAGCTTCAGTCCATGCTTGAGGAGGACAGCGATAGTGATGCTGATCCTGATGTCTTGGAGCACCATGAAGGTGCAGATGCAGCTTTAGCGAAGTTAATCAGGCTGAAGCAAGGTGCTCGAAAAGCGGGACAGCAAGCAAGAGAAAAAATTGAGGTGCAAAATCAACTACGGTGTACAATTCTTCTTGAATTGTTGTTCGGACGACCAGATGCATGGAACAACTTGTTCAGAACCGAAATCGTTGCATCCATGTTGTTGCCGCTACTACGTCTTCGCAAGAAGACTGAAAAATCAATGGACAAGGCCACTGAGAATCGTCAGAAATCTGGATACGCTGAAAAAAGATCTCTTGTAGAGAAACTCACATCCCTGTTGACGACGAAGATCTTTAAACTGAAAGTGTCGTCAATGCCCATGTCCTCGCTCTTAGGTACAGAAATGGCATCCAAGTTGATAGAGAGTATTGCAGATGAAGTGAGGCGCACAGAAAGCAAGGACCAGTCCAAGTGCTGCAGTAATGCAATTGCCTTTTTGCTACGAAACGTCGAAAACGTGGAAGAGGTAATATCGTCAATTTCCACCTTCGAAAACCTAGTCGAGGAGTGGTCGAATAAACGATCTACCCGTATTGGCGGCTCCTTCTTTGACGAGTTAATCGTGCACTCGCCGCAGTAAGTTTTGAACAAGACGGAAAAACTTTAGTCTCTTTTCGGACTTTGTTCTTACAAATGTTGTCAATTTCTCCACAGCCTATCCCAAGCTATTCTCTTGTCTCCGCTGGCAAAGGCAACCCAAAGCGGACGCTCTCCATTTTTAAAAACAGAGGTCTTTCGAATTCTTTCCTTGCTTTTCGCTGCAAGGCCGAGCTCAGCGTCTTCAGAGGCAGAAAAGATTGCCGCTGATTGCATCAACAGTAACCAACAAGAGCTCCTGGCTGCCATCACAAAGACGCTGGAGGACGAAGAAATGAAGAAACCAAAGCGTGCTCGCGCCGTTCTCAAGGCCGTAGAGAAGTTTGTTCCTTGCATTGAAGAGAGCTCTTCGGAATGCCTCGAAAAACTGGACGCTATGAAGTCACAAGTTGTCAAGTTAGAAGCTAGTGAGAGCAACGCTATCAAGTCAGCTTGCAATAAGCTGGTAGGAGAGATTGATGGCAAAATCAGCGCAATCAAGAAGGAATACGAGAAGCTACAACAACAGTCAGTCAAAAGTCCAACACTCAGCAGTTCCACGAAGAAGAAAAAGAAGAAGAAGAAAAAGAGGTAGATGTAAAATTGATAGTCTTCATGTCACTCCTGAGAGCAAGTTGGCAGCACTGTAAGATAGCTAGGTTCCTTGGTGTGCTGCAAAGCTGCCTGGAACATTAGTGTAGTGTACCTTTGTGTGAACTCAGTCTCTTCGTCGACCCAAGACAGAAATGACGTCAGATAGCTCGAGTCTATTGAACCCTTTTGCTCGAATCATGCTAACCGCTTCGTCAAAGAGTCTCTCATCATTTATAAAATCGTCCATGGACAGTCTCCGCGCACCTGTGAGGCCTACAAGTGCGAGAAACAGGCTATGCGCCACTTTGCTGTCCACGGTCATTAGAATGGCAACATCCAGCAATCGTTGACAAAGTGGAAATGGAGCTCCAAAGAAGAGAACATGAACATCTCTGGCAAAGACCCTTGCTCCCGTTTGCCAAATCTCGGGTGTCATGCTGTGAACGTCCATTGCCACTTCCATGAATTTGTGAGCCAGTCGCTCCATGACTTGTTCCTGCATAACAACCGGTGCAAACGCAAATGGACTTGGTGCTTGTGAAGCTCCCGTTGCATCGTCAGTAGCATTGACGACCTCATTGCAACCCGTCCGAAGGATTTCCAGAGCCAATTTTGTTTCTCTCAGTTCTACCGACAAGTCGGATCCATCTTCCTCCCACTCTTGAGTGGCAAGTAGATGCTGTGCCATCATAATGTACGACGCGCACTTGGCGTGTTCCAACAGAATCGTTTCGACGAAGGATACCAAGAATTCATCAATCATGACTTCGTTCAGTCGTTCCAAGGACCGACCGAACCTTGCCAGATCGTGGTCACTTTGACTTGCGGCAACCGATTCTTCTTGTTGCCACGAGTCTTGCCGTCCCAGGAGGTCGGCCGCCAATCTCGCTCCATTGATGACTTCAATCCACTCGAATATAGAGGCCTTCAACTCGTCACGGGGTGCAAGGCCACTTACAATTCTTCGCTTGTTCGAGTAGTTGAACAGTCGACGTTTTAGACTATTGATCCGTTCGTGTAAGGCATCAACAAACTGGGAACACAAGGGAACAGCAACCTCCCGCAAGTATTTCCTCGGAGCATTCAATACGGACGCCTTGTATTGAGTACTTCGAATTAGTGCACAAAAGACTTCAGCACGTGGGGAAATGAAATTCGGAAGGGGCTTGGGAATCGAGTCAGTGCTATCTTGGTCCATGAGGGTGGAAAACATGGATTCTTTCTCCCTCTGGATCCACCAGTCCATCAAATCTTCGTCGGATGTCACTAGCAAATCCATACAGCCGAGAAGTGTTTCTGGTGAGTCAGATCCCGTCGGAGGCAGACATTGCTGCAGTGCTTTGTCAAACCGAATAAGGTGTTCCATGGCACTATAGAGTAGCATTGGATTGGACTGTGGCCCTGCAACACCCGGATCCCGAAAAAAATTCCGCTTGGAAAACACCCACTGAACCAAACGGACCAACTCATTGAGAAAAAGGAGGGCCCCTTCGTCACCAGCAGCTTCTTGCAGTAGTATCATGGCCAAGAAAAAGGGTCCCTTTTCTTGCAAAACATTTTCGCGTAAGTAGGTCAACAACCATTCGGGCAGTCGATCCACACGAGTAGAGGTGATGCGTTCCTTGGATCCGTCGACAAAGTGGAAGCGCACCTTTTGAACCAGAGGTGCAAAGAGTTCGGTGAGCACAATGGGCGGGGATGGAGGCTGTGTGCGCCCCTCAATGGCCCTCAACACAGAATGGTGGGACTGCTCGAGCCACGATAATTGTTTGCAGATTGCGAGAATGGAACTATTGGGCTTTTTGGCCATTTTGATGAGCTTTCGGCAGTCCTTCGGATACCGGTGAGTAGATAATTCTCCTCTTAATAGCAGAATGAGACTGTCGTAGCAGTAATCATATAGGACCAGATAGTGATCGCCGTACACTTGTGGTGCCATTTCCAATATGTTTGGATATTTCAATATCAAGTCGGCCAAAGTTGTGCACATTTCAGACTCCAAGAGAATATCCATCCCGCCTTGTTTCTTTGCCTTTTCTGAAAAGTTCCGTATCCACTCACAAACATCCTGGGCCAGCACCAATGAATCTACTTCCATGGCCAACTCATTCCATCGCACTGCCAATGGCTTTTCTGGTTCGACTGTCTTTTCCTCTTCGTCTGGTGAAATAAATTGAGATCCGTCTACTTCTCGGTCGAGCGCATGCTTCTTTTTCTCCAAATCTTCCAATGAGCTTTCAAGAGACTGCAGCTCTTTCTCTAAGGATTCAAGACTGAAGTCAATGCCAAGATCGAGATCAGCCATGATCGGAAATTAGGGGTAGCGCAAGTGATATGATAATATGCCAACATTGAGCACTGTCATTTTGTTTTTGCTTTGTAGTTTCAGTTGTAGTCGCACGGGTCGGATTCGGGCGACTCCAGACCCCGCCCCAACATTTCAAATCACATAAACCATCATCAACTGCTACTGCGGTGCAACCGTTGACCATCTGGAGCAGTGACAATGATTACCAGGTATGCTGCACTTCTAGCTCGAAGGCACTCAGCAGCCCCTTCAAGACCTTTTGCTGATTCAATGTCGTCGTCTTCGCCATCATCATCAGATGATTGGATTCCATTGCAATCCGCCACTGGAAGAGCCCGCAAACGACGTCGCAAGATCGCTGCCCGACAGACAGTGGCAACTAAAAAGGGAAAGGAGCCGCCAGTCAAGGTTATTTCTCCTCAGGGATGGAGAGTCTTGTGGCCCGATCCTTATGGGGATACTTCAAGTTGGACCGAGTCATTCAGGGGTTTGCCTAGTCTAGCGGACTTTTCATATACCTGGAGGACCTATAAATCCACTTGGGCGGGAGGGTTGCGAGGAGATTTGCCCGTGGTAGGAGAAGAAGAGAACGACGATGACTCTACATCCTTGGATCCCGATCAAATGAAGAAAAACTTGACTAACAACGTATCGGCCGCTCGGGACGAGGCGCACAGATTAAAAGAAGAAGTCTCAAATCGGACAGGGATTAGGACACAGGCGGACTTGAAAGATTTCGCCAAAGACATGATGACGCTGGCGAAAGAATGTCTTGAAGAGTTCATGTCTGGATATCGAAATGGACGCGATCAAGAGGTGGATCGAATGATGAATGATTATTTTCAGGAAGAAGAGGCGGAAGAGATGAAGAAGAAAAAAGGGGTCGCAAAGCGGAAACGTCGACGAAAGCCAAAGAGAGCTATTCTTCGCACATAAACGGGGCGAGTTTTGGTTCATTTGCTGCATACCTTATCTTTCTCTACTGTTGCTACCAAAATTTTTGCGAGGCCATATCCCAAAGCGGCACATGTCAAGGCGGGAGGGTTGGATACGGTGTGTGGAAAGACAGAAGCGTCGCAGACACGAAGCCTCGAGTGGTTGCAAACGGTCAAACTCGAGTCCACGACCCAATTATCTCTGCCCGTCGTCTTCATTCGGCAACTGCAGCAAAAGTGGTAGTAGGGCTGCGAAAAGAGTCGGCAAAAGCCTTGGAACCAATTCCAGCTGAAGAATATCTGAGCTACAGGTTGAAACATCCAGCGGGGAAATATCTCAGTGGCTCTACCGTCTTGGCATGTGGAATTCCAGCACCTTCTCAAAGTCTCGATATCCTTTTGGTCTTGGAGATAGTTGACATTGACGGTAATGTCCACATCACGTCTCATCAGCTCGTCCTGCGACTCTCGATTGTCTCTAGGTCGTATCCGAACGGATCCTTCTGAAACAGGATGCATGAGAAAGACCAGCGTTGTGACAGTGTAGGATTCAACCAAGCGTTGCACGGGCATGCACCAAAGCGTCCAAGAGACCAACCCTTTGAAGACCAGGTAGATAAATTCAAACACTCTTTTCCATGTTTGGGAGAACAAAAAGCCATTGCAATTTCGCCGCACTGCCATTGCAACTGTAGTCGGAACTATGGACTGAATTGTGGAAGTGTCCAAGATGGCCACTTGTAATACGTCTCGTCCTTCCCTCCAGTGACCCAAAGCGCGTATACCGTTCACTGTCTTGCATTTAGTGTATTCCATGCTTGTAGCAAAGAATACCCTTGGGATCAAGACTTGATCCTTCAGATGCAGCCCGACCTGACCTCCTAGAGTCACTCCACTTAGTTGCAAGAGTATGGGGCTTTCAATGGCTCCAGCACAAACAATGACTTCTTTGCGAGCATGAATAGTACACAGCTCGCCGTTTCTGGAACTGTAGACTAGACCCTTGGCAGCCGCATTTGATTCGTCCATGATTATCCTCTGAACTTGGGATCCGAGAAGGAATACAACCGAGTCTTTCAAATGTGGATTATTCTTCAGCAAAGGTTCTACGAGTCCATCAAAGTAGTTTCTCCGTACATACTCAAACTTTGATGATGTACCACCATCGCTCTTTGTGGCTAGTGTTGGGACGCCTGTCATGATGTCCAGAGATGACTTTTCCTTGAACGGAAATGATGATGGATTACTGCATGAGCCATGGGCTCCTTGTAGTACTTCATTGTTCTTCAGTACAGATTGGATCTCTTGTACATGAATAAGTAAGTTCTCTTTCCAAGGACTGGGCCAAGACTCCAAGTCACTTGCCAGAGGAGGCATGCACAAGGTTGCATTGATGTTTGAAGTGCCACCAAGGCCTTTTCCGATGGGTAGATCCACCACCCGATTAGTAATGGTGGAAAATATCTGGTAAACGCTCTTCGAAGATCGAATGTGCGATGCTGCATACCAATCCTTGGGATCTCCTGTCGTGTCGTCGTGTGAATCGTCACCCTGATCCACAATGCAAATGGAAAATGGAGGCAAATGATCAACCAAAAGTCCATACAATAGCCCCATTGCCGATGGACCCGCTCCAACGATAACATAGTCATAGCACTCGTTGTCTCGCGACCGGCTTGTCATATTCTTCCAATCATTTGCGCATTGAATATCACTGCCAAAGAATGAATCATTGGTATTTGATGAGCGTGTTTTTGTGCTGCAAAAGTACTTCGTTAGCTTGTTTTCCTTTTTGCTAACTGGTTACCAGCAATCTAGAGTAGTGTCATTAAGTTGAGAAGACTACCTTTAATGCAAGTGATTGTTCTACGGTGAAACCTTCAGTTCCTCAAGTTGCTTCTGCAGTGACTCGATATAGGCATCAATTCCTTGATCGCCTGCTGCCTTGATCAGTTTTTCACGAGCCTTATCTTGCCCCTTAATTTCCTTCGTTATGGACTTTTGTTGCGATTTTGAAAGAGCTTCACCGGCCTTTGTTGTCAATGGCTTTCCTTCGTCATCATAGCTTCCCCACTTATCAGCATTTGCACCAGCCTTGAACAATTCAGCTGTGGTTAGTCGTGCCTTTTCAGCCGTTTGAATGTCCTTTTCGAGTTTGTCCATCTTTCCTTTCATCTTTTTTGCAGCAGCTTCTGCCGCTCTTTCCCTCTTTTCTTCGACTTCCTTGCGAATCGCTTCTGGGTCATCCATCTTCCACACTGAAGTGTCTGCGCCATCTTCAACTCGAATGCCAAGGTTTGCCAGTGTTTCATCACGAACGTCGTCACAAGCCTTGAGGAAGTCGACTGGTGCACTCTTCGCCTTGGCGGCAGTTCGAACCTTTTCTCGGAAGTCAACGAACGCATCCACGAACGGCGCAGCAACTTCTTCCTTTGATCCTCCTTCGCCACCATCAGATCCGAATCCAATTTTATCGTTTCCTTCTACAACACCAAACACACGAAGAATCTTTGTGACAAAAAGTGCAACCTTCTTGATCAAGATATTCTTTGGCTTGTCTTGCGCCGACAAGTACTTATTGGACTCTTGCACTAAGTCTACTAGGTACTGAAGGACATCATATGTCTTGAAATTATCAAGAAGCGCTTTGTGCACCTTTTTTTGAGACTCATTCAAGAACTCCCAAAGTGCTCGATCCGCGTCAGTCCATCCTTGCACTTCGCTAACAAAATCATTTCGAAGCACCGACTTCACTGCACCAAAGAAGTTCTTGAAGTACTTCTCCTTGGATCTGGCATCATCGACAGTTTGGTCACTGTAGTTCATTGGCTTGTCCCAAGGTTGCATCAAAAACATCAATCGCAACTGTCGCGGACTGTGTTCCGCAAGTGCCTGGCGAATGGTGATAAAATTCTTCAAAGACTTCGACATTTTGAGTCCCTTGATATGCAAGTGCCCTGCATGCAAGAAGTAATTCGCCCACTGGGAGCAGTTGTGAAAGGCCTCTGATTGGGCCAGCTCGTTATCGTGGTGAGGGAACATCAGATCTGCACCTCCACCATGAATATCGAGGTTGTCTCCAATGATATCACTGGCCATGACAGAACATTCAATGTGCCATCCGGGGCGACCAGGTCCCCATGTTGATTCCCATGACGGTTCGCCTGGTTTGCTTGACTTCCACAATGCAAAATCATTCGGATGTTTCTTTTCTGATCCTGAGCTGGCGAGCGCACCCTCTCCTTCCGCCATTTCCTCAGCACTAGTTTCGGCTCCTGGCTTGAGCTTTCTGTAGTTAAAACCCTTATTCTTGAAAGAGTTGGTATCAAAGTAGACACTTCCATTCGACTCATATGCTATGCCGTTGTCAATAATTCCTTGAATAAAGTCGACAATCTTGGGCACATATTCGGTCACTCGTGTAATGACGTCTGGCTCTCTCACTCCCAAGGCTTCCATATCCTCGTGAAATGCTCTTTCCCACTTTCGTGCGTGGTCTTCGTAAATCTTTTGGTCCGTTACAGTTTCGCCAAGTTCGCTATCGAGTCTATCTGCCAAAGCATCCCTTCCAGCTGCAATCAAGTCTGGAACCGAGCTGGAGTCTTGCAATTTGGACACTGCTTCTTCAATATCTTTGAATTGGGTGCTCTTGAACACTGCTTGTTCCAAGGCTTCAGCTCTCGCATCCAGTTCTCTGGCACCAGTGCTCTCCGGAAGAGCAACACTCAAAGTATCCACCTTCTCATCAAGCTTGGCACGTTTCGCTGTCACAGCTCCATTGATGTACTCCTTAACAGCAGCAACATCGTTCTTGGCAACTGCTCCAGTTGTGTAATCATCAATGAGCTTATTCTGACGAGCTCGCAAGATGATCTTATCGTCGACATCCGTGATGTTTACTTGATAAAGCAGATCAAAATGAAAGTAGTCCTCCATAATTCTTCGTAGGATATCAAATGTCAGGTATGCTCGAGCATGACCCATGTGACAAGCATCATACACAGTTGGTCCACAAGTGTACCATGTTACAGTGCGATCTTGTCGTGGTCGAAACAGATCCAGACCATCGTTGAGACTATTGTTGACATACAATTCAGGCATATCTTTTCCATCATGTTCAGGAGGATGCCAAGGCATTCGGCCTTCTTTCTTTGTGGGCTGTGCGCAGAGACCTGTTGGGCAGCAAGACATGGTTCTACAGTATTGTCGGTTGATAGGATTACCAATTGTGAGGCGAACGTTTGGTCTTTGGTCTTCGACGGTCCAGGATTGCCAATAAAAAACCCGGAGCTTCATGTTTGGGGGAATAATTATAGTACGAATACTGAAACCTTCGATGATTGGATTGATTCATTCATTCATTCCCACAAAATTGCATACCAGAACCACAATCTTCATCCTCCTTGCAATGGTTATCTTAGCAAGAAGTCTTTGTCTGTCACTTTTTCTTGCGTTGGTATGCAACTTTCGCATTGTCGATTGTAGGAAACAACTTTCTCTTCCATCTGATCCAAAGCTTATCATGTCCGACTCTACTCAAAAAATCGGTGGTGGTGCCATCAATGAAAAGCAACGCAAATTTCAGCAGGAAGATGGGTCCATTCCGGAAACAGAACACAAGACGTTCAACCCCGCAAGTCGCTCGCATTTGATGCATGCGATTGAAGGTTTGGATAGGTATCCTGCATATCTCAATAGGTGGTCTGAAGATGATATCCTGTTGCTAGAAGAATCTTTGGAGAACCAGTTGAAGAAAGTCAGACAACAGAAAGAAGCCATAAAAGGCAAAAGGACCAATCTAAAGACTGTAGTGGAGAATCTCTGCACGAAGGAGCCAGAATGGCTGGAATTCTTGTCGCCTCCCAAATCATGGGAGGAACTGAAAACTAGTATTTTGGACGAACAAATAGCAGCGGCAATCTTTCGTTCGCGATGGTTTCGGAGATCCCAAAATCAATTACCTGCTCTCAGCGTTCAAAATGTCATTGATGGCTCTGTAAAGGTTGAAATTGATGGAGGGAACTTGGAACCGATCATGGACGAAGAGATGTTTGACGTATATTCCTTCCCTCTCTTGGCTCCCTCTTTTTGTGCAAAGTTACGTTCCTACTTCAGTCGCGTCATTCAAGAACTCGAGGAAGACACGGACGAGTCACTAAGTCGTGGGTTTCAAGATCTTGATAATCTTGGATTGGGCTGGTTGAACAGCTTACTATTGCATCTGATTGTCAGACCAGTTTCAAGTCATCTATACATTGAGACAGAGTTGAATGGAGGCGATTTGGACTGGAGACAGGGATACATTGCCGCTTATGCTGCGGATCCAACCGCTACAAAACCTAGGCAACGGCTTGTACCACACACGGATGATTCGGAAGTCACTCTGAATATTGGCATTGGAGAAGAGTTCAGCGGCGGGCTTTTGAATTTCTGGGGGCTGCGAGGCACATCAGAAGCTGGAAAATTGGTTGGCCAGTACCAACCAGAGATTGGTAGAGCAGCGATCCATTCTGGAAGACACTTTCATGAGGTTACTGCAATTACCAGTGGAAACCGCTTTGCATATATCTTGTGGGCCAGATCATGGGGAGGAGTCCGTTCTAGTACCTGTCCTTGTTGTTGGCTGAACCGACGAGACGATGGTTCCTGCATATCTGGCCCCAAATGGAACTGAGTAAAAAAAGTCGATCGTAGATTGCCAACAAGGAAACCGAGCTCCAGCTGTCAGCAGTGGTAATGGTTTCAACGACGGAGTTGAACTGTCAGAATCATGTGTATTATGGATCTCTATTGTCTCTTATGTATAGTGTACATTATTTTGGGGGTGGCGACAAGCTACATGAATGCAGCCAAGAAAGGAAAAGTTGCATCCTAATCTTGGTGCAAATGTGCGTTGTATCCGAGGTTTCCACAGAGCCAATGCAAAGGTGTTGGTGGTTCCATAACTCGCTTCAAACGCCAACCTCGGATATCTGCCACGACAGGATAAACAAACTCCAAGAAATAATATGTGTGCCCAACAATAATTCCAATGAGGTCCATAGTGATCCCATTCCCGATCAAGACACTGAAGCCTAACATAACCCAGGGTAGATAAGGGGCATTAAACGTAAAAAATCCCAAAAAGCTCATTCGAACATCCTCGTTTCGTCGACCCCAAACGTAAACCATCATGAACGTCAACGCGCTCCCCAAAAAGTGAACATGCGTGTACACGGCGACAAGTGAAATGCACATGACCCCGAATAGAAGCATCAAAACATAGTTCGCAGTACGACCCCGGAAATCACCTTCCTCCAGCAAGCGACTGTATCGTACCTGATAGAAGCAAAACGTTTGCCGTTTAGAAAACTTTCAAATAACGACCAAACCAAACAAACCCCAATTCAAGACATGAAAGACTTACCAAAAAGTACATGTGGAATAAGAAATCAATTGAAAAGGCTCCGAAAAAGAGATAGGATGTGACTAGTCTCCACACTTCTCCTTTGGAAAACACCAAATCCCAATTGAAATACAAGGAAAATGGACTAACAATGTCTAGTCCACATGCAGCCGTGGTCAAGAATGCGCCCGTCAAGTAGAGACGCGACACTGTTGGAATATCCAAATACCAAGATACCACATCCACATGGGCATTCTGGTTGGCCATGCCGCCAACTCCGCCAGCAAAATCCATTTTTCAAATTCTTTCTTTCTTGAGTGATGATGACACAGCGCAATCCGAAATCAATCGTGTTTTTTTGTCAACTCTCGTAAGTTTCTTAGTCTTTTCTATGTAGAAAGCGCTTCACGTATAGTTGTCTTGTCGTCGTTGATTGTGCAAGTAATGTTGCCTGAAAAGGAGTCTTTGGAAACGACTGTGTTATTTTAATGCTCTGAGGTCAAACTAATATTGGAAAACTGCGACTGAGTGACTGATGCCAAACTGAAACCCCCGCTCTTGCTAGTACACGTACACGTACGTAGGTAGAAGTACTGTGACTCAACAGAATTTCTTTGGATTTTTCCTATTAGTCGAACGAGTCAGTCATTCAGTCATCATTTGCAATGCGACGCGAGAAAACGAGGACGCAAAAAACGAAACACAACCACCATGCCTGGACGAGACGAGAAGGAAACTTGCCCAAAGCTGGAACTTCAACCAGACACCCCCGGCAACGAGCTCGCGTTCTTTGCCTGTGGCTGATTTTGGGGGTAAGTGTTGTTGTCGCGAACAGTTTGACTGAAACTTGACATGGAATCAATCTAATAGTAGTTTTTATGTTTCTGTGTCTATTCTATCGATCTTTTTCCCAATTTCGATAAATAGACCGCAAGTCCGTTTTGAACGCATCAATGGTGTTGCGCGTTGTGTGGTAGGATATTCGGGAGGTGTTACAGCAGACCCAACCTACCGTTCCATTCAAGATCATACGGAAGCCTTATTGGTCGAGTTTGATCCCAAGGTCTTGACCTATGAAGACTTGGTCCTCTCCTGGACTCAAATGCACCAACCAGTCTCCAAAGGAAGGTGTCAGTACCGTTCAGCGTTGTGGTATTGGAACGAAGAACAAAAGGAAGTCGCAGAAGAAGTGGTCAAGCAATGGAAGGCAGGCAGTCGCAATGAATTGTATGCGGATGTGGATCCGGTGACAGAATTTTATCGTGCCGAAGAATATCATCAACACTTTATGGGCAAAGTAGGTAGACGATAGAAGCTGGTTGGGAAATTATGAAATGGGGATTGGAAAGTAATTGGGAAGTAGATGCTCCTCATCTAGACTGTTGCTGCAGACCTGTGAATGACAGATTGTGATTATTGTGGAGCAAAAGTCGCTCCATCTATTCCTTCTTGACCAACGAGCTGTAGCGATAAAGAGTTTTGACGCTAAATATTTACAGTGTGCTGTTGTAATAGGATCGTTCCCTGACAAGCTGATGACCGGACGGTGCACAGCCTCTCGAGACACAAGAAAGAGTTTGCCAAATTTTCTTGGACAAGTACTGAAAGAGCTAGCCACCTTCATGCATGGACTATTGGACATGGATTCATTCGTACGATTTTCCCTTGACAAAATGCGTATTGTCCAACTGAACATATAATACCTATTACACTACTATTACAAATACTATTTACTACCGTGGCTAGTATGACCCACGATCTCGGAAGCTAAAGTCGAATGAATCGTGTACGCTGGCCGATTCAAAACATCGAATTGATGGATTGCTTGTCTACGGGCCTCCAAGTAGCAACCATACGACAATGCTGTGTCTTGCCGGCTTGCCGAGCTACGTGCCGTTAGCCCGTAGGAATTTTACCTGCCGGATGGATGCAAGGGACAATTGTGAGGTGGAACGTAGCTCGTCTTTGGCAAACCGATCCAACGATCTAGCTGTATCTATCGGTCTTTGGGTGTGAAAAACTTGAGATTGTGAGACTCTTAGAGACTCGCAGACAGCAACTTGAGCAGCAAACTACATGATCAAATAAATTTGGCTGCAATATCCAAATAGAGTCATATTTTTATATCAAATTTTAAATTTCAAAAAGGGAGATCTTAATCAGAAACAAAAATGGCCGATTCAGCAAGAGTCCAGCGTCAAAAGGCATTGGCCGACAAGAAGAAACGTCTGGAAGAGCTAAAAGCCAGACGGTTGCAAAGGGGAACGCAAACTACACGTAGAGAGGCCGCAAAGGAGCAAGTTGAAACTGTGAAAAACTTGGATGCTTACATTGACGGATTGTTGCAGGTTCCAGCAGCCGGAGGGGCACCAACGGCTCCACCACCAGCACCACCCGTACCAGAGACTCCTTCTGGCAATGACGAGACGAATGGAGAGGTAAAGCAAACACCAGCTCAAGATGAAGCCGAGGCTGCTCCAGCTCCTGTTGCCCCCGTCATTAAAATGGAAACATTTGAAATGGGGACACAAACACTGGAGGATGACTTTCCGCCATCATCAGATGTGGATGAATCGGAAGAAGTACAAGACGAGGAGGAAGAGCCAGGGCATGATTCAATTCCAGAATTGCAACCGATGGCGGAAGAAGATGCAGAAGTTATAGCCAAGGTGCTGACCGCTGAAGAAGTGGAGCAAGAATTGAAAACGGAAACATTCTCGTCATTTTTGAATATTGCCTCGAAAAAAGTGGAAAGAGTACTCAATAGCACCTTCCTGGCTGATTTACTGGTAGACTATGACGGTGAATCAAATGGGAAGAAGCGTATCCGGGCGTCAGATGGAAGCGCATTCTTGACTTCCAGACAAGTATATGAATGTTCACCATGGACGCAAAATAGAGACGTTACAGATATGGATTGGTCTCCACTGCACACAGAGTTGATGCTGTGTAGTTACCATATGTCTACTACTTCGCAGTCGCTGGGTCAACAGAAAGGATCAACCGCCGTGAAGAACGTATCACCAGACGATTCACCTTCTGATTCCTTGGCACCCCGAGCGGGTGAACTGATGTCGGATGGTCTAGCATTGGTGTGGAATCTTGCCATGCCAAGTCGCCCAGAACATATTTTTACCTGTGGGAGTCCAGTGACTACAACTCGGTTTCATCCCACAGAATCTCCGTTGATCATTGGTGGGTGTCAGAGTGGACAAGTGGTTGTTTGGGATGTCAGGGCAGGGAGGATGCCTGTGCAAAAGTCTAGTTTGGTCACAACGGCTAGTGGCAGCAGCAAGGGTCACACTCATCCGATCTGTTCCATGGAAATCGTGGAAGGAAATGTAAGTTGATCTTTTTGGTCTCTGGGATAGCAGTGTGTCACTGTTTCAAATTCTGATCATTGAGATTCTTTTCTTCGGTTGTACAGACTGGTTTAGTAACAGCCGCTGCAGACGGAAGAGTCAACTTCTGGTCATTGGCGAATCTTCGTGATCCCCTTGAATCGTTGCAAGTTGGAGATAGTGTATCCTCTCTTGCTGTTTCGCCAGAGACTGACACCCTTGTATGCGGAGATGAAATGGGAAATCTATATTCAATTAGCTCTTCACAATCTGCAATTGGTGGAGGAAATAGCCAAAGGTCGAGAAGGCAAATGAGAAAGATTGAACCCGGAAAATCGGACAGTCACTTTGGTTTGATTACATCGGTATCCACCAAAAAGCTGAAAGCTCCAGCTCGAGCCGGTATTCAGAAGGGATTTCTTCGCGGCTCTGGGGGACTATTTCTTACAGCAGGGGTTGATTGGACGGTCAAAATGTGGTCCCCGGCATATACAGACAAGCCATTGTTGAGTCTAGTGAGCCACTCGTATGATTACATGAGCGATGTCCAGTGGAGTCCTACGCACCCAGGCTTGATGGCAACTGCATCAAGTAACGGAACGATTGGTCTATGGAACTTTGCGCTGTCATTGGAAGAACCAATCAGTGGGTCAGATGGAATCGTTGTCGAGCCAGATGGTGGCTCCGGCAGAGGTTTGAACAGATTGAAGTGGTCATCCGATGGACGAAGAATGCTAGTGGCATCGGCAGATCGTGTGCATGCCTTGGTACTAGCAGAAGATGTCGTAAGACAAAAGGGAGACGAAGACTCAAGAATGATGAACCACCTGTTATCACGGGGGCTTTTGGATAGAACCTACAACCCAGAGCCAACGTTGGTGTAGACGATTGGGAGGTTCTTGTATGAACAGCATACTAATCTACAATTGTCTTGAACTCCTTTTTTGCTATCTTCTGCTTTTGTCTTTGTAGATCAATACAAAGTATGAAATTGGTACAACCTTGGGCCGAGAGAAGCAAGAAGGTTTCATTAGCTAATTTTCTCTCTAAATTTACAGTTAGAATCTAACCATCTCATCTTCGTATTCTTGCGCCAACGCTGCAGCACGATTCTCGTATGTCGCCAACATTTGAGCAGGATCCCCCTGGATCACTAACCCTGCGTCGTCGTCTTCCTTTACCGCATCTTCTGGTGTTGATGTCTCGAGTCGGGTTGACAGAAAGAACGGAATGTCTTGGGCGTTGGCTGTACTTTGTTTTGGTTGATAGACGAAATGTTCCATGACCTAGACATTTAGCAGACGGAGCGTTGGTTGAGCGAAGGATTCTAATTATGAAAATTGATCACGGAACAACTTACGTCCTCAATACACTTGTCCATATTCGAACTTTGATTCAACGCCGCATTGAGACGCCCAAGCATTCGAGGCCAATCTTCTCCTCTGGGGTTTCTCAATATTCCATCCCAATCAGCCAGATTACGGCGCAGAATTGAAGCTTGCCTGGTGTAGACAGACTGTGACTCTGTGTTTCGTCGTCCACCTGTGCTCATTCCTTCTCTCTTTGTATACTAGCCGATTAGGGATGCAAGAGAATGGATGTGAATGAACGAATCAATCAATCAATCAATCGAATCGATTTGTTGACTATCGATCGAAAGGGTGTTACCTCCCCTAAATTTGGCTCTCCCTAAAATGTTGGTTTTGGGGAATAATCATCGATATTCATGATGACAACCAAAAACAAGAAAAAGCAAAGCAAACAAACCCTCCTGTCAACTCCTCATATTCGAGCAGCAATGCCGGAAAAATCGAGGGGGAAGTTCCTCGAAAGCCAATCTACAAGATTTGTCATTGTACTAAGATGCTTGATAATTGTCTTCACACACTGCGTGACTGTTGAGCACATGGTCATCAAAGAGTGGATGCACAGCGATGCATTGTCTTCCGTTCTAATGAAACCTATTCTGTCACTCGCTCATGTCCGGGAGGCTCAAGCGATCCAGAAGCTCACTGATGGAAGGTTGTCCTCTGTATACTCTGCAAACCAGACGATCCACCTCCCTCCATTGCTACTCGCACTGTTGAAGCCACTACTTGATTTTTCGAATCCAGATCTACTTCTCGCTATCGCATTGCTAGTAGTGGACCTGTTGATTTCATACATGATGGAAACAGTTGGACAAAAATTTCTTTTATCAAAAAGAACTCAAGCTATGATAGAGGAGGAGCAAGAGCAAGCCAAACTTCCAGATGTCATCAAGCCTCAAAACGATCACATATTCCCCATCAACCTTGAGTCAAAGCCTATTATTCCAATCGAATCCCTACCCCTCCTGGCTGCAATGGCATATTTTTTCAGTCCTGTGTGCACAATATCTGCTAATGTGTACGGCTGCTTTCAAAACATTCCTGCCTTCTTGCTCATGGCAGCTCTACACGAATTCCTCAAGGAGGGCGGATCCGACATGCAACTTGCCCTCTTTCTCGCCCTGGCGTCCTACATTCATCCACACTACTGTGTCTTTTTGGTCCCATTCATTCTCTTGCAATTTGAGAAACAATTTGAATCAAATACATACAAGAAAGCGCTCCTTGTGCTCTACTTTCTGTTGTGGTCGACAACTTTACAATGGCTGTCCTTTCGTTTGGTCGGACAAGAAGTGTACTGGAGTGTGCTTGAGGCATCATATGGGTGTGGTTGGAACACAATTGGCCCCAGCCTGTCTGTTCAATGGTAGGCCTGTAGTTTGTAATCTTGTGAACATCATGTCTTCCCACTAACTTCTTGTGCAGGTATCTCTACATCCAACTATTCTCAAGGTTTCGAGATTACTTCAGCACTATTCTGCTCGGCTTACCCTGGCTCCTTGTTGCACCTTTGACAGTACGGCTTCACAAGTATCCAATGGTTATGGTACGTCGGAATCACCCCCATTGACAAGTTCTGGGATACTTGTTGAGGTCTAATCTCTTCACTTGTTTCTCAGGTGGCCATATTGTCAACTGTATGGACGGTTTTTGCCCCCGTGCAAACCCTTTTTGATATGAACTTCAGCATGGTTTTCTTTCTGCTCTCTCCAAAATCACTGGCACGAATGGGAAAAGCGTCTTTAATCGCCATCTGGTCCATAATGGTTCCAGTGATTTTGAACGTGGTTGATCAGTGGTGCGTTTTGGTCAATATTGTAAATGTTCGTGAAGGCAACTGACACTTTCATGTGCAACTCGTATAGGATGTGGTTTGAAGCAAATACGGGGAATGCCAACTATGTCTTTTTCCAAAGCCTGGGGTACAATGTTTTCGTCTGCATTATCCTAGCTGAATTCTGCAGTGCCAGCTTGCAACGGGACAAGGCGTTGCGATTGGCTGCCAAAGAACGAGCGACAAAGACTCTCGATGAAAAGGTACAGATGGAAAAAGTGCAATCCTAAGTATAGGTGATTAGTTTTGAATTTCTTGTTACACCACTCTGGATTAATGCTCAACGAATGAATTGTGATGATCAATGAAATGAACGCTTCACACTCTTTTCTATTTTGAATTCTGTACGTCTGACCCATGTCCGTCACACTCATTGTCTTCCACGTACGAGCCAAACTTGCCCGTTGATAGATGTCAGCGACCAGACAATCGAAGGCAATACTGTAGCTTCAAGAGTTGCACCATGAGCTTCTACGAAGACGAGGAAAACCTTAAATTGCTATGCAATTTCTTACGAAGTAGCGAAGGACCCGCGGTGCGCGAGGGTCTCTTAATGGACAAACGTGTGCATTACCTGAAAGGTATGGCGAAACCTGTTGAATGAAAATGTGTTTTAAAACATGTGCATTGTTGTTGACAGTCATTTCTTGATTTTGCAGGGGAAAAGTTGGTGAACTTTATGGTGGAACCCAAGCCTGGAACAAAGTGGCCCAGCAATTTGCCGCGATTTGAGAGCAGGCAAGATGCTATTGCTGTCTGTAAAGAGCTCTGCAATCTTCATTTTATTCTTCGGTGCGAAAAGCGCGGAAAAGGAGAACTGGGGGTGAGTGGGACGAATAATGATTGATGTGGCCTATGGAACAATTGGGAATCTAATGGTTGTGATCGTTACAGATGATTAGAATGCGCGATTTCGACGAAGCAGGATATTTCACATGGATTTACGAAGGTGATATGACACAAAGCCACATGATGACAGCAGCCCTTGTGATCGGCTTTCTATGTTGTGTATGCTTCCCCATCTGGCCTAGCTTCCTTCGAGTCTTTGTTTGGTATTTGTCAGTCAGCTTCCTTCTCTTTATTTTCCTTTTGATTACGATTCGAGCCCTTTTGTTCTTGTTTGTTTGGATGGTGGGTTGGGAATTCTGGTTCCTTCCAAATTTGTTCGACGAATCTCTTGGCTTTACTGACTCTTTCAAACCAGTCATCTCTTGCGAGCCAACATTGCCAGGGCAGCTCCCTTACCGATTGGGCGTTGGGATCGCATTCTTCTCCTTCTGCTATTGGGCCGTCACTCAACCATCCGAATTCGATGGGTTTGTTGCTGCACAAGGGGACTTCTTGAAAGATCTTTACGCCGGTACACTTCTCTCCGACATGTCGCAAGAGGACAAGGAAAATATTGACAAGCCAAAGATGCAATCACTGGATGATCTACTCAAGGGTTTAGACGAAGAGATCGATAAGGAGGATCTACCTGGCGATTTGGAGGATGAGGACAACCTTGATTCCTTGCTTGACAATCTTCTAGACGTCGAAGAAGATATCGATGAGGAAGAGGAATAGGCTAGACATTGTAAACTACTCAAGATATATTGAAAAAGTATGTGTTGCGTTTTGCACGATCTGTTTTGACAGCCCCAAAAGGGGATTTTACTGCGATTTCCCCTTTTTAGCAGGCTTTTATACCTTTGATTCCAACAATCTCTGTTTTTCACCGAGTTGATTACACAGTGTATTTGGATCTATGGTGGGAAAATCCAGCAAAAGAGTAGTAAGCGGTTGAACCTGTTTTTCTTCATAGTTTTTGAGTAGTTAAAGTAGCCTTTTCAGTTTTTGAAATCGCCCGTGAAAACATCCATCTCTTTCACAGCTGTAGTGCGCCTATCTAGTTCCGCAAAATCAACTGTTGAGGCAGTCTTGCCCAGCAAAATGTTTGCTGCTTCCTTTTCGTTGTCTAGCTCGTACACTACTCCAGCGAGCTTGAGGATTCTCTTCAGAATGTAGGTTGTCTCTTCCGGACTGGTGATCCATATGCATGGACAGACAGAGCGAGCAGCGTAGTCGTTACCTGTGTTCAAGAATTGGTCACCAATGTGAAGAATATCCGACGCATCAACTCCCAAGTATGCTCCTAGGACTTGCACTCCGACCTTCTTGTTACCTACATCAACCCAAACGTCACGACCCCCATTAAAGGCACAGAAAGGCAGATTGCTTCCGCTACCTTGGTTCATCTTGGATAGTTTCGACTGACACCGCAAAACAGTTTCGTCAAGAGCCTCTCGTGGAATTACGTGTCCTGGCTGTGGGGCTAGTCCAATGGAACGCTTTTTTCGAATCACTATCCCTTTCAGATTTTGGTCGTTCATGCTCTCTGCTACAGCAATTTCGGATGCATCCAAGAGCGCTTTTATCTCCTCTTCCGACCAATTCCCTGGGGTGTCAGGAATATACTTTGTTCCTGTGACCCAACCACCAGGTCCTGCTTCTCTGACGGGATGGAGTCTGAAATCATTTCCAAGGCGCAATAGATAATTGCACTCGCCGCCAAACAAGTAGAAGCGGTGGCACTCGTCATCGGTCAAATTCTTTGATTTGAAGTAGTTTAGCAAACCGGACAATCGAAATTCATATTTTTCAGCTTTGTACTCATAGCCAGCTGCAGTCACAACAGCCACCTGAACATTGATGGAAATAGTGGAGTGAGAAATCGCCAAACTACATTGTCGAAATATAATTCTACCGATCCTTCTTACCGTGACACCAGAGTGCACTAGCTCATAGAGGTAGTTTGCCAATCGAGGATTGCTATCAAAGTTGGAACCGTCAGTATAGAGTGTTTGATCTCCATCGAAGGTGATCATCTTTGGCCCATTAAACTCTTCGACGGAATCATTGCAATCGGTTGTTTCTGCATCATCTTTCACCTGTGCATCCCCGTCCGTTGAAACGTCTTTTAGTTCACACACTTTTCTCATTGCCATCACCTGAGCCAGATTCATGATGTGACGAATCTCATTGAAGGAAATCTGAATGTGCTTTCGTTTGGTCAGTTTGTATTTCTCATTATAGACTTCAAATGCTTGACGCAATGGCAATCGGGTGTGAAAGGTGCCAACGGTAGGTACCAGTTGCTTCAAACGTGATGGTCTTCCGTTGCCCTCGGCTTCCAATCGTCTATGTTCGTCAATCAATAGTTCAAAGTGAGAAAAAGTGTCACCCCCACTCGTTTCCAGAGCATCTAGCACAAAGCTGTGCATCAGCATACTCTTCATCCTGTGGCAATGACGAAAGCAAGGGATTGAGAACATGACAACTTCAACAGGACTTCTTTGTCAACGAGCTTACCATTCGATGAGACCATCTCGACGATGGGGTGTCAACAGGTAGTTTCGACGTCGACTGGAGAATGACATGCGTATTGTTTTTGTGACAGCAATCCTTTTGTTTTCTTCTGTTGACGTTTGAGGCTTGAGAATTCCAATGTCACGCACACATCATCATGTTCTTTCGAATCAGCCGACCTGAAGAAAATCTACCAATCACAGAAGAGGAACTTATGCTTCATACTGCAATGTGCACCACTCGCACCGGTAAACAACTAAACCTACTATATAACTGAACAGATATGGTGATATTACATTTGGCTCAAAGTATGTGATAATTGGAATACAGAAAATAAAGTATTATATTTTGGCAATACATTCACCTTCTTGTTTTCCAATTAGCAAGCACGCACTGTAGTTTACTGTAGACTAATATAGATTTAGTCATCAAGGGCAGAAGCTCCAGAAATAATCTCAATGAGCTCTGTGGTAATACGGGCTTGACGGGCACGATTGTATCGAAGTGTCAACGAGTCAATCATCTCTCCGGCGTTCTTGGAAGCGTTTTCCATGGCAGTCATTCGCGAAGATTGTTCCGAGGCGGCTCCATCCATGAAACTATGGAAAAGTTGAGAAGCAATCAAGTATTCATAAAGGTCTCCCATTGCCTCTGGCTTATCGGAATCAAAGTCATATGCAGGCAAGACTCCACCATCTTCGCCATGAATGTTGGGAGGAGTAATGATCTTGTACATTTGATTGTAAACGGCAGCGTTGACGTAAGAGTTGTAAATGATGCAGATAGCATCGTAATCCTCAGCTCCAGCGGCCATAAGCTCACCGGCAAGAGCAGAGGCAAGAGTGAAGGAACCTGGGGAAACAACCTCGGTGGCACTTCGAACAATACTTTCTCCATGCGTTCGGCGAAGTTGTGCACGTCCTTTATCACCAACGATGGCGACATCGCAAGTCTTTCCTTCTGCTTCTAGAATTGTGATCATACGCTTGGTTGCACGGGTAATGAAAGAGTTGATACCACCACAAAGACCCTTATCAGAGGTGAATGCAACAACCAGAGTCTTTTGAGGGAACTCTTCAAAGGTAGCATCGTCAATTTCCGTAGGCTCGGGGCACAAGTTGTTGGTCCAAGCGTTGAAAGGAATGGCGGCAGCTAGGCGATTTTCGTCACCCTTCAGCTTGGCTGCGGAAACCATCTTCATTGAAGCGGTAATCTTCCTAATGTTCTTTGTTGAGACAATTTGGTTGAAAATTTGCTTCTCGGTAGCCATTCCACGACGGGCTTGCTGCGAGACACTGCATAACGAATACAAAAGAGTGAATGAGTAAGTATTTGAATAGCAAAGGTAGAATGGTGCAGGGTCTTTCCATCCTGGATGCAATCGACATTTTCCATTTGTGTTGTTGTGCGCGATGTCGCGAGGACCATCGGCACAGCAACAGGAACCATCGGAAAGGAGTCCAGCTGTCAATCCAGGTTCCACCAAAAATCCTACACCAGTCGCCACAATGAAAGGATTTAAAACTTACGCCTTTACGAGGCGGGGTGCTGCCCGTTGGGCGAAAACTCGAAGAGGTGCCATGGTCTTTGTTGACTACTTTAACAACACAAGTGCCGATAGAGCTGCAACAACAAACCACCGCTAGCGACGATTCGACCGAACGACGGTTTACGTCACTACCAGGAAATCTGTAGATTCGCATGGTACTAGTTACAGGTAGAAATTAAGGTACCACTATCTTTGTCTGTCCGCTGGCCGTTTTGAGGAGAAGATACTGGCATACCTACCGGGTATGGCACCTGGTACCCGGTAATTGTAAACTATGGCTAACGGCACAAGGAATTTTTTGGGATCTTGTGAACGACAACCTTTTGACTTGCTGACAGCAAGCCGTTCAACCATGAATACATAACTCCATAGAATAGTAAAACTGATCGAAAGGAAGCTAGAATTTCGTTGCGGCTTCAGAGGGTACTAGTCACCAGGCGCCAGCAGCAGCCAGCAGCAACCAGCACCAAATAGCTATCAAAGCAATACCGCAAAATTGGGAACTTTGCGACCCCAGTGATATTCTAAGTCAGCCAGACGTATCAGAGCACCTTGTGCAATGTAAGGTGAGGCGGAACAGCTTCATGGTGGATAATTAAGGGCACCTACTCTGAACTCGCCAAATGTTGATTGAATGAATCCAATGATTCAATGTAGCCGAATAATACGAATAAGATCGTGCTTGGCACATGGCATTTCATGCCTGACATTCATTCAGTCAGTTACCAAGAAGAACAAAATACAGCGGGAACTGACTTTCCTCTGCGGGGGCTGCTGATGCTTGAAGCTTTCAAAATCCTGTCAATACATTGCCAACGCATAGTCCTAGGGCAAAAAAATGAAATGCTTTTACTAATAGCAGTTGAAATTACTTCGTCAAAATATGATCATTTCGATATGATGTTCAAGATGATTCTTCCTATGCCTCCCTAAATATCCAATATGTTGGGTACTCTAATGCGGTGATCGTCCTCCACTCAAGTAGCTGTTTATCATTCCTCCCCCTCGGAAAGCCCCTGCTGTTTCATTCACGCAGGCATCCTTTTGTTCTCTAGACCAGTGGCTGACCATCTCTTCAATATCGTTCTTTACCTTGGTCTTGATTTCATTCAGATCACCATCCCACTATAGAGGAAACAGGAAGAATAAACGAATCAGCATAGAAGCTGAATCACAAATGAATAATTCTCGCCATTCCATTTCTTACCTTGTAAAATTCCAGAGTCTTTTTGTCGAGCAGCAATGAGCTCATTTGCTTTCCAATCATCCGACCTCCGGCAGTGTGTGCAAAGTAGAAGTTGTAAAAATGACACATGAATTCTGGGATTTTCTTTCCTTTTCCAAACGTTCGGATTTCCTTAGCGTAGCTCAATCCAGGCTTTCCTACAGCAGGCCTCTCCTCGTTGTATTCGCTGACCATGAATTCGATATCTTGTTCTAAAGCGCCAACTCGTTCGAGACCGGTATTTCTAAATACGGATAGCTCATCCAATTCATTCACCACATCTTCAAATGCTTGATATATACATTCAGAATCCACAAGGAACTTGAGGTAATCTGCGTGTGTTGGAGTGTACGGTTCTACTTGTTTCTTCTCTGGAGCTTCACCTTCTTTGGGAGCCTGTGCACGAGTGTGTAGCTTCATGGCTTGTCCTCTCAGTTCGGTCTCAATGAACCCACCAGTCACTGCTGGAGCTTCCGAAGCAGACATGCAGAGGGTGCAATGGCTGGCAATCGACGTGCGGAGACCATTCTGAGAAGGTAGAACAGAGAATGCATACGATTCGGAAACCAGTGCCAAAAGAAGGATTCCGATGGTTGTTGTTTTCATTTTGTTTTTCAAAGATTTGCTTTGCTTTTGATCAAATCAGTTCAATATGTAGCAATTGTGATGTTACAAAGATTGCTGTTTGTCGTGAGATATCCCAAAGGCGAGAGGAGTCCGACAAGGAACAAATTGATTGATTTGACCTTGATGACGGGGAAACACGACATAAGAAGAACCTCTTGAAACACGTGGATCTGCCTACGTGTGTTTTCTACTACGAGTTACGGGTGCAAGTTCAATGTTTGTTCCAGGCATAGCGGTCGAAGACAGAACGCTTCCAGAATTTACTACCGGTACATGTATTGCTGGCACCAGACAGAGTATTTTATTTACTCTTCAGTACTATACTCCTTTTGGGGCAGAGCTATGACATGGCCGTGAGTCACATTCATGGCTGAGTTGCCTGAAAGATCTCAGTAGGAAAATTCTGTAAACTGCACTTCTACGGCAAATTGACGACTGGTTTGCAGAGTATTAGTACACGTGTACCTACTGATCAAGACGTATGAGAGTAGGAATGGTTAGAATGAACTTACCGGCCAGAAGCAAGCATATTAAGATTTTCTATTTCAGCACTTTAATCCATTCTAATCTGTCCAGCCTTGAGGCTCTTCATGTCCTGCCGTTGGCCTCGACCACGGTTGGGATTCTTTCCACCACGGTTGTTCTTTCCCCCTCCGCGTCCTCCACCATTCCGTCTGTCGTTCTTGCTTCCACCGCCGGACTTTGGTTTGGGGTAATAAGGTTGGGCAATGGGGTTGGGATAATCGACACCTAGTCTGCAGTTGTACTGAGTTTGGTGGAATTGACTCATTTTCCATGGCTCATGGACAAACTGAGTTGGTACGTCTTTCAATTCTGGGAGCCAATGTCGGACATATTCACCATGTTGATCGTAATCCTTACTCTGCTTCACAATGTTGAAGCGATTCAGTCTTCCTCCAGTCATTCCAGCAGCAGCGCACCAGTTTCCCCAGTTACTATGTACGTCATAATCCAAAAGGACACTTTCAAAGTAGTCGGCACCGTATCTCCAATCTTGGTTGAGCTCCAATGCAAGGAAGGAGGCTACGTTCTGCCTTCCACGATTCGACATGAAGCCAGTTGCTGCAAGCTCGCGCATGTTGGCATCGACCAGTGGAAAACCAGTTTTACCTTCGATCCAAGCTTGTACATTCTTTGGATAATGCTTCCAAGGTTTGTCGCTATTAATGATACCACCGGGGAAGAACATGGAGGCACCATGCTTGAGAGCGAAAAACTTGAAGTAGTCTCTCCATAACAATTCAAAGACAACCCAGTAGGTGGACTTGTTGGCAATACGTTGATCTTCGTACTTCTTGCATTCATCGGCGACATATCGGGGAGATAGACAACCATGAGCAAGCCATGGAGCAAACTTTGTCGAGTAGTCTCCACCAATCATTCCATTTCGCGTGTCAAAGTACTTTCGGAGAAGGTCCTTGTCCCAGATGTATTCCTTGACTCGTGCCAAGGCGGCCGTTTCTCCTCCTTTGAATGGCAAGACCCCTCGAGGATCGTCCTCTTCTGCGAATTTGACTTGTTCTTTTGTGTAGCCAAGATCTTCAAGCGTAGGGATGAATCCAGCATGCTTTTTGAACAAATCCAATCCATCAAGAGATGGCATCGACAAGTCATTTGGCACTTGAAGTGGTTTGTGAATAGTGCACTTCTTCTCCACCTTGTTTCTGAATGGTGTAAAGGAATCTGGAAGGTCATGTAGATCCTCCTCGTACGGAATTTCATCGAGTTGGTATAGTGTAGAACCCCAAACTTTGTCTTTAGACCCAAAAATCTTTGACACCCTGAATTCAATGGCTCGTTCCTCGGTACACACCTCGTCCTGGAATACAACCTTTGTGCGACGGTCCTTAACGATGGTTTCTAATTCGGCAAGGAAGTCTTCAGGTCGGGCACATGCAACCAGCAATTCGGATCCATTTGCTTTGAGGGATTTTCGTAGGTCAAGTACGCTCTCGAGGACAAACTTGGCACGTTTTGGCCCGCACTTTAGGGAACCAAACTCTGATGTCGCACTCTCGCCGTAGTATCTTGGATCGAAGCAAAAGACTGGAACTAGGTTGGATTTCGTCTGGGAACAAAGCGATGCGGCCCTTTCCAAGGCCGGGTTGTCATGAAGCCGCAGATCTGTTCCACGGAACCAATGGAAAATGATGCCGGCTGTGGGAGCTTGCTGATGCATTCGAGAAGATAGAGAGAGAGCAGAGCGAACCACCATGAGTATAATGAAAAGCTTGAAGGCGAGTTTTACAGGGTCAAGAAACATTCTAACAATGAACTGGGGAACTCACCGTCATCGTCGCGAAGTCTTCTGATGGTTCGGTTGTGGAACAGATGAGGTGGAGTCATTTTTCTTTGTCAAAACGTCAACGTGATGATGTGTTGACCCAGGAATCGGTTGATTCGTATGACTGCAATCTAGTCCCGGATGGCATTTGAAAAACCAAACTCGAAAATTGAAAATGCCACAGAAACACCTTGACCCTCAACTTGTTTTGGAGGTAGACAACTACAGTACCGGTACCGGTTACAGACAGGATCATGAGGATTCAAACAAAGCTATCGCGGAAATCACAGAAAGAATCAAAACCATTATCGATTATCATCTACACCGTAGTGGCCATTTTATTCGTCGTCGTTGTCTGGTTGAACATTGTGGTTACAAAAGCTGGCAAATCTTCCCTTCTAGAAAACGACAATCTGAAGCCACCTCCAAAGCCAGAGAAGCTAGAGGATCGAAAGGGTGGAGCAATAATCGAAGATGCGTCCCTAAACGATGGTGAACCAACTATCAAAACTCCAAATGGATCAGTACTTCCTTCTGCAAAGGCACTTTTGTCTAGACCACCACCCTATGGAGATTCTCAAGTGCGCTTTTTCTCGGACACTATGATCGATTCTCCAAACACAGTAGTCACGGCCTATCATAGAGTCCCATCGAAATTCCATGCCGGGAAATACGATGAGTGGATGAAGAATATTTTAAGTCTGCAAGATGCCATGGTCATATTTACATCAGATGATATGGTAGACCAGGTCAAGAATATGAGGCAGCACGCGTTGGACCGCACAGTCATTGTCACCTTGGAGCTAAATGATCTTCCTTATGGTACTCTGTATCCAACTAAATTTTGGGAGGATCAGCTGAAGCGCGACCCTGAAAAGCGGATACACCGATCCTATCAATTGTTCTGGATATGGTTGAGCAAATCATGGTTCGTGAACGAAGCCATACGGTTGAATGTCTTCCAAAGCGATCTTTTTATGTACTCTGATATTGGATGTTTCCGAATGAAAAGATATAATTCCAAAACGATGATCCAACACAGAGAAGTAGTTCCTCCGAACGAAATGTTGCAAATGGCACATCACAAACCAAACCCACCAAAAGAAGATCTCTTCAACGACAAGTACAGGCATTTTGAAAATTTCTATCACAGCGGATCTCAGTCTGTGGCGTATAAGGACACTTGGATCAAATTTCATGAATACTTTCTGGATACTATCGATCGGTTTTTGGAAAAAGATATGATTTTAGTCGAGGATCAAGCAATTCTGCAGAGTGTATGCTTGTCGCATCCAGAAATCTGTGTATACATTCCTTTCACAGAAGTTCGCGACAATCATTACTTCGGATTGCGCTACCTGGTGCATTATGGAGGAAAGTTCAACTTTTGGAGGTACGATAAAACTGCTACAAGGTGATGGAAAAACAATGCACCAACCAGCGTGAACAATGGTTGAACCTACACACAACGAGCAAGCATGACTCGTGATGGCCGGAAGCGCCCAAAAGTCTTCGTTCACCTTGAACGTCGCAGCACTCCTGTAAATTAATCCGTATCAAGTCCAATCACTTCTTTGTCATTCGCACCTTCCCGCCAATTAGCTTCAATGCAGGTAGCCCCTTGATCATGCTTGATCTGGCAAACGCTGTTGAGCAATTTGGACATGTCCAGTCTGTATACTCCTCCATTGACTTTCCAGAGTCCATTTGAGCTTGAAGGACACCACAGGAGTCTTCAGCTATTCGTTCGATGAAGCACTTGACGAGATTCGACTTTGTCCCATTCTTTTTCTTGTATCGAAACAATCTTTGATTACACTTTGCACAGTTGACGCTGACAGTTTGATAAGTGCCAACAACACTTCCTCTTTTTGGTTTCGCATTCAATGCCGTAGTAGATGAAAAGTGGTGTCGCCAAAGAATGGTTCCGGTCTCTTGGTGTCCACGTACGTGTATGGAATTGCTTCCAGATTGGATTGGAGCAGTGCATAACTTCATTGAAAGTTGATTTGAATGCCGAAGACAGTCCTTGGGTACTGTTTTTAGGGCACTCGCGATACTAATGGTCATCGCGACCAGCTTCAGTGGTCTCATCCTTTCTGTATGCAATCCGAATGTTGGTGACAGAGTAAAACCTGGAATTCTTCACGCTTTTTATATTATTGCTTTTATTTTCGATTTTCGTCGGACGACGGACACACAAGATCTTTAGAAGTGGAAAATACGAAGGATACTTTACTGTAGTAGCAGCTTTTAACTAAGTTATCGACAAATGGAACACAAAGAAAACTGAATCTTCCCGCCGCTACAGAGACACATCGCTTGATCTTCCTTTTGGGTTATGGATTGGTGTCACGGCTATCGTTGTGCCATTTTTATGAACTTTCGCGCACCATTCATACCAGACCCTACCATCAGCTGTCTTTCGCCACATCTTTACACCCACACTGCATCCAGATGGAACATGAAGGGGTTCGCGGAATGGGAAATATATTGGGAACCACGAAAACATCTTTTCCGAAAAACGATGAGGTGCAATGGAGAGTTCGGAGTAGTGATCCTTACTCGCATACAGTACTGCAGTAAAGGAGCCGAGGAGTCCATGAAGGGTCACAGCCCCTCCTGAGCCTGGTAGGACTTGACTGACGATACCCGCTATCGCAGGGTCCAAAGCTCCATATCCGGAACCAGCAGCCGCAGCAAATGTAGCATCGGGTGCAAAATCCAAGGATACAGCACGCTCCATGCCAGTTTCTTTTGCTGGATGCTGAAAATTCCAACAAGTTTGCTCTGGATGAGTTTGACTAGCTGCATGGCTCCTTACAACGTATGATGTCTCCATTGCGCGTTGCAAACCGAGAGTTTGACCACCTTCGTGTGGTACTTGAGCTTGCTGGCGAGCATCAGTGTGCAAACGGACACTAGATACTGGCGCAACGAAGGTGGTATATTGCATTGGGATTGAAATGGTTGACGGTTTGCAACATTCGGATGCCAATAGAGGATCAAGGCATTCGGGGGACAGTTCATTATCTCCAAATGAGCCCAATAGTTCTGAGACAACAATATCAATCTTTCGGCCTCCAAGGTGTTCCAATGTCAGCTTTCTTGCGTCCGTATGGACTATAGTGACAATACCCTTCCAATCGGCATGATTCTGAGCCATGCTTTGGAGATAAACGACAGCTGACGGGTTCTTTTCCAACGCAAAGACTCTGAGGACAACAGCGGTCGGGTCTGCATTCAATGACTTGAAAGCCCGAATTGCTCTCATAACCAATGGTCCTCGTCCTGCTCCAGCGACTGCAATTGTAATCATCTTTGGGGATGCGGAGTCGGGCTTCATAGATGCCATTCCATCCGAGAGAGCCATAGTGCACGCCTCTTGGTACTTTGCGTATTTCACAGGATCTTTTTCGAACGTCTCGTACATTGAAAATTCTAAGTGGTCTTTGAGTGGTTGCAGTGGACGTTGTAGACTATCCAAATAACCACTCTCCAAGCTTGCTTCTTCCGTGTCCAAAGCTGCAACACACTCTGGTCTTTGCCGAATATGACGAATGTACTGTAGGTATGGCAGACATTTTGTTGACCCCATTCCGTCTCCTGCTCCGGGAATATCGTGCTTTGGCGCGCCTTCAATCAGTATGCGCACGGTCCTTCCAATCCTTTTCAGCACCTCCGTGAACAAAACTTGATGAGACTTCGATAAAGTTGGATAGCCTCTTTTGTTTGTGAGGAAAACGCTCGTCGGAAAGCATACCGCTTTCAGCTGTGCTCCAATTGCCTTATGTAACATGATGATCTGTGATGCTGTTGCTGCTGCAGGAGAGCTCGTTGGCTTCAATGGCTCCATTATTAGCATCGTGGCAATATTGGGTTGCCCATCGCAGAGGCGAGTAAGCAATTCATAGCGTTGTAAAGACTCTTCATTCAAGAGAGTCCTGATCCATAATTGCGTATTGCTCGATTGCGCGTCGATTGCTAGGCTTTGAAGAACTTGTGCATATTCGAAAACCATATCCTTTGGAGGAGACGGCAAAATTACCGCTGGGATCCCCATGTGAATTGCCCATTCAAGATATTTAGTGAGGTTCTTCAGCAACGCTTCTGGGGGATCTTCTGGAACATTTCCGACTATGGATGTTCGCCACCACCGACCTGTGAGGGCAATAACGTCAGATCGGGCCTCTTGGGAAAGAGGGAGATCAGTTATAACATAGTCGTATCCATCCTCGCGAGCCGATTGAAGAAGTTTCGCAGCATCGGCTGTATCCGAAAGAAAACACGTTAGATTTGGAGCAACTGACAATGTTTTAGATCTCCCTGTGGCTTACGCTTTTGTTGGGGCATCGATAGCCCCGCAATGAGTGGCGTTTCTTTCTCAGTTGACATTGTCTGCTGTCTTTGATGGAAGGAGGTCTTGTTGTTGGATGTTGGAGCTGGGATGGGGAGAGGTGATGGGGTTCATGGATGGTCTGTCACTGCCCGCCGAACAAAAACGGTCGACAACTATGATTGAAAACGACTACCGGTAGATACAGACAGTACCTGGTACCGGTACTGTACATCATTCATTTCAAAGGTTGAGGCGAAAGTTTATCATCTTATCTACTCTTCCTCCGCATCTTCGTCTTCTTCTTCTATATCCGAATCGTGGGCATTCATCACGGAGTTGATAGGATTGTCTCCGCCTTCTTCGTCTTCCCAAATTACAGGTGTTGTGTGCATCCGCAAAGCTGATCTACGCTGCCGCAGTGTTTGCATAGAAGTCGATATAGCACTTGCAATTGATTGGTCGTCCGCATCAGCATTAATCCAAGGCGACTCAAGTGCTTCTTCGACAGTCCAACGTTGTTCAGGGTCAACATTCAGGCATTTCGAGACAAAATCTTTCGCTTCCTGCGAAATGTGCTCCCAGTCTTCTTCTTGGAACTTCCAGTTTCCTGTCCGAATTTCTTGGAACAACTCTGATTGTGTTTCCTTCATGATCGGAAGATACCCAACTAAGATCAAGAAAACGATAACTCCGACACTCCAGATGTCAGAACTCTCGTCATGAGGGATGTTTTTCAGGATTTCTGGAGCAACATAATGTGGCTATGTGTGACAAGCAAAGCAAAGCAGGTTAGATGTAGATCACCAACAAGACCTACTGTCGCGATTTGACTCACTGTACCACATCTGCTGGTCAGCGATTGAGGTGTGTGCACCCTTCGTGAAAACCCGAAATCTATGATCTTCACTTCCGTGTGATTTTCCTTTGACTATTGGGGAACAAAGAGTAATCAAATAGCGTGAGGTGGAGTTACATATTGTAATGCAGGGACGGCATTCCAAAGCTTACAGATAGCAATAAATTCTGAGGCTTCAAATCGCGGTGGGCTACTTCAGAAGTGTGCATGCAGTGAACACCCTTGAGTAGACTTGTTGTCAATTTCCGTGCGTCGCTTTCCGAGTACTTTCCAATTTCTAGAACACGATCAAAAACATCACCTCCCCCCATAAAGTCCATGACCAGGTAGAAGAATTCTTCTTCCTCATAAAAGTCGAGTAGTTGGACAATGTGCTCCCCGTACGGCGACAGAGATTGCATAATAGCAACCTCATTGAGTATGAACTCGTCACCAGTTTTTTGGAGTTTTGATCGCTTGATGATTTTAACAGCAAACTTCTCTCCAGTACCCTTGTGTAAACACTCGTAAACGGTCGCGCAAGAGCCCTTCCGGATCTTCCGCTTGACCTTGTACTTTTCGTCAAACGTAAGCTTCGACGGTGTGTTCATGACTTCATCGACCATATCATCGTCAACCTTGGCTTGTCGAGAGAAGGTGACATTTTCGGAATTCCAAAAACCTGCGGTTTTTGCAAACTTCACGGCACTGATTGCACCTCTCCAGCTTGTACGCCCAGTCATTTTCTTCAAAGATGTGAGCGAAGCGCTGAGATTATTCATTGCAAGATCGTCTGCGTTCAACTTGATCCATTCACTTTCCAAAGCCTTCTCTGCGGTACAACGATGATCTGGGTTTACAACTAACAATCTTGCGATCAGTCTCTTAGCTGCTGGACTGACGCTCTTCCATTGACTTTCATGGAAAGCAAAATCTCCAGCTCGAATCTTTCTGAACATGAATTTCAGATTTTTTTCTTCCTTCATGTGGAATGGTGGATCTAAACGTTAAAATGGTGAAGAAAACAGCATTAGTGGGTATTCCATGTTTGCCTGCGCCACGTAAGAGATTTTAAAGATTGATGAATGAATGAAACTTACAACCACCCAACATAAAGAACAAGATGCACCCAATACTCCACATATCCACGGGCTGATGATACGCTCTACCAAGTAGAATCTCTGGAGCTACAAAAGCAGGGGTACCACATCTCGTCTTCAATCCATGTTCCGGAACCTTGTTTGCAAATCCAAAATCAGCCAAGTACACAGTATCACTTCTCCGGCTTTCCAGCAAAAGATTCTCTGGTTTAAGATCTCGATGTACGATCTTGTGTTTGTTATGCATTACATTCAGAGTCTGAAAGAGGACAAGCCCGATATCACGCGCATCTTTCTCAGTGAATTTTCGCCTTTCTGTTAACCTGCGGAAAAGATCTCCGCCTCTTGCATAAGATAACACCACATAGAGGAATTGTTCCTCTGCGAAAAAGTCAATAAAAGGAATAACATTTGGCAAAAGTCGCAACTCTTTCAGAAACCCTGCTTCTCTGAAAACTGCATCAATGTCCTTTTGCTTCTTCATCTTGGATTTGTCGACAACCTTTACAGCATAATATTTCTGTGGATCGTCCTTTGGATGTGCAGTGTAAACGACTCCATAGGCTCCCCGTGCAATTTCATCTTTTTTGTCGTATTTGGATTCGAAGGTACCTTCAGCATCGAGATGCGTCACATCGAGTGTTGTCTCTATGTCAGTTATCGTGTCGCCATCTGCTGCTTCCGCCATTGTTTCATGGAAAGATACAACCACGAAGTCTTCTGATTTCCCTGATCTCCAGTTGATTCCTCAAAAGAAACATGCCGCGTGTCCCGAATACGAACGGAAAGGTACACGTACCTGTACGAGAATCCAAGTACTTGCCCTACAGAGTCACATCAGTCATAGTTCCAGCCTGTCCATGGTGCGTCTGATATTTGCTTTACAGTGTTTTCTTTGTGACTTGAAAAAGGGGGTTTCCAGCAGGGCAAAATGACCAGAGACCGAAATTACACCCATAGGTTGGTTGGAATTACGAATCCGATTCTTGCGACGAAAAGGTGCTCCTACGGTTGAATTTTAACACTTGTTGGACTATCACATTACTACTGATTCACTAGTAATCAGTCCTGGTGTATTATAGAGTTGCTGTAAGGAGAAGAATTCATTTGTTCGTCTGTGCTGAAGACGAGAAAGTTTGACACAACCACTGTTGAAAATGGACCCAGACGAAGACCCCGGCATGGACCCTGGCAAGCCTTCCAAGGAGAAGAAGAAAAGTCGCAAATCCAAGTCTGAAAGTCGCAAATCCAGTAGTCGAAAGAGCAAAAAGAAGTCATCTTCTTCGAAAGAGAGTGAAGATTATAGCGATGAAGGTCAGTGGGATCCAGTGAAATTTGATGAGCAAACTGGGGATTGTTGGAAGGATATTGATAAACCTAAACGCGTCGCTGATCTCCCCTCTCCTGATATAGCAGACTATGAAAGACAAGAAGGAGATGAAGACTGGCCGTACAAGAAGTCTTATGCTGTCGATGAGAGAAAGTCGAAAAGCAAGAAGGAAAAAGGCCTGACTGCACCAAGCAGAGCAAAGTCAGATGATGAGGGAGAGGTAGTTGGAAAGGAAAAGCGTTCGTCCAAGAAGGACAAGAAATCAAAAAGTAAGAGCAAATCCAGTCGTAGCAGTAGTTCCAGAGATCATGATGATGATGCTGCTGCTGCGGAAGTGTCAGACGAAGAGGAGGATCTGCATAGCGAAGAGGAGGACGAGGCACGAGCAAGAAGGCGGCCAAAGAAACATTCGAGTCGAAAGTCGGATTCAGAGCGATCTTCTGGTGAAGGCCACGACGACGATGTCAGCGATGGATACGATGAGGGTTCAAACAACAACGCCGACTCGGATGAATTCTCGGAAGATGCTTCGTTCTACAGTGATGAGGATGAACCATATTCGAGTGATCTTGATGGCAGCATTGATTCAGACGGAACATATGATAGTGCTGAGGAATACGGAGATTACGGGGGCATGCCTCCTGAAACGCCTGCAATGATGAACTACAACCAAGAAATCAACGACCTGATGCATAAAGCGAATCCAGAGCACACAGATCATTTGATGAATCGTGTAAACAGACAAAAGGGGAACATCGCATACGATCAAAACATGCCCATGATGACACGTCAGGCGCTCATGACTCGCCAAGCGAGTGCTCAAGCTGCCAGAGCGAGAGTGGATGCGAATTCAGTTGACAGATCCAGGTTGGGATTCCGCAACGAATCTTTTCATGGAAAGAGCGGCGGTGGTGCAAAACCCGTGCGTCGTGGTCCAGGTGGTAAAAGAGCACCACCTCGATCAAAATCATCTGGCCTCGGTACCATGGCCATGGCTGGGAGGCGTGCCGCTCCATCTGCTGGTGGTGAGGATGCTGGTGGTGCGGATGATCCACGATCTCGGTTCCGTGGAAGAGGAGCTTCGACTTCATTCCAGAGACATTCGAACAAACCCAACAATGTTGCTCGAATGTCTGGTCGCCGAGGGGAGATGGATCGATCAGGGCATCGTCCTGCTGCTGGATCGTCGGCGTCACGGGGGGAACCTCGACGTGGTAATGTGGGTCGGGCAAAGTCCACTACCGCCCTCTCTAGAGGTGCCCCATCTGCTCCTCAAAAGCCACTGAGACGTCAACCACGCCGTACCACAAAGGAAGAACAGATGAAGACAAACGAAGTTTCCGACGAGAGTAGCGAAGAATACGACAGTGACGAGGAGAGCGACTCGGACGAAGGACAGAGATCGCGGCCAAAGCGAAGAGTTAAGAAGGTTGTCGACAAACAAGACATGACCATCAAGAAGCATCGCCGGAAGCTTCATGGTATGATGTACAATATCAAGATGAGTGTGGAGATGTCTGATCTAATGAAAGAAGTGAAGAAGGGAGAGATTCCGAAGTCTCCTATCAAGACCCTGCTCATGGACGAGCCATGAGAAATCTCATAGTAAATAAAGATCATTATTATGATTGCTATGAACAGTTTTAGGTTTCATAAAAAGAATATTCTTCTATACTTGCTATGAAAATATTTACGTTTCATAAATAGGCTTAGACTAGCTAGCACGCTGTAGGCTTCACTTCTTGCTCATTTCTTCCAACTTTGCAACTGCCTTTGGAACTTCTTCTTTGGCCCACCCATAGGCCTGGCCAAGCTTTTCGCCCGCAAACTCGATAGCATCAGTAAGTCCAGTTGCAGCTGGTTGGTTTGTGATTTCATTGATGGCAGCAGCACCATCCAAATCCTTGCCCAATGCAGATCCAGCAATGGCAGCGGATACGCAAGCATCAGCAACTGCATCAACTGAAGACGGAGGACGCAAAGCAACCTTGATGAGGCCGGGTGTAATGTCGGCAAAGAACTTGATCACACCTAGAGAAAGAAGCTCTTCAATGAAGGAGCCGTATTCCTTGTTTACACGAGGAGGAAGCAATCCAAATGCGTCACCACCGTAGATAAAGGTAGGTTTGACGAAACAAACTTTTGAAGAATCGCCGTCGACAGTATCCAACGCACATTGTTCTGCCATTTTCTTGCCTTCGAAGTAACCTCCAAAGAACTCTGGAAGCCAGTTCTCTTGGCATGCTGCCACTTCGGCACTAACGGAAACATAGACAGCTCGTTCCAGCTTGCCACCTTTCTTAGCACTGCCAAAAGCAGCACAGTTGGTTTCGCCGTTGCCCTTCTTGAGAGCTTCGGGTTCGTTTCCAATTACACCCAGACACGAAACAATGCACTGGGGTGAACCAATGGCAGTAGCGATACTGCTCTCATCAGCGGTCTCCAAATCAGTAGCCACCCAGTTGACTTTACTGGTCCAGGAATCATCACACCAAGCAAAGGAAGGTATCTTTCCCGACTTGCTGACACTGGTGACTTTTGCTCCCTTCTCGATCAAGGACTGGCAGACTTTGGATCCTACAAATCCCGATCCACCAACCACAGTAACGTCAAGGCCGGCACTAGAGGCATCCGATGTCATTGCCAGCCCATGTAGCCCTCTCTGGGAAGTTGTGAGCACCTGAAATGCCAGGGTTGGCGTTAGAAATACAGCCAAGCTGGATACGAGAGAATAGATGCCCATCATCCGCTGTTCAAGGAGTGATAACACGAAGGTGTCAGCGTTCGTT